AAAAAAAAAAAAAAAAAAAAAAAAAAAAAAAAAAAAAAAAAAAAAAAAAAAAAAAAAAAAAAAAAAAAAAAAAAAAAAAAAAAAAAAAAAGAAAAGAAAAGAAAAAAAAGCCCACGGGAGGTGCCGATAAACCCGAAGTCCACAGGGAAAGATGACGCTGGAAGCCAACGATGATTGGCGGTAGCAGGTTCTAGCTTCATCAAGGCAGATCCGCCTTGAACACTACCACATCCGCGCTCTACCGAAAGCCATCCTTCCCACCTTCAATTCCCTCTCTTCGGCTGCTCCGGCGAAGCTCTCTCCTCTTATCCTCTCTCCTCTGTATAATACGTTCCGGTAAATTTCTTGGTCCAACTGCGTGGTTCGCTTTCCCTCTTTGGGACTGAATTGAATCCGCCGTGTACTTTGCGCGTCTATTCTTCGATTTCCTGGTCCCTCCTTGATTGAAGCTCCACGTCGAGCCAGAACCTCGCGCGCTGTTCTGTCTCAAGTCTGGACGCCTACGGTGCCTGCCCTTGAATAATCATAATACTCGTATAAGTGGAGCAGTCTCGGGGAACCACGCGACTGCTCTCCACCCTACGTCCGAGGAGTCAGAAGCCAGAAGCATTACAACGACTCTCAAGAAACATTGAGAATACCTGTTTCTCAGACGCGTCGATTCTGCTTCAGAAATATACAACGCAATGGCAACCGAAATGCAGTCCTTTTATACGCCCTCGACCTCGACGCACATCTCCTCTCACGCTCCAGCCGCGGTCGACGAGCTGATTAATAAATACTCTTCCACCATGTCGGGCTCTACGAACCCAAACTCCTCTAGCATCAGCCATATGATGAAGAGCCCTCGCCGGAATGTCATACAGCGGTTTGCTGATCGTATTCGCCTCGAATACTACCGGTACGAAGTCACATTCGGACTCTACGTCATGACCCCGGGCGAGAAACTCGTGGCCAACTCCTTCGTGATGGTGGTGCTATCACTGCTTTTCTGGGCCCTACTGCTGTATTTCCCAACACTGCTCTACCAGAAGCTGACCCGCCTCGTATGGTTGTTGACCGGCCATAGCAGCGAGGAGATGGGAGCCGCTCTGGGCATCTTGGAGACTCATGTTGGCTCTCTATCTTCGTCGTTTTCTGGGGATAGTGCGTTATAAGAGAGACTGAATCAACGCGCATGGTATAAATATATATCTCAAAAACTATATGTTCTTTGATATTCCTTCTGCATCGGTGCTTTCGTATCGATGACATGAGACGTTGGAAATCGTTCTTGGTGGTACGTCTCGTTCAGCCTACTTCATGTCACCGTGCAAGCTAACAATGTTTTGTTCCGTCCCTAGATCATTACATATACTTTGTTCTTTATTGTGGAGTTAGCACCGGGCGTTTTGGTCTTCGCCTATGTTGGAAAGCGGCTCGCCGCAAAGATTTAATGAATTGAATGGTAAGGACTGACTTATAATGTGAGCACGAGTACTTCCGAGCTTGACAAGAGATAATGTGTACTCGAAGCTTGAGTGTCCAGCGGGATCTAATGCTAGTTCGCTTGGCCGGAGATCCGCCTTTTTTTGTTTCCTTACATATACCTTGTGACTTCTTGACTGCCGGAGCAACTGTGGATAAGTCAAACACTGTTGACTACCACATGGTCATTGGTACACGCTTAGTAATGCTTAATGTCAAAATACGAGCCTGTGTACAATTAACCATATTGGATGTTAACGTACATGGGTGTTAATTTACATGAATAATGCACTGAATTAGGGGAGCTAGGGAGGACGAGTTATATAGAAAATGCAATCAATTATCGCATCGCAAAAAGTTGCAGTTGGTTAACGAATTACGTCTGGCGGCAGGGCGAAAAAAAAAAAAAAAAAAAAGGCAGGGGGAAAAAAGTTAAACACGAAGTACACCTTCAATAGGAACAGGACCGGAGTAAACACGAGGCTAGTGGTGGAGATAGAACCACACACCAGCCACAAAAGACAGCTCAGCCTTAGGGATTTGTTCGTCATCCCAGGAGTGCGTGGCCGGGGGTTTCAGTAGTTTAATTGCTTGGGGGAAATTCATATCGTGACCGCTGACGACGATAATTGATCGGCAACCCCAAAAATAGTGCCACACCCGCGAATTCGACTGCCTAATATCTCAAACTGACAACTTGGGTGTTTTCTCAATAGTGAATAGAAAGGCACATCATCTTTCCGTTCTCCTTTTCATTGTCTTTTGTTTTCTTATTTTTTGTTTCTCTCCCCTTCTGCATAGAACTCTTCTCTCCTACCGTTTTCTTCGTTGGACACCATTCTCCACTCTCCTTTGTTGCGTGCACATAAGCTTCCGCGGTCATTCTCTAATCCCCGATAGCTTCTAAGGGGTTGCCTGGGTTCCCACCATTGTCGCCAGCCGCCAAAACGTGGCCGTGCATGGTTCAGAACGTCTGATCATCAGCTCTTCCTGCCCGTCAACTCGGTCAGACCGTGGAATATATTTCCCTTTCCCCGCAAGAAAACCATAATTCAACTTTCTTATCACATCGGCGAGGTCCGCCGGGAAGAGAAATTTCTTTGCGCCCCCTTTGCCTAATCGGCTGACCATTCAAGATGGCAGCGAACAGCTACTACAACGCTGGGTACAGCAACAACCCACCAACATACGAACAAGCGATCCCTCATACAGACTCGTTCCATCGACAATCACCAGCGCCCACCTACACGGCTCCCAGTGGACGCCCCTATGCTGACTCCGAACCCCCTCACATACGAGACAGCCAACATTCCTTAGGGTCCGATCAGGGCGCATATGTAGCGGGTGGAAGGTTAAACGAAGGAGATCACTATGCTGAGAACATCCCCCTGAAGGAGAACACTCAATACTCAAACGGGCCACCACCGGCCAACTGGATGCAGCAACCCACGCATTACCCCCCAGACCCTGCGATGTTGGAATCAGCCCCCAATAGAAGTAGAGGAAAGAGGGGCTTCTTTAAGAAGAAAATCCCCTTCGTCACCTATATCCTCACTGTGGTACAAATCGCGGTGTTCATCGCAGAGTTGGTCAAGAGCGGTATGTCAGACCACGAAGAATTATAAGATCCAGCTAGACTAACTGGCTCTGTAGGACAACTCACAGGAAACCCGATTCAGACGAAACCTCAATTCAATCCGATGATAGGACCTTCGGCGTACATCCAGATTAATATGGGAGCGCGGTACGCGCCGTGTATGAAGAATGTCGACAAGGTACAGAACTCTCCGGTCGACTTCCTCATGCCCTGCCCAAATTCAACAACGAATGCTTTGGAGTGCACCTTATCCGAACTGTGCGGCTTCAGCGGTGTTCCAAATCCGCACCTCGGTGGTTCCCTCGATGATCAGCCGGAGCCCAACCAGTGGTATCGGTTTATCGTGCCTATATTCCTCCACGGTGGTTTCATTCACATTGGCTTCAACTTGCTTTGTCAAATGACGATGGGCGTTGACATGGAGCGGATGGTCGGATGGTGGCGGTATGCCTTGGTTTATTTTGCCAGTGGTATCTGGGGTTTCGTTCTTGGAGGTAACTACGCGGCTCCATTCCAACCATCTTCGGGCTGCTCAGGTGCTCTGTTTGGCATCCTTGCACTCTTCATCTTGGATCTTTTCTACACCTGGAAAGACAGACCGTCGCCATTTGTGGAACTGATTATCATGATCCTTGGTGTGGGAATCTCTTTCGTGCTGGGTCTGCTGCCGGGCCTGGATAATTTCTCCCACATTGGTGGATTCGTCATGGGCCTGGCCCTCGGTCTCTGCATTATGAGATCGCCTAACGCACTTCGGGAGCGTATTGGGCTCGCCCGTAACCCCTATGTGGCGATGAGTGGTGGTGCCGGTCCCACTTCTGATGAAGAGAACAAAACCACGACTGGCCCAAGTTTCGTCAATTTTTTCAAAGGACGGACGGGCCCGAACTCGTCTTCCGAAACATCTGGTCCCTTGGGTTTCTTCAAGGGCCGGAAACCACTGTGGTGGGCATGGTGGTTGGTCCGGGCCGGAGCTTTGGTTGCAGTTATCATTGGGTTCATTCTTTTGATTGTGAACTTCTACAAGTACCCCAAGTCTAATTGCTCGTGGTGTTATAGACTGAGCTGTTTGGTAAGTCATGATGTTCTCGACTGCATTTGATCAATAGCTGACGAGTAATAGCCTGTACACGATTGGTGTGAACAAGGCATGGAGCCCTTCACAATTACCAATACTACTACAAACGGCAACTGATTATGGGCACTCTCCCTTCCGCCCTTGACTCCTTATTGATGACTGTCGCATTTGTTTACATAACGATTCTTCCTGCCTTCATAGCTGTAAACTGGTTTGGGCTCATACTCTGTTTCGGGACATCTTGACGGCATTTGACTGGCGGCGTTGAGTGATGATTGCCGCTTATTTCCTGTGCATTTATTTATTATACCCTTGCAAGGGCATCGCGTGTATAATCACTTTAGTGATGAGCGTCTCCCTCTCTGAGACGAATGGGATTTGATGACTACACTCTATACCTGTAACTATTGAAATTTACGATGTGGAGGGAAATACAGCCATCAAGATAGGCATACACACACACTAGACTATCCGCTGTATCTTTTCCATTACGCGTACTTTGAGGTCGACGTATTACGAACGTGGCTGAGCCACGGATAGCACAGCCATGAAGTCACGCTAAATTTATCCCGTCTGGTCTTGACACGGACCGGCTGTGTGCCGTAATTTATACCGCGGGCGGTAATTACGGACGATTCCACTCCCGGCGATCTTGAAGGATGATCGATCCGCTTCAACCATTTGATTTCGTAATTTCCTTTTCTTTCTTTGGCTGCTCCAGCGCTATTTCACTCTATCAGTTGTTGTCTGTCTTGCTTCTTTCGCTCCAGTATTGCTGCATCTTCTGTATTCCACTTAATCTCTAACTTCGTCCCGTTTGCCATCAGCCCTTGGATCTTCCGTGGCCTACCGTGGAGTTGAATGAAGCACTGTTAGCGCGATGAATTAAGTCTCTTAATCCAAATAGATTGATGATAAAGCCATCGACTGGCTCCATAATACACCTCAGATACTCACCATGGCGACTTTAGCCGCCTCACCGCCATCGTCACCATCCTGGCCCAAACGACGTCCTCGGGCCTGGGCTCTCCGATGTGAACGCTATTGCTGTGCGGCGGCGTCTTTTTTCCCACTAGCATTCGTCTACGGTTTGACAACATGGGCGGTCTATGTTGAAGCCAGTATTGGTCTAAGGCCGTCGCGAAATTCTTGGATTGGTAGGTTACTCCGGTGATACTCGGAACCCGCGAGAACGCGCATACTGACTGCTTTGGGCCACCAGGCTTACCGACGTCGATTATCGGCATTGCCCTCTATATTTGCCTGAACGCCTCGTATAGTGTTGCGGTATTCACAGATCCCGGCTCACCACTGTCGGCCAATAGTCGCCATGAATACAGCGCTCTGCCGGTTACGGAATTGCCGGAGTTCACTGCATACACCGTGAATTCAGTGGGAGAGTCCCGGTTCTGCAAAAAATGTCAGTGTCCTAAACCGGATCGAGCGCATCACTGTTCAACGTGTAAACGATGTGTGTTGAAGATGGACCATCATTGCCCGTGGCTGGCGACGTGTGTTGGGCTGCATAACTACAAGGCCTTTCTCTTGTTTCTTATTTACACATCGATATTCTGCTGGGTTGATTTCGCGGTGGCGTCGAGTTGGATATGGACCGAGGTGCTCAATGATACGCGGTATATGGACACCATATTACCCGTGAATGTGGTATTGTTGGCCATACTCGGAGGGATTATTGGGTTGGTGCTGTCGGGGTTTACCATCTGGCATATTAGTCTCGCCGTGCGTAACCTGACCACGATTGAGTGCTTAGAAAAGACGCGCTATGTATCTCCGTTGCGGAAAGCGCTGGATCGTCGCCGCTACGAAAACATACTGGGTAACGGTCACAATGGCCAAGAAAACGTCGAACCAGAAAGCCTAGGGCATCGGCTTCAGGACTATGGCAATCAGATCTTGGACGCTCATGCAAATGCAATCCCCGGCGTCACCCGGCCAGAGGAGGGAGAGGAATCCCTGCCCGCATACTCTCAGTCGGGTCCTGGAGGCACTCCCGCCCAGCAGGCCCTGTCGCGATCATATGCGGACTTGGAGAGGCAGCGCGAGCATGATCGATACCATAGTTATCTTGACGAAGAGGATAATGAGAAGATGCCGAACGCTTTTGATCACGGATGGCGTCGGAATCTCTTACACTTATTTGGTGAACGGCCACTCCTCTGGCCCATTCCTGTGCGCACTACTACTGGTGACGGTTGGCATTGGGAGCCCAGCTCGAAATTTTTAGAAGCGCAAGACAGGGTGCGACAGAGACGAGAGCAGGCGGCTAGTGATGAACAACAATACTATCGGGATCTCTACCAGCGTAACATGCACAACAGTCGGAGCTGGCTTGGGACGGACGCAACACCGTCGATGTACGTACCCCACCAGCCGTCGAACGTCTATCAGGAAACCGAGCGCCCTGCAACGGGTGTGTCAATGAAGACCCTGGCACCGATGTCGCCGCGTCCAAGGCCGGGAGACAGTGATTTTGAAGATGTAGAGGAGAGTCATGATTTGCTGCAACCCCGTAATGATCAGTTAGGTGCATCTCGAAAACCTGGGTTGCCCGCCCAACGACGTGGACAATCGAATGAATGGAGAGATTGGGATTAGCCCCGGTTGCAGCTTACATTTAGCGTCTTTGCTTCTTTTGTTTATGTGCATACTATGATTTATGTAGGTATACTGTGTTCATATTACACGTGGATGTCCTCGCGGGCGCAATGGTTGCATGCTAGGCTGGAAGCCAGGAGTTATGTCCATATCAGTTTTAAATTATAGATATATCATGCTATGCTTTGTTATATTTGTTATATTCTAAGATGTGTCCGTACTGGCGGACAACAGGTGTGGCCATTGTTGATGCCTGAGAGCCACGGCAACAACAGCGCGCAACGTCATTTAACGACTGGACAGTTGGCATCAATTTAATTCTGCAGCCAACCTCATCCTTCCGGTCAAATAACTCCGCGATGGCGTACATATAGTCGCTGCATACCCTTTAGTTCCACAGCATATGCGCCATTCACCAAATCACTCGCCAACCGCAACCCCCCAAACAACAATACCAGCCACCACCCAATCGCAAATCCATTCATCCGAACCATACTGAGTCCAACAAAGAAAGGCCCAACGCACAACACTCAAAATGTCCCCATCCCTGCGTCGACTAATGAAAGAAGCCGCCGAGCTATCCGCCTCACCTTCCCCACACTTCCACGCTCAACCCGTCTCCGACTCCAACCTCTACGACTGGCACTTCACAATCGCCGGTCCTCCCGCTCCCTCACCGTACGCCTCTGGAATCTACCACGGCCGCATAGTCCTACCCCCAACGTACCCTCTTCGGCCTCCGAGCTTCCGCTTCCTCACCCCCACGGGGCGCTTTGAAGTCAACCGGGAAATTTGTCTCAGTATCTCGGGGCACCATGAGGAGACATGGCAGCCTGCGTGGGGGATTCGGACTGCGCTGCTGGCGATCAGGAGCTTCATGGACGGAGATGCGAAGGGGCAGGTTGGCGGCTTGGATGTCTCGGAGGAGGTGAGAAGGGATTATGCTCGCCGGAGTGGAGACTGGTGCTGTGAGGTTTGTGGGAAGAGTAACGAGGCCATTCTAGGGGAGTGGAGAGATTATTGCAAGGAGAACGGGGTGGAGGTTGGGGATATGGGCGACGAGAGGGTTGTTCCTCCTGCGGCTAAGGAGGAGGGTGAGAGGGGTGATGCCGATGTTCCTCAGCAGAAGGAACAGTCTGAGAAGATAGCGCAGGATGAGCCCGTGGCCGTATCACAGGAGCCAGTGCAGCAACCGTCGGCTCCGGAAGAAGGTGTCCAGGCTGTGTTTACTCCTCCTCGTCCTTCTACGTCTATGTCTACTTCTGCGCCGGCACCAGACGTACAAACACATTTGGCGGCGGCGGCGCCGCGTCAACCTGTTGTGCCGTATCCGGCGCAGGCTGTTGCCTCGCAGCAGTCCGAGGATCCCTGGCTGGATCGAGCTATTATCGGCGTGTTGGTTGCGCTGGTGTTTATGATTCTTCGGCGAATGGCTTATTCCGAGGAGTAGTTTGGATTATGGTTTGTTTGGCTTTGGGTGACGACGGGTTCATCTATGTTTGGATTTTGGGTTTATTTGAGCGGTTGGCGTTTGGATGGATATACGGATTTGGTATTTTGGAGTGAATTTACAAGACAGGTTGCTTGATACTATCTCCATCTTTCAATTTAGTGGAGTTTATGGAGTATAAACGGTTATTTACAACACCGAGACGTATTATTGTGGCAATTGGGTTATTGATATCTAATAGGGAGCCCATTGACATACTCACCCAAGCATCTCGAAAAGCAAACTCTGCAGCAAGGAGAAGAGTCTCTATGCATGTATTCAGTCCAATTTGGCAATTTCCGGACCGTCTACCCTCTTACACCAGTATACAGATTATCTGATCCGGTAGATGCCCAGCGAATCGTGCCTTGTCCAGCTCACAATTGGCCTCGCAGCTCATATAATAACCCCCGATCCACCTTTTCACGCGGATCTCGACTGACTCCCGATGGTATGAAATCCAAGTATCCATTCGCTATCCCCGAACCAACATGTCCGAGTCCGAAGACCGAGGCCGCATACTATAGCGATAAATATTGCAACGTAGACACCCCTATTCAATTGAACGTATCACAATAACTTATATACAATAGAAGCAAACAAAGAAGAGCAAAAAACCAAAATGTCAATCGACGATACCCCGAACCCCCTCTGCATTGTGATCATCGGAGCTGGTATTGCCGGACTCAGCGCAGCTATTGCTCTGAGCAAACAGGGTCATCATGTTATTGTACGTATTCGCCCTCTTATGGCTATGCATGAAGACACAACAGACACCTAACAGACTCAACTCAACAGGTCATCGAAAAGTCCAAGTTCGCACGAGAAACGGGCGCAGCTATCCACATTCCCCCGAATTGCACGGCGCTGTTGCAATGGATGGACGTTGATCCGAGGGACTTTGGAGGGACTTTGATTGAACAGGTAGGTCCTTCTCGCCTATTATGATATCGAATCATACAGTGAGATATGGGCTAAGATAATGTAAGATCCATCGATACGATTCCAACGGCGAACTGAAGTACAAGAAAGAGCTCTCCGGGATCCGGGGACAGTGGCAGGCTGTATGTACATACATCTATACATCTCTACCCAGATTATCTAGTCAAAAACATGACATAAGACTAACAAACACAGGAATGGTACCTGGTCCACCGCGTCGACCTCCACAACTACCTCAAAGAACGCCTCAGCCGAACCCAAGCTACCCTCCACCTGGGATGCAAAATCACCAATATCAACATCGAAAGCGACCAACCCACCGTAATGCTCGACGACGGCCGGGAATTTACTTGCGATCTCCTACTCGGCGCAGATGGGCTACATGTACGTCTCCTAACTAATCCACCCACATCATGGTAGGAATAAAACTAACCAAACCAGTCCATGCTCCGCACCCACATCATCCCCAGCTTCCCCTCCCCTTACCCAGCAGGAAAGTCCACTTTCCGCTGGCTGCTCCAAACAGAGGAGCTGAAGAACCACGAGGCCACAAAGGACGTAGTCGGGGACCCGGGGGTATTCGTCGAATGGGCAGGTAACGACAGACGAATTGTTGCGTACCCGTGTTCGAATAACAAGATCTTCAATCTGGTCGGGTTCATGCCGACGGCTGAGTCGGGGACGTACGGTGAAGGTATGCAGTATACCATGCACATAGAAACCAGTATTACGGATATGAGGAGAACTGACGGTGAGAAAAGGCTGGCAAGCAGTCGGTGACAAATCGGCCCTGGCAAAGGGCTTCGCGGGCTTCGCTCCCTCAGTTGAGAAGATGATCGATATGGCCGGTGATGATCTTAAGGTGTGGGAGTTGGCCGATATGGAGAGAATGCCGACTTGGGTTAGGGGCAGGGCTGCCCTGGTGGGTGATTCGGCGCATCCGTTTCAGCCTTGTATGTTCCTTTTTGGCTTTTCTCTCTTCTCTTGGTGATCGTAGCTGTTGTGGTATGGTTAGATACCTTGTTGATATGAAGCTAACCAAATGGAAAAGACATGGGCCAAGGCGCCGCAATGGCCATTGAGGATGCGCTAAGTATAGCTACCCTGCTCCCACTGGGTACAAAGGCCGAGGATATTCCATCCCGGCTAGCGATCTATGAGAAGGCGCGTCAACCGCGGGTTGATGATGTCTTGATGTATACCCGGCTGAACGGGGCGGATGAGAACGATCCGTCTGTGCAGAGGATGACCGGTAAGACCCTTCCTTCTACTTCGCATGATGGCGACGTAGGTATGCTGACTGGCTGTTACAGCTGCAGAGATGGTTAAGGCAATGGGTCTTTGCTTTGCGCATGATGAGATTGTGCATTCGAGGCGGCTTTTGGAGGAGGAAAGGGAGCGTTGATTATATAAGGTAGGGTTTATAGTATACGAGGTGTTGATATGGGGTAGGAGGCTTATGTTTCATCTGTTCATCTGGTGTATATATGATGTATATATGTGGGGTTCAACTGTTACTTGAATATAGCTGGTACAGAGAAGCATGGCTTTAGAGGACTTTCTACAATGTCATTAATGTCGGTAGATTATCAAGGCAAGAAGCATAACAATCGTAGAGTGGCTTAGGTAACCATGATCTGCGTGTCACATGTTGCGCGACAAAGCTTGGCACGTGCCCAGACCCAAATCCGGTAAAGTGTAAATCGAAGGCTATGGAGAAGACAAGAGACGGTGTTATTGAAAGAACAGTATGGAGTAAAATTATCTTGGAGTACAAGCAAATTATTGTTTAATCAAGGTCCCATTGCAGGTGAAAATCAATCATCGGATTTAGATCGGGGACTAGCAGCAGTGATGCTGTGAAAAGTCAGGTCGCCCATGTGTTGTACTATATATATATTTTTTTGAGGTATGTACGTTGGTTGTCAAAATATTTAGACGCTGAACAAACACGCAACCCTGATCGACCATACTGCACATCTATTGGCTCGCTATAACAACAATCGATAGATTCCAGCACGGTCGAAGTACATATTATTCACATAGCACATGATATCGTCCCTCAAACGAGGTCTTGGCTACATGGCATTTACGGCTCCGGATATACCGTCGATAACTATGGATAGGTCATACTTGGGCACGTTGGAAACCCGTGGGACGTGAAGACCAGGCCCTACACTGACCTACAGAATATACATGGGAAAACATTTGTCTTCGTGGATAATGGCTCATATTGACCGGATATCTAAGAGCACGAAGAGAATGGTGGCGGGACGAGATGTCTTGATCGTGACAAAAGAAGCATTCTTTGCCCAGGGGTGCAATTCAGCGATTTACAGAACTGCTAAAACATGACAGAAATGCGAGAAAAGGCCTGGCGTATCATTTCTCATCCTAAAGATGCCCGGAACCTATTTCCCCAAAGTAACTATTCCTGAAGTCTTTTGACGCCATTACCCATCCTTGAAAGTAGCATCGTCACCACCACCATTCCCTGAGGGATGTCAACCGTTTCATGTCATTTTTTTGGTGTTCCCTTATCCGTCATCCTGCACGACTATCTATTTACCGGACGAAGCGGCGGGGACGGTCGGAGACCTGCTGCTGGGAAACCTGGATGACGTTGGTGGGGATAGAGTCGAACTGCGGTTGGTTGTGTTAGTCACCATCATCCGGGATCCGGAAGGAAGTAGAGAGATCCATCACATACACCAATGCTCTTAAGGAGATCCTTGGTGTCCTGGTCAACGTCGAGCTTGCCAGTCTCGGAGTGCTGGCTGAAGTCGAGAGCGGAGACCTCAGGAACGTATTGATCCTTACGCTCACGCTCCTCCTCCTGGAGCTTGAAGGAGATACCACGAACGGGGCCGCGCTGGATACGCTTCATCCTATTGAGTTGAAAAAAGTCGGGTTAGTCGCGGGGGTGTTTCCTTCTTTCTTTCGAGACCAGTCCACATTCGTAAATTCAGGCACACGGGATTTCATACAGGTGAGTGGTGTATCCGGCAATCTATTCGAGAAATCCTTCGTCAGTTTCGATGTTTCTTTTCTGCAGTCGACCCGTGGATGAGATTTACCTTGTTGCGCAGGCGCTTGCTGGCAATGATGGCCACCTCATCGCAAAGCTTCTTGTTGACCTCGAAGTCAAGGGTGAGCTTGGGGTAGTAACGCTCAATGATGACCTTGGCGGACCGCTTGACGGTCTTTGTGCGAACGCGACCCATTTTGGCGTATTAGTTGTCGACCTCGAAAGCTGCGATGTTGTTCGGGTGGTTGTGAGGATGGGCAATTTTGGTGTGCATTCCGATTTCTGCCAAGTCTCGCTTAACGGGGTCGTTGGTCAGGTGATTGAAGATCACATGACTATCACCAACTTGCCATGACGATGGTTCTTCCTCCTCTTGTAGGGAAACATGAGCAGTTCGTCTCGTTTTATCTACTGGGATTCAATCGAATACTAATTTTGGAAGTATATTCTTCTTCATTACCCTCGAATTTCGAATTATATCCATGTTCTCATTAACGCTGCCGCTGGGCGGTCAGTACATGGTATCCAATGATGCATACCCGGCCCCAACCTGAGGGTTCAGGCAGACAGCGTTAGCCCTATCCCACATTATCTTCCAATCGTAAAATCTCTCCTTCCACCACGAACTATTCCTCTTTCGGGAGAATCTCCATCCACCCAATCATCATTGCACATTCATCCATATCAGTCTTAGGATCAGTACTTTGGATTGAAGCTGGCATCACAACCTTTCCACTCCCCCGCATTAATCTAGAACCTCATCTACCTTCCTTTTCTTTTCCATACCCAACTCCCCACCCTCAGTAGCTGAAGTTCAACATATCTACCATATATCATGAGATGAGATCTGATTGTTGATACTCTGCCCGCAGCGACGTGTTGCAATGGGGCGGTGGGGGACGACTCTTATTCAATCAATGTGGGGTCATAAGAATACTAACAGCAATGTAAACATTGCGTTGAAAGCCGCCAGTAAAGAACTTTGAGAAATCACTTCTATAGTTTGACACTGAGGAATCTTTCTTCAAATTCTTCGTACTAGCCATCCCTGAGATTGTTCTTGTGTTATTCTACTCGATCAACATATCGCTGTCATGCATTTGACTTGACATATAAATTTCCTATGACTAGCGATATACTCCGTAGTTCTTAAAAAGTAGTATCTCAAGGTTGAGGACATGACCAAAAGAGTTACTATGAGCAAGTTTCAAGTCACTTCAACCTTCAGGCTTCCAGGCCTGCAATGTGCCTGAAATTGCCTAGCGTCAAGATTACCTATCCGGGAATAGCGCCCCCCCCCCCTTTGAAGAAGTTGACTCCCATGACTGTCAATCACGTGCGTCACTGACGGAAACCTGAAGTCTCTGGCATCCATTGCCTGTGAACCAATAAACCCAGAAAGGGCAGCAAGACAAAAACGGCGGCTCAAAACACCGAGTATTCTGTAGGGTCGGGCCAGTTCTTGCATCGGACTAAACTGTCTTACTTCACTTAACTATTGCCATTGAGAAGCTCAGTTCACGCTAAGATATATTGAATAAGTGCCGAATTCCAACTCTCAAACAGCGTGGTGCTATCCGAAGAGCCCTTCCACTACTATATATATTTCCTTCCATCAAGCATAGGAGTACAATTCCCCACGAATCCTAGTGACAGGTAAACAAAAATCAAGTGATACAATCATGCAACTTGGCATCATCAGAATGAATCTTCGCTTCCTCGTGATCTCTACCTTCGTCGTCTGTTTCAATATACCCGATCGTTGCGCATAAGCGTTGTTCCAGAATCCCTGACAGTGGGGATAGATATTAGCAATATATACTACCTCACCCTAATTACTCCATCCCACCAAACCCAGATCCCCAACGCACGCTGAACCAGCGGAGCCAAGATCCTTAAATAGAATCCCGAGAGGACTCGGCTCCTTCCGGCAGTTACAAGCCGACTAGTACAGAGGTTACAATATACAAAGCATGTGTGTGGTATCCACAGAGAGATTGGGACGAAACGCGATTGTCAAGAGGTTTTTAACTTTACCAGAATATGGTTGTCTATGGAAAATTTTAGAAATTTCTCTGTACCGAGACACAGACGTCACGTGGATGTATACTATAATGGCTGGATGCTAGTCTACCAGGCATCACCTTTGTGACGAAACGAATGAGAACTGAGTACACAGAAAAATCAAATACACCCCCGACTCCCACTCCGGACACCACCTTAACCCCGATAATAATCGCTCCACGATGCACGTTTTTTTTTTTTTTTTTTTTTCAAGGGAAGACTGCTTAGTTGGGAATACCGCAGTTGAGGTAAGCGGCTGCAATAACGGTTAGTATCATGCTTTTTCATGGAAACATTGGGAAAACCTTACACTTGGAGAAGAAAGCATAGCTCTCCGCATTCTCAAGAGCAGAAGCAGCGTCTAAACCATGAATAGCATCATAGCCATATGTCTCAGGACCAAAGATGCCCTTGGTATGAGCCATCTCGTGCAAGCTGGAGGTGGCCTGATCCAGGACACCGCAGGAGTTCGACCAAGCGGGGAACTTGGTGAAGTACGCCGGACAGGTCCGGATACGTCCGTAGTATCCGTCCGTCTCTCCGTAGGCAGTCATGGTGAAAGAGTGGTTGTCGACGCAGTCAATGCCCTCCGGGGTGCAGTAGTAGCTCACGACACCCTGGTTTCCGTTCGTGGCCTCTGTGGCGATCGTCTCCAAGACGCCCGCGACGCGGTTGCGGGACTGGGCGTCGTTGGTCTTGAAGAAGCTGTAGAAGAGGTTGGCCGAGTAGTCGGAATTGCTGCGGATGAGGTTTGCGCCGGCGTGGGCCATCTGGGCCGCCTGAGCAAGTGCGTTGTCGATCATTTGCCTGCCCTCAGGGCTGCAGTTTTGGAGGGTAGCGCGCGCATCGAGAGGGCTGGCGACGGCGCCTGCGATAAGGGGAAGAGCAACGAGGGTCTGGAAGAAACGCATCTTGATCGCTGGGATGCAAGAAAAATTGGTAAGGCTGAGAAAGGCAGAAGTAAATACTAAAGATTGACTAAGAAGCAATGATCGACAGCCACCAGGGCTTGTAACGAGAGTATGGGAGATAGAAAGAAAGACGATGGTTTTCGAGAAGACTATTGACTCGGCGATCGCAAATCGATCTTTTATATCGATTCTGAACGGCCCGACAGGCTGTTGCTGGCGGACCCAGCTCCGGCCGTTTCACTATGTTCCATTGATCTGTCGGTAGGTTGTCGTCCCATGTTTCACCATTGTAGTGTCGATCGCCTCCCAATCGATACAGTAAGAAGGCACCCACAGCTATGTCAGACCCACCGGCTCCAGAACTGATTCCCAACTGCTACCAAAGACACAGACGGAACCCTCGAGCGGCGGATAGGGAATTTGTCACGAGCAAGGGGCTCATACCAGCGACTGAAATAGATGCCTCTAGCCTTGTGATGCATTTTTCGCTCCCACATCCCGTCTTCACTCCACCTCAGCCGTTCTGTATACTCATCGATGCAACTCTGAACGATAACAGCCAAGACTCCCCTGATTAAAGATCCATGGTCGCGACACGCCACGGATAAGGGCTCCACGTGTGGCCAGAACGAAAAATCTCTAGAGCAGTGCTTGACTAAGCGGGAACAAGATTGTTTTTTTTTGTCGAATCTTAGACAAGGAACCAGCTTATCTCTTCAGAACACGGAAGATCTACCGAGATATTGATCTTTCGGCCTCGAGTGTTTCTCAAAGAAAGACGTTGAGAGGCGGTGTTCGAGAATGTTACCTTACTTGAAACCCTACTTACCTTAAAAGAATTAGTTAGGGTCTGCCCTCCTGAAACAGTGTGATTTAGAGTTTAGGCAATCTCGATGCCTGAGGTAAAACATCAGACCCTTATTCGGCTTTCCCGCGGGATACTCCCGGCGAAATGGATCTCTCGACTCGACGGCGCCATTCGGACAAAATCTGAGTGTCCTGTGTAATCTCGGGGATCGCCTTCCGTATAGGGCCAGGGCCAGGGTCTATTCTAGGCGTTTTAGATTATAGGATAATTCACGGCAAGTTGTGTGGTGAAGACTGTGAGGACTGAATATTAGTAACATATACGGTCTTTGATATTAACTACACCTCAGTTACGTGATGGAAATCAAGGGTTTATTATAATACGCTGCGATGTTGGGTCATAACTTGGGTAATCCCGGTTGCTTTCTGTGCAGCTATACGGGGATCATGGGATTGAATATGGGGCTGCTGGCTGGCGGTGTCTTACCAATTTAGTGCGTCTCTTATCCTGAAGATGCCGTCTCGCTTTTCAGTAGCACTTCTATCTTCCTCCTGACTTATACCACGAGTAAAGCTCGTCGCCCCTTTACGACTTTAGCAGTTACTCAGAGTTAACGACTATCGCCAGCGCCTGTAGCTCGTCGATGGGTACTCCAAGCCAGCTACTAATGGAGACGGAGCCTGCCGCGAGCTGCATTGCGCAAATGAAATTGTGAAACATTAATTTGTACCCCATTGTTCTTAATTACCCTTTGTTTTCGTACTTCCTTGCTGATTACATCGATACTTACAGACTCCCATATGCAAGAGAGAAAGATATCGATTCAAGCAAGGAAACTTTCTCAGATCGACATGCGCATGCCTTGACTCCAGTCCCTCGCAAGTAGCCCCGCATACAGAACATCATTTGCCAGAGAGAAACCCCCTACAAACGACTCTTTATGACCGTCCATGCCGGAAGTAGGGGTGTTCGCGTGCCTGCTTGGCAGACATCCTTACTGCCGGATCAAATTCAAGAAGGGCATCCAAAAGACGTAATCCATGTCGCTCCAGTCCAGGAATAAGCGGACTATTCCTGTCGCGCTTCCACTTAGGAAATGATGACTTATAATCTGGGAAAGAAGTAACTCCCGGCCAAGAATCCTCATCCGGGGTACCAAGGAGGCTAGAAGAAATTAAATATGATTAGCTCGCGACAAAAATGCCATGGAGTCGGGACACCAGACCGGAAAATCTTGAAGATCTGATCGATCTCCGAATCGCCAGGGAACAAGGGCTTGCGGGTGCACATCTCGGCAAAGATAGCGCCGCACGACCACATGTCTACTGCGGTTGAATATTGGGGGCCGCCTAGAAGGATCTCCGGCGAACGGTACCATAGTGTGACGACCTGCAATGCGATCAGTTACGATGTGGTGATGAGTTTCGGCACAGGAACACGATACCTCGTGTGTATACGTTCTCAAAGGAACGCCAAAGGCTCTTGCCAATCCAAAATCGGCCAATTTTAGACTGCCGTCCCGATTGATCAGAAGATTTTGAGGCTTGAGATCACGATGCAGAATCCGACGACTGTGGCAGAAATAAATGCCCTCGACTAGTTGAGACATGAACTTTTTGATCATGGCTTCCCCTAGCCCCAAATCCATGCTAAGGCCATTTGGGAGAGATTTACCACGTCCGCCATCGTTGACAGGAAGAGCGTCCATGTATTTCTTGAGATCGGAGTCTAGATGTTCAAAGACCAGGTAGAGTTTATAGCCCTCTGAGTGGATGTTGAACAACCTAACGATATTAGGATGGTTTAACTCTTTTAATAGAGATATTTCACGGATAGTTGTGCTAGGAACGCCTTCATCGTCGGTCTCCAGTCGGACCTTCTTCAAAGCGACGATCCGGTTGGGATGAGCAAGCTCACGAGCTTTGTAGACGACACCATAGGTCCCTAAGTATTGATGTAAGATTAGTCGGGACCCACAGGCTTGTGCTAATGGAGTTCAGGTCACACCTTCTCCAATCTTTTCGATTTTCTGATATTTCTCCATGGCGGTAGAAGGAACCGTAACCGGTTACCAGGATTAACAGACGACTTGGCAAACGTGGATCAAGCGAAGAATCAGATAAAACAGCTCGTCCAAGTGAGCGACAAGTGTCCCTACAGGATTTATGGCATCAAATACGTACTGACCACCGATGACCTCCGGGTCGCAGGAAAGTAGAGCAGGGAAACAAGCGGGAGGTTCAGCTCTGATGCAGGGGACGTTGGGGCTCGCAAAAATGGCAAATGAGGGGCGATAAATCACCCTGGACAACGAGACAACGGCTAGCCGAAGCGGGACTATGATTATGTGGTTCAGTATACTTTTGATCTACGAAAAGACCGCCCCTTCAGCCTCAGGCAGCAACTATACGAGACGCCGCCCGGGCCCCTCGAGACTATGAGGTAGAGCGATCCTGTATTCTTCTTCCACAGGAAGAAACCGTCACCCCACGTATTTGCACCATCATTTACTGACCATCGCCCGTTGCTTCATAGGACTGTGTGAGAGAGTATCGTAGCGGGGCCGGATCGCCATGCATCATCGGCAATGGGTTGGCAGGGAAACCATAGAGTCATGGCAAGTTGCCACAAGGCCACGTTGGCAATACCTGAAGGGACATAAAAAGTCTCCATAACTCTATCCATATCCCTCTGGTAGGTCTGTGACCAGATTCTATCATGAGCATCGTGCGCAGTGGCTCATATCAGGAATATGGGATTTGTCAACAGAATACATTCCAGATGCAGAATACCCTGAATTTTGCGAGAAAAAACGGAAGGAAGGAAGAAAAAAGACAATCAATATTATAAGATGTACTTTTTCAAGGGGTGTTTGACACGTATAAGGAACTATTACAGTGACCAGAAAATCAGCTCGTCTCTTCACAATAATGTGTGCTGGGTGACAAGGCCAACGGAATTCAATCGGGTTCGAGCCCACGCGCGAAGCTGGGAAGCGTAGAGCTTTCTAATTTATCATGGGCATCGCTTTCTTTAGATCTAGTGAGGAATGAGAAGGCAGGTCGCATGACTGCAAGGCTCTCAGCTGTGATTCCTAGGCCAGTTTCTACGTCGGACCATACTGCTACCCCAGTTGAGTCATCTAGTTCTGGTGTTAGATTTCGAACAACGAGGTAGTGACCAGAGTTTCTTACATAGAAAATTTGTCTTGGACAATAGGCGTACATAGGGCAATCGGACGATGACAGCTGTAATTGCACTAGAATGATTATTGTTCAGTGATGATCCAGTGGAAGCCCCGGGGATATCAACGAACAGCCAGCCAAGTCCAAGAAGGACAACAATTCCAACCCTAGTACCGCGACTAACTTCCTTGAGATCTCGCAGCAGAATTGCAGGTAGAATACCGATAACAAGGTCGCACATGATAGCTGCACTGCTATTAATGTAGACAACCAACATCTCGAGATCATCATGACATTTGCCCAGGGCTGTCAATCGGTCCCAGTAATACGAAACGGGCGAGCATTGGAAAATGCCAACAGCGAGATTCAAGACTCCTGCAACAATGGTAAACACTATAACCGTATAGAGGATAGCGGAATAAATCCTCTGGAAACCAGTGAAAGGAAGTAGCGTAAGGCAGATTGCTACCCTCATGGCTATAGCTGCAACAGAATAGAGTTGTTGGCCGATCCACCAGCACTGAGTATATAGGTCATTAGACTTTAGATATCATACAAAACCCACAATATACTCACTAGCATAGCTTGTCGGAAGTTGTCAATCCGATCATGGAAATATTCTGTCTTCTGACCAATGCCATATATTCCTCCAGTGATTCCAACCAAGGCAAACCCTAAATTGAACATTTGATTTTGGCTGATTAGATATTGATAAAAAAAGACTGTGCTGAAAACTCACGGCGGCCACGGCCATTATACCATCATCCCATCCAAAATTCTTGACCATCTTGATGCGTACATAACATCGGAAACAGACTGTTACGAATGATAGAGGCCCTAGCACAGCCGGAACGGTGACAACCGCATTGCTTCTACCATGTAGCATTATGGGCGGAGTGTGAGGTGTGTTGACATAACTATTGGACACCATGCGAGAAAATTATGGAGAAAGCTGGAGAGACACAAGCGTGTCATATCCGACAGATGAACTCTGGGTACCAGTATGATTTATGAAACTTACAGATATTGCATACTTTTACCCAGCACAATTCAAAACCCTTTCTGGATATTCCAGGACATGTCACATATGCAAGAGGAAATCATTGGGACAGCCCAGTTGTTATAACTCACCACCATGACCGGTCATATTTATTATACATTGTTGAATAAGGATAGGGGGAATTCAGTAATAAGGTTATAAAAATATCCAGATACGTCTCGATAATGTATTAGGAACAGCACAAAAGTATGGTTTGCCGATCAGCCCGCTTTGGCTAATGTTTTGAGCTTGGACTTCCTACACCTAGTAAGTAGCTTCGTCTGTTTCTGATCTGTCGACGCTCTCACTCGCTGAACATCCGCGGATCGACAGCGGGCACCAATCCTTTGACATTCTCGCAGTCGGAGCAGGTGTCTGGAGTCTAGGAGGATCATTACTATCGAGCGGCAAGGGGCCTGACCTTACATTTATATTCAAAGAAACTGGTCTTGGCTGGTTAGGCCTCTGCATCTTAAGCACACCAGGCGAGCAATTCAAGCAGTTCAAGTAGTTTAAGTGATCTACGTATTTGAAGTTATTGAATTACCGGCCAAATACGGCAATAAATAAAGGGAAAATTATGGCGTAATGGCCGTAATGGATCACCGACTTAGTACCGCTGATGTATTCTCATTCAAGGGATGATTTGACAGACAAATAGTATCATTCCATACTTGTAACCTGATAGTTATCCTAGTTATTATGCATGCACCAAAGAAGTAAAGGCCATTCTCCATATAATCTGAACACATGATTATTTAAAAAGAGGCAGATTTATACTTTCAGTATGTTCAGCCCCCGGTGTTTAATCACATTCCTGACATTGCTCAAATAATATCATACATCCCCAGACCTTAATATTAGATAATAGTAACATAAAACTACTTCTTTGTATAATTATAGTGCTACTGATTATTCCGACGGCTGCTCAGTGTTCCCCAAGATTATTAGCGAGTCTGGAATGCATACATTATCGCCTGCTGCACTACCACACTACGTTCGGCTACAAGAAGTCGTGCATCATAGCCAAGACTCAGAGTGGACGGTCCTTTACGAGCTACCACATAGTCAAGGGTTTTAGAGGGATGGAGGGCTCCTTTCCATTCTGGAGGTAGGTCGATGACACATACCTGAGCGTTTAGGCGGTATCCTTGGAAAGGCGGACGCGTTGTCTTCGTCGCTATTCGCGCCCGCTGGATGCTAGGTGGTGCTTCCTAGTCTGGCGCGCGTTGCGGGATAATCTCTGTGTCATGCTTCACTGTCTCGAGCCCAGTATCATTGTAGCTCGTGGTGTCATTGCGGATATTTTTTCCGCGAAGCACAGAGGTATTGCAATGGGTCTCTTTGCTGCCGCTCCTTTGTCAGACGCGTTCCAGGACCAGTGGTAGGACATAGCTTATTTCGGTTCGATGACCACTCCTTTCATTTCATGGACAGTATTACCGCGCGCCGCTTTGGTCTATGTCTCCCCTACATGTATGACAGCCGGGGTACGCACTGGCCTCTTCAAATCCTGGGCTCTCTCTCGTCGCCTATCTGCTTGTTTAAAAATGGTTCTACAAGTGGGACGGCTAGTGCCGCAAGGGCGCAGCCTAATCTGAGGGCGTTCATGCGCAAGCTTCAGCAAAAAGCAAAAATAATCGCTGTAGAAAGAGGCACTATCTAGGTTTATTTAGTCTGCACAATGTCGTAACCCCTGAAGTACAACTCGGTGTTACGAGAATCCACAAAGGAGGTCGTAGGGGTGGTTATTTCTACATCGATAGGACTTTGTACCGCTAGCTTACAGCCAACTGAAGTAACGATATAATAACCAAATAATGTCGTTCATTATGCGCGGTCTGACAGTCATCCTAGTATATCCATCGTACTACGGAAAAAACACAAACATCCTTCATAAGGTCGGATTACGAGCTTATCCAGAATAGACATGCTTGCACATCCTGGGCTCAGTGATGTCCCTAACGTTGCTAACGGAAAACTGTGAGCTTCTACGGCTTTGCAGTAGATCGCAGGAAAATAGACTACATACCCCATTAACACGATTATAAAGTTGCCGATCGTCCCCGAGGTTGCTCAGCGTCTATCAAATCAGATTAGCCTAGCTTGGGAACGTCCGGCAAAACAAATACATACGGGGTTTGCAGCCTGATACTGCGCCGAGTGATCGACCCTAGGTTTGCCGTCCGGGTACTGGGCTCTCTGCAACTGTTCGTTGACTCTCGCTTTGGTCCACTGCATCCTCGTCAGCGAGATTCTAATAGAGCATAACTGTCCGTCAAACTGATTTATGAGTTGAATAACTAGGATAGAGAGATATACCTGGTGCTCAGCAACCGCACCTTCCATCCTAACCCCGGCATTAACAACGCCGTGGATGGCATCCGCCCCAGACCATGTACTGTTCAAACCGGCGCCTAGGGCGGTATTGAAACCCTCGGAGGTTTTGTACGGACTCATAGTGGACAAAGCGGAAAGGATTCAAGAAAAGCCCGGAACGCAAAGCCTTGGGGCGTATTGATTTTCAGCTTGATACTGTCGCAGCTACTTTGACACTGATATCTAGGGAATATACGGCTTGATTTATATGTTTCACTATACAGAACCTCCATATCACTGAGCGTGTCCTATTGAGATATTGATATCGATATATTAAGGCTATGAAACTAGAGATATGGGCGAGAGACAGAGTGGTTGGCGAATCGATACGACTGGGCCTCACTTTTCGCAGCCACAGACGTAGTACGCCAGTATAGGAAATCCTGCAATCTAAACGGCCCTGTATGGTCCTCTACGGTGTTTTCAATTGCCGCCGCCGAGGCGAGGCTGTGGATACTAGTGTTGCCAAGGGTGTGTGTCTGCTCGGGATTGGAGAGTGCAAATACCGGCATTTCTGCAACCAAGCCCTATCGAGGCTAAGATGATTGCGCGATGGAGAGGGGTAGTGTTGGATACGAAGAGGCTGAAACTGATTGATAAGTGGACAAACCGCGATTGCTGGGTAGACAGCTTCTCCGATGTCATGATGGCTTCCATGAGCGATTTACTGTTGCTTATTCGCTCCATATCTATATGTGGCTTGTATGCCGAAGGACATCTGCCGTCCTGCGTACGTGGCATGTCTTCCTAGTTTACTATACCATTTGACTCTAAGCTAACCATCGGGCTCGTGGAGTAGTAATGCAAGAAAACCAGTTGCTGAGACGCCGGACTTCTGCTTATGGCACATGATACATTGGCACGTGCTGCATCATCATCGCAGGATTGATTGTCATACGGCCCTAACTGAGAGAAGCCCGGAATCATCGGGCTTTCTTAGTGAGGCTGACAGCAGACTATCATATCCGAGCCCTGGGTCAACGTAACAATTAACACTTACCCTTAAAGCCAATTTTACGGATTTGAAGGGCGAGCGTATCAACACCGCCCTGAAAGGGAAACCAATAGTTCTTGGCCAAAACTGCAAAGCCCTTTTGTGCTGTTAATGGCCGGAGACAGGATGTCTGCGGGATAAATGATTTCGCCAGAACTGAAATACTGCCACTTTTGTAATGTTTCACTCATTCATAGCCCATAGACTCATTGACTTTTGTAGCTGAGTACTATCTAACGTCATGAATTCAATCCTGGGACTGGTACACGTAGAGCAACACTATTGGGGACGACTTCATGACCATCATGATTCAGGATTTTAAATTCGACATCAGAATGTGGCTCAATGTCCGAAACACTACATGCCCCTGGCATGGTATTGGACGTATGATCAATTCCTCTTCATTATCTGATTTAACTGTACCAGCAATCCAGATTGTAAGAGTAATACCCATATAGGATCGTCACCAAGTGCATCTCAGGCTTCATATAATATTGAACACGAAACAAGCGGTCTGACAGCATAATAAAGTTAAAAATGCCGCAGACAATGTTCAACTAAGGCTTGAATCATGAATCGTCTGTTCGTGACCAACTGATACCTGTCATGTGTCTGCTCCGGCTGCCTCATGAATACGCGTACTAGGGATAGCAATGGCTCACGTAAGGGATGTGCAGCATAATTATAATGAATGGTTCGCAACCCATTTCCGGAGCCCTGTTAGCATTCCTCATAATGGTCTTGTATTGCAGCGGTGAGCGAGGAGATGAGGATTTGGCGCAAGGGGTCTCTTTCACTAATCTGCTCCCGAACAGACCGAACAACCCACATTTGCTGGTAGTACAAAAAGCTAGATTGAAAAAGAGATAGGAACGTAAGGTACTGGGTACAGTTACTAATCGTTGCTTTGAAATGGAATGACCTCTGTGATTCATCGAGCAGCTCGGAGCCTCCTGCAACTAGGCCTCGACATTGAGTTTGAATTGTATAGAGTGCAGAGTTCACCATGCCTTTGTAACTCCACGAGCTTTGTACTCTTGTGCCGTTTGATTCTTGGGTCGGCCAGAAAGTATCTGCATAGAACCATGACTCAATAGAGCGTGCTACTACTTGCTAAACGGTTTGAGGACGCCAGTTTAGCTGTAGCAGGCATTCGAGTTGGAGCCTGTGACATTGGCTTGATTCTCGCTTCCTTAGAACTATAATAGAAGATGTTTCAATACAAGCTTTCCAAACTTGCCCTGATCTGCTACTTTCCGTCTCTCTCCCAGAGCGTCCTCTACGGTTCCTTCAAAGACCTTAATAGCTGGCAGCCTAGATTTCTTCCCAGAGTGGTGTAGTAGTAAATACCCACATGAGACTGTCCCTCATTTTTCAAATCCACTCTGTTGATTCCCAACACAGGTTCAAACCCTCTGTAACCGCTCACACAAAAGCTATTCGCTAGAAGTCATCTATCGACAAGAAGTGGTTATGGCCACTTCGCTGATTGTGCAACAACATCGTCGTATTTCGGCGGTGCGTATGCCTCTTGCCACTCAGAAGATGGCAGAAAACTTAAATCGCGTGGAGCACTCTTGGGATCCTTTCTACCCCATGTTTTGCCTTCGAGAGAGCATAACATAGGCGGAGAAACAATGTGCGAGAGCTTATCTTCTGTACTCAAGTTGTAGTTCGGGAGTGTATCGCTGCTCTTATCAAGTATACTCACACCGGCAACCTTAATAGGTACCTCTAGTGCGACCGCTCGTTGCAGGATAGGCGCTCCAGGCATATGGTATGAAAGACGAAGTTCAAGAGTGTAGATACGAGAGAGAAAGCATGAGTGAAATGTCGGCACAAGGTCGCTGTTGCTCGGTAGGGTGATTGGAACCATGGCCGATGCTGTGTAAAAGCATCCAGGGGTGGAGGTATGAGAGGGCGTAAAGTCCTTTATGGAGCTGGGCTGAGAAGACTGACCAATTCCGGAAGACCCCAAATGACGCGGTAACGTATGCTTCGTCCATCTGATGGATGAGATAGTCTTTGATGGAAGAGAGCGGATTTGAATGTGTGCCCCTCGAGACATTTGGTCACAGAGTATCTTATCGAGGCTTGGAAAATCTTCCTGTGGTTGTGTACTAAACAGAGTCGACTGTTTGAGGGTAGGGTGTATTTTCGTAAGTCTGGGCGGCAGTGTGTCCCTGACAGGCTCGAACCGAAGCTGCACCCCGACATGGGCAATCACTGTGTCGATTGGAGAACGTCCCGAAGGAACCTGGATTGGCTGCTGTATAGCTGCCACGGCTTCAAGTCGACCGATTGTCTGTCTTTTCCATTGACCTTTAAGTTCCTGCACAACACTGGACGTATACATGTCCGGCTTCATAGGCCTATCGAAAGAATCACCTTCGCCATGGGCAGGCACGAGATGCAAGCGTTTCGTACAACTAGCCAGTGTGCACGGCTTTTCATTGTTGTTTGAATTCTGACAACGCACGGTAACACGAATGAGATAGGAGATCTCACACAGGCTTTGCGACAAGGTCTTCAAATGCAGCGTGGGAGGAGCCTTTGTGTGTGCCTGTTTGATACCCGTGTGAGTTGATCTATGGCTGCACGATTTCAGAGGTAACCGGTCGGGAATGATGAATGTGTACGGAAATCGATAAGCTTTTCCTGGCCTGAAAACACGAGAAGCCGGGCAGTTTGCTGCGGCAACAGGTTGGCAGAGCGTTATAAATGTATGAGAGACACCTGTTTCTCGCTGTGTGGCTATGGGTTGTAACAAGTTCACTCGCGATGAGCCTACACACCTCAGGGTCAGTGCGATGTTCAAACCTGATAGTCACGACGAATGCGTACCTTCTAAGCTGATATTGACATCGCTATACCTGGTTTCAGCGTTCACAGTTATTGTCACTGTTCCTTCGATTAGTTCCCCTGTGGTATAGCTCACCCGAGGGTTGGTAAATTCAATCAATATATTGGGCGCAGAACAGCTATTCAACAGTGAACGGCTGCGGGAGGTGAGTGTCATATTTGTTGATACTGGTCCGAGAGAGTGTATAAAACCGGGTGAACAACGTATGTCCCACTCTGAAGTAGATAGTGAACCTCTGCGAAGGCTTTTAAAGGAGAGAAATTTCCTTCTGACCTTCTCTTTTTGCCTTTCAATGTGTTTCCGGCAAAGGCACAACAAGTTCAGCATTCTCAGTGATTCGGCAGCCCCCATCTCCACACTCGGGTACACGTTCCCGAGTCGGCTAGGTGTAGTATATGGACCCGATCGGATGCTTTCCATATCCACATATTGAAGAGACTCAGCCAATTGGTCCTTATGGCTACTTTCTCTGAAGTGGTACATGGTTTTGTCCTATGAACGGGGGAGACACAATGGATATGGTGCAAGCTGTCTTTCCATTGCAGCTATGTTCCTAGCTTCTTTTGCGAAGCAGGAAGGAGAGGTTACTAAGGCGTGACTGAATACACCATGTGACAAAAAATAATAAGAACATGGGAATACTACATTAGTTTGTTCTCATAGCTGCATCAGACTATAGAAAAGCCTCCGAGTGCATCATGTTCCAGTGCCAATGAGGTCGCCGACGATATAGAGCGCTTGGGTGGCCATCATGCAAAGCTAGCTAGGAAATGCCGACTTAAACAGCCACCAGGGCCCGACTCAATTTATCTGTACTAGAATGGAAAAGAGTTATTGCAAAATGCGAAAGGGAAAAACTGACATTGCGTGATTATGTCTGGATTGGTGTATCCTACCCGGGTACATGTACCCGCGCAACGACTATACAGTATAACAAAAGGGTTACATTTCAAGGCGAAAACTGGATACATTCCATGACATACACGCCTCACACATTTCCCGGTCTCGGATTCTACCTAATGTTTAGAGTTGGAGGCAGCGTACATAAAGAGATGGGTATTGAAATTGGGGTTGTTCAGCTCCAAGAAGTGGATTCGCGGTAATACAAATTTCTCAAATCATCAAAAGCGAGTGGAGTAGTTTATGTAGACCATACCTCATGGGGAATTAGGTATAGTCCAGGACCCACTGGATGTCGCCTGAAAGTGGCAAACGGGATTCTCAGCGCGTGGTTTCTCGCCTGATCTAGCATTCTACAAGGTTCTGATATGGGGCCTTCGTATCACTGTCACATGCCCTGACTAGATGGCATGTATTGTGAGAGGATCTTTAACAATCTGATGATAACGAGAATGTGCTGTGACCCATCTGGAAGTGACTGTTAGGATCCTTTATCTACGAGTTAGATGGTTATAGTGTGAAGGATCCATCTCAGCGAGGATCTCGAAGGAGAAGCCGATGTGGAGTAATGCAGGACGCCACACGATTAGCCAAAATGTGACACACCGACTGAGAGTGCCTGATACCAAATATGATGTGGCTCATGTATTTATAAAAGAGTCAAGTCTATGAATGGTCCTGTAAGCACGACATCGGCAACATGACCAGGATGGCCAGCCGGATGTACTACAAAGGGCTTCTACTCGAATTAAAGAACTTTATCCTAACTTCCTCGTTGGACAATATCCAACTGCCGCTGAATACCTTCCAGTCTATCTTATTCTGTTCAGCGACTGTGGAGTACCAATGTGGTCGCCTTACCGAAGAGCAATACTTTGCACGGCTGGCAGTCGACTTTGGCCACTCGCAGGAAGAGATTGAGGCATCTATCACAGCGGTACGGAATACATATCAAGTGAAGGCGACAGCTTTGGAATTTCTAGCTTCAATAAAGAGCCGGTTTGGAAGTAGGTGTAATTATATGCCATGACCAACCTATCTCGGGAGGACTATGCGTTAGTCAAAGGTCTTGGAATCGATTGGTCCCTGTTTGAACGGGTTTTTGTTTCGAGCGAGATGAACATGCAAAAGCCTGAGCTGAGGTTCTATCGGCACGTTTTGGATCACATACATCTGAAGCCTAAGCAAGTTATCTTGGTAGATGATGACACTGAAAATATCCTTGCAGCATGTCTATGGGACTGCAAGGTGTTTTATCTTCGGAAAACTCAGTTTCCCGTCTTCTCCTCAATCTCTTCGATGTTGATCCTGTTGCAAGAGGTACCAAGTTTCTAAAGGACAACGCCCAGAACTTTTCTTCGGTTACGCATACTGGGATAACCGTGAAGGAAAATTTCGCGCAGTTGCTCATCTTGGAGCTCACTGGCGACCGGTAGGTCAAAGTCCAAATACTCTGTGCCGAACGCTAACCTCTAGAAGAAGTTTGGTAGATCTTGAAACGCATCTCACTACATGGAATTTTTTTATTGGTATGTGCATCTCACACTCTGACACTCGCTAACCTCAAGCTAATAATAATAGGCCCTCCTGTTATCACACCAACCAGTTTCCCTGATGATCTGGACACGACATCACTGGGGATTACCATCCTCCAGCGCCCTGCTCACATAGCCAATCTTGTTATGGATATGATGCTTCGGTATCGAACTCCTGACCGTCTCGTTCAGGTAAGAGGCCATTGAAAAATGTATGCGTGTCAGGGAGACTAATGCAGTTGTGTCATTAGACATTCTTCTCCGAATTCATGAACCGAGTTGATCCGGTCGTGTGCTGCAACGTCTTGAGTCTCTTCTATCAATACGGGCGGGGCCATCAGCTCTCGGAGACCCTCAGTTGGGTCGGTCAGGTTCTGCAAAGACACGCCTATATCCACGGCACCACTTACTACCCTGAACCTGAAACATTTTTGTTCTTCGTTTCCCGTCTCTTGCTGCGTCTCAAGGGGTCTTCTCCTGTCGTCTATAAACGCATGCGGGCCCTTCTCACTGAACGGGTAAAAGAGCGGGTTGGTATTCCGACAGACGCAGCAAGTTTAGCGATGCGCCTAATTGTTTGCCACCAGACTGGGATTCATGATGTTCGAGGACTCAAGCAGCTCTTGTCCATGCAAGAAATAGATGGCGGGTGGGAGATGGGAACCTTGTATCAGTATGCATCGAAAAACCTGCGATTGGGGAATAGAGGCACTTCTACTGCGCTTGCACTTGAGGCGATCCGCCATTGTCAACCCTGGCTAAACCAATACAATTAACTTAGGTGACCCATCTAGGCAATCTCGCTTGCCATTCTAATATACGGCATCAACGCCGCAAAGTGGAGAAGGGAGCAGCAATTGGCGAACACCACGGCGACAGGGGAAGGTGACAATGTGGTGGTCGAAAAGTTGTTGAGATTTATTTTTTCTTTTTAAGCTAAGGCTCCCTTTTAATTTACTATCCCGGGTATCTTGCTATACTACTGTACTCTAGACCTAGAGCGAAATAATATTCCCTATAGCAACTTGATTTAGACCTGGCGTGTTCCTTTGTACCCAGGCTGTTGTATAAGCCGATGCAACAGAATCAACTAGTTTCCGAGTTATACGCTCAATAAAAGGGTTTTTTTTAATGAAGCTTACAATCGATTCAAGATTTCGTGTGTGCACGAATGACAACATTGCTTTTCATATTTGACGTTGCGTTGAACTTCGTCCGCTAGTTGATCTATTTTGGGAAAAGACTACACGATACACATTGTACCGGACATAATCGCCCAATATGTTGAAGTCCGCACTATATGCACTGGCACTGTGCCGACTAAATTGCTGTTAAGCTCTATAACCACTTCCAATCTAGTATTGCGAGATTTTGCTTGCCCGGTATGCGTGCCACTCTGATGTATGATGTATCCCGTAGTTTATATATGTAAGTCATATGCCCCCCTTTGCCATATCTCCTGCATTAGTGGTGTTTCCAGTCTTACTATGAAGAACCAGAAAGTAGCAGCTGATCATATAACGGCCTGTAAAGCTCGCACCTTCTGTCCATAGTCGCAGAGTCAACTGCAGTCAACGGTTTCTTTCCCTCGTCACTCATGCCAGCTTTCACCCCATCACCGAATACCCCAATTATAGGGTCCTGATCCCATCCAGGGCCGTGGCTTGGATCCTTCGCAAAGTCCGCCCACGCCTTCTGCATAGCCTGGCTTACTTCGTGCTCAAACTGGGTGGCGTTTTCCTTGGGATAAGTACCGAACACAAAAGCAATTTCCGCCGCATGGAACGCCCCGCTCCCCGGGAAAGCCTCGTTATTGGGGAAGCTGGCGTTGAAAAAGTACCTATACGACGGAATACCGACTTTGGCACTGTCCTCGGCGAAGACCTTAGAGGGACAGGTCATAAGCAGATCGGTAGCGATCAGGGAGAGTCGGTCATTTTCGTTGTGGGTCCCTGGTTGTCCTAACGGATACGCTGCCAAAATCATGTCAACATATTCGTCGAGCCCAAGCGTCTCGAGGTAGGCCTTTGTGTCATTAACGCCTCGGATGTAAGGCTTCGGTTCGTCGGCATTGTTCCCGATGAGAATGGGGACTCGAGCGATGGAAGAATTGCCCTCTGACGAGTGGAGACGATCAAGACGAGGTGTGGCCGATAAGGTAACGCCGCCATCTGGAACCGGGCCGAAAGAGAGGCTGGCGTTCTCAGCGAAATGCCTGAGGTCAAGAGCAGGGGCCTTTCGGAGACATTCTAGAGCATTATCCAAAGGGCAGTTCGCAAATTCTGCCAGCTTCTTCCACGACTCCGCGTATTTCTCGGGGCCACCGCCCAACGGCATGCTGATGGAGCTTTGGCCGGACTGCATAATCGCCGCATGGAACGGAGCTGGGTCTGGCGGAGCTGTGATCAGAGCATCGACACTGCCACCTCCCGCGCTCTCCCCGAATATGGTCACCTTGGACGGATCACCGCCTAGCCCGGCGATATTGCGTTGTACCCAATCTAGGGCGAGACGTTGGTCGAGGAAACTAAATGTATCTGGTTATATTCGTGTCCTGCGATGCACTGTAGAATGATCGATGCTTACCCAAGGTTCCGCTCCGTGGCGGGAACATCTCCACCAGGGAAACCAAAGAAGTTGGTCCGGTAATTGACAGTAACTATCACAACATCCTGGTTGGCAGCAAAACTGGTGCCGTCATATAGATTGACCGATGTAGCACCATTTAGGTACGATCCTCCATAGAACCAGACAAGAACAGCCTTGGATCCTGCCGACGCAGATTCGGGAGTGAACACATTGAGGTTCAGGCAGTCTTCGCTTTCACCGTTCGCCGGCGGGGGTAGGTCTAGCATGCCAAAGAGTTCCTTGCCGCTTTGACCGATTTGCTGGATGCAGGACGGCCCCCATTCTGTCGCATTGTAGAACGTCGACCAGGGCTCAACCGGTTCTGGGGGGCTAAAGCGGACGGGTGGCGCACCGAACGGAACTCCAAGGTATTTTCTGACGACGGCGGTGGAGGAAGGGAGAGATGTGGTTGTTCCGACAATCGCCCCGGAATCAATGATAGCTGTGGGAAGAGGTTGGGATACAGGAGAGGCTAAGCTCGCAGTTATGACGGCTAAGCCGGAAAATAAAAGAAAAGTCATGTTACTTTGTTCTAGAATCAAGTCAAGCCTAGAAGTAAAATACATACTACAATGACTGAAAACCAGTTCTACATGGGGAGTTTTATAGGCACCAGGTTGAAGCCCGACTACAAGTTTGTATTCTGACGTTTTTAGGGCGCCCCATCAGGCTGAAGATCCAGCTCACAACCCTAAGACCGGGCCTCAAGCTCCCAATAGGATCGCATGGGGAGATAAACGTGGAATACGCCAAGGTACTGCTCAGCCCTGCGCCTTAGATTAACCAATGTGAAGCCTCCACCGTGTGATTAGTCTAGTGAGCTATACGAGACGAGATATTGCTCCGCCACGAGATCAGCCCTAAAGCACTTGGCAAACTTTGCGATCTTCAGTCGATTTGGGATCTCAGCGGCACATTCGACCAAATCTGGAATAGCTAGTTAAAGTGGAGCAAATGCGTTGGTAGTCAAACGAAATAGTTAGTATGTAGTTAACCCTATCTCATTCTACATGCATGTACTCCGTAGTGCCATAGCATTTCAGCCAAGGATTGCAGTGCAGCCTCCCTACTTTGGTTATCAGCTTTCTCGGATATCCACTTTCTTGTTCATTTCCCCCTTTCCTTTGTCATACCTGTCCTCCATTTTAGCTCCAAGCCAGACGATGGCCCTTTCATGTAAAATAAAGAATATTCGAAGACCCAAAGGTATCACCGCGTGTAACCGGTGTTTACGAAGTCTCCCTGGAGATATAACGCTAACTCTTTAAGGAACGTGGACTGAAATGCTATTATAATAATTGTCATGGTAAAATTTAACCTTGCACCTGCAAGCCAAAGTGCTGCGGAGTCGATCTGATATGATCTCATTTGATTGCGAGAAATCGGCAGCGGGCCGCGGGGAACTTGCCGAGCCCCGGATACAGAATCCCGAGAACAAACATCTTCACCTTTTTTTAACTTCTTCGTTCCATACCTTCAAACGCTTCAGTGAACCAGTTGAAACCCTATGGAGCTTGCAATATGACGCCCACGAAGCAATCACACAAGCGTAAAAATGTTACAACGGCCTGCTTAGCCTGTCGCGAGAGTAAAATCAAGGTTCGTATGCCCGGAAACCTGATTCCAGGTGCAAATCCAGTCAGTCATGTTAGTGTCGGGGCTCACAAGAATAGTGCGACGGGACCAAACCCATTTGCTCACACTGCAAGATTAAAGGTAAATCATGCCATTACCAGCTGGGAGTTGATAAGCGAAAGTACGTACCTTAAGTAGCAACTTCTTCCCTGTTGTGGGTGAGATTGGAAGGACACTGGCCTCATTCATTCCCGATCAATCGTTCGCTATTCGCTAGTTCGCTAATATGCATAAATGTGACCCCTCTAGGCTTTCGCTACGGCTTGCAGTTGATCTTCTGGTGAATCGAGTGGGGCAACTATGCCAATTCATCAATGACCAGGGGTTTCAACCGCCGAAAATGCCTGACGAGGACGACTCTGCTTTACGGCATTTACTGCACACGCGTGGAATGGAAGATGTGCAGTCGGCTCTGAAACGATCCGAGAATAGCCCCAGGAACACCCCAGACCTGAAGGCTAATCAGGGCCAACCACCGGACAGCGAAGGGGAGCAACCCTTCGTCGAGGAGTTGAACCCTGATCTTATAGATCCGAACTTATTCTTGATGTCATTCCCGGAACTCACCAAAGACGTTCCAGAAGGTCCAGGTCGTTCCGAAACCATCACCTCTTTACCAGCAGCGTCAGACGATTCCTTGTTCCAAGACTGCAGTGAGGACACCTTTGTTGAGATTAACACAGAAACTCCAATGGGGGTACCATGCGAGATCAACGAGTCTCCATCAAAAACCAAAGACTCGGGCAGTGGAAATGGGACCCGAAAGAATATAGCACAGCCGCAGCCTAATGTGACGCGACTGCCGCTGTCCATCCAACAGCTACTAAGTAATGAGCCGAGATGCCAGCACGATACTTTTACTAAAGACGACAATCTCAGTGATAGTGAAGGTGTAGAGGAGCTAGTGAACCAGTTATCCGACAGGATGGGGAGCCTGCAGATAGGGTCCGATGGCCATGTTCGCTACTACGGCCCGACGTCCCACTTTAATCTGCTAAGGATGCCCACTCCGGACAATCTAACTATCCATCGTACCGTTCGACAAGACGGGCCTGACGTGTTGGATCGCCTGGGTGTCAATAAAGAGATTCCCGCGGGGTTCGAAGAGCACCTTCTCAACCTCTATTTTACTTGGCATAACCCCTTGTTCCAAGTGGTCGATAGGGAGATGTACGAATCAGCGAGGCAACAGTGGCGCACGAACATAGAGGAAACGCCTTACTACTCTGAGGCCCTAACCAACGCCATGTAAGAACTTCGTAGCAGGATCCTACCGACACGACAGGGTCACTTCTGACTAACTTTCGAAGGTGCTGCCTTGGAGCGGCATTCGAGCCGCGATACCACCCCGACTTCATCACCTATCCTAGATCGGTTTCCGACTTCTTCGCTGATCGAGCGAAGGCGCTGCTAGAGATTGAGCTGGACTCACCTACTCTGGCAACTATTCAGGCGATGGTCGTATTAAGCGCACATGATGTTGGATGCAAGAGAAATTCCAGAGGGTGGCTCTACAGCGGTATGCATCCAACCATCAGCTAGTGAAGTCCATGGTTAACATTCTGGCATAGGCATGGCCATGCGATTGGCCTTTGACTTGGGATTACACATTGACACGGCCAACTATGTGACTGAAGGGTCAGTTAAAGCAACTGAGGCGGAGCTTCGCCGCACCGTGTTTTGGGGAACTTACACCGTGGACCAGTAAGTCGACATCTTATTCAACTCTTGGTTGTGCTTACTGACGCCCTTTGTCAACAAGTCTCTGGGGCTTTTTCCTCGGCCGACCAGTCCGTATCAATATGGAGGATGTCACTGTCGACAAGCCCGGTCGCCATCAGACGAGAGAGCACGACCGAAAATGGGTGCCATACGGTCTTCCGTCTCCACCACCTGCCTGTCTTGCGGCTCCCGTGCCAGACCCTGTAGACCTTCTTAGCCAACATCGGATTCAGCTTTGTGAGATCATGACTCCTCTGGGCCATGTCCTGTAAGCCACACCTATGAAGAGTGGAGTCTCTAAATTTGTCAACCTAACCTGTCTAGTTATGGATGCTCCCGGGTCTCAAAACGTATCCTCCAGGGTTTGAACGAGAACACAACAGACCGACTCCTAAAATGGAAAGCCAACCTTCCCGAAGTTCTGCAAATCGATCTCGACAATACAGACGGCCCTGTTCTACCTCACATCATACTTCTCCAGTAAGCCAGTAGAATTAAAGCTCTCATTTACGTATGCTGACCTGCAATCCAGCATGCAATATCACCAAACCATCATCCACGCCCACCGTCCGTGGATTTCGAAGCGATATATCCAACCTCAACCGCCACAAGGTCCAGGCCATGTCCACGCCCGAAAGATGTGCATTGAATCCGCAATCGCTATCTCGCAGCTCCTGCATCTCTACGAAACCCAATACACCTTCCGTCGCATGAACGTGCAAGCTGTCTCCATCACCTGCTCCGCAGCCCTAATGCTAATCTTCGCGACGATAGCAGGCCTCAAACCTGAAGGAGATCAAGAGATATCAGCCTATCTTAGCGTTTGCTTCCGGGCACTGGAAGAATTCGGCATATCGTGGGAGAGTGCCAAGAGAGCACAGAACTTTCTGATCAGTCTCCAGCGACGATGGGAATCGCGGGTCCGTTCGTATAATTCCGCGAAGCGGGCGGCGTCTCAGTCGCAAAGTCGGTCGCAGTCTTGCTTTCCCACTTCGAAGAAACCTCGTATATCGACTGACCCTGATCCTGGCCCACGTGAATCTAGCGTACCTATCGGCGAGGAGGATGTTCGCGCGTTTGACCCGGCGGGAAGTGGGTTTCCCATTGATCCTGATATGATGGTGGAGTTGGATTGGCTGTGTACGGAGGCCATGCGGGATATGTCTCCTTGATTTGCAACATAGATGAAACCATCATTTTCGTTTTCGTTTTCTTCTCTTTCCCTTTGGTTTTGTTCTTCGAAAGGGAGTATTGTACCTTACCAGACTATGAGTATAGAGAATTGAACACCTTGCTCTCCGGTGCGACCTAGCCGACATCCAGCAGCCAACATCGACATAGAAGTGCTTCTCATATAGTCTAGTATACTTTTAAAATCTTCCGTGGACGATTTCCTAAAGGGCTTTCAGACCTTCTATGGGGGCTACAAGTCACGTGTAAAAGCCCACGATCGGAAATCAAACTCCGTTGTCTTCTGAATGGGACACATTTTGCAGGTTGACACCCAGTAAATTGCAATATGATTACTAGATGTAGGACCGATTGTTTTGAGCACAGACCATTCCCTTTGTCAACTGCTGTCGACTGGTGAAGGCTTCGCTAGTGCAGCCGGTGTTTAGCCTTGGCTCAAAGTAGCAGGGTATGTAGTTGTAGGCGGCAAAGAGGGAAGCTGAACATTGTCTACCTAGATTAATATGTCGGTGAGTAAGACTTTCCCTTCTCGAGGAGGGGTTATCACTTCATGATGATTGGCTCGAAACGATTGCGGGCGTAGCTGAGATGGATAATAAGGTGTCTGGGTGGGATCCACTATGTTCAGTGTGGGCTGTGGCTTGCGTCGAGTAGGGAGATATATTCTATACAGCTGATAAGGTTTGTCAAAAGGAAATGATATACGATCTTTTCTACCCCCGCCATAGTAAGCAAGGCAATCTTCCAGTAGCATAGCCACCTGGTAAGGTAACTTAGCCATGCGATGCATCAAATTGCGGAAGGCCTATTGGCCAAGCGACCCCAATGGCCCCCCATCCGCATACAGCACGGACAGACATCGGCGTATTCACAGCTCGAATTCGAGGGAGCCACGTATCTTCCCCGGCGATCGATGTATGTGTTTACTGTGGTGAGAGAGAATGGGATTCAGTAACCAAGGGAGTGACGCTCTGTGGTGGTGTTTCCGACGGAGACATCATATGGAATCAGAACGGGTTGCTCTTGAGCTCCACCTGTTGGCTAGTAAGATATAGAAACAGTAGTCCATTGGATTAACGAACAGCGGCTGTCACTTGCGGGATTTGGTCCATCATAGGATCTGCACGCGCGGGAAAGAAATCGCGCAAGAACACATCATATCTGGAACAAATATTAGCTTTCGAGTGATGCCCAATAGACTTGCTCCACGCGGGACTCAGTTTACCCTCCAAGTTAGACCCAGAAGAGATAAGTTTCAATGCCTTTCGGGAGGGAAACCATGATTCTTCTTCGAAGCTACGGTATAAAGGACCGCTATCCATCCCCCCAAATCACCTTTCCACACCGCTCGGTTCATGCTCTCAGCTTAGCATCAACAAAAAGCCAGATTTGATTTTTTATATTGTCTGAAAGTGGTAGTCATCATGAGTGACTTCGACGGACCTGGGAGTTATGTTGTGGTCCCCAGCCATGTGAGGGACAAGGCACTTGAGTTGGGAGAGGACAGTGGGTTGCTGATCAGGTATGTCACCCTGTACTATTGGGCCGTCCTACGTGAGCAGCGACTAATAGTATCTACAGTAAACTAGTTGTGAATGACAATCAAAGGTTTTACTTCGCCTCTGTTGGCGACGAGTACCTGATCATCAATGCCCAGAGTGGTACCTATCTGACAGCCTGTATGACTGCATACCCTTATCCAGTAAATAAGCAGCTATGCTAATGTATATAATTCCAGCCGATAACGGGGAGCAAATTGCTGCTAATACTCTTTCGCCTGATAATCAGGAAGCTCGCTGGAACGTTATACCTGCGGATGATGACAGTGGAACGTGGTTGTAAGTTGACTGTTATAACTATCTTCTGAGGGTAATCTCTCTGCTTGGACTCATTTCAATGTTTCAAAATAGTATTACCAGTGTTGCATTCCCACACAAGGTGATCGATATCGCCCAGAAAGATACCGATGATGGGACTCCAGCCATCACCTTCACCAGGAAGCGTGATGGTACTGAAAATCAGCAGTTCTTTTTGAGATCCTTTAGTCGTTCTTAGGGTTTGGAGCCTTCTGAAATCTCAGATGCACAAGTTAAATGTTGGTCGAGACCGAGATGCATATGATAACTTAAATATCTTAAGTTTTGGGTGTGTTTGGGGGCACGTGGAACAGTCCCTTGGATCGAGTATTGTATCTCCTTGACATTGTTCGAAATCATGCCCGCGACACCTCTTATTCCACTTACTTGAGTCCGTGCGACTTGTGCTCTAGTCATACCCAATATCAAAAACAGGCGTCTTCTTGTCCAAAGATGAAGCCGTCACTGGTTCCGCAGTAACCCAACCTTCCTTCAACCTCAGACAGTGTAAGCTATACTCGACACGAATTGGACCTGGCTCGGAGAGTGACCGGCAAGTGTAGTGCATAGAGTGACGCCCTACAAAGAATTTAAACAGAAGGTCCTGATGCTGGGACCACACCTCCTAAACCGACAGTCCGAGACATGGGCTCTTACGCCAGTTGCCTCCGCCACCCCAGTTATCATATAAAAACATCGAGATCGGCTCTCCTTAATTGCCTCGATAAGTCTGTCTTGAATATTGAGTTCAGCAAGGAAGGCAGAGCTCGGCACGAAGCTAGTTATCTTCAGGGTGTTGAATTCATATCCTCGATGGGCGCGAACTTTGCCCCACTCTAGCAACCCAACGAAGATGCCGTGGTTCTGTGCCTCCGTGCGCCATATCTTGGAGAAGCATCCCAGCTGCCGGACTGTGAACAACACTTCTGTTGGGCCTAATCCCATGGGGTTAATGATAAAACTGCCTGGGTCGTCGAGCTTCACCACATCTTACAAGACAAGTTGCGAGGTTCTAACAAAGAAGAAAGCAATTTACGGACGAAACCAGCTGTCTTACGCCAATTTCTTACGGGGTATCTACCATAAGAACAAGAATGGCTTTCGTTCAGGGTGACATTATCTAATTATATATTGCTTCAAGATATGCTGAGTGATAACCTAGGACATCATCATGCCACTCCCTCCAATCCTCTCAAAACGGATCATTCCCCTACAGACAACGCCACTGCCGCTCAACCAGGCATTTAGCTCACTGGGATGCTCCATATGGAAGATCAACATCGTCCCGAACATCAACAACGCATCGAACACGTACATGAACCACTCATGCGCGACCAGATACCCTCCATTCCCCTGCGCGTACTCGATAAGACGGAAGACGGAACGAATCAGAATCAGCGCGCTGGCAGCATAGAGGGCATAAAGGAGGCGTCGCCAGTTGAAGCCAGACGCACCATCCGCGACGGGATCACGGTTAATACGCATATGAAATACCGCGGATGAGATCATGAAGAAGCCAAAGAAGATGATTTGGACAACAAGACCGCCAACGATAATGTGCGGGCCATTCTCGGAGATTTTGGATTTCACGCACATTAGTCCAGCTCCTGGAGCCGCGCGTAAGTTGAGTGGTTAAAGTACATGTTGTCATTGTGTGTCTTACCTGCGGATTGCATGAGGAATGACAGGACGTCTCCCGCAACGAAGATCTTGGTCATCCATTTGACGCGGATCATGCTGTGCTTTTCTGCACCAAGGACGACGATCATTCTGCCCAGCTCCATGTAGATGCTCGCTGCGAACAGTGCTGGTGCCACCAGTGTCAGCACGGCTTGTACGATGTACGGCCCGAGTGTCCAGTTGGGCGTTTGGTTACAGGCCACGGCACGTGCGACGTATCCTATCCATTCAACTGCAGTTCAAATTAGCCCAATTCTGCAGCATTCGGGTCGAGGGAGAGTCTAGATTGGCGCATACAGTAACCACCTAATAGGAACGGTATGAAGAACCACGTTCGCGTTCGAAAAAGCTGATACGTATGTAATATCGTCGTTGCCAGAAAGCAGATTATGAAAATTACTGCTGCTGCAAGGGATGGATCATAGTAGAATAATTTGAAGCCATCACGAGGCTGCAGTGCTGTCATGTTGCCCTATATTGCCTCAAGTGACCCAATCGCTATCGCTAGTAGACTACTTGACTGATATTCATCGAGCTGGACGACTGGCCTTATATTTAACGGTCGACGAGTGTCCCTGCCACATATTCTGGGGCATTCAAAAAAGAAAATTCCCAGATTACTATAAACGCACCTTCGAAAACTATACCTGATTTAGAAAGAAGAACGTATGAGATGCTTAAAGGGGTTATGGTTCATCGTATGCGTATTCGAATTGTGGATCTTAGTGGGCCGGCTGGAAAGTAGTTGCATCGTCGACTGGGAATTGATTCACAACGCCCACATCTAGAATTAACTTTAGGTTATGCCATGTCAGAATAGCCAATGCCTTTTCTTGGATCAAGGACGTCAGGAACGGAGAATCCCTTCACCATAGGCAGCAGCCGTTCGTTCCCGTTGTGGACATGAAGCATCCAAATGGCTAATATCGCCAAGCAGGGCTTAGACTTTCGAGGACCCATCTCAGCGGTGGCGGACCAATTGCCTCTGGAGAATGCAAGCGAAGAAATACCCATTGCCGAAAACCATACCCGAGAAGGCATGGTTTACGAAGCCCAATGCCAAGGAATGGCCTCCTTCAACGAAGTATCGATAGATTCGATACTCCCCAATCTCCACATCCCGACCCCGATAAGCCATATTGGTTGGAAGCCAATCTTTCCATCTCAGACAGACCTGATGCACACCCTTTCTTTAAGCGAGTGACATGTCACCCTAACAAGGAAAGCGTCTAGAACTTATTGGAGCAAAGAGGAGCCATGCCCTCGCGACGGTCTCATACCAAGTCACATCATGGTTGCGCTCAATGCAAACAGCGTCGAATCAAGTGCGACGAAGCTCGCCCTAGTTGCGGTTCCTGTCGAAAAAAGCAAATCAGTTGTAGCTTTTTTAGCCAGGCACCATTACCCTTAAATCCACCACAGCAGTATCCGCCGCAGTCCAGCAGCCCCAGTCCGGGGTTGCGCTCCGCTGCAGCGAATCCAACGATTCCACTGCTGGAGCTCGAGCTCCTGCACCATTGGCACACGACCACAGCCGCATCATTAGCGCATAGCAGCACAATCCAAGACCTGTTTCGTGTCACCGTCCCGGATGTGGCACTGTCGTATCCGTTCCTGATGCACAGCCTTCTGGCTGTCTCGGCGTTGCATATCGGCCACAAATGCCCGGCGGAGCATCGACGGAAATACACAGAAGCGGCGATCAGACACAATGATCTCTCCCTATCGCTATGTACGCCGCTCCTCAGTAACGTGATGTCGGAAAATTGTCATGCCCTGTTTGCCTTTTCGTGTCTCGTGGTTATCTTCGCGTATGCTGCGGAACATCCGCCGTCTTCCTTGGATACGCTGGGAGTAGCCGACGTGGTCAAAGTATTCAAATTGGTGCGCGGAGCAGGCTCGATAGTGGGCCAAGCCCGTCCCTGGATCCAGCAAGGTGAAATGCGCCAGTTGCTCAATGCAGGTCGCAACTTACGGCAACCGGCTACGACGAAGTATGCCCACGAGCTGTATGCTCGATTACAAGAGACCATCGAACAACATGCAAACCATCTGATGAATGACCGGAAGGTGGGCCCCACACTTTCCTCGACCCTTGAAAATTTACGTGATGTCTTCAGGCGGTGCACTACGCTTGAAGACCCGGGTGCGCTTATGGCATGGCCGGTGTTGGTGGATGCGGACTATCTGGACCTTCTGCTGCAAGGAGAACCAACGGCTTTCGTGATCCTTGGCCACTATGGCGTAGCGCTGGAGTTGTTAAAGGATGAGTGGTGGCTAGATGGCTGGGGTGAACTCTTAGTCAATCTTGCCTTGAAACACTTGGGTACTGCGGGAGAGTGGAAGATGGCACGGTGTTTGGAGTTGGTTAGAGCAGATCGAGCGGAAAGAACAGTTCGAGATGGCTCGACTGGGGGGTTATAGGTGTATCGGACCAGACCTTGCCTTCTATAATTGGTGCTAGATAGGAATTTGTGCTTCTGCCGATTTTAGCGAGCAAGTTGTCTTTCTAGATTTCATAAACTGAGATCCATGTTCTCTTTTGATTTGGATGTGGTTGATATACATGTTGCCTTCTTAGCCATCTCATATCACTGCATATTACTTCCATACTGCAACTATAGTAAATAGCCTCTCGACTCGGTAGGGATAAGTAGGAAATGGAAAAAAAGGCTGTTAAGAATTGACTGAATGGGTACTATGTAGGAGCCAGGGTATTCGGACAACTCTGTGCAGTTGATGGGCCGAGCCTATCCTGTATATCGGAACGGGACCGTAACATAAAGCCACACCAACCCTGCTCTTCTTTTTATGCCCTTATGATAACGCAAAACATGTAGGGAAAATAAGGAAGATGGTCACAACGGTTCTGTGTTAGTAGTGATTACGTATGTAAAAGTTAGAAATATACCAGACATTACCTACAGGTGATGCTTTTCAATTCTAAGAAACCAGAATTTGCGAGAGAAAACCTATAATATCTATGGATACTTCCAGTAAGGTGCCAAACCAGAGGCAGGCCTATCAACAACAAACTCAAGTAACTCACACGTGAACTTCTGGGGGTTGTCTAAACATTTCGACGATCTTATACGGCAAATCGTCTTTATCTACCGCCTAAAGGTAAATGTTGCTAACCAATTCAAACACTTTGCCTAGCTTGAAAGTTCAACTACGGAAGAGAAGACTCAGATCAATCCAACCGAAAGTTTACCTTGAAGACATCCGATATCGCACGGGCCACTGTGCCTGACATGCGATTCATGCGTCGCCTGTTACACAGCATATTGTTTAGTCAGAAGACAATGATCAAAACTTTACATCCTGCATACGTCTTCGGAGCAAGGGTTTAAGGCGCTGCTTGAAACACAGACTGCATGCAGGACCGACATGCAATCGTCCATTTCATTCTAGTCCGGCACATCCAGACAAGGCATATGCTTGCAGTAACTTGAATTCTAAACTATGATGCCCGGGACGGTTTTGTTAGGGCTTAGTTACCACGTGGCATGGACCCCCTTCAGTAGAGGACATGGTCCACGTAGCAGGGGGAATGGATCGACTTTGGCAGGAGAAGGACACATGGCTGTCAGTGATGTATCTGCTGAATATATGTGTATTTCCAATAGGGATACCAACTGCGATAGAAGGTAAAGCTAACGACGACCTGCTCGCTACACTCATCATGCGCCCAGCAATCTGCACAGCTGAAATGACAACAAAATGACCCCAACCTCAAGACAAGGCCTATCAGCGAAACGGATGAAAATGAAAGGCTGGAGTAAATTCCCCTCGCCTCCACAAGACGATCCGCCAGGTCCCGAAACGAGTCATTCTCCAGACGGCCAAGCGATTGGCGCAATTTATCTTCATCTCGAACTGATTACAAACTCGCTGCCGAGTTGTTCCATCCTCAGCGTGAAACGCCGGTGAACAGGCCCACTCCCGCAATGAAACGATCGACATGGCTTGGCTAGACAAGTAATCTCCGCGCCGGTTTGATTTTCCAGCAATGAGGGAAGTCTTGGCGCGCCTTTATATGTACCGAGTATTTTCGCCTGTTGAAGATGTCGCAAACCGGGAACACCAGCAAAATGAGGTACCATCTTGTATACGCATTTGCTGCTGTGGTGCCGCTCTGCGCAGCGGCCGATATCTACGTCTCCCCGTCCGGGTCAGATACAGCTGCGGGAACGATTGAGGCACCGCTTCTCTCGATCCAATCGGCTGTTGATAAAGCGACGGCCGGGTCAACTATTTATCTTCGGGAGGGGACGTATTCGCCGACGACGAATATCCAAATCACGAAGAGTGGGACGGCGTCTGCGCCTTATGTTCTGCGGGCTTATGAAGGAGAAAAGGTCACGATTGATGGGGAGGAACTTCCAGGGTGCGTTTCTTCAGTTCTCTGTTGTTTTCTGTCACTTATCAGGATGGATAGGACTCCGGCGGAGTTGGATGGATCGCTTGCGAATGAGGACCGTGGAGTCCTGCACATTCAAGATGCCGAGTACTGGGAGTTCTATGATCTTGAATTGATCAATGGACCGTATGGGGTCTATGCGCGTGATTCTTCGAATAATCACTACGAGCGTATTATTACAAGGGAAAACTATGAAACCGGTAGGTAGTGTATACGATATCTGTGACCTATGCTAATACAACATAGGCTTCCAGCTCGAAGGCGCGTCGTCTAACAACAGCGTCTACTACCTCGACTCGTACCTTAATCGGGACCCGCGCAAGAACGGAGAGAGCGCCGACGGTTTTGCCTGCAAGGAGGGCTCTGGTGAGGGTAACGTGCTTCGAGGTGCAAGATTGTGGAATAATGTTGATGACGGATTGGACCTCTGGTATGCAGTCGTTGTTGGTCTGTGGGGTTCATTTGCTAACTGTCGCAGGGAATTCAAGTCAGCCGTGACGATTGAGGACACCATTTCGTATGGCAACGGATACAACAGGTACTACTACTCCTGTCAGTCCGATAAGAGTTACGCTAATACTTGCAGATGGGACTTCTCTCCATTCGAAGGCGACGGAAATGGCTATAAACTTGGTGGCGGCGACGAGGCTGACATCGGGCCGGCCAACCACGTTATCACCAACTGTATCGCCTTCGGAAATTCCAAGGACGGCTTCACCGATAACTCGCAACCAGGTGACTTCACCCTGACCCGAAACACGGCCTGGAACAATGCCAAGGTGGGCTTCAAGTTCGGCACGGCTGTTGCTACCTTGAGCCAAAATATCGCGGCCGCGAATGGGGAGAGCCCGACCTCCTTGAGTGAGGAGCAGGTTTCCACAGGCAACTCATGGGATGGTAGCGAAACCTGGGATAACAGTAGCTTTGTCTCTGTTGATGCGACCTTGGTGCAAGGAGCGCGCAATGCAGATGGAACGATTGATCCTAGCGACTTCTTGTTGCCGAAGTCTGGGGAGGAAATTGGTGCTACCACGGCTTGGTAGATATAGTGGTAGATATAGTCGTGTAGCGTTCGCTTGTTTGGTTCATCAATTTGTATGTATTTATAATTTGCTATTCATTCTTCCCTGGAACAAAGTGCGCACGGAAATGTCTTACCCGTAGTATGTCCACATCCATCCTGGTCACAGCTTGGTGGGAAATTATCCTTGTATCAGGATTGACCAGCAAGATATACGGACAGAAGGCTCAGTTGGATCGTTTAGAGGACCCTGATTGACCGCATGCTAGTGGTTGGTAAAAAGGTACCTGACATGGCAAGCTCCACTACCAGCCGCTACAGTTCACGCCTCATCGTGACATGTATGGGTTTATCATGCAGGAAGTCTAAGAGCAAAGCTCTACGAGTCTATACCATTTATCAATCCCCTTGCGTAGTCACAAACAGTATATTAAATTCCACAAGATTATCATACAGCATGCGGGGTCCGTCCACCAAGAAACCAATACCTTCCCGACATCGAATGATGGGCTCGCGATGGCGTGAGCACGCAGCACAATAACACAATCACCGCCCACTCCGAAAACAAGCGACGGACAGAAGTCCGACATTCAATCCCAATGTATAAGAAGGTACATTATTGCCCCTCACTAAATATTTCCCCCTTCCCCTCAATCACGTTTTCCGTCGCAGACCTGCCCAATTGTTCAATCCAACATGACCCAAACCTCAGAAACGAAACCATGGATCCTCAATGCCTTTGCCATGTTTTCGCCAGGGCATTTATCACCTGGTACGATCTCTCCATATGTTGAACATATCTGATTTACCCCGCATTGTTCAACACTTGGTTTCTTGCTGCGCGTTGACTAAATGTCCCTATTAGGGCTATGGAAGCATCCAAAAGACCGCGCCGGTGATTTTCTCGATCTGTCGTATTGGATTGAGTTAGCGAAAGTTTTAGAGAAAGGCAAATTCCACGGCCTGTTTCTGGCCGACCATCTTGGGATCTACGATGTGTATAAAGGTCCAGGGAATCGCGAACCTGCGTTGTTATCGGGGGCGCAATTCCCTATCGGGGATCCATTGTAAGCACTCCACCTTCTTTCTAGGAAAAAAGGAAAGAATAACAATGAGAAAACCTAAACACGGAAATTGGACCTTACAAAATGAACCCACCACTAACCCCAACAATAGCCTCCTAATCTCAGCAATGGCCTCCGTAACCACATCCCTCTCCTTCGGCATAACCGCATCCACAACCTACGAAACCTCGCCATACGCACTGGCTCGCAAATTCTCCACATTAGACCATCTCACGCGCGGCCGGGTGGGGTGGAACATCGTCACCTCGTTTCTGGACAGTGCAGCGAAGGCATACGGGATGGACGAGCAGATCCCTCACGACGAACGATATGCGCGAGCAGACGAGTATATGGAGCTTACATACAAGCTGTGGGAAGGGACATGGCGCGATGGGGCTGTGGTCAAGGACCCCAAGACCGGGGTTTACAGTGATCCTAACCAGGTGCGTGCTATTGAGCATTATGGAAAGTATTTCAAGAGTACCGCTGCGAGCCAGTTGCCGGCTTCGAGGCAGAGGACGCCGTTGCTTTTCCAGGCGGGCGCTTCGTCGTGAGTTTCATTTCCCGCTTGCTTCTGCTGTAGGGCTCAGGTAAGGGCTGACATGTTTGGACCTACTTAGCGCTGGTAAGCGATTCGCTGCTAAGCATTCCGAGGTGATGTTCCTACCTGGTCTGGAGCCGGAGAAGACCAAGGCCGTGGTGGATGATATGCGGTACGATGCCTTACCCCCGTTCACCAGGAAACAAGCTAACGAGTCACAGAAAGCAACTAGCGGAAGTAGGCCGCCCACCAGACAGCATCAAGTTCATCGCCGGTATCCTCGTGATCGTCGACGAGACTGACGAGAAGGCCCAAGCCAAATACGAAGAGTATCTGGCCCAATCTGATCTCGAAGGTGTGGCAACGCTCTTCGGCGGCTGGACCAGCAACGATCTATCCAAGTTCGACGACGACGAAGACTTCTCTTTCACTGCTGTTGGCGGAATCCAGTCTTTGATCTCGAGTTGGTCGAAAACTGTTCCCAACTCTAACGGGCTGAAGTGGACGAAACGTCGCGTTTTGCAGGAATTGGCGCTCGGTGGAGCCCATCCTCGGGCTATTGGGTCTCCCAGTACGGTTGCAGATATTCTGCAGAGGTGGGTCGATGTGGCCGGTGTGGATGGGTTTAATTTCTCCTATGCGGTTTCTCCGGGCACGTTTGAGGATATGATTGAGTATTTGTTTCCGGAGTTGAGGAGAGGCGTTATTTGGGATGATTATGAGGTGAAGGGTGGGTCGGCCAGAGAGAATTACTTTCAGGATGGACTTGGGTCGAGGCTGCGTGAGGGTCATCCGGGGAGGGAGTATGCGTGGAACTGAAAGGTCATCGCTGCATAGACATTATAATTCGGTACATGTTTATTGGACTGGCATATCGTGGTATAAATCGAAACACAAACTGACTCTCGAAGTATGTACTCCGTTTTGTCTCTTCCCGCATTTCGATTGCAGCATGTCCAGCGTCGAATGCCGGCACTCATCCTCACTGCTATCGTGCATAGAACATATACCATCCTCGGCAGAGGCCATGCCCTAACACAACAGCATCCAAGAAGCCCCCTCTAAACTCTCCCACAAAGCACCACATCCTCCCCAAAAGGATACCACCTAACATCCTTCAGCCTGGCTGCCGGCACCGGCTGACCCCCCTCAACCCTACGTCTCGGCGAGACCACAACACCACCCTGTCCCAGCCAAGTGGGCGCAATCGTAACAATAACTGAATCAACAAGATGCGCCCACCGCGGTTCAAGCAGCGAATTAATAACCATCCCACCCCCCTCAACCATGACACTCTTTAACCCTTCACTCCTCAAACACTCCAGGACCGCAGTCCAATCCAACTCCTTCTCCCCATGCTCATCAACAAAGAGCTCAAGAGGAATGAACTTCCCTCCGTAGCTCTCCAACAACGCCCTCTTCTCAGCAGCTGGGACCGTACCAGCAGAAGTGACAATAAACGGGGCGCGCCCTTTGCCCTCCTTCACCAGTTCCAGGATCTTCGACTTGTCAGTGAAATCCCATCGCGCACGGGGATCAATGATAATCGGTCTCGGTTGACCGAGTAATCCCTCCCCGCCGTAGCCCCCGACACCCTCGATCCGGCAGTTTAGCCCCGGGTTATCGGCGACCGCTGTCCCGACGCCGATTAGGATAGCGTCGTGTCGGGAGCGCAGATAGTGCGTCATGGCCTTGGATTGTGGGCCGGAGAGAGTGGTCCGGGTCCCTGGGGCCAGGGCTAGAGAGCTGTCTAGGGAGGTTGCGAAGGTCAGGGTTGTGAAGGGGAGGGTGGGGTTGGAGGGTTTGGTGTCATTGTTAGGGGGGAGATGAGGTTCTAAGAATGTGCGGTTGGAGGGGGGGAAGGTGAGGGCTTCTCGGGACATCTCTTTTTGTTTCTTTCTTTGGGTGATTGGGGTTCGTGGGTTGGTGGTGAGGGGGATTTTTGTTGTTTTGCGGGAGTTTGATAAGATTAAATTGGAGATCTGAGTGGGTCCCTTTCTTCATAGGTTCTGGCCAATAGGACTGCGTAATGGATGTGGAGGCATATCGGAACTACATACTCATTACTGTTGATTAGGTTGTGGTGGGTAGAAGAGGTGTTGGATTGTCTCTTTTGAGGATCATACTTGGATAGTATGGCTCTCAAAGTTATTGCACCAGCCAGACCTGAGTCATCGCCCTTCCCGATAGATTGTAGGCACTGACGTCTGCCGAGGTAGATCTCTGAGGGCATTGCAAGCTATTTACATGCATGTTCCGACCAATCCATCAGCTCGTTTCCACATTCCCTTGGCCGAAGTCCACCGTCACAGTTTATGTCTTGTTTCCATTCCTCAGTTTGTCATGTCATCTTTCCGCCGCATGTCGCTTAGTTCAACATGAGCCGTAGTCGTCTCGGTAGAGGTGAAAGACCACGCCATGTAAGAGGCAAGGCAGTACGGTTGTCGGTTTGCTGGACTATATAGTCCCTATCGAGTTGTAGGCTCTGTAAGGGCCATCCCCTGGTATCGCAGGTTAGTAGATCAATGCAAGAATTGGAATGGTAACTTACTGTTCTTACCTGGCCAACGATTCAGTTACAGGTCTTTCAAAGTCAATCAAATGGAAGACAGCGTAAAGTTCGTCGCAGTTTGACGGTGGAAAGTTTCGTTGTGTGAGCAAGGAGATACGCGAGGATGAGTGTGAGGCGCGTTATTTCAACACGAGAGACCGAGCCGGCGATGTCGACAAGTGCCCTGTAGGGTGTCAGCCAACCATCATTGAACAAGGGAGAAACCAACCATCTCCATAGCCAAGATTATCAGCCTCTGCGGTTTTCAAAACAGTCAGCTCCTCAAACGAAGTAAAGAAAATGAGTTCATCTCACGCATCCTCCGCGTAAGTCGCCGAGTTCCCATAGCAAAGGTCGTGTTGCACCCACCGCCAAGCCAGATACCACTCACTGGATGAAGTCAGGCCACTTGCATCCCAGTCATCCGCTGAGGCTTCTCATATGAACAGCACATAGCTGTGAGAAGTGTGAGATGAAGGGGACGAAGAGAGAAGGTGAAGGAAGATAATACGCTGTCAGCCCGCAGGCGTCTTCCAGCAAACTGTAGTTTTTATTAGGGGTGCCCAACCCCCGGTTCATTGCCATCCAACAATTGTATTCACACTAAGGTGACCTTAGCCGTGTTGTTGACTGCAACGCGCCAGAATGGCTTGTTACAAGCAATCGAACACCGCGGGGATGTCTGCAATTCTCACTTGCAGTGGATGGGAATGTGCCGCCAAAAGGCGATATCACCTAAGCGGTGATCTGAGCCGTGTTCTAATGCTGAATGTATCTGTCCTGTCGGATGCTGTACTGTGACTCTCGATAGGACCGAATCCTATAGCACAAGCACGCTTCCCAAAGGCTGTTCGTACAAACAACAGACACCGCACCGGTATGCAATACTGCGGTGGTTTGTCCATGTCAATCAACAAATGTATTCACCAATGGTGACCTTAACCATGTTGAGGATGCCCAAAGATTTTGTGCAAACATCAAACACCGCAGCGTTGACTGCAACTAGAAATTGCAAGAGTTGACAAGCTGCCGGCTCGGAGGCCTTTACCACTGAATAGTGAGCAGATTGTGCTGCTGATTGGACCAAGCAATGTTGGGGATCAGCAGCACAACGACGAACCCCAATACAGACATACAATCAGGTTACAGGGGCTAGGAGTACATGCGGGGCATCATGATGTGAAAGAGCAGAAAATAGGATGACTTGAAGAGGCAAAGTGGCTGGAAATGTAGACATCATGGTCAAGGCAGTGGGGGGTATCAGGATGGGAGGTAGGGTATCAGAAAATGGACAAAGTCCAAGGACACAAGGAAGGATTATATGTAATGATGGTGTCAAAGAATCATATCAAAAGAAAAGATTCATAAGAAGTATTAGGAAAGTAGGAGACGGTTTTATGTCCGTCATAGGAGGTAGAGGATGATCAACAGAAGAGAAGCGTTTCGAGGGGGGATGGAGATCTTATTTATAGGCAAAGAGGGATATCTGGCTAAGTGAATCTATACAGGTCCCCGCTTGAAGACTACATAAGTCCATTACTACGTGCCGCTGTGCCAGGATACACATGCCTAATGGGGATATTGAAGCGTCATCTGGATACGCCACGAAGGGGGGCACTTCAAGCATAATTGGAGCGACGTAAAAAGGGGTGAAGTGTCTGACAGCGAGTGCGGGATGAAAGTAGTGAATAGAACTCCGTCCTTCTGGTATTGGACAGGTTTTGCTGGATTGTGGCAAATGGACTTAAATCCAGACAAGGTGAATGCAACCTCTGGCATGCGATGTTGACATTCACTGGACCCTATTGAGTCATCCGACATGACATATCCGGTAAGTGCCTCAGGCTTGCACTCATGTATTCCTGCATGAGTATTTCCCCTATGTACGTTGGATATCAAATCATACCCAGACTGCTCGATACTGTGAAAGGGGTAATTTCATTCCAATCGTCGAGAACAAAGTCTTCCCGAATAGCAGCTATTGTACAGTAGAGGATAACCATCAGTGTAGATTCCCGAGATTCCCGATATTCCAGATACTAGTGCATTTACAACATCTTTGCTAACCAACTATTGAACATTTTGCGGATATACGGTCTGGTCGGAATCTCTTGAGAGTCTTCATGGTGCGTCCAACTTTACTTAGAGGTAATGTTGTGGTTGTTCCGGACGAATCGTCCGTGGTGGTGATGACCAAAGGTGGACATACGTTGAAATAGATAAGCCGTGGAAAAAGTGGCAATAATGGTGCAGAACAGGATAGGTGTCGGCTAATTTCATGGTCCATGGGTATAGGAAGCTCCGTGGCTAGTCTAGATGACTCAAATTTCAACTATATTCTCGACACAGATCTTTGTAGTGATAGAAAGCCCAAGTATCGCCATTTCAGGTCTCTCGAGGCAGTGAGTGTGAAGTAGTGCTGCAGCTAACATTCTCTCTGGTTGCCAGGAAAACACCACAAGAGCTGCTAACCAATCGCTGTTATTACTATCGAGACAAGGAAGGCAAATCTTGAAGAGGTGGCATGCCATACCGGATGTTCTGCCTCTCACGTCAGTTTCACACTCACGGACTCTAGGCTGGGGACATAGTGCAGTCCTTATTTGATTGAGATGTCCCTCGGCCAGAAGTCCAGACGGCAATAGCTGGTATTGGTGAGGGGTGGCTATGAGGCTCACCATGTATGGCGAGACGCTTTTCTTCAGGCCCGGGCCCAGACACGGGAATATTTGTGCGATAATCCAGCCACCAACGATGGTCTGTGATGTCTTGTAGAGGAACGGCTAGCAGAGGGAATTCGCAATCTGTAAGACACCACACGGTCGCAGCTCATGAGTGGTCGGAAGCATTGGTACTGGTAGGCGGAAGGAGCTGTTCCAAATTACATGCTCTTGCTCCTGAGACATCAAGTCATATATCCATCCACCAATGATATCGGCAAGGGCTTCCCTCATGCAATCGACATATCGTATAGGTTATCACTTTGCTTCAATTCTGGACCTTGTGCGCAGGGGTAACTCGAGGTTCGCTTTCTCGATTTTGCTTTGTTTGCCATCTACCAGTGGTTTGAAACTAGAATCACCTTCATTTTGAGGGCAGGCAGGACTTTGACCCTTCTCCCCATTGTGATGGGCTTGCAAGACCTTTTGCTTCATATCGTCGACTTTCTCATGCAACGCACGCACTTTGTGTTTTGTGCGGGTGTATCCCTCGATGCCTGCGAGGACGGCGTAGGACTTGCTAATGGAAACATGAGACATGTCGACCCCTCTTTCTTGGAGGGAGTGGATGAAGGCACGAAAGTTAGCTGCAGGAGGACGGTAATGGCCACTTTGGTAGGGTTAGCAGTTTCTATCAGTGGAAGACTAGAAGCAACTTACCTCAATGGTGCTAAGCTACGAAGCTGTCCATCCCTGACCTTGATTAGACCTGCAGCGGCAATGCGAGCACCTCGAAGAAATGACGAATGCTGAAATGCACCTGACTGTTTGATCCCAATATACAAGCGCAAGGAGGTATCGGCAACCTTGGGGGCACGAGTGTTAGGAAGGATAGAGGGCATAAGCAGGTGATCGAGGAACTCACGAATATCCACATGTCTTCCTTCTTCAACGACTTCCCCGTTATACTGCTGAGAACTGTCGACGGACTGACATGCACAACCTTTTTCAACTTCTTGACTGCTTTATAGTCTTCACTCACATACGTTTCCTTCCTTCTGCTCGCACACGCGTCACTATCTGAATCGTAATCTGACGAGGAAAGTGACGAGACAGACGAAGAGGAACTGGTCCAGAAAGCGTCCGGGTCGCCCGCTTCGGTATTCCCTTTGAACTGCGGTGCATCCTCGTCGATATGCACTACCCCCTGCAAGCTGTCCTTGAACCGTCTATTGTCTGTCCAGACGCGCTCATTATTCTTCGCCCATCGGAATAGCCCAGCTTCGTCCACAGTCACCAGATAATTCATCCGTTCTTCGCGTGAGAGGTAGCGCACTTGTTGCCGCTCGAGTTTGTCGCGCGGACATTGAGGAAGGTCAAGGTCCTTTCCTTCGCCATAGTCCAGCCAAAAGAAGAAGTTCTGTGCGGTAGTCGAATTCTTCCAATGTGAGTGGTAAACACGAAGGTTGCTGCCGTGACGGTGCTTCAAATCTACCAACTCGAGGAAGTATTGCAAGTCCATCATTTTCGCGGTTGTCCCTGGAGGCAAGTCGAGCTGAGCAGGCACGGACTGGGAAGCCGTGTTGCCGCTGGACTGCCGCGTGGGCGAAGCGGCTTCCCGGTCAAAGTCGTCGTCACCACCCGCCCGTTTGGCGACACTGACAGCCCGCTGCCAATTTTGACGAGCATGGGCGGAGCTATCGTTTTCGACGGTAGCTTCTGGGGCGGATGGACGATGGAGGAGCCGCCATTCTGCTTCTTTCACGGCCTGGTGTATCCCTGTGAGATAATGAAATCCTTCACTCGCTGTCCAAACTGACCTCTACCCAACGCGTGGTCGCCGATATTCCACAGCCTTGCAACTCTCGTCGCGTGCGATATCCGCGATATGTTCTCTATGAGACGACCAGTTTAGGGCCAGAAACTCCAGACAGACACGCATTCCGTACCTGAATCACTCTCGCAGCCCACTGCTCCTTATCAGTGACGTCATTTCTCGGTGGCCGTTCCATTGGATCGGTCGCGCTGTTAATTCCTGCGGATTTCACTAATTTAGAAAGGAGATGTGTATTTTTTGGCATTGGATGTCTATTATAGTGAAATTATAGAATATTCCGGATGGTATATAAGCAACGTCTGAGGATTGGCGAGAGGAAACCAGGAGGGGTGATAGCAAAGAAAAACAAAAAAACATGATCGTCGCGTAGGGCAAGATAATTCTGCTTGCCGCCTTCCCGTGACCTCAGGTGAGAACTTTAGAAACCCTAGTATAGAAAGACATTAAACCTCTACGAGCGCGACAGTTCATTCACCGTTGTAGATGACATCGCCAGGATCGAGGAAAGTCTAGATTTTGCATTGGAATTCATGGGTATCGGGTCGAATCCCTCAGGTACACGCCCCACGCCCCCTGATATGGCGGTATCGTGATTATCGCCGTGTTGCTATGTAGTCGTCGAATGCGGGCCGTGGTAAGGAGTTAAGAGTAGCATTGTTCTCATAGGACAAAACTCAATTTCGAGATAGTTGACAACATGTTGACCGAAGGAGGAGAGAAAGGAGGGCAGGGCATATATCCATGATCGCGGGTCCATAGTGAAGCTCTTTAGAGGCCAGGTGATCCAAAACATTGGCCTATAACTTTTTCATGCTGGCCATTTTCATACACACAAAGCTTCAGAACAAGTCGATCCTTGTTGACTGCCCAAGTGTCATGGTAAGAACAGATAGGGCGGCCGACATGGTCCGTGCCTACCCCCACATCAAATGACCCATCTCAAACGCCCCTTCCTTGCCATTAACCACCACATATAAGGCAACTTGGGACAGGAGGCATGGCTGAGAAACCTTAGACTGGACAAAGTTTTTCACAGTATACAAATGAGAAATACAGTTTCCCTTGCGTACAATCGTGGCCACGTATGCACGCCGAGCTGACAAATATATATAGACTACAGTGCATGAAGGCCCATATAACTACATTGGCCAGAACCTTATTTTCTGCTGTAGTAGCAGTGAAATGGCAGTCAAAGATACAACAACTTGTGTATAACAGGAATAGTCATGGGTGATCCTACAAGGTCACAGGCGTAAAGGCTTAGTAGCCTGTTGGCGACAAGTTTTCCACGCATATCGGAACTGGAACCCTGACGTCAATTGTGGAGATATATATCCGTGCATTGAATCTCACTGCATTCCGGATGCGTCGGGCCAAAGGCTATTATAATCCTGTTTTGATGGCCCTATCCATAGTAGAATAACTGCATAACTAGTCATCCCATAATGCTATGCAGCATTTGGCTTCAAAGAGCTTAGTTCACTAAGGCCTCGGGACGCAGATCTTGGGGTAGTCAAGGAACAGACAGAGCCATTTCTTGTTTGGGGCCGTGTACTGGATCATAAGGCCTGCCTGACATGTAAAACTGGTCTCTGGATATATTTGGTGGGATAAACCCGTTGACTATTAAAGTATGGTCTCGTTTCCCATATCGAGGAAACATATTGTCGTACCGATGGAGTACGTGTCTTGAGTTTCTCTTTGCTGCTCAGGAGACAAAGACCTGAAGTTTCACATCAACAAGGAAGCAGATCCAGTGGCAAGACCAGAATGGCGAATGTAAAACTGGACGATTACAATGTGGGGTCTTATATAGGACATAGAATGGAGGAGCTTGGAGTCCGTGACTACTTTGTCGTACCAGGCAAGGCCCTACCCCTAGGAGAAAGCGACGTTAACAGGATCATTAACCTCCATGTAGGGGACACCAACCTGACCCTCCTCGATAATCTCCTCGAAAATCCACGTTTACGAATGGTACAATGTTGCAACGAGCTGAACACAGGGTACGCTGCAGATGGCTATGCACGTGCGTCGGAGGCGAAAGCAGCGGCGATTGTCGTCCCATACATAGTGGGAGGTCTATCTATCCTGAACGCCATATCGGGTGCCTGTTCAGAGCGACTTAAGGTCATCGTTCTGTCGGGCTGTCCACCGACTAGTGTATTCACCGGCAATAAAGCAACGCATCATACACCGTCGCCCTCTAATAAGGACCAGGCCCTTCACGCTTTTCAAGGAGTAACAGCTGCGTCAGTACGTGTCGACACTGTGGAATCCGCCGCAGATGTAATTGATAATGCCATCAGTAAATGTATACAACAATCGCTACCGGTATATATCGAACTTCCGAATGACATTGCCGGCGCCCCATGTCGTTTCCCGATACCCTTAAACCAGAAGGTAGAGGAAGCGACCCAGACAAACAAAGAAGGGGAGGCATTAGAGGCTATGACAAACCTATGGAACTCTTCTCACAGACCAGTACTACTTCTTGGAAGTCAGGTACAAGTATTGCTTTCGCGAGATATCATCCAATGCCTTGCTGAGAAACTTGGTTGCCCTGTCTTGTGCCAACCAGACGGGCGTCGGATATCGGAATCCCACCCCCAGTATTGGGGCACTTTCTGGCCTGGATTGCTCAACCACGAAGGAGAGAAACTTGTCCTGAGCTCTGATCTTTGGCTCGCAGTAGGAGTCTCCTGGTCGGACCTACATACTTCCTCCATTGACATAGGGAACGAGGCCCACCGTTTGATCAGTTTCGACTATAACAGCGTCGGAATGCCGGGAGGCAAAGTAATTACTCCGATAAGCGTTAGTAAATTGGTCTCCGCGATGATCGATAGCACCAGCATTCGCCCAGTGGAATTTCCTCCTGGCTTCAAACCAAGCCACCCCGCTAGCATCCAAGCCGAAATCAAAACTTCTGATGATGCATTGACAGTGCGGAGTTTGCTTTCTGGCATTCAGAGTCTGGTACAGGATAACTCCACATTGGTGGCGGATTCAGGCGACACATGGTTTACTGCGAGCCATATCAAACTGCCAGCTGGGGTGGATCTGCACATGCAACTTCCCTATGCATCGATTGGATGGAGCGTGCCAGCAGCCCTTGGCGCTCAAGTAGCTCGTCCTCACGGTCGTGTCGTTCTTATGGTAGGCGATGGTGCATTTCAAATGACGGCCCAAGAGATAGGCACAATGATTCGGATGAAACTGAATCCGATCATTTTGCTGTTTAATAATCTGGGATACAAGACTGAGGTCAGCCCCAACAATTCGCCTATACGCGCCGAGCTGACAAGTATATACAGACTGCAGTGCATGAAGGCCCATATAACTATATTGCGAACTGGGACTATACCAAGCTGGCTACCTCGTTCTTGGACAAGCCCCATGCGCAACCTTCTAACCCGTATGCAATGGAGAAGTCAGATCTGGATGCAATTCCTGTGTTTGCCAAGAAAATCCAGACCCAGGCAGACCTCCTGCGGGCAATAGAGATGGTCTCCACAGAGAGTGACAAGCTTGCGTTCTTGGAGTGCTGTATCGAGCCAGATGATATGACGCCAGAGCTGCGAGCCTTGGGAGAGAAGGTATCGAAAGGGTTTTCGAAATAAGCAAAGTTACACTGACTCCCTTGTGGTGAAATGTATTAGAATAAGATTGTATAGAGAGTCAGAGACGTTGAAGTTAACTGCTATGGTACAGTGCAGAACGGCTGTTCCACAGTAAAGGAGTCAGGCTGAATTATTCAACACCGTATGCTCAATTGTCACGTGGTATATAGACCTCTGTTACTACAGAAACAGCAATGTTTTCTAGCTATAAGCACTGTTCTCCCCACGGTCACAGCCATACAGCCATATAGGATGCCCAGTGGCTAAGTGTACGGGAGCAGCTAGTTGTTCGTTACCAAAGAATGTAATATAACCAATCTCTAAAGACAATAGAACTCACGTACAAGTGCATATTGGCATAGAGTAAAGGAAGATCCGTTACACTAGAGATTTGAAATAGGACCAAAATCAGTCAGGCGCTAAATACTGGTGACCTGAAAAGAATTCTGCACAATCACCCCGCCTTGACGCACTGTTAGCTTTATACCTGTTTAAAGTACAAACAACACAGCCTCCCCTGACGCGACATAGCTAACAAAGCACTCAATTACACGCAATATCCTCAGCTACAGGCCCAAATCCTTTGCTGTTCATAGCAGACATGACTGATGCACAAGACTCTGACTGTGAAGACTTTCACTCTTCACATGGTCGAGACTATGATACGTTTGTGCAGGAGACAGCTGGCATCCACAGGCTTTACGAGGCTGGAGTTCCCTTTTTCACAAAGGAACAGCTCCGTGACCTCAGTAGGCAGCTTAAAGAAGCAGAAAACTCTGAAAAGCGAGATGTACTCATTAAGGGATTAGAGGGCACTGAAGAAACTTTTGAAGTCAGAACAGGTGTCACCAGGGCTGGGTCGGAGCCCGGTACAGAATGGGTTCTGTGGGTTCCATCATGTTCTCTGAAATCAAGGGTTTGACTCAGGCTGGGCTGACATTTCCCTTTGTAGCAAGGCACCAGCCATCGAATACCGCACCTTTGGGTTTCTCACCTCGTATAGGGCGTACCAGATGGATGGGTATAGTGACCTCAGTCTAAGGGTCCTCCACTACATGGAGTTGCGCGACGAAATTACGAAAGAGTTACGACCTGGTTTCCGCTACGTTGTGGATTCGGTCAAGACAATCAATGATTCCTTTACAACCAGCATCCAGAGCTGGGAAGCCAGTGAATCCTACACGCAACTGCAGATCATCGAATCGCGTGAGAACCTCCCTCCGATCACAAAGATTGTTGCCCTCGCGCTAGGTACTATGCAGCCTCGTTCCATTGAGAATTGGGACCATCGGTCTGAGTTTCAGCATGCCTTGGCCTTGACATTGCGTCGCATCGTGAGTAAGTGCCAGGGAGAGACAGCCGACAAAATCGAATGCTTCGCACAGGACCCTGCCTACACCGCTCTTGACAAGTCGATTCTCGAGAAATACGAAATCACTTGTCTGGAGGATCCAGATGCTTTCGTGGAGATTGATGATTCCACTATTGTCTTGACCTTCGCGCCAGATGTGCCCGTGAGACAAATCGTTGCGGACATTGCTCGGCCTGCGATGATGATTTGGAATACATGCGAGGATGAGATATGGCTGCATAACGGCCGTGAGCAGTTCATGTAGGACCATATTTGCTGCCACCTTTGTGTACCTAGTAGCTGACCACGAACAGGACGGATCCCTTCTCTGCACGGCTGAGAAATATGATGAAGGCCTATGACCGTATTGAGTTCTTGAGTGACGAGGAATGGTTCGGCGAGGTGGCGATCTTTATTCGGCGTGACTGAGCACTACAGCCAATGCATTTACAGCGAACTACAGGTGATGCTATCAGGGATTCAGAGAGTGGTTGATGTCTTCACTATGGATATAATAGGCAAGGTACAGGTGGACTTTTAGTAAAGAAGAAGCAGTGAGCCCAAGTCTTACGTATATCTTAGCAATAGGATGGAGCTTTAATTATGTGAGCCACGTTTGTGTAATACTGCTGCTGCTGCTGCTGGCCATGCTGGAGGAAGAGAAGCTCGGTGTGTTGCCATCCTCTCAGGCGTGCATGTGTAGTTTCGTAATGTGATTACCACGAGCCATATTTGGATGTGATACACCCCTGTCACTTCTTTCAAGGGGGATCGGTTCGGCCATACTGCCCCTAGGAGCATTGGATTTAGACTGTCTAGGATAGCGCTCTTCGAGTTATTGAGCGTGGATGTGGCCCAATCCTCTCCAGTGAAACCATCTCTACACTGTTTCCACCCAAGTTATGGCGTCATATTTCCCTCTCTTGCGGTGTTAAATGAGATTTAGTCGCGGGCCCTTGTGGTATGATGCTATAAACGTTCCTTTACCATTAAACCGCACAAGCCTTTGGGCTTCGCCTCCTTCAAATGTCGCAAGAACTCCAGCAAGGGCTTTGCAGCTCCCTGCGCTCGACTTTCCTCTCTGGCTATATCTGCAACCAGGCATCCTACCTCGTACACCATCTCAAACAGCAGATCACTCGACATATTTCTGACACCACTGTCAGGTATGCAGTTCAAGATCCACTCCCCGCGGTCAATGGCGCAGCTCAACGAATCCAGGATCTGGCGATCCTCGAGACTCATCGCGGATCGTGCCTTATAAACTGCGTCATGCTCAAACTGCGCCCAAGCATGCCGCAACATGGTAACAACCTGTATTTCTACTCTCCTCCTGGTTTGTCCGTCCCGTGCCTGTGGCTCGTCCTCTTTCAGAAATACCCAACAATGGGTGGCGCAATACCCTGGACGCTGAATGTGCCAGGAGAGTTTCCGAACAACACTGGTCGTGTCGACTGCTCCATAGCTTTTCTTCAACTCCATATCGAATCGTCCACTTAACGCGTGTACAACGCGCTCATGATCTTGAGGGAGATATACGACGATGCGAACCCCTGCTAGGTCTGCCATCTCCCAGTGGATTCTTTCTTTCGTCGGATAGACGCGACCACGCAAAGTCTGACGTTCACGAAGTTTGCGCTCCAGACTGGAAGCGTCTTTTACCCTCTGTGTGATAACCCCTGGTACACGCTCTGCCTGTAGAATTTCGTCGCATATTCTGGCGGTCGCTGCTGCGTTGCGCGCGTAGATCCATTTTTTATTTTTGTACTCTTGTACAAAATCAGCAATGACTGGGTCCATTAAGGGAAGGAAAGAGTGTTATAATATTGGAAATTATCTGGCGAGTTCTCACCTGGTTGGAATGGCGGTCTGACAACAAATATAGCTTGCTCCAGCTGGGTAAGCTGTGGCAGACGGGCTGAGCTGAACACAGCTGAGGGGCCCCATGCGAGCTGTAGCCGAAAACAAAACCACCCCAGTGGAGAATCTATTGAAGATCGCCCACTAAAAGTCCTTGTCGGTGGGTCGTGACGTCGTATCAGAGTACTGGGATTGCAAGAAGACGCAAGGAATGGGCCAAGCGCGATCGACAAAAGGCCAATCAGAGCTGTCCACGCTATCGGTGAGGTTTTGGTCACTAAAGATCGTCCTCTGTATGGTAGCTATAGGGTTAATTCGAACTTAAAACCTACTGCCGCAATAGGTTACAGCACTTGCGTGGTGGATCCTGTCTGCAGCGGAAGGGATGGCCTTGGACTGCTATACGTTTTCTTCCTCGGAAATAAAGCTCGGGACGGAACGAAGTCCTTATGACATTCTCAGTACGTGAGCTACACCTCCTGACCGCGACAGATTGGTATGTACAAAGATCTGTGGGACTTGTCAGAGAATACGGGTGCAAACCGATCGGCGTTGTCACGGGTGATGGAAATTATCAGATGTCCTCTATTGTATGGCATGCACATCATAGATTCTGACACCTGTCAAGGTTCGAGACCAAACGGATTCACCTGGATAGAGCTCCAATGGAATCCAGAATCAATTCAAGTCGGAAAGTGGGCGTGGTTTAACTGGAATGCAGGGATATCTCGTCCTGGAATGCGCTACAGGCCGAGACGCGTTTTCTCAAGTTTCAAAATCTTTGTCGCTGAGGAAATCCCTACTATTCTTCTTGTTTATGATTGTATTATCCCTTGATAGGTAATCATAATTTATATAACAGGCGCGTGTGATTCAGGCATGACTTTATTATTATAGCATAGCATGAGCGATCTAGTTGGAGAATTTAGAGGGGGCTTTTTGCCTACATCCAGCCATCAACAGTTAGCTAGATATACCTCGTTGTAGTAACCTATGGCTCAATGACTTACCCAGTCAGACTCTCAAGCTTGCTCCTCGCAGCATCCGTAAATTTCTCATTCGTCTCTCGCACCTTCGGGTCGTCGGGATTGATTCGACCACCGCCGAACTTCTTTTCAATTGAGTCGAGGCCTAACCGATCTGTTAATATCCCGATGCACCCGAAGAGGTAGATTGGAAGATCAGGGAAAGGGAATATCGGGGCGAATACATGCCCTTATCGACATAGTCTTTGTCGTTCGAGCTGCCACCTTCAGCTTCCTTGTCCTTGGACTGGCTACCACCGCCAAGCTTGGACATGAGTTTATCCATTTTTTGTTAAGGTAAGCTATCCTTTGGTATGGTATCTACCACGGTGTATATGGCACAAATGACTGTTCGAATGATTTTCTCTTGTGGGAGATAAAAGCTAGACTATATACCTTCTGTTCAATCTGTCAGAGTAATGATGTCATTTCAAGCGATTGAGAGAAGCCAACCATGGGTCCCCGTAACTTTTATCCCCACCTTAAATTAGGACCAAGTTAGGGTATTGGGATGGTACAGTCGACATATTACCTTATGAAGCATTCTACTTACCCCGAAGCACGTGCCCGGGAGGATATCACTACAATTTACCCAGCCAACAAGTCAATCCAAGTAGCACAAAATTAGATAGTATGGTTATGACAGGATGCAAGACATACTTATTCGTGAAGTGAACGGAACACAGGGAACCGTTGCTCCTGCTTGAGCATAAACTCAAACTTCCGTCTGAATTTAGCGTGTTCAATTTGTGCTGAAAAAGCAGGGACACACCATCCAGTAAAAAAAGCACCATACCCAACGGCAGCTATTTGGAGGTAGTCCAGGTGTAAGGTGAATAGGTAGAAGGATGTGATGGTGACGTGTCAGCCTGGCCCCGCATTCGTGCGATTCATGCACCACGAATGCGATATATTAAGGACATTCCCTGTTGAATCCCTGGATATATGGGCAGGCTATTAATGCTCCTTTCTGGAATGATAGCTGCCCCAACGAGTTACGACAGGATGGACAGGCTGTGACTCAAGGGCCGAAATAGCCTGTTAGACCAAGTACGATAATTGCACCCTTTGTGTCCTTTGAAGAGGGATGTGTGTACCTAGTAGGGATGTTGTATTCGGTATATTTACATATCCAGATGGAAGGGAATGTATTGAGTGTCTTAGCAATCTAACACAGGCTTATCTCTATTACATTTTCCAGTTGCTTAAGATAAATCAAGGTGGCAAGTCACATATATCAATGGGCATCTGCGATCATGGAATGTTATCGTCATCAGGACATCGCTTTGTTGAAAACTTGCATATTATAAACAAATGTCACGTGGAAAAGCATATAGCAAAACAATCTATGTATACATCAAAGAAAGCAAAGAGATATAGGAGACGTTGGGGCGAAGCGATCTGCAGACCGGACAGCTCATGTTGATCTCCAAACTGGGCCAGCCGTCAGCGTAGTAGACTGCGTGTGGATGCTGCCAGTTTCTTCCTCATCCACGGGGGGTGCATCTTTTGCCTGCATATCATCGGCAATGCGCTCGAGGGATTTGTTTTTCCCCTCATTGTCTCTAGTGTCCGGAATCCATAATGTGGTAATAAGACCCATCAGCATGAAGAATGATAAGCTAGCTTCGCTGTTAGAGTTCGCTGTTGGTATTCAAAGTCCATCGCAATTGCTGCATTATGCGTACCAGAGAAGTGCATATCCTAGCCAATCCGGCACGTTTCGCCAGGTTGCACCATTGCCAAAGTCCACATATCCTAAGAAGCACTGCGCAAGAATGGAACCTAATTTTCCAGAGGCGGCTGAGATGCCATGGCAAGTGGCGCGAAATCGAGTTGGGAAGAGCTCAGCAGGAACCTAAACATGTTAGAGATACTATAAATGGATGGCGAGATACAATATATCCTTTAAACGTTTGGATGTTCACGTACAATGTATGTGGTGGTGTTTGGTCCTATCCAGGGCAAAAAATATAAATATTAGTCACACTGTCGACTAAGGCACAGGATGATCAGTCCGAGCCACTTACCAAAGTTGAAGAATATCTGAGTCAGAACATAAAGTACGACCAAGGCTGATGAGTCGCCATGTGTGCTCAAATAGCGGAATGAAGCACCAATGATCACGTTAAGAATGAACAGGCAACAGAAGCCAAGCAGCTGAAGATTCCGCCGCCCGATTCGGTCGACTGTTAGCACTGCTATACAGCTACCGACGATAGCGCCCGATGAAACAACCACGATGCTCTGGTATGACACCCGAAGAAGAGATTCATATACTCCGGCAGACGGAATGTGGTTCCCATACCAAATGGTATTTATAATGTCCACATTCATCAACCCCAAGCCGTAGAATGGCAGGTCGAGGCAGAACCAGCACAAAGATGTTGCCACGAGCGTCCGGAGGTTGTGCTTTTGTTGCAGGAAAATTTTGAAATCTCTCCAGAAGTGGAGTTGAGGGCTGGAGATATTCTCTAGTGCCATAGAGCTTGATTGCCGAGAGATGACTGATGGGGTAAAGCCGTTTTCACGAGTTTGGGTGGGGGATAGTGATATCGTCTCTTCGACTGGATGGAGCGACTCATGGCCGAGACTAGAGGCTGAGGAAATGTCCGCTGACTGATAAAACTGAGAGATATCTGCAGCAGCTTGGAGACTATTCTGCATGACATCGGCGGTATAACGAGGGGATTCAATGATGGTTAATCGAAACCAGATGGCAATGAATGCAGGTACAGCTCCCAGACCTACTATTAACCTCCATATGCTATCTAAATTCCGAACACAAGATCCTGTACACTCGCGAAGCTCTGGGTCATTAGGCAGACTATGTCGAAAGCCTGCCACAGCGATGAGAGCAATGAGTGCCGCTGCAGTCTGTCCAAGTGATTGGCAGAGGAAGACAGCTGCCAACATACGACCCCTTATGCGAGTGGGTGCAAGCCTAACAAAAGGTTAGCTGTGCCATGGTGCAATATGGGGGGTTATGGGTCCCCCAATGGCTCACGAACTCGGAGCAGATCACAGCAGATAAAGGATAGTCGGCTCCCACTCCGACTCCCATAAAGAACCGCCAGAACAAAAGAACCCCGATGATGGACATGGAGTCATATTTACCAGAGGAGGACATCGACATCCCAAGAGTGCTGAAAATCAAGACAATCAACTCCAATCCATACATTTTCCGGCGACCCCAGATATCCGCGGCGATACCAAAAAGAATTTGGCCTACGAGCGCGCCGCCTAAGGTCATGATGCTAAGGCCGACCTCATAGTTGTGGACGCGGTCAGGTTTGGCGTCCAAACTGCCCCAATAGACCTCACTAATCATAGGGACGACCATGTTGACTGAGAAGATCTGCAAACCTGTCAGTCGCTGCCAGTAGTTCAACCTCTCACTCAGCATACACAGTACGCATCAGCAAAAAAGCCCACTCCGGCGACGACTACCACCCAGAGCCATTCCCTCTGCCTTGCGCTCTCTAACCGACTGATGATGAAATTACGTCTTTGTGCTGGCTAATCAAGGTATTAGCCGGAAGAAACGGAAAATAGCTGTTCGGCTCGCCATATGCAACCTACTGCATGATGTTGGAAGTCCTCGTAGTTCCCCCATGGGTTCAAATATAGCTTCACCTGAGGTAAGACTCCCATATCAATTGTGATAATTGTCTGACCGTCAAGAACTACGACCGATGGGAAACTTAGGAATTATCGTCGGGCTGTAGGAGATAAAACACTCGTAGAATCACGCGAGACGCAGAACAGTGTCTCACCGCGAATGTTCAGTCACTCACCATGCAATGGTACGCGAAATAGATACGGGGGATTCCTCACAATATATCAGCGCCACGACCACAAGGGCGTGAGGCTGACAATGAGGCGGTACCCCCCATTTCTTCACAGTTTAATTTCTATTTCTTAATATCGCCCTTCGCTAGATGTGAACCAGCGTTGCGCCCTAGAAGGAATTGAGGTATGTACCTCTGGGTTGGACTTGGCGAATGGATGTCTGACAGTATACGAGGCACGAAAGGCAATCCGCCTGCGCCCGGTGCCTGCGAGATATACTCCGTATTCAATACAAGCATCTAAACTCAGCACGTTCCTGACTAGGTCCCCACCATTGGTTTGTGGGATGACGCTAAATAGGTGCTAAAATTTAGCCTCCCTGCACTGCCGCCACCAGTGGTTGCCCATCGCTTCTGATAGATGCTTAATATCGGGACCGTGCATATCGTACATTCAAATCTCCGGTTTTCCAGAAGGTTGCTGGCCTCGTATGTACGCATGGATTGGAAGCGCTCCAGGTAAAAACGCTCAGGAACCCACAGCTACCTCTGTGAACGTGATGGCATGACTCGATCAGATCGCAGTGGATACATTGCAGAATCATCATGTTAGTCCTGTCAGTGGCTCTCGACACTCTGAGGCTTTCTGTTCTCACTAAGCCTCATGACAGACTAGTTCGAAGCCCTCGTGATCATTTCGCTTACCTCTAGAATACGAGATTCTAGGTAGCCGCTTGCACCTTGCTTTTGTTCCTACCCACTGTTCTAACTTCGATTCCACTGCGAGATCCGCAATAACAGTCCACCTTTTACAAGGGTACCAACGAGGAGGTTATAGGGTCCCTCGGGCAGATCTACATCAAAGCAAGTCTCACCATGAGCCAGATAGGTGTTGGTGATATCATCACTGCGGTCAAAGTTGTCTGGACGGTCTATGAAAGCGTTAGAGATGGACCTACAGGTGCAACAGGAGACTTTAACTCTTTTCGCCAAGAGTTCCGCGCTATCAAAGTGCTACTGGAAAGGATACAGCGGGTAAAGGAGTCTACATCAGGAGACGTCCGTCATCTTGGAGCATTTTACCACGAAACAATCCAGGAATGCGCCCAATTCGTTAATAAGCACAAGGTACTTGCTCAAGATAAACCATCAACAGATGGCAGCCGCCGTGGAAGCCTAGGCAAAAAGGTCTCCATATGGTATGAGAAGGTCACCTGGCCACTCGAGCGAAGTGAAGCCGAACGGCTTCGACAGAAACTTGAGCGCTGTCTGAGCATCGCAACGCTGAGGTCTACCGAGGAAACACGCGATGCGACTTTAGGATTTATGCGGATAGCGGAGAATAACCAGTTAGAAAACCTGGAGATGTTGAAATCGATCAAGTGAGGACCACCGTTCGTGGCAGGATACTCTCTGCTGAAGGCTGACGTCTCTTAGGACAATGACGGCACAGATCTCACTACTCCTGCGGAAATGCATTATTGACGGCCCAATACACACCGAAGACCATGATGCACACCACTCAAGCCAGCGTGGGCATCGATCGAGGCTCGCCGGCCTTAGGCCAGAACACATACTTAGTGGAATCCCAGAGGATGATGAAGTGCCTTCACTTGACAGTCAAAGGTACCAAAGGGTCCTCGATCGCATTCGTGAGATCTCTGAGAGACTGGGAAATCTTACTCGGAGACTTGATACACATGGTCTACCTGTCGGCCCGCCTCAGCCTACTAGTCGCAAGTATATGTTGAATTCTGAGACGGAAATTGCTGAGACACCAACTGTTGATGCAATGGTTCTCTTCCTTCATCAGGTTAGCGATGATGTGCGCGATGCTTTAGAGATGGTTGGCTATGGGCACGACCTCGTTCCGAACTATGACCGGTCTGAGAAAGATCAAGCCGTGGTTAAGCCTGCTCGGTCGATCAATGACACCGCAGAGGAATGGGAGCAGTTCCGGCATTGGCTCGACTTCCAGCTTGTACACGCCTTCAATATGAATTCTATTGATATCAAGCCTCTCCATCCCTCACAGCCACTGCTGTCAGAGCTCTCTCCATCACCTGACTGCCTCTCACCATCGATTCCCATTACCCGTACACGCTCAGTTGAGTCCGATCTTTCAATTGGTTCTCCAAAGTCAACCATCTCTATACCGATCTCCGATAGGAAGATTCCACTTACAACCCACCCAGTCCAAGTGTGCGTGTATATTTCTCAGTCTGGCCACGTTGCTCTGCCTTACTAACAATTCTTATTCTTAATAAGGGAATTTCCGGACCCGAATATTCCCAACCGTGCGCTTTTTCGCACATTGATATGTACAGTTGTGGCTTGTTTGAATACGCAGACAAACGAGCCAGAGGCGATTGAAGCTGTCGATATCAACGGAGGAGTGAAAGTTATCCAGACCATCGTCCGCGGGTCCACCACCGTTAAGAGCTCTATGCTGCCTGACGTACCGAGCAGCCGAGTCACTACGCCGTTTTCTGATTCCTGTTCCATCTGGTTCCAGGGTTCGCATAAAGCGAAGATTGAGGACCAACAGTCCGTCATCAGATACAGTATCTCGCCGATTTATAAATGCCGCGACCGCAGTGGTAAGTCATACCCGGCAGTATAGCAGGATAAACTTGGGCTTACAGCAAATATGAATTTAGATTTCGAGAGCTTTCAGAGGGTCCTTCTTCGAAGAAAGGTCGTGGCCTGCTTTGACGTGAGGAAAATCTCCGTTGGATCAGATTACTACTCCAACTCAGGAGAGACAGTCCGCGTGCTCGAAGACCCAATCACGAAAGCACTTTCATTGTTATTCTTTGCTTCCTTCCCAGGAACATCTCGCCGCGCAAGGTTTGTCGATATTCCAGGTGAGGGCCATCCATATTTTCCTTGGCGGGAGCCTTGTCTCCGGATTCAAGCTGACGCCTCGCTAGTCAATGACCTGGGCACACCCAGTCAGAAATCAAAACTGGTCAAACTTCTGTTTCAGGCTGCTTCACGCCGCGGTTCCATGGATAGCGTCGCTAGTGGCTTTTCACAGGACTCACGTCAGTCTACGTTAACATCATTAGGATCTAGCTCACGGGGTAAATATCTAGAGCTCGAGTTCTATGAGGAAAGAGGTATGTATATGAGACCCCAAGAGCCCTTGGCAAATTATGCGCTGTCTGTCTAACAAGTATCTAGACTGTGCAGGATTTGTCCGCAAGCTCAAGCATGTAGCCGGGGCTTGACCGGAGATTTATGCGTGGAACTGTGTGTAATTCATGATTGTGAATCACGATATCCGTGTTTACTATCAAATGGCCGAACTACATAAAGAGGCTGCTCAAAAAGGAAGCTCCATATATGTCCTTCCTTCCCGTCGCAGAAACTGATTAGCTGGCATCGTTTGAAAAAGAACAGCTTTAGGCCCCCTGATATCCCTTGCTCGGCCTGAATGTTGGTCTTCAGGATCGACCTTTTTATATCAGGAGCTTGAAGCCCCTATTTACGAATGAACCGGTATTCGATTGTCCTGGAGACGCAATTGTAAAACTCGGGGGGCCTGGAAGTGGACCGCCATCGACAAAACCGGGCCAGCCTACTTCTGCTGCCCGTACCACCCTCCCGCAGGTCGAAGTGTATGCAAGACTTCTGAGCTACGAGATATTAATTTAGTTAGCATAGGTTGGGAACGAATGAGCGCTGATATGAGGTATAAGGAGGCCTTGAAACTCAACAGTAGTGCAAGTGGAGAGCCCGTATTCTAGCTGCTTTGGTATACGATATTATGCGTAGATGGTCTATCAGCTGTGCTACATATAGTTTATCGGCAATAGAGCTGTACTTGTTCGCTGAGCCTCTCTTGCCAGCGAGCACTGGCAGCAACCCTTCTTTATTTGGCCTTGGATTCCTCTCGAGGGCTTGACATAGATTTCTTTTTTGTTGGGAAAACTGGACAGTACTGGACGAAACTTTTAGCAACTCCCCTGGTATGTACCTCTCCCTAGGACGGGCACTCCCCTTCCTTCTCCCAAAGAGTGGTGCTAAAGAGTAGTAAAGTGTGTCAATCAAATTGTCAAAAGTTGGCCTGATTTTTTAGCTGGGAATTGTATGTATATTCTTGCATAGCTGTCCCCACTAATTCAAAATCAGTAGCATGTGCGACAGCCACGGTAGTCAGTCCTACGATCGATTAGATCGAATTGTTATGGATATCGGGAGGACTGTATCAATGCCTTTCTAACAAGGAACCAAAGTACACGAAATGCATACATCGACAGCGTCAGGGCACCTAACAATCGGCACTCACTAGTTCAAACCGCTCCAATGTTAATAGAGATAGCTTCATGCTGCCATTCGGCTTCACGTCGGATGCTCTCCACTTGGTGCCTGTGCGATAGTCAGCCAAATGGATCGGCGGGTGGGGCGTGGAAACCGTCCGCTGAATTGTGATCTGGATCTGCATCAGCCTACTAATTTACCCCGTAATCTCGAGACGGAGGTGCAGGTCTGCGACACTATCTGCCGGTGGAGGATTCCACGTGTTGACGAATCCATTCCACATCACCCCCACCCCCTTGTTGTCGGATGAAACATGCCTAGGCTCTGCAGCCCATAGGGGCATATAGGCGAAATCTCCGTTGCTCTTTCTTGTGCGTCCTTCAGCTCCTACAAATGTGACTACCTTTGTCTTCGTTGGACTCTCCTTTCGGCCTCTTGCTTTGCAGACGGCCAGCCGGTCTTCCCCATGGAAGGGGTCTGGGAAAGATCACTTTCGCCGGAGCGAATAGCCTTCCTGGCGCAATCCCGGATTCCCGAGATCATTTTCTGCAATACAGTGCTCCTCGTTATTGCGACCGCGGGGCTCCTAGTCCGTCTTTTCGTTCGTATCCGATATCTCACGGGGATCAACCTCGATGATATACTATGTGTGACCAGTTGGGTAGGCTAGCTTCTCCGCCTACTTGTAGTCCGTGCGTCGTCTCGCAATTACTGATGTACAGCTGCCTCATCAGGTCTTTACGTTCGTTCTGTGCGTTGCTTGTATTTTGAGTAAGTGATCTGGCGACGAGGCAATCACATACGATGTTCTAACAGCTCGGCCCATTCAGTGACCAAATATGGATTCGGCAAGCACATTGGAACGGTAGAAAGCTTCAGCGACAGGGCCATGTTCCTCAAGGTATGGGCAATGTCTGACAATGGACGGTAACCCGCTGACTATGACCATTCCTTTCGCAGCTTGACTTCGTCACCATGCTCGCCTACGTTCTCGCCCTCGGCGCCATCAAGATCTCCTTCTGCCTGCTCTACCTCCACATCTTCCCGGGGAAGAAATTTCGTATGGCATGCTGGTTAGTGTTGGCCATTCTAGTTGCCGAAACGATTGAAGAAGTCCTTGTGGTGATCTTCCAATGCTGGCCTGTCTACAAGGCATGGGATGCAACAGGCCTCGTAGAAGGAAAGTGCGTGGACATGACGGTCTTTTACTACGCCAATTTTGGGATCAAGCTAGCCACGGACGTGGCCCTGTTTGCAATGCCTATTCCCAAACTACTGCGTCTGAAGATGGCGGTAGGCAAGCGAGTGGGTTTGGTGATGATGTTCAGTTTGGGACTTCTGTATGTTGCCCCTCCTCCATGCAATCAGGACCGGGAGAAATAACTAATATGCATACTAGTGTGTGTGTAACCAGTATCATCAGGGTCACCTACTTTAATCCCTTCTCCGAGGACCACACATGTATGTTGCAATTAGTCCTTGCCTCTCCGTTCTTGTTTATCCATTTACTGACATCTCCACGCTCGCAGGGGTGTTGGTCGATGCAATGAATTGGTCTTGCGTGGAAGTCGCGGTGGCCATTTTCATCGCGTGTATTCCCTCCTTCAAGACCTTTATCAGCTACCGCTTCCCGACGTTACAGCGTCTACTTGGTCTCGCCAGCAAAGACGAGTCCATCGGCCCGTCGAAGCTGTACGGCAGTTCAACCCGTCGGACATACAACGGGCTATCGACACGGGGACGTAATAGCATCAAGCTGAAGCCGGTGACAGGACACAGCAGGGCTGATGTGGAAACCAGCCACAATGAGTCTCAGGAACGTATAATGCATGCGGGGATTCAGGTCACTACCGACGTTAGCGTCCAGCAGACTGTCTAAGGATATGAAACTAGCTGAATTTTATTTTCGTCATTTCCCCTGTCTTGCGCCTTTTTCTTTGGGACTCGAGAGCCGATCCGGTCATTAATAGTATCATTATTATTATGATCTTCCGCAGTCTAGCCTCATCACGCTGACTTAATCGACTCCTAAGCTGCATGAACTCGGAATATAGCCTAGCAGTGGATCCTCCATTCCTTTAGACTCGCGCGCCAAGTCTTATAGTCAAACCGGTGGACCTGGCTCCACAATCCTTAGGGATGGCACGGACTTGGCTCGGTGAAACTATTTAAAACCCCCGTTTAATCTACGTCTTTCATGCTAATGTCGCACCAGTGGGAGTCTAAACCAGGTAAGACACACCAAGCCTTGTCACTGGCGGAAATCACCCGAAATGCTGTCCGGCACATGACCTATATGTAGCTAGCGGTCAAACGTGAGCGAAATATAGGAGTAGTAGGAAAGTAGAGTGGGTGACTGTGTTGACATGTCATGCTTTATCCATTTTTAAACACATATTCAGCCTGGGGCTGGGTGTGGAATGTAATTTTTCAAGTCATATGGGGTTTCAGGTAGGAACTGCTTCTTATTGCCGGCGGCGGTATGACTGTAAAAGTAGTTTTGATAGCACAAGTATCTCAGACCTGACCCAGCGTGGGAGGCTTGACAGACTTTTACCTGGTGGAGAATAACGGCGACGATCACTCCTATGCTCCAGGAATGCTTGGAGTCGGACGATGTCAAAGGCTCTATCACCAGCTCCATTTTCTGAAGCCGTTTGCTTGCAGTGCTTGCAATTAGACTTGCGTCTACCATAAGTTTTCAAAGACACGGACTACTCGCTCACGCAGCCAGCATATCCTTCGTCCGAGATTCGCTTGTAGGGCTATTCACTCCCAGAACGACAATGGCGGGTGGAGAAGTCAAGTGTGGAGACCATCTTCTCTGAAACCCGACTTCAACCAGCACCTTGATGCTCTCGGGTCTTCGCCCTCCTCGGCATGTATGTTCTGCGGAGTTGGTGAGCGTTTTCTAGATGTGGGCCGTGCGCCGTCAAAACTTCGGCCCCCGTTGGGTTGTTTCGCCATCCTCTCCATGGATTTGATTCGTCCGCTGTGTCACACCACCTCATTAGGGTAAACGAGCTCTACGTTGCTCGGTGAGCCCTCAGCTGCCCGTAAGAGGTGTGGAACCTGGAGGAAACGATTCTTTTGATTGTGGAAAAGCATATTCATTGTCGATGGCCTAAGCCCGGTGTAAGCAGCTGTTCCTTGGAGGCCGCTGCAGAATCTGTACCAGGGCTCTAATCATTTTGTTCTTCCAGCTGGCTTTCAGCATCTTGAATTCGGTACAACAACAGTGGACGTATTGTAGGTGTTGGCTGGATTGGCTAGAAAGTGCAAAAGCACAGGATAAGGCAATTATGGAAGAGAAGAGACAAGCTCAAGATGGTAACCAGAGCTTAGGGCATTATACACCGTCGAAGCAGCCCGGCAGCACCAGACGTGCAGGAAGACGATATAAACAACAGCGGGACGATGGTGGTGGGCCTGATATTTAAAGCAAAGGATCTAAATCCATGCATCTTCGTCCTCATTTCATCATTACACGTAAATATCAGGTTGAAGGAGTCTGTAATTCTCCGCCATGAATCTGGAACCAAGTCCTTAACTCCCTCTCGTCCAGGATGATCGAGGGTGAAGAAGTCCAGCGTTTCCACAATCTGCATGGCCCATTTATATCCTCTTGACCTACTTCGCTATTGTGAAGGGGCGCAGATGCTGAGAAAGCGCAACAATCACGCAGATAAAGAATCAGCGCCCCGCAGCCCCGGATGACAGATATTCCCCAGTATATCTAGGGATTAGCGACCAGCTATACCCATGTATTGCTCAGAAGAACGTGTATGGAAGGCTAAAAGATTTCCTCAAAGCTAGGGCCGAATATTTCTCGAAATAAATCCCCAAACCCATCGCCCATAAGATCATTTTCCATCCCCATTGTCAAGGTCGTTAAGCTGGGGCCATACGGAGATGATAATGGATCCTGGGTATGTGTATCCAGCGGTATATCTGTCATAGGGCCGATACTTAACGAGCCCTCTTGTGACGGGCAGTGTGAGGTACTTTGGGCGCCGCTATTGTTACCATCGTGGTCAGTTTCCGCGATCGAAGTTGTAGAAGCCAGGCCGGCCGCTCGCGTCCGTAGGATCATCAATAACTGGTGTCCTAATATCGCAGCAATCCCGAACCGGTGTGACGGTGTTGTTCCAGCGCGTTTGAGCTGCAGTGCAACCTGTGCCAGTAATGCGAGGAGCTCTATCTCGCCTCCCGGCCGTCCCTGATGTACATACTGGAAAAGCTTCAGGGCAAGGGTTGCCGTGTAAGACATCATCGCCCAAGTTGGAGCGAGCATGCAGTATAATGGCTCCCCGATCTGTTCAAGGTCGTGCACGGCGACTTCGCAGCAATGCACCGCGGCCTGGAAACAGTCCTCTCGCATGGTATTGAGATCATGGTTGCTACTGATGGAGGCTTGCAGGGCAAATGATAATGTCCATAGTCGGTTATGGAGATATACATGATGGAGGTGCACATTTGGCAGCGGTTCTGAAGATGGGGCGATTGTATATATCCATGTCTTCCGCAACGGTTCTAACGTGGCATCTACGAGATCGCGCACCCAATGCGGGTTGGAATGTGATAGCGCTGTCTGTCGCTGTAGTTCCGCGTGTAAGGATGCCAGGTGGCGACGGAGGATGATGAAGGCGACGGTGTGTTTGTCCGTCGAGTCGGCAAGTGGATGCATCCACCAGCGCTCGATATTGCGGGTAAGGTCGTTTTCGGGAATGGCATTCATTCTGCCAGAGGCACCGCTGTTCGCTCGCTCCCAGAGGAGGATACGTAGCCAGGTTCTCTCCCGATTGCGAACTAGTCGCTCGACATGTGTTCGGTCTTCCCGGTCGTGGTTAGTGGGCGAGCGTGGTGTGCAGTTGGGGGTAAGGTTGCCATCGTTGTGATATGAATATGACGGAGGCGCGCGATCCAGCTCCAGCTCGGCCGCCACTCCAAATGCATACATGGTATATAGCCACGATCGCTCTTCCGACAGCGTTCTGGCGGGGGTGGCTGACAAAAGTGAAATATAGTACCCCTGCACGATCTCCACTGATTTGAACCCGGACGTATGAACATGTCGCGACAATTTCTCGCCATGCAAACGTAGTCGCTTTGCAATGGCTGCGGACCCATGATCGAATTGTGCTGTGAGGGCGAGCATCCATGTAAATAGCAGTGCCGACTTGGAACGCACATAGTCCACGGTGTGCAATTTAGGGTCAAGGATACCATTGACTAGATGTAAGCGCATGAAGTACCTATAGAAGATTAGCACGGGAGCGGTGATACTACAGATTACGAGGTACATACATGGAAAAATAGTGATAAGCCTCCTCCATTGAAATTAACCCCAACTCCACCGGATCCAGGTCCGGGCCAACATCTCGTGGAGGGCCATCATCGGGGGGACGAAAATAATCAGTACACTTGTCATTGCTTGTCGGAGCCGCGAACAGGGCGTCTAGCCCACTCTGTAGCGATTCACGACTCAATTTTAGGCCTAGTGACACGTGTCCTGGTCGGTTAAGAAAGCTGTTTGCGATACTTGTGAAAGTCGGAGATTGTCCTTCATGTGCCGACTCCGCATTGGATACCGGAGTGTTCGATATTGATTCGGAATGCATGGCCCCTGAGGCAGCGACAAGTAATGCCAGTGGATTGCTAACAGGATCATCGACGGCATGCGAGGCCGTTCCAGCTTGTTTCATGGCGGTTGACTCCGTCATAACCGGACTTATATGCTTATCCTGAGTCGGGGCAACCTTTCCATCGATGGGTCGGTGCGACTGGCCCTCGTTGCTTTGCATTTTTGAGAGCAGAAGATCGAACACTTCCTTCTCTGCATTCTGTATATTATCAACCTCCCGCACACCCCTTCTTGAGGTACTCTGCGTTTTCAGATGTGTTTTCATCTGATGATAAGCCTTCTCGAGCCCCTGATAGCGACCAACCGCTCCCGGTCGGCGTCCTAAGGGTCGGGAAGGAGGATTACTACATGTGCGGCCATTTCGTCTGCACCGATCGCATGGCTCGATAGACCCCTGTGATTGACTCGGACGGACACATCTCATCTTTAGCTTGCGACATGCTTCGCAGGCCACCGTGGAGGACGGCCGGTGAGTCTGTTGTCTCGTCACTGGGCGACTAGCCATGATCACATCGAATTGATTGTAAGTCACGAATGATAGAATAATACTGGATGGGAACCGCCAATTTCCATAGCTAACGCGCGTAGCGTTCGCTGGTATTTGGGATAGCGACGAGCCTGGATGGTTGGTCGGCGTCTGGAATTTGCGGGGATGTTTTGAATGGAGATTCGTTCAATCTCCGTCTGATCCACTTGGACTCTTGGCATGGGCGGTATGAAGTGACTTGATCACGTCCTCTCTTACCCCATTGCAATCCTAAGTGTTCTTCTGCCGCAGCATTCGCATTGTGGTGATGTCTTCGTGTGTTGCGGAGTGATAGCCCTTCGATTGGTTCCCATGCAGTAAAAATTCACCGGGTGTGGGTCCTCCGGTCTATTTATTTAGACGCCGGAGAAATGTTTATATACGATCATGAGTTGAGTACGAGGTTGTTGACTTGCCCAAAGCAATTTCTACTTTAATTTTATTTGTCTTATTAGACAACAAAAATAAACATTTCTACCAGATATGCAGACTATTTCAGTCGACGTCCTAGTGTGCGGTGGTGGCATGTCCGGCATGGCCTGCGCTGCCTTCGCCGCCGAGTCCGGGGCCAAAGTCCTGGTGGTTGAGAAGCAAGTCGTTGTTGGCGGTTCGTCAAATTACTCTGCGGGAATGTTGTACGTTCCTGGAAGTTCCTTCTAAGTGCCAACTACCCTACTGATGACGTCTAGCTGGGCACCCAAGAATTATACCAGTTTGCGATCGTGGGTACCAGCTGGGGATCCAGAGCTCCAAGCAGCGTGGATGCAGGACTACTTGCCGGCAGTGCAATGGATGCGAGAGAACGGGATACCGACAGCCAAACGGTTCGATGGAATCATGACAATCGGTATTGAATATATACATACACAAGACTATATATACATGAAATCTGACAACGACACAGGCATAGGCTTTCCCATCAAGATCCCGCAGCTCCACCAACACCACCAACAACGCATACAGAATAACAAGACAGGATCCCAGATCTTCACCAATACCGCCGTCGTCAAACTCCTTCAAGAACAGCCCGGCGTGCCGGGTTCGCGTATCGTCGGCGCCATCATTCGCCGTGGCACAGTGGATGGCGCGAGCACTGTCTACTACGAAGCCAAGGCTCAGCATGTAGTCCTTGCCACGGGTGGGTTCCAGGGGAATGCAGGACTGACATCAATGCACCTCGGTCAGGGAGGGGACAACATCTTTGTGCGGTCGAATAGAGGATCGGTAGGAGATGGATTGACGCTGGCCACCGCGGTGGGAGCAGGCACGAGTCGCGGGATGAATACATATTATGGCCATTTGCTGGCGGCTCCTCTGAGGGCAGAGGAGGTCGATCCCAAGGACTTTTTGCCGCTGGCACAATATCGTGCGTACGAATCCGATCGTTGTTCGTTGTCCAATCATTAACAGGTGCTTGCAGAAAGCAAATATTGCCTGCTCATTAACGAGAGCGGCCGGAGGTTTGCCGACGAGACAACCGGGGACGAAGTGGTGAATCAGTACCTCGCGAAGCAGGAGAAGCGTCGTGGATTCCTGCTGTTCAAGTATACCTCTTCCCTCTCTGTCAGCTGCACCACAGCCCAATAACTGACCTTTCACACCCTCAGCGACCGAACAAGAAGACAGCACTGCGTTTCGGCACCGTTTCCCAACGCGGGAGAAATCGACCGGCTCGAAAAAGCCCGCGAACACGGATGCAACGTCGCTAGCACTCCCTCCCTAGAAGGGTTAGCAGAGATCCTGAATCAGTGGGGGGTAGATGGCCCGCAAGCCCTCCGAACAATCGAACAGTACGATCGCATCATACGGCTGGGCGATAAGACATCTACGCTCGACGCGCCGGTCGGAAAAGCCGGAAAGCCTCCTGTTCCCTTGGTGGAAGGTGAAGGACCATTCTTCGTCATGGAAGTCCAACCATCGTACGTGCCCCCGATATGATCCATGCTTGGCTAGAGTATTGACCCGGACAGAATTACGTTCACCTACGGCGGCGTGCTCATCGACACCAAGGGCCGTGCCCTTACCCCCGATATGACTCCTATTCCGGGTTTACTGATTGCAGGTGTCGACGGCGGAGGATTTAGCAATCTGGGATATGCTGGCGGTCTCGCGCTGGCGTTCGTCACGGGTCTCTGGGCTGCCAGGACCATCGCGACCGAGCTGAAGTTACCAGTACCGCAACTGCCGGCGGCCGATGTGCGAGACGCAGGATCGGAGGAGCCGGTCATCGCCAGTCGACTATAGCTCGCGACATATTTCGTGTGGTTTTGTGTGAGTAGGACGTGTACATGAATGAATTGATGGACAGAACAAAGAAAGAAACAATTGCTATCGTAAAAGACAATTAATGCTCAAGTCAGGAGTCCGATCGCAAGTCATTGTGGATACTAGAACAAAGTATAGATACTAGAACAAAGGAAAATGAACTCAAGGGAACAGAGCACTTGATTGCCAGGCTAAGAAGAACTTCTCCACTCCAGCCTGCGTAGAAAGGCTATATATGAGAGCTTCTGTACTCCAGCAAAGCCTTCTCGATACTTCCATATGCTGAAAAAGCCTCGGGTAGCGTCATGTCCGGGTCATAGACTCGTGGCAATTCTCACAATTGGGTTGCCACTCGCGCCTCGATTGACTTCGACTTGTAATAAGCGCCGAGCTTGAGCGAATTCGCCTCCTCCATAATCCAATCTAAATGCTGTCCTCAGATCCCATGACCCTTCCTGCTCACTGTGAAGCTCGGTGTGTGGGCTCAAAGATCGTCAACGGGCTCTTAAATGACTAGGTGGTGTAACTAAGAGAGTTGTATGGTCACCGATCAGCACATGTCGCTCAAGTGGTATTTCTCTCTTTGGATACTTTCTAATGGTGAGGTCACGGTCCATCATGTTGACTCGCAAATCGGCACGTCCGAGGCTTTCCGTTCGAACACCATAGCAGGTAATACGACTCGTGGTGAGATCGATGTGGATGAATAGACTCATCTTGATTAGTATGGCAACCCAGTGGTCGACGTTATGGATTTTGATCAGATCACCTGGCCATACCTTCTCTGGTCCATTGGAGCCAAAGGAATTTAATAGCAGTGGCGAGTATACCTCCAGCCCGCAGCGAGTCAGATATGAACTGTCTCGGCATCAGAGAAGGGGCATAAATATATTGGACACTTCCTCTCCTGTGCTGTAAGGGATTATTTATTGATGATGTCGTAAAGGCGAGTAACAAATAAATGTCGCTTAATATAGACGGAAATCGACGATATACAAAAGAATATAGGATACTACTGGCGGAAGGGCACTATCTAAATTTAGGAACATTACAAGCGATATATATAAGCCAAAGAGCTTAGCACCGAACTAGACAAAGATTAGCTACTTAAGCTAGACTCAGATTCTCGAAGAATATTTGATATACAGTACACAAGATATCATTGTGTACAGACCGAGTCTTGGAAATTTTAAAAGATCCAAAGACCACCGCCAGATCGATCAATTTATTAAGTTATTTAAATATTACGTCGGAGAACAGTATACGCTAGATAGTTTAGCAGAGTATGTCCGAGTTTCTCTTAGAATACTAGGCTAGTTAAACAAAGACTTGTAGACGGCGCTTCTCGAGTATATAGAGATACTTGGTATCGCCACAATAGATTCATCAACATATATTTTGTACGTATCTTCTATAACAGGATTGCGAGGGCTATTAGGAGAGCTGTCGACTTATCTAAATATAAACTGTTAACCGCGTCTATTATTTATTGACCATATACAATCGACAGCCCGGAAACACTACCGCCGGCGCCACAACCAGAAATCCTAGAATTGAAAAAAAAAAAAAAAAAAGTGGCTTTTTACCGGAAATATTTTCCTGATTGTCTCCGACTCTGTGCCGAATACGCCGCCCAGGTCTTCACCATGAATAAGTACTAATTTGGGCCAAAGGGTCACAATAATCAGACCCTAGGGTCACATCTACCTAGATCCCACGTTATATCGCTCTACCCTAGACCCGGAGTCCTACTGTATGGTACTAACGACTCCTCTTCTGCCCTGCTAACGGAGAAGTTCAGAAACAGTTCTCAAATACCTACAAATGATCTTCGAAAATGCAGCAAACACAAAAAGATACAATAAATCAATAAAACTTAAACCAATTACGGACTGTACCGTAAATACCTCATGTTGGCAAGGAAATTCCAGCCGGCTAAGCGATGCAACGGTAGGAATGTTGTCTAGGGCACGGTAGATCGTCTAGATAAGTACGAATCAATGCAATCATCTGGATAAACTCGAGCAATTTCCAGTGTCCATTCTACCCCGTGGGCTGCAAATTGGAGAATGAAACCTCATTTTAATCGTGATGGCATGCTGTCTCAGTTAAAAAGGGTGGGTTACCTTTGGGCCCTGGAATTAAGGTTCAATATTGACGGTTCATGATAGACGCAAACGAACAAATTTTGATGTCTCCGGAATTTTGTTCTCCGGCGGTTTCATGGCTTAGCTGAGATATCGTCAAAGACACTGTGTAGGGCATGGTTACAATCAGCTCTATACTGATATCTTCAGCGGGGGGTGAGGGGTATCTACCGTAGATATAAGTTACCAATGCTCCCAATCATGTTGAACCAACCGACAGCAGTCGACCTTCAAGACAAGGCATTTTGAATCACAAGGACACTATGCATATTTTGCAGCAACCACATCTTTACATTTCCATTTTCGGGGTCTACTTGCTCTGGAAATTATATCCGATATGGCCCCTACACTTGGTTCAGCCCGGTTGTATTTCGACCAGCATCATCCTTAGTGCCATCTAGAGTATGTGGATATATCCAACCTTCCTAGATCCGCTTCGTGAACTACCAACTGTCAAGGTAACTCACCTAAGATATGTTGGATCCCGTCGTAGCTAATCTAGTTGCAATTCTACAAGGGATATTTCAACTTCATGCGCATCATCTGCGAGTACAACCGGGGCCGATCGCCTCTGGAATAGATGCATCGATACCCGACTGCGCCCTTGATACGATTCCAAGAGCTTGGGATTTACAACTATCTCGTCCTGGCAGACGAGGAAGCTTTGCGAGATGTCTTGGTGAAGAGCTCCTATGATTTTGAGAAACCAAAGGAAGTTCGAGCCGCAATCGCAGGCATGGTCGGACACGGTTTGGTCACATCGGAAGGGTCAGACCATCGAGCACTACGCCTCGCCATCGGCTCTGGGTTCAATATCCATAGTGCGCGGATGTTTTATTCAGTTATTTGGCAGGAGGCCCGTGATTTCCTAGCTCGATTACAGCAGGACGTTACGACAGGATCTTCACATGATGCAGAAGTTGCTGGAGGGATTGATGTTAACAACGTCTTCCGGTAAGACTTTTAAGCCAGTATCAGGCCTTTTCTATGTTATGTCACTTTGTCAGCGGCTAACAGGTCCGAGTAAACTGTTCATCAACATCATCGGAATAAGGCTTGTGGGGGACCATTGGCGTGGAGTGTCGGACGGACCAAAGAAGGTTGGCGATGCGTTTGACAAGATCCTGGAACCTAGTTTAGGAAATATTTTCTCCTTTGCGATGTACCTGGCCTTTCCACGCTGGGTTAGTAGGATTGTCTCCTGGAGCAATAAGACAACGAGAAGAGCCGCAAAAGATGAACTGCATGCATTATTTCTGAGCCTCGTGCTACTGCAGCAACAAGACAATGCACAGAAGGAAAGAAAACCATCACAGCCTAGCCTTATCTATTCAATGACGCAGCGACACTCATATACAGCGGACAGTATCACAGAGCAAATCATGCAAGATTTTACTAGTGTGAGTCAAATTTCCAGTCCTCCCTCATCAAAGAAAAGAGTTGACAGTTGCCGCACAGTTCGAACTCTTAGCTTTCACACTGTCCTGGTGCTGCTATGAGCTAGGTTACAACCCGTCGTTTCAAGCTCATCTTCGCCGTGAGGTTAAAGATGCTCTTTCTACATACAGAGAGGGATCATGGACCACTATGGAGTCTCTCCCATTGCTAAACGCATTCTGTTTGGAAGTGCTCCGTCTTCACCCCATCGCACCTGTGACTGCTCGACAAGCTATCCGCGATACAACAATTGCAGACGTAAAAGTTCCCCGCGGTACTGGAATAATTCTCTGCCCCTATGCCATGGCTCGGTGCCGCCATATATGGGGTCCTCGAAGCAACGAGTTTTACCCGGAACGGTGGATTGTGCTCGATGAACATGGACAGAAAAAGATCGACCCCACAGGTGGCACCTCTTCGAAGCATGCTTCCCATCCATTCCTTTTCGGTCGACGTGAATGTCTTGGAAAGGAGCTTGTAATGGCTCAAATGCGATGCGTCGTCGCTGCGGTTACCGAGCAGTTTTCCATCGAGCTGCAAGGCCCTCCTGGAGATAATCCTGTAGGTGGAATGATAACAATTAGGCTGCTCAATGGGATGCATGTACGGCTGAAAAAGATAAATTAGAGTACCTTGACGGGATACTTGAATCGAGCAATCTTCATTGCATCTACAGGTACTGCTCATTTGCATCATGTCTTTGTTCTGTTTTCACTTCTTGCTTGACAACCCATATTAAGTACGCTAGAGTCGGTGTGGTCTTTGGAAAATTCCAACTGTCAAAAAAGTTGTAGATTTTATATATCTTCATATTCTAGAATCCCCAAAAAAATTTGCTATCATTACTCACACTTCAGACACTAATATTGGGCCAAGTGATAGCATCACATATTAACCACATCTCATTGATGAGTCACATTTGATGCTGATCAGCCATGTAACTACTCTTCCCTAAGCTAATAGATGAAATACTTAAACGGCACTGCTAGGCTATTTAGAGCTATTCGGCTCCAAAGACTGAACTAGGGAAAGGATGAAACACAATACCAAGGTAGGATTGAAATGCACCTACAACAGCGTGCCATATACTGGTTCAATGCGGGCCTGTTGTATTATACTCTGTCTGTTGGAATGTAGCATCCGGTTGCGGCAGACAGCCTTGGTGGCCGAAGTGCAACTCACAGATGCTGATAAATTGCGGGACTTTGGCACTTGGTAGTGTCAGAAGTTTCGCATGACGACTTTCAAAAATAAAGCAACGACACGCTATACCGTAATAACCAACCAGAACAATGGTAAGAGACATGACCAGAGTTCTCGCTGTAGAGGTTTCCCCACTAAGGACCTAAGCCCCGATGTAGCCTGCAGCCAGGGGAGCGGACAGTCCCAATGGAAGTCCTCCATCTGTCCATGCCACGTACAGGAACAGTGTTCATGCAAAAGGCACTCGCCATCCTAGGAATTCGACTATACCACGGAGGTGGAACCACGCTTAAGCGACCCCCAGATACCGTGCGGTGGATGCAGGCAGCCAAGGCAAAATTCAACAACCAAGGGCCTCGATTCCAGCGAGCAGATTGGGATCAACTGCTAGGTGACTTTGGCGCCGTGAGCAACATGCCATGTATTGCCTTCGCAGAAGATCTGAGAGCAGTCTACCCAGAGGCGAAAGTCATCCTCATTCAACGAGATGCAGCATCCTGGGCTGAGAGTTTCAGAGGGGCCTTTGGGCGTCTGCACGACTGGCGGACGGTGTTGATTGCGCAGTGAGTAAAATTACTGCCTACTCTTACCTGAGTATATATGGATGGTGCAATTGAGTTTGATTCAATCTCGGCTTGACCGGTGGTCGCTGAGGCCATACCGAGGAATGATGCTTTTCGTCGCAGACAACTTTTTCGAAGGCTCGCCAATGCACAAGAGCAAAGAAAGCCTTGAGGCCCGATATGATGAGTATTACAGTTTTGTTCGCAGCATCACGCCCGCAGATCAACTGCTTGAATACCAAATGGGAAGCGGCTGGGAGCCCCTGTGTTCCTTTCTCGGCAAACCCATACCTAAACAGCCTTTCCCGCATGCTAATGATCGTCGCAGCCATTCTGAGAAGTTCAATTGCACGGCGAATGTTGCGGTCACCAAATGGAGTGTGCTGTGCGTTGGGTCTATTGCGCAAGCCTGGGCACTGATATATTATAGGCATGCAGTCATATCGTGGGCCCTGGCTTTATGTCAACTGGCAGTTGGCAACTGAAGTGGCGGATGGAAGTCGATTGATACTAGACCTCACCATAACGGGCTATACACAAACGCAGGATAATACTTGGTAATCAAGTTATTTTGTACAATTCGCAGGACACCAGAATTATAGAGCCAGGAGTAAGAATAAAGAACAAAATAGATAAAATAAAAAAGATGGAGATGCGGGGAATTGAACCCCGGACCTTTCACATGCTAAGCGAACATTATACCACTAAACCACATCCCCAATTCGTTATAATTGCGGTGAGCTTTTGGACTTATAAGCAAGACAGATATTTACTACGCACTACTGCGATCTGACGTATAATCATGAATACGCTGTGTAGAAGTGACTGGACATATACTGTTATGGTTGACTAATGTGGGTCAGATGAATATAGACAATGCTAAGTATTCTACATTTACTTCCTGTAAGATTGATTAACCGAAATCTCACATTAACCCATGACTTGATTGACTGTTCATAAATGATCCAATCTCCGTCACCCACTCACCATGCCAGGTGGGCGAATATGACTTCCCATGCTAGACAATCCTTTGAGTTGCTGGGCTGGACTATGCCCACAGCTTATTTACATAATGCAAGCTCGTCTTGGCTTCACCATCTGGTTACTAGACTCCAGCACCGCGTTGAGGTGCGAGCTCATTGCTGGAGACCCGGTCCAAGGGACGCAGGCACCCTCTGCCGCTAGGATTTTGCTACCGAACGCGTTACCTTTAAAGGTCGCTGTCCGTACTGTCCGAGAACACAAGCAAATCCTCAGCGTCAAAGGGCTCATCCTCCATGGGAGGAGGCAGGGGGGCCTCATCTCGGTGACGAAGGACCTGGGATCCCTCACCCCCCTGCTGGTGTGCATGCGGGTGCGGCTGCTCGGCCATCGGGAAGGGAAAGCCCACTCCCTGGGCCGGCGCCTGCAGGGTGAGAGCGAAATCCTGCTCAAACCCCCGCTGTTGCTGGTGCGGCAGCTGTTGCGCCTGCAAGGTGAGAGCTGGACGCTCATCAACCTCCCGCTGCTGTTGGTGCTGCGGGTGCGGCTGCTGGACCATTGGAAAGGGAAGAGCCAATCCCTGGGCCAGCGCCTGCGAGGTGAGAGCTGGACGCTGCTCAACCTCCCGCTGCTGTTGGTATTGTTGTTGCTGCTGCGGGTGCGGCAGCTGGTGCGCCTGCAAGGTGAGAGCTGGACGCTCATCAAACTCCCGCTGCTGCTGCTGCTTGGCAGCTTGTTGACGTCGCCGCTCATGAGCAGGCGGACGTCGGCCCCGTTTGTTCTTCCGGCCCTGTCCTCCTTCCTGAGCTGCAGGAGCAGCCTGGTTATTGGACGAAGCCGGAGAAGCATGGCGGTCAGATTGCTGGCGTTTCCGACTCGCTTCGAGCTACCATCATATTAGCTGGTTCCCACGGACTTTCTGCGTTGTTTCCAAAGTGTCACTCACCAGAGCATCGATGACGTTCACGACGGACCGCTCAAAGTGCTCTTCTGAAGTGTGATCGTACTCCCCACAGTAATCACACGGTCTATTCTGCCGCTTTTGCTTCTGGCCAGACTGATGGGGGTTCCGACGCAACCCAGTCTACCTGACATGTTAGCTGGTTCACATGAACGCTCTGCATTGTGTCCAAAGTGTTACTCACCAAAGCATTGATGGCGTTCTGAAGAGTCCGCTCAAAATGCTCATCTGTGGTATGGTCGTACTCCCCACAGTACTGGCACGGTGTATCCTGCTGTCTGTCAGGAGGGGGATTCTTCCGGCCTCCTCCCCCACGTTTACCGGGGGGCTTACCACCACCACTGGCAACCTGAGGGTCAGGAGGCGCCCCGGAGTTCTCCGCCACTGTCGCCATGGCAGATGGAAATAAGAAGAGAGAGAAGAAAGGGAGACAAGGTATTTAAAATACGTCTTGTAGAATAGTTAGCTACTTGGTAACAAGGAGTTACGAGTAGCTGGTGGTCCTCGATAAAAGATCGACGTGACGGGTGAGGAAGGAAGGAGAAGAAAGGAAAGGGAACAGAAGAACATAAGAGAAAGAAGATACACAGAACGTGTGTGTCTGCCTAGCAACACAACGTATCGCGTCTAGCTACACGCGCCTTGGTCACGTCAATCCACACGTAACGACACAACAGGGTGATATTCACTGCCATGAACCTGTTCATGTTTCGGTATTGCATTCTGTGGATACGACATTTAATCAATCTGCGGCTTAAAGCTTCCCAGGCTCGATGATACCCTGGGATTGGTATACCCCTTGGCTTCGATGCACACTATCCCCTCTTCCCTTACTCTCAAAGGTCATTATATAACTCACACGCGTGCTTTCTTACCCTCTGTGGTATCGGTGATGCAAAGTTCATATTGGCCTCCCACCACGTAGTTGACAGGAACGGGGTGATCATCAAGGCAGGACAGCCCCGGATAAAGGAATTAATGGAAACGGAACGTATCGAAATTCCCGTCTGTCCCAACCGGCGTCAAAGTACTGGAGATCCGCAGTTCTGTTTGATCAAGTCCTGACTACCCTCATCCAAAGGTAGTGTTGTCGATCTAAGCTAACCATCCTCACGGCTCACTCCGAATCCACTCGACTGCCAGATGCCGAAGGCTTACAGGGAACTTGCTCCGATGACACGCATGATCACAAGATGAAATGGCCGAAAGATTCTCGAGTCCCTAAAGGCGATGTCGAACAAGAAGGTCTGCAAATGCAGCTGAGGTTGGTAGACGATATGGATCATCGAAGGGCCCATTCTATTGACGACTTTACTATTCTGCAGCTCACGTTGAAGCTGAAGGAACCATCTCCAAGATTCGTTCCTGTCAACATGGTTTTAGTGAGGTCATTACGTATGAATAATCTGAGCCCCCGGGCGACTAAACCTCCGCCCAAGCCTCCATGCAATTTAAAATATCCCAGATTTGCTAAAATTGGCCTGACTCCTACCGAAAAGTAATCAACGAGCACTATAGTATGTTAGTAACAAGTTAAGACTTACCAAATCAAGTAGGTCATTCTTTACCCTTCCATTATATGAAGACGAACAAAGTCCTATTGATATGCGTCTGTGAGGACACCAAAGACAGCGATATTGCGATTGGGGAGAGCACCTGGCAACTTAGTATGGCCCCTGACAACTTCAGCCATATACTTTCGGTCTTCTGTCCCAGCGAAAACGGGCATATGTAGCATACCTGCACGAGTTACCCATCTTGGTCATGACACAGCACCCATTATCCCTCTCGCAGGCCGTGCTTCGCGGGTTTAGACCGCTTCTGCCGAAGACCAGGCCGTGTACTTTTCAAAGTCAGGCCAATCTGCAATCTGACGGACAGCCAAGACAAACTTTCCACTCGAGTTCGAATGAGAGCTTCATTGAAAATCAAGCCGTCCTGTGCCGAATCATAGTCTGCCATAGTAGCTTCTATTTATATTAGCTATCTTGTAAGAGTATCGGGTTTGTACTACATACTGGAAGTCGGGGGCTGGGAATCGCTCCTCAGGCCGAATCATAGAGTAGCCAGTGCTTTCATCTCCTGGCTCTCTTTTTGTGCCAAATTAAATTCTTTGGGCAACTTCTTTTGGAGCTCTTCGTGTCGCATACTCGTAGTAAGGGATTTCACTTTCTTCTCCAACTCCCGACGCCATCTTGGATGTGCTGAGCCCTGGTTTTGTCAGATAGGTTCTGAAGGGTGATAGTGTATTAGAGAAGCCTAGACAGTGGAAGCCCTTTGGGGATGTATATAGCCGGAAAGCCTTCATACGAAGGGGAATGGACATCCTATTCAATTATACCTGGTGAATAGGGAGTACATATTCGTTGCCTTGTCTTCCTTGTCATGAATCTACATTCCTCAACATGAATTAACAGTGAATACTTGCAGTAAATAGTACATATAAAAAGTTATTCTTGTGCTTAATTTAAAAATCTGCCTTGTGATTGTGAGTAGACGAAGTATGGGGACTGTGGAACAAGATCGAATAGGGTTCAGAAGTCGTGAAGGGAGTGGCTGGTCGGACACTGAGTATTCCGATTAAGTCGTTACACCGGTAGTATTAAATAAGATTATCATCCGTCTGTAGACGAATAGCCACGCAAGGTAGGCAAAAGTGGCTGTGGAAATTTGAACAGTAACTCCATCAGTGTTCTCCATGCACTGTCCACCCGACCTCATCATAGCTTTATCCATTCACCATTACTGATCTACCCACCTCACCAACATGTTCGCACTCGAATTGTGGGAGAGCAGAATTGGGTCTTTACAGCGCCGGGCTGATCATAAAATTCGACGAAAGGAAGTGAAAGTTAAGGAGCAATTAATGGTGCTCTAAGACTTCCGATCCGCGTCACAAAATACAAGCACCTTGCTGTACGAATAGTCTAGCTTCTCAGATGAGAGTATAATAAAACAATTTAGCTGTTTGAAAGAAGTGATACTAATGAAACATGTAATGCAACATTTACACCTTCCAAAGCTGGTAGGTTGCTCCACATGACTTTTTGACCAAGAGATATATAATGCCGCTGAAGTGGGAGTTATGTATATCTTGAACCACCAAAATGATCATATACATTAGAAATCTGATGTATGGTAGACGTGGTGGAATATATAACATTTAAAAACATATTTTTCACAGGGAATTTATTATAATATCGCGTTTGAAGTGTGCTGTGCCAGAGGGCCGGAAGACGTATGTGCAAACTTGCTAAGCGGAAACTGCAGTTTTATGTTATATGGTGTAATTCATATAAAAACCTCTCTGTAGATCAAACCAGTACATACGACCATAGGGTGTGGAGAACAGGGCTTCCCGTCCGCTCAGCCGTACTTAAGCCACACGCCGGGAGGTTAGTAGTTGGGTGGGTGACCACCAGCGAATCCCTCCTGTTGTATGTTTTTTTTACCTATTCTATCATGTAGATAGATCTATATTGAATGGAAATACTTTTCATTGTACCGCGTCTAAACGGTTCAGGGCACTCGTCCATGGAAATGCTGATCTCTAAACGGTCCCTGGTGCTACTCCGATGGCCTCCCTGAGCCAGACCTACGTGATCCTAAGCACGACCAACGTGCTACGCTGCCAGCTCCTCTCTGTTGAAGCACTGACTTATTGGAATTAAGGTGCTGTAGTTCAATTTGCAACTCCGGCTACTAATCAAAGGCTGTCTAGGGACTTGCGCTAAACAATGCCATCCATGAACCGTGTGCTTGTCACCTTCGCCACACCGCAGACATCGAGGTCTGCGCGCCAAGTCCAAACGAGCCCAGCTCGACCTCACGAAACGAGAATTCGCCTACTTCACGAGCAGCAGCTACGACTGGAAAGGATCGAGCCTATAAGCCTTGAGGGATTGCATCAGATCTCGAGCCCGTGTTACCATCGACAGACACCAGAAAACAGTGACACGAGGGTACGCGGAGAGGTTTCAGAGAACAGGCTTCAGAGGAGTTGCAGCAAGTTGATAAATTGTAGCATCCAGGATACCTGCGCTGTCGGGGAATCCTACAAAGACAGCGCGATCATTTCCCTTGGGCGGAGCTGCTACAGGACGTTGTTTTCTTTGGAAACAGTACCACGTTCCTAAGGTACCAGTATCCAGTCTGCGGGAAGAAGGCACCTATATAATCCTGCCTGCCTCCTTTTGCCTCAGAGCTCATTCACCTCATTTTTTTTCAGTCAAATTTGCCAACCTATGTCTGGAACTGGCTTCAGAGTTGCTTCTAGGCGTATTCAAACCGAAAAATCCACCAAGCACATAGGCGTGGCTCGCATCGCCTCTGGACTGACCCGAGACGCTCTGCTTTCGCCCGGCCCAGACTACTCTAGACTAGACTTACTGCCGGGCGTACGTCTAAAGCGTCTTCAAGGACAGCATCGGGTACAAGCTGCCAAAGAAACTTCTGGATCTGCCGACACATATTGGGTTCGTATCTTAAACATATTAGAGATTTCTGGTATGCCGTATTTGGCGGAAAACGAGGGAGATATGCATAGGCTCGACGCAGCCTCGGTACGTGCCCTAGAACTCAAGGCGCCCGGCGCTTACGACGGGAAGCCCGAGGTCTTCATGGTCGCGTCTGTGCGGGAGAGATTCTCAGCGCGTTTAGTGGCGAACAGCGGTAAGCCATTTGGTCTAGGATTCGCGCTGCCAGTTGACTGCCTAGTCCCGTCACTTTCGGGATTTTTCGACGATCTCAAGCACCTCAAGCTTGTAGCAGACGGTGTCAAGTGGCTGGAGCGTCTCGAGAGGAGGGAAACCATACGGTCTGCCCTGGAGTACTCATTCTCAGATGCGGATCACGGCAACAACCTGTGCTTGGTTCAGACGTCTAGCTCGTCGTTCAGATCTGTCTCTGGAAGCGACATAGATTGGTTCGACGTCGCGTGTAGAGTTCTATGGCTCTATGCGCTGCGCGAGTACCTGGAAAGGCCGACTGAGCCCAATAAAAAGCTCGCAGGCACCAGAAATGGCCAGGACAATGAAAAGGTGCTGTTTGAATTTGCTTCACCTGCCCATAAGCTAGGATTTAGATCGGAGCGGATCTAGGACCTACTACAGCGAGACCCAGACCGGGAAATTGCCCGTCGACTGCTCCTGACGGCTCGAAAATCTGATCGTTTCGGGTATCATAATCTTGAGAGATGCGTAACAGGAGTAACGGAGTGGATAAAATCGGCCCAAGCTATACGCGATGGTGACGATACGGATGAGGGCGAGGATCAAGTTCGATTGCCCAATCGAAGCGGCATACCCAATCTACCAGATCAAGCGCGGGACAAGTCTTATCTTTTCCTCGACAAGCTACACGCGGACGTAGTATGCGGACCAACTTTGACATCCCTATTTATTCAAAGATCGATGTACTTTGCATTCTTTGGGAAGCAGATCTCTGTCGATGCTGTCGACGTCAATAGTATATATAAAGAACAGGCGACCACGGACCAGCCAAGGCCCGGTCCCGAGCAGTCAGCAGGTGGCCATCCGAGAGCAGAGCTTATGATAGTGGATGAAACCCATCAGCAAGACCGCCTGGAGAACCTAAGACAAACGGCGGACAAGCAGGAAGCCAGGCTGGAGCAGCTCACACAATGGGAAAGGGACCAACAGGAAAACATAGCGCAGCTCCAAAACGCTGTATCTGAACCAGAGGAAAGGCTCATAGCTTCTAGCCGGGACGTTGAGGTGTTGCAAGAGAAGTTAGATAGTATAAGAAGAGCGGAGGCTGAGCAGGTGATCAGGCTAGAGAGCCTGGAAGCCAACGAAGAGAAGCGACGAACTATTATAGGTACTCTTGAGCAGACCCAGCACAAACTCGGCGAAGAAATACAACTCGATCTTCTCGCGGCTGGCCAGCGAGAGCAGGCGCTCAGGGACGACGAGGCCCAAACAGCCAGGCTTAAACAACTTTCGGAAGAGGAGCAAGAGAACCAAAGAAATCTAGATTAATTAAGAGCTCAAACTGCTCGACAACAGGATGTACTAGATCAGCTCGCAGCGACTGAGCGCGAAAGGAAGGCTACACTGGAGCAACTCGAAGCGGAAGAAAGAAGAATGTACACAGTGGTGGCAGAGTTGTCAGAGAATGCTCGTCAGCTCAGCGACGAGGAAAAGATACAGGCTGAATCATGGGCGAGAATAGAAAATGAACATAAGTCAGTTGTTGATAAGCTTGTTGCGAGGGAACTAGAACTGCGAGGAAACATTGACCAGCTTGCGGCATGTTTGGAGAGACTTCAGGCGAAAATCGAAAAAGCCACCAAGGAGTGTGAAGACTGTTAGCAAAGGTCAGAGCGGCTTCCGACCATGGAGAGGGAGGAGCAGTCGGCCATGGAGTCGCATGAGTCTGACAGCCAAGGCTCCCGTTTGGAACCTGGACAGGCAAGATTGAGTCCGGTCACTGCCGAGGAGGAACAGCCCCACGTTTTGGACACATAACGAGACACAAGAGTTGAGTTAGAACAGGGCTCGACTCTGATGAAGAGCCTGGAGGTGATGGACCACCATGTTAAGACCTACCCACGGCACCCGAGGTGGGAGAACAGTCTCACCACGACCAGCAGACACGTCGACAGGTATGGAGCTTGAAACAATGAACCGCATCGTTGCGCTCACACACCACAGGCCAAAGAATCGAGCGTCGGACAGGCAGCAGAAAAGGTTGGGATAAAATCCAAGCTCTACGAAGATGGGGAGTGGCAGCTCAAACATACGCTCATGGTAGATGCTTCAGAGCCATCAGAGCTGAGGCGAGTAGCGAGCAAGTATATGCGGACAGGGTATGGGATCTTTGATAGCCAAAATCGAGCACTGACTGCTCAAACATGCTTTGAGCGAGTGAAGTCTGATGGGACAAATGTTATGGCAGCTCAGAATGTCTGGCAGCAGGGGGTGCTAGCCATCCTTTGTGCCAGCGCTTGCACGGTAGCCCAGAGAATGCCTTAGCACGGACATCGAGTTAGGCGGAGGGCTGGCTGGAATAGGCGGTGCTGGGCTTCACCGCTGGCGTACTGACCCAAGTACTGCGACGAGAATAATGCAGATCACGTACCCACCATCCAGACCATTTTTCAATAGTACCTCGTAAATCGTCGATCTAGCGCCGAAGCCCAATTTATCCAAGGCTGAGGCGATGTGCCGATGATCTGTCAACATGCAAACTCAAGTGCCATCTTCCGGATATCATTACCTAGCACTGCTTTGAACCCACTTATCATAGCCATGGTTGTGACCGTCGTGATCCATCCGTCAGATTTCACCAGGAATATGCACGAAAAAACAGTACCCTCGTAAAATGTTAATGAAGCTCCGATGTAAAGTCAGTATATATTTCGATTAAGCGATTTAGTCTACTCTGGTCTAGTTACACCGGATAGAATATCATCTGAATCTCTGGTTCCTGTGCCGGAGTAGTGATTGGTAAAAAGGGTGGGGGGGAGGTAATATATTGATCCGTCACTTATGAGGACACAGCGATCATCGCCAACGCAAGGAATAAACTAAACTATAACCAGTCCCCAGCATTGCTGCAGATGCGTGAGACATGGCTGCAACCTTTGAACACGCTAACAATGACGGTAACAAAAGCCCGCCTGCAAGAGCGGCAAATGGTATAGACCCTTGTTTTCGCTTAATTAAAGTTTATAAATCTTCTGAATTGGATCTCCTTGCATGCACTATTGCATGTACTAGATCCATCAGTTAGCTTGCCCCACAGTTCAGCTTCTACGCACGGTCATCACCTCCTGGAGAAATTGCTGAGCTGAGTTGATTGCCAGCTTCGAAAGAATTCGAGAACCGCGCTACTCCTGACAGTAGTACTACGATATAGATAGATGAATAATAAACAGATATATCCGTAAAGTTAGCGAAACCAATACCTTATAAACGAAGATTGCTTTTACAAGAGTTCATCGAAATCTTAGACTCAGGTGCCAATTTACTTAACCCAGCTTAGCCTACCAGGTAACGAAACGTCAATTATATATAAGATAAAGATTACTTCATAAGATAAACAGCAGCAGGAAGATGTATTGGGAGTTTCAGATTCAGCCAGCCATGTAGATATCTGTGCCACTGTGGAGTAAAGTTCACGATCTAGTGAAAGTTATGGCGATCATCATTATTACTCTGAGTACTTACCCCCTATCTTGAAATATACGTGCCTGCTCACCGCCGAAAGCTGTGTTATATAAATCTAACGTCTTCCCCTCTATCATTTCCTACATCTAAGCGAGTGCAAACCTCTATCCTATATTTTATACTCATTACATCCACTGAAATCTCACGCTCTAAAGAAACCATGAAGGTAAAGAATCAATACTTCGCAACAGTGAGAAATGCTGCTAATAGAGTGTGTAGTTCATCTCTGTTGTCGCTCTCCTAGCCCCCGTCGTCCTGGCCGCCCCGCAGGCGAGTAATGAAGGGGGCTGGATCGCACTCCTCCAGGAACAGGTGTGGCCTGCCAACTACTAATTACAATTTTGAACCTCTATTTGGCAACCTAGATTAGCTAACTAAATATCGCTAATAGTGCAGTGATATGTCACAGCAGTGTCTTGATATTGCTAAGCAGGTCCATGAGCCGCAGTTTGATATTATTCAAGCTACAAAAGTTATACCGGCCATGTCGACTTGTACCCCAGCCTATGTGGAATGTATCCAAAAGCTCTCACCCGACTCTGGTATGTGTTCCGGATTCAATAACTCACTCGTACAAGCAACTGGCTAACCGCAGTCCAGATGTTTCTACTTTTACTCAGCCAGGCGCCAATCAAGGAGGGCTCACTACATGCCTCCTACAAATTGCGCCTGATCATTTTAAGTACTTTCTCGACAATGATAGCGCTGAGATACCGATTCCGGCTCGCCAAAACTGTGCATTGCGAGAGCTGCACCGCGAAGCGCACGTTCAACTGGGTCCCTTGGCCTAAGAATAATGGCTATTGGGAAGATTGTCAGGGACCTCAAAGCTATATAGTTGGAAATAAAGCTGGATGATAGCATTGATCGGCATGTTTGGTCTTTGCAAGTTATGTTGTCGACATCAGAATAGCAATTTATCTATTCCAACAGACATGCTCAGTAATCCAGGGACTGTTATTTTATAGACTGTTGTGAATCGAGGCTCTACATGAGATATGATAAGGCCTCGTATGCAGAACTGATTCCATGATTTCTTTCAATCTTGACTGATTGGAATGTCCATTTGGGCTTAACTCTGTGTATACATATCCTATTCACCTGAGATGAGAATGAAAACAATCTTCCTCTCAGCACAACATAGACTACTTGTTGGTGCCAGGCCTAATGTCAGATAAGCCCATATCTGAACCGCCATTACTATCGAGAGATCACCATTTATGGAAATTCTCATTGACTGAACTGTCATCGCAGAGAACAAGGGTTCCTGGTGTATAAATTGGAGCTAAAAGTGATGTTACACTAGCTTGCACAAACACCCTGCCCACCTCCGACGCTTCGAACTTGTTTCCCAGGCCAATGCCAAGAACATTAGCCGATATATGTGTAATATGATACCACATTTTAAAAGCGTCAGTGCAAATTGGCAGAATAGGCAGGCAGACGTAAGCGACCTGGAATCAAGGACAGCCATTTGCCTCACGCTATTAGCATCCTTGGAACCTGGTAGGCTCGACCAACCTTTCTCTTAAGTACAATGAGGTATAGAACACTCGAGATATAGTTTATCGTTTCCGAAAAAGGTTCATAAAAGCTCGCCGTCTAGTCCCTGTGACAGCAATCTCATCCGATGGGGTTCGATTTGGTATCTGACTGTGGTCAACTAGAAAAGAGCCATCTTCTGGTGTATGTTTTGTAGATGAGCCTTTCGTCTCTGCTTCCCAGGTCCTAAGGGCTTCGGAGGAAGACACAAAATCCGCATGATCAGGGCCTAAGACTTTGTAGCGGAACTCAACACATTTCTCCATAAGAGCTATGGCGGCCTGAATGTCTTGGAGAGATTTCAAAGTATAAGTCAGATTGGCCATGTTGATCAGAGTGTTAGGATGCTCTGGTCCCAGCGCCTGTTTCTCAGACTCCATCACCTGTATACCTAGATCTTCTGCATTTTTCCATCTTCCTTGGTTTCGGTATGTTGATGCAAGGTCCCACTCTCCAGTCGCCGACTCGTCCAAAACAAAAGGCCTGGCTTCCCCAAGAGACCTTATTCTGACTGGAGATATTGCGACGGAGTAGATTTCTGCTGAGACAGAGAACTATGAATGTTTATTTCCAGGCCTTACGGCTCTGGAGGAAATTACAATTCTTTCGGCTTATACTTTGCGTTCTACAATTTTGTCTTCGCGAGACTCATCTCGTTGAATATCGTGATATCTTTATCATGTCAATGGGGATCTTTAAGCCTATTGGTAGGTTGGTTCATTATATCTAAGCAGACTATAGCCTTCATGAGCTGCTAAAGATGCTGTATCGTAAGAAAGTAGCCCTCAAAGTACACAGTGTATGTATATAATCGGCAGTCAGTCAAAACCAGCTTCATAAGAGTCCAGACGTAGTTTTGCAGTTACGATCAGATAAAACCGTAGCAAGCATAGTGTCCCCGGCTGCGGACGCTTGTTTCAATGGCGTTCGTCGAAGAATACCCTTAGAATGGCAATCTGCGCCGCTCTCTATCAAGATTCGAATGACTGATCCATACCCCCCCTCTACGACAAGATGCAGCGGTGTTTTCCCCTTTCTGTCCTTTGCATTCGGATTGGCACCACAATGTAAAAGTATATTCACCGCGTACTTGTCATCTTTGTCGACGGCCCGGCGAAGAGTAGTATTGTTGACAGAGTAGGTAGCTTCGATATCACCGTAGTAAGTAAGGCCTTTCCAAACATCGGTGTGTTCATGCTTCTGAGCCGATACAAAAGCAGACACACCTGATCCGTCCTTTAGGCATGGCCTTGCGCCATTTTCGATCAAAATATTGGCAATTTCTCGTTGGCCTCGTTCTATCGCATACCACAATGTCGTTCTCCCGTATTTGTCTTCTTGGTCAACATTGGCATCATTGGCAAGAAGTAGTTGGCACATTGATATGTTTCCCTTGATTGCTGCATTGCAGAGAATAGGGAGATAAGCTGGACGACTGGCATCGTCAATGGGAGCTCCTATATCTATCAGCTGCTGGCACATGTCCTCCCGTCGCGCATCGACTGCATGCCACAGTGTGGAATACATCGTCTCAGCTATGGAGCTGCTGCTATAACTAAGGGAAAGCATGATGGCAAAGGCTTCTTAATGCCCACCACGTATTGCCCAGATAAGTGATGTTCCGCCAAGCTCAACTGGCTCATCAGGGCTCATATTGTATCGCGCCATGAGCATTTCTGTTGCTGCGGCCTGTCCACATTTCGCAGCATGAGAAAGAAGCGATCCCCTGCTATCGTCTTTATAATTCGGAACTTTACTCTCCGCAAGGAGAATTTGTAAAACCGATATATTCCCATATCTTGCTGCGTGTTGCAATGGAATCAGACCAGTTCTGTCTTTAACGGAAATTTCCGTACCGTTGCGACATAAAAGCAACCACACGACCGCAGAATGTCCATTCATGGCCGCAAGTGATAGCGCGCTTCGACCCTCTGCATTTCGTTTATTAAAGTCGATTCCCGTACTGCCTAGTAATTGTATCATGGAGGCATCCCCGACACTTGCTGCATCCCATAGTAAGTGACACGGATCACCTTGACGCAATTCTCTCAAGACACCATGTACTCTAGGTATATCATATTCCAGAATAGCAGTTGATGGGTTGTGACTGATTTGGGGAACCTTCGGGTTTTTTGATATTCTCGTTCGGCCTCCTTGCCGGACGGAAATGCGGCGCACGGGAAACTGGGTCGGGTGAAGCTTATCGATTTTTATGAACTCAACCTTCCCTGGCGGGACTCTCTCGAAATGCTTCAGAGTGAGGTTTGGATCCCGGAGATAGATTACAAGAACGTGGTCTTCCATTCCAGCGGTGGTGCATTGAAGTATAGCAAGTCCGAACCCTGACTGGTCTATACCTAGGAATGGAAGATCTAGTTGAATACCACGGTCACTAGACATCCACGGATTTCCTATAGAAACTGCGAATTGATGGAAGATAATGATATTGGAACATTCAGCAAAGGCTTCTGGGAAAGAGATTAAAAGTCTCCCATAATTCTCATCTTCCGATCGCCATGCGAAGAGACTGCTGTCATCAGAAGTGCGCATAAGTTCTTCTTAAAAGCCGGATAAAAGCTTTTTAACCTTCACCATAGATCAAGGGTATGTTGATATCAAAGATTCCAAGCAGGCAGTATGCACCATCCTCAATACGGGATGCCTTCCTATGTGCTGCCCATGACATTCTCTGCGCGATACTCATCGAGTCAAGCTCCTTTTTACCGGAGAGAATCACTTCTGGTATGCCTGTCAAAACAGCAATCTCCCTTTTCAGACTCTCTTTCGTACCAACTTCTGTCCACTCTGCATCCAGGAACTTGACTGTAGTAGGTGCCATCAACTCCTGCAGAGTGAAGCCGCGAGTGAACCATCTACTAGCAGACACTGGATCTGGAGACCGAACATCGAAGTGAGAATGAATGAATGACGGACGGACGGACGGACGGATTGACGCACGGACGGATTGACGGAACCGGGAATCGCCACAATGCGTCACCACTTCACTCCGCTTTCCGCTCTCCATCCGACTCGGAAGACGAATAGCAATACCTTCAGATCCAGATTCATAGCGCCTAAGACTATGGTGCATAATACTGTAGTAGCTGAACGCTCAGCGGTATGTCTGTCACGGACCCTTGGCATTTGCGCCAATATTGGGACGCGGACTAACGTACAGAAATAGTGCGACTTCTGTCATTCGAGAAAGGTTCGTCAAGCACACCATACGATACCCTTAGAGTCCGGGTTCACTCATGAGACATTCCTGCTGTCTGCTCTTGTATCATGAGGTCGTATATATTGATATCGAGGTATCCCAGATCAAATGCGATCGGCAGTGCCCATGTGCCAATTGCATCGAAGCCCTAGTAGATTGCCGCAGAGATCGACCCAAGAAAAGCAGGCGCCCGAATGGAGCTCGGTAAGAACTAAAATCTTTTTGATAAATAATCATACTCATCCTGTGAAGCGCGGCCTGCTTGTCTGAAAGGCTTGCTGCGCTCGAGTCATCAGTTGCCGGTCATCCATCTCACGACGGCCCAACTCGTCATGCGGTAGCAGATGGGTTACCAGAGCAGGAGATTATTACGAACGACGAAAGGATTGTGAGGCAATCGTCGAATCCCTTGGATAGAAACGCCAGAGATGGCTTGACCCAGCAAACCTCAGAGGGTTCTCGATTTCTGCAATGCGTACTTGGAGCAAACCCATCGCTCGGAATATGCAAATATAAGGTGATGCGGGAGGCGATTGACTTTGTCAGTCGGTTCTCTAGTACATCGAACCCATACTTTGCGACCGATGCTTTTGACCCGTCTGAATCAAGTAGTGAGCTTGAGTCAAAGGGGTTTCCGCCTGAGCTGTTATATATGATGTCAATGAGTGAGTCTGTAGATATGGCGTAGTTGGTGGTTTATTTCGCTAATTCAGTGCCCCAGATACTGAGTCGAATACCACGAAAGTGTCATTCTGGCCGGATCACGTTTCGTTTCAGACCTTGGAAAGAATGTGCTTGTCCCTTATCGAAGGGAAAGAGGACCACCACACGCTTACTTGTTACCGTGTCTGCGTCTATATGAAAGCTGCCTTTTTGCTTTGCCGATTACCAAAGAAAGATCGGAGTGTGCCACTGCGAAGGCGTCTTGAAAAAAGTAAAAAGCAATATGAACGCGAGATACATCAAGCTCTTTCCGAGATCGACTATCTTGCACGCCCAAGTTTGGTTCTCCTGCAAGCATTTCTGTCGGGTGTACGTTCGACCACTCTTCTCCAGTTTGGACCATATTGATTTCCATACTAATTTACTCGCTCCCAGGCACTATTCATGCAGAACCAAGGTGACATGTCCCGAAGCTGGACGTTAGCAGCGCTAGCATCTCGAACCTTGGTATCTCTCAATTATCACTCGATTGACTCGCTTAGGTTCATTGATGAAACAAATCGTGACATATATGGGTCCTTGTATACGTGTTACTATCTTGACAAAATGCTCAGTGTGCTCCTTCTCAGATCGCCCTCCCTTCCAAGGCTAAAGGTCAAACCAGCAGACTTGGTTTTGTTGGACCCTCAGTTTCCTCTCAGTGCCAGTATCAAAATTATGGTTGAGTTTGCACAAATCCAGGAAGGTGTTCTCGATATACTCAACTATACCAATAAGAATGATCAAGTCGCTGTGATTCCCAACCTTATACGGAGCATGCATGGCATACATGCACTGATACAAAAGGTGAGCAATCCACGTATTCCTCAATAGAAATGAAGCATCACGGGGACTGATACCTTGTTCTGTCAGCACCAAAATGAACCACCGTTCCGCGAAACGACCTATGAATGGGCTGCCATCGAATATGGCTATTATGCACTACTCGCTAGTGTGTTGCACTTGAACCAACGTATTGTACAAGATCGATCAATCCGGGAAGATTGCCTGTTGGCTTCTCGACAAGCGCTCATACGCCTGGGAAAAATTCAGGACGAGATGTACATCGATGCGAATTTCCTTGATGAGTATCCATACTTTCTCACCTGGTCAGTGCTTCCCTGCAGTATGATAACGTCTCCGTTTCTAAACTCGTCAGGACATTACTGTTCTACCCACTTAGTCCCTTTTTTGTCCTTTTCAGCAACGTTGTATTTTCAGCGCACCTCGATGACTATGCATTGATGGCCACAGTCACCAAAGGGGTTTCGCGCTTTGTGGACATGCATCCCTCTGTTGCTGGGATACATAAGCTTTTCTCTGCTTTCCTGAGAATGGTTGGGCCTCTGGTCCATAATCGCTCGAACCCCCCGCTTTCTCAACCGAATTCGGATGCTGCAGCGCAGAGAAATGAACACACCAATCTCACCAGGATGGCGACTCCACATCGTCCAACAGACATCGATAATTCCATTTACTCAAACGTCGTCCAAGGTGGGATTGATCTGCCAGACCAAGGTGTTGCCAGTCAAGACGGGCAGGTTGCCCCGGACGATGAACTCGTATGGGACTTGATAGATTCTCAACCATGGCTGGGATGGATGAGATCGGATGCCTTGACAGGCAATCCCGCCTCCAATTGGCTATTGTAGCCATCTTTTGTAATTCATAATATGACCATTTTACAGGCCATTATTCCAAGAAATACAGAGTCCGGACTACGGGAGCTGACAGGGGACATTTCGCCATCAGCTCAGCGCTAATTTCTACTGTCTGCAAATGCACTTTCTCGTGATAAAGTGTGGTGGTTACCTTTAATCATAACGTACCCAACTTGTCAGACATGCCCGTAGTATAAGATACACTCGGAACGTTCTTGTTTTCGTTGTATACTAGTCGAGAGTCGAGGGTAACTAAACTATAGAGGATACTTGTTGTTACGATGATCCCAGTTTTTTGATTGGTTAATCTCAGAATATGCCCCACTTATTTCCGCAAATACAGACACACTAGAACAGTGACAATTTCATTTACACACACACAGTCTCTCCAGTAATAGTATTTAACTTGCCATGTAATAAATAAGATATATAATAAAACCGCTCTCGTATTTTAAAATCATCGAAGTAAGGTGTAAACTGTATATAGGCTTAAGTTTTCTGCCGGCCAAATTATTGGCGTGGCGAACGTCCCCTATCCACTGCTGTACGCAGACGGACGGACGGACGGACGGACGGAAAAACGGACGGAAATGTCAATGTTCCGGGTCGGGAGAAGAAATAAAGTCCTTTAATAATCTACTGGATAATCTCCTACTAGAAGCAGGCGCAGCGGAGTTAAAGGTATAGGGGTGGCGGCCAGCATCCGAGTGCTCCGATAGATGACATATATGACCTAGGCCCAAGTATATATAAGTCGACCAAGAAGTTCCCTCAAGTCTTGGTACTCTCATCTATTCCATTTTCTTGATTGTCCCAGCCCATTTTTGGATAAGATACACTCCAAACATGCCCAACAACAAACTCAGCGGATCCCGCATCCTTGTCGTCGGGGGCACGTCAGGCATTGGCTTCGCCATCGCACAACTCGCCCTGGAAAGCAATGCAAACGTCATTATCGCCTCCTCCAGCACTTCAAAGATCCAGGCGGCCATCAAGCGTCTGCAAGAATCCTGCCCGGACTCTACAGCATCTATTGCCGGCCACCCCGTCGCCCTGGGCGATGAGACAGCAGAAGAGAACATCATCAAACTGTTTGAATACGCGACTTCGCCTTCGCTTTTTCCTCCCTCTGGACAAGAAGGTGACAGTAATACTGAGGGAAAGGACAGAATCTTACTCGACCACATAGCCTTCACGGCTGGCAACATTCCCAACCTCCACCCGCCTACATCTCCTTCCATCAATAAAGCCTACATCAACAGCATTGGAGATGTCCGAGTCATCGGCGCGGCGTTGCTCGCTAAACACTCCCAGAAATATCTGCGCCAGTCTCGCTCGTCGAGTATCACGCTGACCAGCGGCGCAAACGTGGACAGGCCCCAGAAAGGGTGGACGTTTGGTGCCATGATGAGCGGTGCTACAGAGGGGATGGCGCGTGGCCTAGCCGTGGATCTGGCGCCAGTCAGAGTGAATGTTGTGTCGCCGGGAGCTGTGGATACGGAGATTTTCGATAGATTTGGGGACAAGAGGGAAGAGTTTATGAAGAAGTTTGGGGAGCAGACTTTGACGGGGTCTGTGGGGAAGCCGATGGATATAGCAGAGGCATATGTCTATGCGATGCGGGACTGGAATTTGGCAGGCGAAAAGATTGGGAGTAACGGGGGGCGGTTGCTCCATACCTAGGTACCTAGGTAGGGAGTCTTACTACATGCAGCGGAAGCCTCTCCATCAAGTCTCTTACACACAAGGGTCTAGAAAACTTACAGGGTTAGATAACCGTTAGCTAGCTTATAAAATCCACTTAAAAAATATGCACTGCTCTTCTTCACTGTACTTTCCCAGATCTTGAGCATCGACGGGAATCCGCGCATTGCGCAGCACATGTAGCCAAAACAGAGACGGTTTTAATACAAAGATATGCTACCTTCTTGCCTCTTCATTCCCTGATCTGGACAATAATATCAGTATGTTAAGCCATAATGCTATTGTAAGACATGCCAAAGCCAACCCCCCCCCCCATAGCTCATGATAGAGAAAGTCGAGCCAATCGTTGATGCCCACATTATCAGGCCGACCAACGCGAGCTCGCCAATGAGAATGTAGACAGTCGCCGTTCCCCCGCTCAGAAATACCCTCAATAACTTCAACCTTAATATAAGCAGTAATCAGCCAAGAGTTCGTAATCTAGGTCGTAAATAAGTCCCCACACAAAAAACTATTGATCTAACGTTCGCACCTTGACTAGCATTGCAGCATTCGGATGGACCGTGTCTCGGTTGACGAGTGGATTAATGCCCCTGGCTCTGAGATCATCTGCGTGCAGAAGTCTCGATCCCCCGTCGGGCCGAGGCACGAGCCGCTCCGTTGGCAGATGTGGTGGAGTAGTAATTGATTTATTTACTCACAGGGTTGCGGGTCATACGAACACCTGTACAGTACATATTCCCCCTACGCAAGAGCCCGCTCACTATTCATCGGCCCCAGATCCGAGGGCTCCGTCCGCCCTGCTGGGCAAAAATACCCTAGCCTCGTTCTGGAATTATTCAAATTGACAATGGCTGAATAAGCTTTGCGCTAAGAAGCCACAATATGGCCTCCTACCCGCCCCCGGCAAAGTGGATGGTGCTCTTGGGAAGTCAGCGAAATAAATAAAATTCAATTCGAAAAGGCACGGGTAAATGCACCTCACAACCCCGCAGTGTCCAGCCTTCTCTATATGTCAACTGTACGCCCTCACTCAGAATCATCATGTAAGGACTGTTATTTGTCATATGGGATCCATGTCGCACACCTGAGGCATCTGACTGAGTACGTGGGAGTCTCGGAGGCACGGCCGCGCGCCCAGTGGATGTTCTCGAGCAGGGCGGATGAGGAAATATCCGTTGACGGGGAGGGTGTCTCAGTTGGGGTGTCTCCTAAACTCGACGTTCTTGGATCTGACCAGATGTAAGGCGTTCTATTCCCTCTAGAAACTTGGCCAGATGTCATGAAACTGATCGTGGAAGTTTCCAATCGTGTCCGGATCTCGCCAAGACACACATTTGTGGATCGCGTAGTTTTTGGCAGTAGCTGCTCAAGAGTAGATGTTGTATCGCTTGCCTCGGGGTAACTGATAGAAGAATTTGCGAACGGCAACTTCCAGGTCGGTGATAGCCATGGTTGCAAGTCTGGTGAGGGCGACTGTGATTCAACAGGGTTTAAGATTTCAACATGAAAGCATGATGTATACAACTGGTGCTGTCAAAAAGACAAGTTTCTTGGGCATGTGGAAAAAGCAAAACACCTGGAAGCCCAAACCTTCCCCCGTCATCTCTGTCGTGTTCCACATCCAGTATATGGTATACAGGCTGACAGCCTCCGTTTCGAGTGGCACCCGGAAAGGGTCAGGACATCCGTCGTTGAGGATAAGGCGATGTGAGTAAGCGGCTAAATCTGGGCATTTATTAGCCCGAGCTCGTCTTCTCTGAATGACACCTACTCTGTTTGTTGGCTCCTTCGCTATTGTCCAAGATATCTGCCAGACTCTTCCCTGTGCTGTTTGAATCTGACGAACCATATCAGTAAACAATGCCGTTCTCAAGCCTGTTATCCGGTACATCTATCCGAATAAAGGGGGCAGAGTATGGCGCCTGGCATCGCTTTGAGCCGAGGTAAATATTGCTGTTGGGGTGGACAGAAAATTGCAGAGGTGTCGTCATCGACAAGTCGGTGGGTTTGGAGACGGATGGTCTCGTGGCCTGTTCGCTTCAATCATTATATGTCTGTCCCATGGCAATCGAATGACTCACTAAGACCCCGACGATCGAACAATTGCCTATCGAGAGGACTAACCTCTGGATTGAGCACCTGTACCCCTAGGATCTGAACAATATCCAATATAAGACGAAGCCTTCGAAGTGAGGGGGGAGATCAAGTAATTAGTTCAAATACGTAATATATGTTATATTTTCCCCAAACCTAGTCCATATTACGATAATTTACCTTGCCTTTGAACCCGTCGGCATATCTGAGGACAAGAAATCCCTTACAATGCGGTTCTGGTGGCTGCCTCGTCGAGAGTACTCCCCGCAGGTGTCCATGGTGATTCCTCCGTCCCTCCCACCCGATCTGAAGGCAAGTTCCAGCAATGCCAAGTTGTGGACCTGCGATACGGACGAACCCATCTACTCTGGCCAAATCATGACAATAAGGACCTCGGATCCGGAGACGATGCCGCTCCCATCCTTTGAACTACTGCAAATGCAGTGGTTCTCGAATCAGGTGGCTGCTATTAGTGGCGCGGCAGATATTACGGATGAGGAGCTCGAGGATTAATTTGGAGACAGTTACGGCTTTGGAGACCCCTTTTCTGATAGCGAAGAGGAAACCTCTGATGATGATTCCACTCTTTTTGATGATTGATTTCCACGTGCGTCTTGACCTCACCCTCATCGCGCTACTGGAACCCAGACCCTCGGACTCACCCTTCAACGATTAACTAGTATCTCAACGTAGTCATAAATTTACTAGCCATGATGACAAAGCCCAGATGAGCTTAATAGGGGCTATATTAATTGGCTAGGTGGTTAGTATAATAGCCATACGCTTTTAAATTCGAGATCTTTAGATACAGAGACCAACACGATATGATCGATGGGCAGAGATTCGTCTTAACTTGACATAGTAGAGTGGCCAGCAGGAACTCGAGATTTAGGAAATTTCCTAGTGTATTTTAAACTAAAGAGGTACAAACGAAGAGGACAGTCCTTCCTAGATACCGTCCTTACATAGAACAGAATAAGTTGTCTGAGAAGCTAAACGAATGGAACAACATTACACTCCCCATATTCGCGCTACTATATGCCTACATAGCCATCATAAACCCTTTGTAGGCTCATCGAAATGTCGAGTACCGTCGTGAACTTGTCTCATCCATAGGTTTCTAAACCAACCCTCACTTTTCTGAAGCAGCTCAGCGGGCGTCCCAGATTCAACAAGGGTCCCTTGATCCATGACCAGAACAAGATCGAAGTCGACAATAGTGTTAAGCCGATAGGCCACTACGATAACTATGCGATTCTCGAATTGTTCTCGGACTAACTTCATGATCGTCGCTTCTGTCTGCATATCCACCATTGACGTAGCTTCATCGAGCAACAGAATAGAAGATGGATTCAACAGCGTCCGCGCAAAGGCAATCAGCTGCTGCTGACCAGAAGAAATTGTGTCCTTAGCGAGGCTGTCCAGGCCGGATCTGTTGGATATCAATGAGTTCAGCACTCCAACCCGAGAAAGGATAGAAGTAATGGCATCGTCAGTATGCTTTTGCAGCGGATCAAGGTTCAGGCGAATCGATCCCGAGAACACCAGGGGGCCTTGTGGCAATACAGCTAACCGGTGTCGAGCTGTCTCTCGAGGAATTTGAGCGATATCGATATCGTCGATGAAAATGCTTCCTTCTGTGAGCTCGTTTAGTAGAAGCATGCTTAGTATTAAGGAGCTTTTGCCACTGTGAGTTAGATATAGACTCAATCTTGCACTATCGAGCTCTAGAATAAATTACTTTCCTGAGCACCCACATATACCTACTTTAGCCCCAGAAGGTATCTTGATGTTGATGTTATGTATTACAGGCTTTGAGGCAGTTCTAGACACTACATTAGTCTACCATGTACGGCTCAACAAGTCAAAAAAAAAAAAAAAAAAAAAAAAAAAAAAAAAGAAAAAAAAAAAAAAAAAAAAAAAAAAAAAAAAAAAAAGCGCCAAAAACTCAAGGAACGTTTTGCATACGCCAAAGGTCGAAGAAAACTTCGAGCATATATGGATCTACATATTCATCTACAGCTAACATACTACTTGGCGTATTTTGCACGAAGCGCCGCGATGGTGATTGGCATCAAGCCACCAAGTGTACCAGCATTCGCGATGTCCACAGAAGACAATTCCAAATTGATGTATCGTCGGTACCAGTTGCGAAGCTCAAATGTCAGCAGTGAGTCAATAGGACTCTGCATGACTTGCTCATCATCTTGGTCCTTTCCAAATCCTGATAGCGTCCGGACTGCGGCAAACATCTCCGCTGTTATCCGGTCTCTGCACTCAGGGTCATCCAGTATTTCGGGGTTTTTCTCTATGCTCGCAATTGTTTCCCTGACCTTATCTAACGCACTCGAATTGTATTGTCTCGCTGTATGCGCCTCAAAATTGGCATAGGCCCTGAATCGCGCATCCTTCCCCCACATTTGGCGAACTGTCGGGTCGGAGCGATGCTTGGTGTTGTTCATACCCACCGTAAAGTCATCTGATATGAGGACTTGCTGCCCCGTGGGTGCTTTCTTTGAGAAGCTCTGCCGAGTGATCGCAATTTCTAGAGCATCGAGTATGTTCTGTTCACTCAAGAGACAGACCGATGCTGCCCGCAATCCCTCTCTCAACCTAGGATTATCTGTAGCAAGGTAACCAATCTCATCCACACAGCCGAGGTTGATGACCGACGCAGGATGCCCCCTCAGGCGGCGATACTGCACGAATGAATTTAAGAACGTGTTTGCAGCAGAATAACTAATCTGTCCATGGTGCCCCATGACTCCTGAAACCGAGCTGAAGGCAACAAAAAAGTCCAATGTTTCTTCCAAGAGTACCTCATGGAGATTCCACGTTCCTTGGACCTTCGGTGATAAGGTTTCTTTCCAGTTCTCGTACGTTAGTGCTGGAAAGAACTGATCCTAATAACAAGAGTATCATTAGTAACCGCTGCAAAAGTCAAAGGAGATGTGTCCTTACTCTTACAATCATGGAAAGCTGAAGCACGCCACCTATAGGTTTCGGGCTGACAGCAACTGCTCGCTTGACGTCGTTGAGGATTGCTACACTCCCCTTCACAGGAACTGCCAAGCAGCCCTGAACATGAAGTTCGCGGAAGAATTCTCGATCTGTGTCTGACTCACCAGCGGATCGAGAAAGAAAGATCAGATATCGGGCGCCCTTCTCTACCATCCAGGTGGCAATTGCCCGGCCAATCCCCCCCAGGCCTCCAACTAGGAGATAGGCGGCGTGTGGGGACAGAGAAAACTGCTGACGAACTTTCATAGGCGGAAATGACACGATATCGCCGGCCATTTTCAATGCAATCTTTCCCATATGTCGACCCTTTTGCATCTCTCGAAAAGCATCTTCCACTTCCGTGGGCATAACAATCTTCATTGGGCGGATTGGATTGGTTTGCCCTCTCTCGAAAAGCTCAAGAACCTTGCCAAAGAGTCTTGCCAATGTTAGTTCTAGTGTGCATAGTTGACTTCCAACCGAATGTATGACAAACCTGGAAATAAACCCGGGCTTCTCGCCCAGCTCCAGAAGGTCAACCCCGAAAAATGCCCTGTTACCGGCAAAGACGTCCATACTCAACATGCCACGACCTATGAAATCCCTTTTTCCAATCTCGATCATCTTGCCAAATTTCGCCACACATTTCCATGAGGCGTGGAGGAGCTCTCCGGCTAGCGAATTCAACACGAGGTCCACGCCTCTTCCGTCGGTCATACGTAAGAGGTCGTGCTGAAAGGACGAATCTCGCGAGTTAAATATACGGTCTCGGCTGATCCCAAATGTGTTGACGAGATACATAACTTTCTGTTCGCTTCCAACCGTGGCGTAGATCTATGCAAATACTGTTTAATATTGGCTACATCCCAGGTTGAGAGGTACTGAAGTGAGTATAGACTTACCTCTGCGCCAAAGGTTTGGCAAATCTGGATGGCAGCAAGCCCAACGCCCCCGCAGGCAGCATGAATCAATACCGACTAGATTATGTCAGTGGTGGTGCTTAGGCACATGTAGAGAAGGCAGAGACTATACTCACATCGCCGTTCTTTAGCCTTCCAATATCAATCAAGGAGTAGTAGGCCGTGCCATACGCAATGCACATGGTGGCACCATCCTCGAGGGCCAGCTTCTCTGGTAAACGTATGCAATTACTTGCAGGAACCACTGTTCGCGTCTGGAATAAGCCGGGCTGTACTACGCAGACCCTATCTCCAACAGACAGGTGCTTCACGTTTGATCCTATGCGCTTCACAATGCCGCTTGCCTCACCGCCAAACTCATTTTCATGCCCCATGATCCCGAGAGCGATCATGACATCCTAAAAAAGTCAACCCTGATAGTTCACACGGAATTTGAGGATAGACCATCACTTACTCTAAAATTCAATCCAACATAGTGTATGTCGACCTCAATATCGTCGGCACCCAGAATACCAGTCATAGTTCCATCTGGGGTCCACTGCAAAGAATTCAGGGACCCCGGGGAAGAGACTGCAAGCTTTGTGGGTAGACCGATTGCTGAATCCGAGAATAGCTTCTCGGTCAATGAAGTCCATTGGAATCTCCCGACGTGTATTACTCCTTCATGTAACGCAAATTCGTAATCTAGATCAGTTGTATCTTTGGCATGATACTGCTGGCAAAACTTGTTAAATACCCTCAACAGCGCTCTGACGGCATTGCTGTCAAACTTGTCAATTTCAAATGTCCCAAAATAGTGTCCCCGCTCTCGCTTTATCGTCCGGGACACACCCAAGACGAGGCCGTAGTCAGGATTGTCACACGTAATTTGTAGGGACTTTGTGACCCATAGAATGCGTTCAGAGGAGCCCACCAAGCCCTTGAACTCGCTCAGCGAGTTCTCATCCATACCCTTAAAAAAGGGACCATTGAGGTCTAGAAGGGATATTACCGTGTCGGTTGGGGACACTTGTCCATTCAAAGTGCCCCAATTTACGGTGTGCCCACTATTTCGAAGAGCACATGCCACTTCCTGGGCCCAGGCATTGTCCTGAGGACCGAGGATTACAACGCTTCCCCCCTTCCTTTCCTGGTCAGCAACGCTTGCCACTATAGTGGTAGTGGCTGGTAAAGACGTGCTGCGGAGAGGCATATCTCCGACTACCTCCTTCAACCCAGCCTTATGAAGTTCTGTGTTCCAGCTGGCAGGCGATACAGAAGGTGCATAGAACTCTCCGTTGCCATCCCACCAATCTGGAAGAAGACCCGTAATGCACAGGGAATTTGCGATCATTGAATCAAACTCTTGTATAACAAGGTAACCACCTGGTGCCATGAGACTTTTGACATTCTGTAGAGCACCACTTAGATCGGCAATAGCACCCAGCACATTAGAAGCAATGACTACATCGTAGCTTTGTGACTGGAATCCCTGTTCCGACGGCTCTACAGCAATATCAAGCAGTTGGAATTCAGTGTTCTTGTGATCTTTGAATGCCTCCCTGGTTCTGTCAAGAAAGCTAGAAGAGATATCAGTGCACATGTATTGCGAATAAGGCCTTCTTCCATTCTCAGATAGTAGGGCCTTCAGGATGTATGTGGTTGAACCTCCCGTCCCAGCTCCGATTTCGAGTATTCTCAGCATTGGGTTGGAATGATGAAGAAGGGTAAAAAAGTTGCACAACTCGTTGTTGTAATAGAATGTTTCGTATAACGTGTGCAGGCCTCCCTCTTGCCCTAGTACTGTTAATGAGTCAACAGAGCCATTTAGAATGTCCGTACAATGATTGACAACATTTTGATTCAGTTCGGCGTAGGACCTTAGTTGATCGTCGTGATGAAGGCTTTCGAATAATTTCTCACGCGTTACATGAACTGGATCGGTGCTAATGTCTCCCCGTCCCAAAGCTTTGACTGCAGCTGTTGCTCTTCGGAGCAATTCTGGGTACTTTTGCAAATGGGGAACGCTTGGACTGGTACTGCCAGCAACCTTCAGGATTTGTAGGAGAGAAAGGTTGGATAGCTTTTCCAGGATGCGTATTCGAGACTCCATTTCAGGCTCTTTCCTCGAGAATTTCAGGGGGAGGCTAAGTGAAATCTCTGGCCGCCATTCCATGTACGAAGCCAGGGGGACTCCAGATTCTTCACTGGGTTTCATACCAGCCACGGGTATCATTAGCGCACCTCGTAGCGAGACCACCACTTTGTCCTCGAATACTGCAGTTGCATCTCCTAGACCATGATTGGTCACTGGGCTGCTAATGGAAGCCTCCACCTGCAGCATCGGCCCTCCCTGACCGATATAAACCCTTTCAATGAACGCAGGCAAATATAATTTCTTAGCCTCTCGCCCTCTGCCTCGGCATCCTGCAACACTAAAAAGTTGAAGACATTGGTCAATAGTCGTTGGATGGACAGTGTATGTACACTCATGCAAAACTGGCTTATTGCAGACAGTCGCGCTTGCGATGGAGCTCATGGGGTCCGCTGTAATTCTCCGCAGTTTGCGGAAACGCGGTCCATATTGCAAACCAATAGCTTGGAATGCCTGATAACATGTGTCTATGGAGACACTTCTGGGCAGAGGCTTGATAATCTTCGACTCTTCTGGTTCATCTGTGCCAGGTCTAGCTTTGCCGACGCAATGCTTTGTCCATGATTTGCCGTCGTAGGAGGCTATGGTAAACTCATACCACATAGATTCGACAGTGGTAGTCAGCCTGACTGGTTTGAACGAAGTCATGATCTCAACTCCGGTAGACATTTGCAGAACTAGAGGTGTCTGTATACACACATTCCTCAAAGTGCACTCGACGGAGCCTGATATTTGTCTCATCGCCTCATTGACAATGGCAATGTAACCTGCACAGGGGAAGAAAACCTCCCCAAAGACCCTATGGTCATACAGCCATGCGATGTTTCTTATGTTGAGTATATTCCGCCATGATGGCTCTAGGTCGCTACACTCAAGCATGCGGCAGCCCAGCAGCTCATGCTGAGGGTACTTTCGGAATCTCCATTCGCGGCTAACGCGGCTCTCCTTCCAATTGATGCTTGTGCGGTGCCATGGATAAGGTGGGATGTCAACGACCACCTCCCCTGGGCCATTGATGCTTTGGAAGTCGGGGCAATGGTTGAACAGATACATCAGCCCAGCCGTTTTCAGTACACAGCTCGATGCATCGCCATCTTTAAGAAGGGTGGGAATATAGTGCAAGACCTCTTTCCGATCGTTGAATATCTGCCTTGTAATACTGGACAGTACGGAATGGGGTCCAACCTCTATAAAAAGCACGTGGTCCATCCCCGGTCTTTCAAGCAAAGCTTCCACGGCTCCCAGGTATCGGACCGGGGATTCGAGATTTTGCCGCCAATATGTTGCATCCAGGAAGGCTGGACTAGGGACTATGCCTTCAGTAACCGAAGAATACATCGGGGTCATCGATTGCTGGGGTACTATGTAGGGTGAGATCATATTTTCGTAGATTTCTCCCAGACAAAGCATATGGTCTGTGATGGGGTCAGCGTTGTCTGAGAAAAAGAGATTCAGCTACACATACGAGAATGGTATGCCACGCCGACATTCACGATACTGTGATATGTCTCTGGCATTTCTCGCTGGATCCTCTCAAGCACGGCGTCGAGGCGATCCTTGTCGCCGGACAGGTTGACACTTCGGGGACTATTCTCGCATGCCACCACCACACCGTCAACCAAGAACGGATATACCTCTTCCTTGCTCAGACCGACAACAGCCATAGCACCTGCTCGTTTGTTTGATTTCACGACTTGACCGCGGTAGTAACTGGCAATGATTGCTGTCTCAACAGAGATAGCCCCCGCTGCATATGCGGCAGCAATCTCCCCACTGGAATGTCCCACGACTGCAGTAGGACGAGTGCCCCAGCTAGCTAGCAAATTGACTATCGCTATTTGAACAGCCACGACAAGTGGCTGAGATAGCTCCGGTTCATTAACCCGACTTGTATGTCTAGGTCGCAAAAGCTCCTCTTCTATGCTCCAAGTTGGCGCATGTGGTAGCCGCTTTAATATACAGTCCATTTTCCGTATGTCGTCAAGGAAAGAGGCAAACCTCTCCACCAAGCCCTTGCACATTTCAGGCCATTGTGTACCTTGGCCGGGAAACGTAAAAACTACTGGTGGCTGTGAGCAACATGGTGATCGCGAGGTCTCAGCTTCAAGGCAGCCATCTTGAGTTGAGATCATGAAGGCTCTATATTGGAGATGTTCTCGCCTTGTCCCAAGAGTGTATGCCACATCGTAGAGTGGCCCGGGGCAAGATTTGACATAGTCTTGTATGTTACTCACCTGAATCCGGAGAGATTCTTCGCTCTGTGCCGAAGCAACTAGGAGCTGTGGGCGCTGTTTCTTGATATTGACGGCGTGATGGCCTACCTTGTGACGAACAGAAGGCGGCAGCTCCAAGACAGCCTACCCGTTGTCAATTCCCCATGTTGTACTAGTGGGTAGGAGTATCTCACATGTGCATTTGCGCCACCGATACCAAAACAGTTGACGCTTACTCTGTCTGCACGGCCGGGAGGCCAAGGGATTGGTTCGGTCGGCACTCGTAAACCCCTTTCTTTGAACGGGACTATGCAAGGTCCAGTCAGCATCTTGAATGGAAAACATGCGGCTGGTCCCAGTACTTTTGGGGTTAGGATTCGTGAAGTGGATATTGGGTGGAATGATTCGGTGCTCCAGAGCAAGCACTGCCTTGATGACACTGGTGAGGCCCGATGCTCCTTCGCTATGTCCCACGTTTGGTTTTACCTTGGCTTGTCAGCTAACAGTTACTCCTCTAAGGAAGACCATACCGCTCCCATGTAAATTCCTTCAGGCCCAAAAATCCTGCCCACTGCAATCCCTTCAGCCAAGTCACCGGCCCTCGTTCCCGTTCCATGACATTCAAAGAAAGCCGTCTGCGAGAAGTCATCGATGCGAGCACGTTCATATGCTTGCCGAATAAGTCTTTCCTGGCTATCTGCATTGGGCGAGAATATCTTCTCGGTTCTTCCATCGAAATTTGTCGATGTCGAACGAAGAACAGAACGAATTGGGTCTCCATCTCGAATTGCCTGGTCTAGCGGTTTAAGGTATACTGCATTCACAGCTTCTGCTCTCGCATATCCATCGGCATCGGCATCGAATGTTTTGCAGTGACCACTAGGAGAAAGGACCATGTTATCGGACATATTGGCCGTCATTGTGGGGGACAATATAATGTTAGTCCCAGCGACAATAGCGGAAGAGCAGGTACCAGAATAAATCGCACAGCATGCTTCGTGTAAGGCTACCATCGAGGAAGAACAGGCGGTTTGTATAGTTACACTGACATGCGTTAGTAGTATGTTGGGTCACCTACATGGGATGAACGCACCTCGGGCCTTTCAAGTCGTACTCATACGAAACTCTGTTCGACAGGGCAAATGCTCCCGTCGCAAACGCATGAACTCGTGGAATATCCTGAGTCTCCTTTGCGGATAACTCATGCCAATCCTCACCGAAGGCGCCCACATAGCAGCCGATGTTTTGCCCACGCCAGCCTGTCTGGCCAGCGTTTTCCATACACTCCCAGACCACTTCCATCAGAAGCATTTGTTGGGGATCAAGCTTTCCCGCCTCATACCCTGCCATCTGAAAGAACGAGGTGTCAGCCGACCCCACGTAGTCATCTCGTAAAAAGTATCCGGATCGAGTCTTCGCAGACTGCGGCTTGGTAGGGTGGTAGAATGCATCAATGTTGTAGCGACTTTCAGGGACTACCGACGAGACGTCCTCTCCTTTGATCAGTAGTTCCCAAAACCTCTCGCTGGTTTGGATACCACCGGGGAGCCTCATAGCCATCCCAACGATTGCAATTAACGGGGGGGCTGATTCCTGATCGGCACCGTTCGAGTGCTTCATTGTGGCATTATCGCCTTGGCCTCTGAAATCTGCACAATATTCACGGCAATAGGTCCTATTTCCCTCCATTGTGGTTGATACGCTGTTGGTAGGTTTCTGTGTCTATCGTTGTATGTACGTGAACGAACGGCGTATTCTAACCACACAATAGACCCAGGTTAAGATATTCGGTGCAAGTATGTGTATGACTGGTGGCTCATTCATATAGTGATATAATTGACCGACAAAGTCTCCCCGGAATATTTTAGTAGAGGTAAAGAGGGGCGAAGGAGAGATTGAACGAGGGCGAGAGAAGTAAATTCTCAATTCTCGGGGACTGCAATGTGATTTGGAACTCTCAGGTAAGTGATATGCAGATCAATCCTTCAAGGTAAGGGGGGTGAGGTCGAACAATGTGCCATATTGAATCTGATGTGGCGTTGCTGAGGCCTTGCTAAGCGATGCGTACGATACGGGGGATTGCAATACGCAAGGGGTCCAATAAAGCTCGTATTCGTGCTACGAAGTCAAAAACTTTCTTTACTGTTAAGTTCCTGGAGAATATAGGGTCACCTGAATTGGTCCAGTAGCGCCTTGAAAGCATTCCAATTGACCACTCACTACTCGGGGGGCTGCAGTAAGACAAGGGCTTCTTGTGTTTTTCAGACATAAGTAGAGGACTATCATGGGTATAGGATACATGATATCGTCTTGTATGCTTTATCCTTTAGGCCGTTGACCAGGTTCAATACTGTGTGTATCTTAGTAAATGACTCCAATCAAGCATTCTGCTTATCTATCCAGTTTGCCGCTCTATTCTACTCGTTGGAATGGTGCCGCGGTGCCAATCAAGACTAATCGTTCCTCGGAATGCAGAGCATTGATGCTGATCACCGGTCTAGGGTTAACTACGAGAATTCTTCCGCGTGCAGAGTTGACGATAGCGGCAACAAAGTCGTTGTCTGGTATCGTGAGCATTTCTCTACCATGAAGAATGCTTGCCGCGAAGGTATTTAAACCCCCGGAATCCTCACATTAGGCACTCCACCGTATCATACTTTGTGCCGTTGCGTTATATGACCATTCGGGCTCACTCTTGATTTGACAAGATGCTTCTCAAGTTCTCATACATTGCCCTTTTGCTGGCAGGCATTTCTCAGCCGGCATTTTGTGCCCACAACTTCGAGCAGACATTGGCAGACATGGATGCCATCGAAAAGGTCGCTCGGGAACTTGGTAGTTCGATCGACAACTATCATGGTGGCCTTGCGGAAGCTGTAGCCGTTGGGAACAGTGCTCGCACCGCTCAACAAACCGCAGACAGTGCGAGAAAAAACCTCGATATGGATAGCGATCGCTTCACCGATGCTGAAGCCAAGCAAGTGATGGATCACTACGATCAGACAGGCCCTATTATTCTTGAGAACCTCAGGAAGCTGACCGAAAAGGTGCGAAGATGAGCCTGCTGTTCCCTTGAATGCGTATTGTATGTGCTAATATGGCCACGATATCTAGGCCCCGGAGTTCCGCAAGGCAGGTGTTGGTAGCATCGCCCAAGGAATGGTCCGCCATATGCAAGGCACTAGGAATGGTCTCAGAGACTCTCTCCAGAAGAAGCTCCCTGAAAGGGACGATGGCCAGCCAGCGCTCTCCGACGACCAGATTGAACATGCTTTCCAGCAAGCCAGTGATGCGTTCTCGCAGTAGGCCAATCAACAACTGCCAAATGCAGCTTCCCGTCTTGTTTATTCCGTTTGTTGAAGCTTTTGTAATGGGAGGCATTCCATGTATTCATTCGGACATACCGACTGGATTCATTGGGCCGATCACTGCCATTTAATGCCACCACAAAGCGAGATATTTAATTATGGGTATAATACAGCTATGCTCGCTTCATGTAATGGTAACCTCCGTTGTTTTAATTTGTTTTATGAAACGTCTAGCCTACTGTGTAAGAAACATGATTCGCCATGCCCTAGGTATGAAGATATTCATACCTTAACCGCCAAGCAACACAGGGTAACCACTTTTAGGGTAGGGGTTTCCATGTATTCAATAAAAAATAGGGAGACCTTTCACTTTAGAGCAGCTAACCCGAAGTCAACGATTCAAGGGAATTATCTGAAGGGGGTTACGATCTCCCAGAAATAACCACAACATCTCAGCCATTACTAGTGTCACTTCATAAATCTAAAAAAAGTATACACATTCAACCCCTTCATCTAGCAAGGGAGCACGCACATCTCAGCACCATTCCTAGACATTGCCCAAAACTCTTTCTTCGTACTACATTCTCGGACGGCAAATGGGGCTCGTTGCTATAAAATGAACAGAGTACTCTACTCTCATTAACGGAGAACATCTCAATTCTCAAAGACATGGGCCAATCCAGGACTCATCATCATGAACATATGAAAGTGCTTGGTCTTGGCCTTTGCCGTACTGGGACTGACTGTAATGACCACGCTCCAGGCCGATCATAGAACAATAACTGATACGAAAATGCACCTAGCCTTAAGGGAAGCACTGAGAATTCTAGGATACGCCAACCCTTACCATGGGTTTTCGTGCCTGGAAAATCCCGCAGACTGTGCACTTTGGTGTTTGGCTTTGTCTGCCAAATATAATGGCGTTGGGAAGCCATTCGGCCGAGAAGAATTTGTGAAGATCCTATGTAACAGCCAGGTAACCCTAGGTGTCCGAGAAACTTAGCCCAGTATGATAGACATTAGTAACATGAGCCTAGGCTGTCTCTGGTGACTTTCCAGTACCTTGCTTTGGTCCAGAGTTGATCGAAGCATATCCGGAAGCGAAGGTGATCCTTACGTATAGGGATGTGGACGAGTGGCATCAGTGAGTACCAGTGAAACTGACCTCAATTACTGGTTGTAAAATACCCTGACACTGTGTCCTCAGGTCCGTAAGCAAGACGCTGGACTACACAGTCCGTAGTGGACTCAGTGGCGCAGGAACAATACTCGCCAGAACGCTTGGGCTGCAGCGTTCGTGGATTCTGCCAACGTGGCTCAAGATATGGGAGGGTTTCTTTCGGGGCGACTTTCAGAACAACGGATGTAGCGCTTTCCATGAACACTGTGAGTTGATCCAGCGGCTTGTGCCCTCGCGTCGCCTACTCATTTTCCACGTCCGTCAGGGGTGGGGCCCTCTTTGCGAATTTCTTGATGTACCTGTCCCATTTGTGCCATTTCCTCGAGGGAACGACCCTCAGAGTTATCATCGTCGTTTTGCCTATTTGGTTATCTTTAATAACCGCACACGGGTCTACATGATGGTATGCACGGCAGGATTTATTATTTTAATTTTGGTGATGCTTTTCACAAGGGCAGCATAGGGAGATACGGCGAAGGTTCCGGATTAGGTACAATCTATTATATGAGAATGAGAGGGCAATTCTCGTGCTAGCCACTAGGAGAGGGCTTCTAGCCCAGTAAAGTATACTATTGTTGGAGATCAGCCCGTATACCGGTGATGTGGTATGGAGGAAGTAAACAATATCTGGACTGAATCTGTGCCGACACTGATATCAAAAGAACGCCCTGCTCTACATTGATCTATGTATTAATGCATACCTCCATATTAGTTTAAATAATCACTGAAAATATGGCTTTCCACACAGAAAGAGCTCCCCAGCACGAAGCGCCTCTTGGAAAGGCATACTCAGTCAAGCTTTGATCTATTGGTCACAGGTCCTCGGCTGTATATCCGAACCCCGAAACTGGACTAGCGTGCACGGTCTCACGGTGGAGATAATACCTAGTGTACCTGGGGATAGAATATGTAGCTTGTTGAAGTGTTGTGTTACTCTGCGATTGCCGGAAGATTCATTACGGGATCATAGGTGTATTTTGATCATGCTCGGTAGGATTGAGAATCGAGAATCCAAACGGACAGTATGATAGCGGCCGAATTAGGCTAGTGGCGCGGAAGCTGCCGATTAGTGTCGGATCGGGACGGTCCGGGTTGAGTTTTGTCAGCCAAAAATACATTTGGATGACAGCAACAAAGTTCTTTCGAGAACTATTTGACGATCTATGTCCAGGATTCAGCTGGTTCTTATGTCCCATGCTAATATATAGTATGAGTCAGGGTCTCAAGATGTTTCCAACTGAAGCAGGTACTAAGAAGCGACTCTTCTATTTGGAAGAATTACGACCTATGCATGAATATAAAATTGCGGTATTGTTGATATAGATGTACTTCAGAGCCACCGAAAAAAGATTCTTCGATGTTGCAGTGGGAGGAACAGGACTTCTCACCGATTAAAAGAAACGATGATCCCGAGAATTTCTTTAGAGATTGTACAAGCTTGGCCAAGCAAATTTGGATCATGCTTTGTCCCTGTACCCTTGGGGTTCAACGGCTCCATGGCAGAGATTATACGGTCCATTGCGGGATGAACATATCATCCGCCTCTTGCTCGACCAACTTCTTCCCGTATACTTTCTTCAACTGCTTGAAAAGGGCCTTGTTTATCGTACCCACGTGGGGAATGTACTGAAAATCGAGCTGAACCTTCCGCGCTTGGCTCTGGCTTTTCCCGTTCTTCACTACTTCCGTCCAAGTCCTTCCATGGGACGTGATATAGAATAGTCTAAGAGTCGGCACCACAATTTTCTCGGTCATACCTGGGACACTTTGGATATGAGGTTGCTTAGCAGCCCCTACAAACTTATAGATAAGAGTGACTGCGACTCTATAAATCCATTTATTTTGTAATTGTAAAGGTATTTAGAAGTGCAGGCACTATATATAGACATTCAACAAATACAAAATGCGGTGGATTGGGTCTGGAAGATGCATATGGTTGTTTGCGAAGCAGTTCGAGATATATATAATGGCCAATGATTCTAAGAATGGATTCGCTATTTGAGAAAAATGTACAAATTTTATATATCCTATATTCCGCTCGTTGCAGGGCACGTATACACTGACACGGGGTAGTAATTTCGCCCATAGTGGGCCTAGGATAATCCGGTGGAACGAGGATAATAGAACCATGTACCGGATGCCCGGGGTCCTAGCGATTATCATTACCAAATACCCAGGCCAACTCTATCCGATGCCTAGACCCGAGACCCACCGTCTAAGCTACTATTGCGCGGGAGAGTTTTAATTGTATGTACCTCATTTTAACAACCAGCTGCAGAACTCATCCCCTTATATCCCTCCCCGGCCAACTTTTACCCATAAACTCGACCTCCGACCCTAGCAAAAACGCTGGTACATGGACCTCTGATCATGGTAAACATAATAAAGACTTCTATAAAATCCTCTCCAACTAGAAAAATAGCACATACGACCATAGGGTGTGGAGAACAGGGCTTCCCGTCCGCTCAGCCGTACTTAAGCCACACGCCGGGAGGTTAGTAGTTGGGTGGGTGACCACCAGCGAATCCCTCCTGTTGTATGTTTTTCTTTTTTGAATCCTGTATTTTTTTGGCTCTTGCTGCTGTATGCCGCCTTCACCCTCAACAGTACTTTGCATTGTACCCGAAGGCTGTCTAACACCTACCTACCTCCTCACCCGCTGACGGATCTTCTCCGAATTCCGCCTCATACTGTAACATATGTCAGCCCTCAGACCTTTTTGATTATTGTTGTCTATTGCAGCTCTCTATAGGTATGATCGGGGCTTTTTATATATCCTTAATCTGATGTAGGTTGTTACGCCGCAAAGGTATTGGCAAGACACAAGGTGACTACGGCATTTTACCAAGTAGCAAAGAGCCCAGATAGAAAATAATCCCAACGTAAGAGAGGCGCACCTCATGTAAGAACAAAATTCCCTTCCCGTGGCTGTTTATAGTACACGAGCTCGCTGATCCGCTTGGTAGCCCTACTCGCCGCACGGGATTTCTTCATGCCCTGGAAAACATCATCGAGGATGTGATCAGATTGCGAGTAGGGTAAAGTGTGCTCGTCAATGCTAATCTCGATGTTTAATTTTGACCGTATCTCGTCGAAGACGCCGGAGTGTATTAATGCGTCCGGACCGCCCTGGGCACCGTCTCTGGGATAAACCATTTATATCCAATTTTCCAACGGTAAGCTAGAATGCATACCGCACCACAAGATACCTTGGATTCCTCCAACTGGCCAGAAGCCTTGGCAACTGAGCCTGTTGGGTCATGTGGTGTCCGCGGGCGGGGGATTCTGAAAAGGCTTTTGGGTTGCAAAACATCTAAGACGAATGAAAGGTAATAAGTTTTAAGGGTATGTGACAGAATCAAAGGCAAAAGGATAGGCTTCCATCGACCTGTTGGTGGCTCATTCTCCTCCAGACTTTTCTATCCCTATCAGCTGCACCCAACTTTAACGATAGGGCTCGCCCCACCTACCGGGTCCCGAAGTGTGAGCTTCCATTAAAGTTAAGTATCGGCGACCTGCGCCCTGTTGTCACCGATGTTGCGCAAATGCCGACTGCCGTAGGAGGACATTGGAGCTTGGTCCAATGCAACCTGTTAGAACTACGGGGCCAGACCCCGAAAACTACTCAATGGCTTTGCTGAGTTGATAGAAGTACGGGAAATGCTATCCAATGTGGGTCCTGACAACTCCAAGAACCGCATGGCCAAGATAAACACGAGATAACCGGTTCTGTCGCCCAATAAAGAGCTAGAAAACCTCATTTATGCTTCCTTTTCTCCTTGCATGGTCCGTATGGCCGCGATACGACGTTGAGGTTGCGGGGTAACCCCAAATTTGAGACTTGGAGATATTGGAGATATAAAGCAACGTAGTCCACGGATAATGTTTCCACGTCGACACCGGGTTGATAATTCCACCACCGTCTATAGTCTACGCTATCACCTTGTCACTATGTCACCTGCCAGCTGGGAAGATCTTGCCGCTGATAAGAGGGCACGTCTGGAGAAGTCCATCCCAGACGAATGGAGAATCAAGACAGTCCCAACAGAAGGCTCGGTCATTGATCTACCTGAGAAGTCTGGGATTCTATCGCCTTCTGAAATAAAGATCACAAACTCGTCAGCGACAGACCTCGTTTCTCAATTAGCGGATGGCACGTTGAAGTCCGTGGACGTGACACTGGCCTTCTGTAAAAGAGCTGCACTGGCTCATCAACTTGTAAGTATGACCTTCGTTTCGGTCGGAGATACGTGATACCAATGCGTGTAGGTCAATTGTGCACATGACTTCTTTCCTGAGTTGGCATTAGCCCAAGCCAAAGAGCTTGACAGATATTTTGAAACGCACAAGAAACCCGTGGGACCATTGCATGGATTACCGATCTCTTTGAAAGATCAATTACGAGTCAAGGTGAGATGAACTTCCCACACTGGCGTGCATCTCTTCTAACATAGAACTAGGGAACTGAAACATGCATGGCCTATGTCTCTTGGTTGGGTAAGCCCGACACCAGCGATTCGATATTAACTGCCCTGTTGAGGAAAGCGGGCGCCGTATTCCTCGTCAAGACGAGTGTACCGCAAACATTGATGGTATGCGAGACCGTCAATAATATCATCGGTCGGACGTCAAACCCAAGAAATCTCGACCTCTCCTGTGGCGGAAGCTCCGGAGGCGAAGGTGCCATGATTGCAATGCGTGGAGGAGCCATCGGTATAGGAACTGATATCGGTAGGCTTCCACATTTAACCATTGAAGTTAATAGACACTGATGTCGCTCAGGTGGATCTATTCGTGTTCCAGCTGCGTTCAATTCCTTATACGGTATTCGTCCAAGCCATGGTCGTCTGCCTTACGGTGGTATGACGAACAGCATGGAAGGACAAGAGACGATACATAGCGTTGTTGGACCAATGGCGCACTCTGCTGAAGGTATATTTCTAATGTAGATCGTCGCTGGAAAAATACTAATGCCCGTTAGATGTCAGACTCTTCCTCCAATCTGTCCTCAAAGAGGAGCCTTGGAAGTACGATTCGAAGGTCATACCACTTCCATGGAGGGAGGCCGAAGAGAAGGCCACCCAAGCCAAGATTGCCGAGAAAGGACTAAACTTTGCCTTTTACAATTTCGATGGTGTTGTGAGTACTTCTAACTGCCAGCTCATTCATTATTACATTGATTAACGACGGACAAGGTACGTCCACACCCTCCGATTACTCGTGGTATTGAGATTGTCCGCACTGCGCTCGAGAACAACGGACATAGCGTGGCAGCCTGGACACCCTACAAACACGGGTTTGCCGTTGACCTAGCCAACAAAATCTACGCTGCAGATGGAAGCACAGTGAGTAGCATCCCATGTAAATTATTATACGTGCTAACACGATGAAGGATGTTTACAAGCACATCAACGCCTCAGGAGAGCCCGCTATTCCGAACATCAAGGACCTCATGAATCCCAACCTCCCAAAGGCAGATTTGAACGAGGCATGGGACGTGCAGCTGCAAAAGTGGCATTATCAGTGCGAATACCTAGACAAATGGCGCGAATGGGAGGAGCGAACCGGCAAGGAGCTCGATGCTATTATCGCCCCGGTGGCGGCCACAGCTGCAGTCCGCCACAACCAATTTCGGTACTATGGATATGCTACTGTTTTCAACGTCCTAGATTTTACCAGTGTTGTTGTACCGGTCACGTATGCGGACAAGGCAGTGGATGGCAAATTGGCGGATTATCAGCCGGTTAGTGACATGGATAAGGCGGTTTATGCCGAGTATGATCCGGAGGTTTATCATGGCGCTCCCGTTGCCGTGCAGATTATCGGCAGGCGCCTTAGTGAGGAACGGACTCTGGCTATTGCGGAGTATATTGGGAAGTTGTTAGGTCACTAGGTTGGAAGCTTTGTTTTACACACTACTTAAACAGTCTGTCAAGTGAAACTAATCATTTTCAAATGCTTTACGAGGCCATGCCCAGTATATCGCCACTGAAAATCAGCATATACGTACTTATTGTTGTTCTGATCTTCGCGATAAGCAGAGAAGCTCCACTCCTCGTATTCCGATAATATTCAGGAATCCTATGTACAGCCCGTATCTAACGTCTTGCTGCGTGATGTCACATACACAGGAATATCATTCTTCAGACCCTACAGTTTCTATTCAATGACATTCCCACAGTTGTATAGATATACCAAACACACCTCTTTCTATGCGTCAGTGGAAACAAATACCATATAGAAATCTGTATCTTCACATGCATGACGAATATGATCGGGATCATGAACGGTCTTTGTGGGGCGCGGCCCGCAATGCGGACGGACGGAGGTTGCACATCATCCACTGTCGTTCCTTTCTCCTACTTTTACTTCGTGACCCCCATTCTAGCCTTCGTCCACTTTTGCCAGCCGTTGATTGCTAATCGAACTTCCAAAGTTATCCTTCGTCAACCGAATCATATTTGGAGTACTCATGATCTCATCGATGGATTAGCCACAGCAGCCATTTTGACCTCTGGTTTTTCCAACCCTACCTATCTTCACCATTTAACCTCACATTATCCTTTCATAAAAGTACCAGCCCGGAGATAGACTGCAATTGGGAACGAATGAGGGCTCCAGCCAGCATGTGACAGGCGACATGTGACATAACTCCGCAATATCCGCACCCCGCGGAGCTTAGCTCCGGCCCCGCCTCTTAGCCAACTTAATTGTCGCTGCCGAAGGGTCCTGAAGATCATCCTCCAAACACTGTATATAATCCAACATTCCCCCCTGCCCACCGTCACGATATCCTAGTAAATATGTCAAAATCCCTACGCCTCGCCATGAGTTTATCACGTTCATATCCATGGGTAGCCAACCCCTTCATTGTCAGCGCGCCAATGCGCGTGATGTCAGGTCCCGCCCTGGCTGTCGCCGTATCGCGCGCCGGCGGCCTAGGCTTCCTCGGACCGGCTGTTAAAACACAAGATATGCTCGTCGACCTTGAGAAGGTGTCAACCCTTGTAGAGGATGCCCGTAAGTCCTCGTCCGCCTTCTCATCGTCTACCAACGTTCTGCCCGTTGGCGTCGGGTTCCAGCTCTGGAGCGATGACCTCGCCACTGCCGTCTCCGGTATCCAGAAGTTCAAACCCTGCGCTGCATGGCTCTTTGCCCCGAAGGGTGGTCAAGAAGATTACGACCAGTGGTCGCGCAGCATCCGCGACGCGTCATCGCAGACCCAGATCTGGATACAGATCGGGACGCTAGCAGAGGCAAAGGGACTCTTGAAGGGATCCGAGCGGCCCGATGTAATTGTTGTTCAGGGATCAGAAGCCGGAGGTCATGGTCGACACAAGGATGGGCTCGGACTGATGACGCTACTCCCGGAAGTCGTCGACGCCTTGGCTGGCAGTCAGATTCCGATCCTTGCGGCTGGAGGCATTGCCGACGGACGAGGAGCCGCGGCGGCACTTTGTCTAGGCGCTGATGGTATTGTCATGGGAACGCGGTTTTTGGCCTCTGAGGAGGCGCGTATTAGCAAGGGGTACCAGGGTGAAATTTTGCGAGCTACCGATGGTGCAGCCTCCACCACGCGGACATTGCTTTACAATCATCTTCGTGGCACCATGGGCTGGCCTGAGCCGTATATGCCGCGTACTATCATCAACAAGAGTTTCATTGAGCACCAGGCTGGCCGGTCGTTTGATGAGTTGAAGGTGGAGCATGATCTGGCGCTGAAGGCTGGTGATGCTGGCTGGGGTCCGGAGGGAAGGCTGGCTACTTATGCTGGTGCGTCTATTGGGTTGATTCATAATGTCAAGGATGCTGCGACTATCGTGCATGATGTCCAAGAGCAGGTACTCAAGCGGCTGGGTCCTGACGGAAAGTCTAAGATTTAATTTAGACGCGATGTAGATTACGGTTTTATTGTTTAAAAATGTCCAACTAATGAATTATTTGATGGCCATCGATTACGCATAACGCCAATAGAGGTTATAATTCTAATAACGTACATTTTCCTTCCTACTCGTATATGTGCATCACACAATACCGTTGAATGCGTGTGCTTCCGGGCCTGATATGTATGACGTCATACCATCACTGACAGTGGTCTTAACACTATAAATATGGTCTACTTGGTTGGCTTAAATATCGTCTAGACCCAAAGTCAAAGGCTCACTGATCCAAAGAGTCAACCCATATTTTGTTCCCCACACGGACCGTACCTTAATACCGGGAACCAAGTAGTACTATCTAAATGGGTACAAGAACAAAGCAGATAATAGGTTCTGATATCTGTTTTAAGACTGGTATTTCTACCCACTCCTAAAGCTAGAGCCTGGGTTATCTTGACATGACATCCAATTCACGCTAATTTTAGGAAACATCTATTGGATACAGGATATAATTTGGCCCATCTAATACCACAAAAGTCCGTCCATGAAGGGACCCACAACTATTTGGCTTCTCTTCCCCCTAGATACGTCCTTCCATATACACATTAGATATTAGGGCTGTTCATTCTTTGGCGGAGATCTTGATGCCCATAAATGCTGCTATTTCTTCTCATACATGCGTTCATTGTCGAGAGAGCTAAGCCGCTTCAGGTAATTTAGCCGCCGAAACCAATCATATCTTCTTTAGTGGGCCTCTATCGCAAACAAGATCGAGGGGATCTTGCAGGTTAAAGAGGGCAACAAAGCCCAACATTCCAATTTCAGCCATCGCAGACATTTCACCCTTCCCTACCTACCAAATAATATCCATTAAAGAATAGAAAAAAAATGCAAAACTCAGTCTACGAAACTGCCGCCAGCGCAGTCCAAGCCCGGAATCGCATCCGCAGCCACATCTACCAAACGCCCCTCATTCCAGCCCGAGCGCAAGGCAAATCCAATGGCGCAAAGGTGCTATTCAAAGCAGAGAACTTCCAATTGACAGGATCGTTCAAGATCCGAGGCGCAATGTCCAAGATGTCAGGCCACCCAGCGAACGGGCGATTAATAACAGCCTCATCGGGTAACCATGGGATAGGCGCCGCATGTGCAGCGCAGGCATTGTCCAAAGATCTCACTGTTGTCCTCCCGGAAACGGTGGTGCCTGCGAAACTGGAGAAAATCAAGTCCTACGGGGTGAATATTATTCTGCATGGAGCTGAAACTGGTCTCGCTGAGCAACATGCCCAACGGCTTGCTGCTGAGGAAAAGTATACTTATATTTCGCCGTACAATGATCCTGATATTATTGCCGGGCAAGGGACTATTGGACTAGAGATCCTCGAGCAGTGTGATGAGGTGGATAATGTTTTCGTCTCTATGGGTGGTGGTGGATTGATCAGCGGTGTTGGGGCGGTCATGAAGGCGTTCAGTCCACGTACGAAGATCTATGGTGTTTCTGCGATTAATTCCAAAGCTCTCGCCGAGTCCATGGCTGCGGGCCATGTAGTTGAAACGGAGCATAGGGATACTCTGGCTGATGCCGTTGCTGGAGGCATCGATACGGATACAAGCACACTTCCGTTGGCAATGTCTGTGGTAGATCATGTGCTTGAATGTGACGAGGACGAGATTAAAGCCGCCTTGAAGGTTATGGCGTTCGAGGAAAATATGAACGTCGAAGGCTCTGCAGCTCTGGCTTTGGCCGGCTTTAATAAGGTCGCACAACAGCTCACCAACCAAACCAGTGTTATTGTCTTGTGCGGGGCGAACTTTGACCAGGGTGTATTTAAGAGTGTGATTCTGGATCTTTAGCAAGGGTATATCCCTTATTTTGCTATAGATAACAAGTTCATAGACTTAATTCAGGGGTAATCTACCACAACACCACTTATATCACATCATCATATTGAGGTAATATGTGGATATCCATTCAAAACCTAGAATACCAAAACCAATATGAGCTAGCTCAGATCTAGGGTAGAACCTGGCTCCTTTTCTGGCACTCTCGCCTGATAACTTATATTTTCCTTTTTAGACCCGCTGCCCTCAAAAGCCGGACTTTCTATGGAATGGAGAACTCAATAGTTGCAGGAAATGTGGTGGCTTGCGGACATAGGTAATGGTCAACACTGTCGCTTTGTACCGCAAATATTCTTGCTCGTTTTTTGTACATGTTACTACCCTAGTGCCAAGTCTGTGTAAATATACTAGGAGCTCCGAAAGCACATCATAAAACCAAGGTATGCCAATGAATGAATATCAGGCTATGCGGACAAAACCTAGTTCATCGACGGTCAAGGACCCGATCGTATGTCGATACTTTATGCAAGATTAATCTGCAATCCGAGGGTAGCGTTCATGACAGAGTCTCCATAAAAGAACTCGGTTCTGCACAAGCTGTTAGAGATTATTGAGGCGAGGTACGAGAGTAAAAACATACCCAGCATTACCGACGTTCACATAGGTCGACTCAGTAAAGCGTCCCAGCTTGGACAAGGCAAGTAGCCAATCCTTCAAATCACCGGTGAAGGTTCCCTCGAATTGCGTCTCGGGCATCAGGGTGCTGACGGTGATGCCGGTATCCTCGTTGACATCTTCATACAATTTCCAAGAGGTGCCAAAGAGATTGTCAATAGTGGCAACAGCGCCGTTGGTCCAACCGATGGGAAGCTGTCCACCCTCGTACTGCAGCCAGAGCATCAGCTCCCGAGAGGAAGCAGAGGTAGAGTCACCCTTGACGTCGTTCGTCATGAAATCGAAGCAGACATTTCCTGTTGTATTGTCCATAAGTTATATTATCAAAAGGCTTGGGAAGACATGAGCATACCCTTGTAAGCAGTTGTGTTGGTACGAGTCCAGCTGTAAGTGCTCGGAATCGAGTCGATGGCCGACAACTTTGTTTCGAGGTTCTGGGTGAGACCCACGAAAGAGTAGCCTTTGGGCACATTGTTCCTGTGGGCCCACGTTAATTCCAAGCTTTACAACACAATTGCCAAGGGGACTCCTACGTGCTCTCGACATATTCAATGTCTGTCACACTGCTCCATACGACTTCCTTAGTTCCGCTGTCAGATGTGGTCACCTGGTCATAGTTGGTGCATTGCGTGCCGACGATCTGGTTCGCATTGTAGAGCATGTTGTAGACGATCCATGGTGTGTCCTGCAAAATCACGTAGTCGTAGTCTCCACAGTGCTCGCTAGCCGCCTGGGCCCGAGAGGAGAGAGCAGGAAGGGCAAGGGCAGACGCAGAAAACGAGAGGGCCGCCAGGGCACGGAAGAGGTGAACCATGTTGATAGAAAGGAATGTATAAGCTAAACAGCAACACGGCTAAATTGGGAACAACAAGTGAACGAGTGTTATGAGTATGAGCAGAATTTGAGGTAGCTCGACGGTCAGGATTATATGGCTATGAATATGCTCCTTGAGATTTAAGCACAATTGTATACCTGAAACCCCCTGAAACAGAGAGTGGGCCGATTTAGATTCATGGCTAATTTTCGGAAATGAAACCAAGGGCAGAGCTAAAACTAAACTACAGATATCATAACGATTCATTGAAACGGTAACTGATCGATTTAACCCCAGTCATAATAATTTATGGCTAATCAGTCCCAAGTACATCTCCCGTTGATGTTCGGCGGCAATAGGTCAACCGATGAAAAAAAGTCTCGGTCCGGAAATTAAGATTGAAGGCCAAGCTCCGGGTATTACCCGAGCAAACCAGCAAAGAACTCCGAAGATTCCGAACCATAGTGAATGTATCCCAAGGTACCAAGAGCATAGTTAAATGTACTTACGTGGTCAAGTTTTTGTATAATGTAAGCTTACCGATATATATAAATTGTGGGGATGGTCATGACATGGAGTCGACCTTCACACATAATATCCATGATGTACAGTATATATATTTTTCAAACAGGTATAGCAGTATGCCCTCCTATGAGCGCTACCATAGCAAATACAAAATTATTCAGCCTCATACAGAACCACCATCATTATGTTGCTGTTCAAACATACACATCATATGAATACCAAACCGCACATTGACACTGTAGCCTATGCTCCATTATAGAAAGCTGTTGGGGTGGGAGTGACGCTGAAATAGGAAGGTCCCTGCCTCAGGCAGCGAGTAGATCAATGTCCCTCCCAAGTCCCGGCGGTACACAAAAGAGTTCCTTCCTGGTAAACATAACTGAACTCAATATGCTATACTCACTAAAGCTGACCTCTGGGCTCTATAACTGTATGGCCCCAAGTACATCGGCTGGCCCAACAGTCTGTGCTCTACATAGTATTCTAATTTTATAATCTGGTAGGGCTTTGCACGTGACTGACTTGCGCTGCGGAGTCGGCAATTTTTCTTTTTCTGGCCTTGAAGGGCTCCACTTTTCTGGAGCCCAGGACCAATCACTATAGACCGGAGATTGAGGCAGACCAACATCGATCAGGATGTTAAGCGCTGAGCCCAATGTTCCGGTCAGCATCATGATCCAGTGGGTAAGCGCTGCCAAGCAGATACGTGTTTTTGAGGTTGGGCCTCTTATCTATCTGTGCCATCGCTCGATGCACAGCAGTTTTCTGGCCAATAAGATAGAACGACAAATGCATATATAGAGTTGAGCGGCTAATACATCCAGGAGAATAAGCTCATATTGACAATGCCATTGTATCTTTGTCAGAGAAGGTGAGTGTAGGCTCTGACAACTAAAGAGGCAAAAGACCAGCAAATAGCCCCCAAGCCCAGGGTCTCAGTCCACTCCACCATGTCTGTTGGCAGTCTAGGAAGCGACGGAGGTGACAGATTGATCGGCGGACGTCAAAGATCCTGGCGGCTAAAATCTCAAGATCATGGTTGAAAAAGGGCTGAAGATTACTCTCATGTCTGTCGCGTTTGAACAAAGCTTTGCCTGGCGATACCCTTTGGAACCTAACCTCTTCATCGGGTATGTGGTTTCGTTTTAAGCCTAGCAGTGCAGCGGATCGATTTCCCCTGGGGAAATACCCATCTCAATCGGAGACACCGATCGTAACACACGACCTGGATGATCCCGCACTGAATAAAGGGCAAGTCTGTCAATGGGGTATCGGCTGGAAAACCACGCTCATACTCTGTGGCAGTTTTTCTTTAGGTACGGAAATATTGGACGATGCACTGGAATTCATGGAAGATACTAACACTTACCCGTAGCCCTTGCACTAGCCATTACTCATGCAGTAGTATTTCACTATCTCGACGGGAAGTTTGAAGATGATCCAAATATCCCGTCACAAACCTATGTCACGGCCGCATCAACTATTGTGGCTAATGTGATTAGCTTCTGTATCCGCATCTGCCTGGCAGCGGCGTTTACTCAATATTTCTGGCGTCTTGTCCGGATTTCTCCCATGCGGCTTGAAACCTTAGAGTTCCTCTATACTATGAGAGGAAGTCCAGCGTCGTTCTTCTCTTTCACTGTACTTCAAAAAGGATGGTTGCTAGCTATTATTACAATGGTCCTATGGGTTGTTCCTGTCGCTATGAGTTTCCCACCAAGCTCAATGACTGTCAGGAGTATGGTAAGAACACGCGAGGTATACCAGGCTCAAATGCCAGGTATGAATCTCTCAGAGGTAAGTGCTATCAACCTCTATTTTCTGGCTAGTCATCTGATGTTTGATCTGCACGTAATGTAGATATGGGGAGGTAACACAACTATTATCAAGGATAAAGAATTAGCTGTGTTCGTGTCAAATAACTGGCGAGGCCAAGATGATCCTGACTTCGTTGAGGTAGAGCCGTCCTCCTGTCGAACATTTGGTAGGATCAGAATGTTGCTGACGACATCTCAGGTACTCCGTGCTGAACAGTTGTCATTTGCAGCCATGGGGCTTCAAATCAAGCCTGTTATATACCAGCTGGCTACAGAAACTATCGTGAACGGCATGCCACACAAAATGAGCTCGCCCTGCGGGCTAAATTGCTCCTATGAGCTTTCCTTTGATGGGCCATACCTGAGCTGCAACAATACCGATTTTGATAAAATTAGTCCGCAGTACAACATGAGTGCTGCTGCGATCTATGCGTTAGAAAGCAACTGGACGGTGACACCGAATGCAAACCCAAAGTTCAACCCCATTCTAGAAAGTTTTCAAATAAAGAATGCGGAAGTATATGATTGGGTTCGGAATGATTCCGCGGACACCGTTCGATTTAAATACACCTCACATGTGCTGACATGTAGCCCTCGTCGGGCGAAATACCACGTCGTTCAGAGGTTTGACAACGGCCAACAGTTCTCAACCGTTACCATGGGAGACGTGCATGACTTAGTGCCGATGGATGAAAAATTCTATTTTTCCAAGAACAACATGACGCAAGCTGTGGTTGACACAATTCGTGATCGTAATATAATGGCACTGATTATGGCAATGACTAAAGGCATATCCGGGAACGTAGGTGCAATTGTTTCAGGCGGGTCTTCAACAGAACCGATCTCACAGGAGGCGGCGTTCTCAACGCAATGTATGTGCTCATATTTCCCAAAGATGTACTTGCTCGTTGACTAAATGGATCAACAGTGATGCAAGACAATCTTCTCGTCCAATCCACCCGTCTTTTCAATGGATTCAGCGATTCTTGGGAAGGAACTCTCACGACTTTGTACAGTCTCTTCACTGTAAATGAAGAGATTCTTAACTCGATGCTGGCGAACGTCACCATTAGCGCAATCAACCATTTTCAGCTCTGGCCAACTTCGGTCAATGTGACACGACAGGATCTATATACACAGTATGTGTGGTCTCGGCCGCTGAACCTTCTTCTCCCATATTTCCTCTCTCTAGGTGTTGCTCTACCGTTGGCAGTTTTGGGCTACTGGTCGCTGCGTCAGAATGGTGTTCCAGCAACGGACAATGGATTCCTACAAATCGCAATGACCACAAGGGGAAATTATAAACTCGATCAGCTAGCGATGGGAGGTTGCTTGGGAGGAAACCATAACGAGTCCAATGAACTCAAAAACCTCGAGGTTCAGTTTGGAGAGCTGGTTCAGCCGGATAGATCCAGGTTGGACATGGAGCCACACCAACTAGGATATCACACAACAGATGTCAGATTGGCTGGATTTGCACCCAAAGATGAAGTTGCTCCCCTCGTGGTTGGAAAACAATATGGGAAGCTGTCTGAAGACCGCGGATCACTAGAACACCCTTGAATCCGAGCCTGATAATGATGATGTCGACTGCTTCTAACGCCCTTCTGTATATAAAAAGATCGATACGGAAGTACATATACCTGTAAAAAAGTTTCTTTTCACCTATATGTCTCTCTAGTCAACTACTCTAATAGAACCTTGAAAGAGCACGTGCCCCACTAAATGCGTCATCACATCATGTGACAGATACTTTTGTCCCAGCCCTACCACAGAACATCTCAGCTCTTGGCATCCGCGTACACAGTATGATATCTGATCAGACCGACTGTAGAGCTTCAGAAAGTCCTCCCTAGTATAGGGACCTGGCTGAACGAAGTTGTATAACGAACTACAGATAGTTAATCAGTAATTACTTGAATAAAATAAGAATGTGTTCTGGCCCCCATGTCCCGGAGGTTCGAGGCGCAGGAGCTAGATGTCTTATTATCCACAATTATCTAATGATTGCCAACGTAATTACTCGATCCATCTGCCGAATGAGGCATAGCCGAATGACAAAATTTGCATCCCGTATCCGAAAAGCTTGAACAGATGAAGAAAGTAGCGTTACAAAATAGCCACAGAAAAAAACAACGCACATTAAATGGACAGCAATAGTGACATGGAGAGAGTTGAGCTCCTGTTACTGATAATTTAATGTATTTTAGTACTGTTTAAATATACTGTGTACGCTGGAGGAGGCCAGGATCGACATCTTGCAGGAACGGTGAATTCTAGTTGCCACTATCTAAGAAGCTAAAGGTCGCCCGCCACGGCCTGCGCCAATGATATAGGGCTGGAATCCACTACCAATATTGCAAAATTGCGTACCATGATCCATCAGTTCTTGTTGTCAGCCTCGGGTCTAATTTTGGTTAACCCGGGGCTCCCCCCTGATCATGATAAGAGTCGTTCAGTTAAGACATGTCACTTCCCATCAACCCGAAAATGATTACATCTTCATTTCTCACTGCACCAGGCTGATGGAAAGCTTTCTGCGTAAATCCCCTGTATCCTTACACTTCACTGTCAATGTTTTCATCCGACAGGTTTTAAGTTATTTTGGACCCCACACGCCGACTCTCGCGGAACATGATATGTGTTCTGGCCCCGCGAGGCCTTCGACCAGCTTGGGTGGGTATCACTGCAATTGCAGCAGCAGCAGTGCTCTCTTTATTCCTCTTATACTCGCCCCGACTACAGACCACTACGTCGAGAGTAGTAGTGCCTGATCCCGTAAGCCATATTGTGACTGACCCAAACTATGTGGATAATACCACCACCAAAAATGTCGACCCCGTCATTGCTGAGGCCGGTTTGATTGACCATCCTGCGCAATACTTTATTGACTATCCGCTTCAACCGCCATATAAAGAGCACTTCGGCGAGTTGGGCCAGCGAAGTCGAGTCTTGCGCGACTGGATGACACTAGTGGATCAGCTACCACAGTCCACGAGCAGGAATTTGTTGATGAACGCTACGGAGAGGGTGGCCGTCTCTTTATACCCTTTCCTCGACAAGCCCAAGGTGCAAAATACCACTCATAAACCCGTAGCGGATCTCCGGGCGTCCTTTGAACCAGGCTCAGCGGGTGTGGTCATCCCAACCAGCAATAATACTCTTCGCTTCGCGGCCCACCTGATTGGTGCTATGCGCTTGGTTTTAAACTCCACGCTCCCAATCCAAATCGTCTATGCCGGCGATGAGGATCTCAGCCCAGATGATAGGGCCCGTTTATCAAGCACCGTGGAATCTGGCCCTCCCCTCGAGTTTCTCGACATCCTCACCGTTTTTGATGATACAACACTCCAATTGAAGACGGGTGGTTGGGCCATCAAGGCCTTTGCAGCCTTGGGCTCGCGTTTTGAGCGAGTAATCCTAGCCGATGCTGACGCTGTTTTCTTTCAACCTCCCGAGGTCCTGCTCGACCATGAAGCATTTCTTCGAAGTGGAGCTTTACTGTTCCACGACCGACTCCTCTGGAAGAATGTGTTTCCAGAGCGCAACGAATGGTACAGGAGTCAGATTCGACAACCAAGTGCGGCGTTAGAAAAGTCACTGGTCTGGACGGAGAATTATGCTGAAGAAGGCGACTCTGGACTAGTTGTTCTCGACAAGAGCCGAACGGATATACTCATCGCCCTGCTCCACATATGCTGGCAGAATTCGCATGACGTGCGCGAGGAGGTTACGTATAAAATGACGTATGGTGATAAGGAGACGTGGTGGCTTGGTCTTGAGCTTACAGGTGCGACTTACGAGTTCTCCGGGCACTACGGTGGAATTGTTGGCTGGGACCAGGTGGATAGTAGTGGCAGGCACAAGGTGTGCAGCTTTGTCATTGCTCATGTTGATGCAAAGGATAGACTCTTGTGGTACAATGGAAGCCTTCTCAAGAACAAGGGTAAGAGCAGTATGACAAATAAATATGGAGTTCCGACTCACTGGATGATTGATGGCAAATGGCAAAAGGGTGATCGCAAGGAGGATATGAGCTGTATGAAGGGAGGTGAACCGAGGAATCTGACTCAATACGAGCTCAATATCATGGAAGGATCGATTGAGCTGGCCAAAAACCTCGATGGGATGATATACACCGCGCCAAAAGGAACCGAAAACACATGAGTTCGTCATATCCAAAAGTGTTATCAACAACAAATATCCTCTAATCCAGGATGTATGTCAGTTTGCCAAACATCCAACTATGGACTTGTGTGGACTTGGTATTCCTCGAAGAGCCATGTATCCCGCAAGGCTCCTTGACCCCGAAACCGGTGTTGGTGGTTCCGGCTTCATCAACAATACTCGGTCCTTCTAGGGCCTTTCGTAAATCCAACCGACTATTACCGGTCATTGGACAACAGCCTCACTCAACTGAATTGATAGGGCTCAGGCATGTATATATAGTATCATTGTATCAATGTATCTGCATGGAGTATAGAGTTTCAGACACTAACGGCCAGCACATTTACAGTTGACTCTCTTCTTTTCCCTCATTTTGTCCATCTAAGCATTTATTTACTACCTGATGATATTTTGGATATTTCTTCTGCATTGTGATTTGTGTCTATGGGGGATCCACTTGTTCACTGGTTTCTTAGCAAACACCGTTGCTACTCGATACCAGAATGCGTAGCCCCCAATCTAGGCTTCATAACCTAACATGGTCGCCTCGACTATGAATCTTCCATCGTTAATCTATTGCGTTCCAGCTACACCTGTCGCTGACTATACGGTGTATCCAGAACAGGAACCTCTATTTCCCTTACTTGGCAAGTCACTAACCATACGAACACGGCCTTCATGACGAGTCGGAGAAAAAGGTAAAAAGAAAGAAAAAAACAAAAAGAGAAAAGAGAAGAAATAGAGGAAGCCAGAAACAGGGAGAAGCAAGGAGACCATGGTCATTTGAGAGTGTCCAAATCCGTAGCTCTTCTTCTATTGTTTATTTAGCTATTTCCGTTTCCTGATGGGAAGTGCAGCCAATATCTATCTAAACGACAGAATATTTTCCCCGAGAATTATGATTGACTGAGCCTTCTAACTCCCAGAGTAGACTAGTGTGTCTGTACTACAGCGATAGCTTTATGAATTAAGCAGAAACAGCCAGGATTGGACGATATACATCTTGCTAAACAACCGATGGTGTTTGGAGCTAAGCGCTGCGCATATATGACAGACCTAACGCACAGGTAACGTCTCGGAAGTTCACGTTGCTGGCAGGGGTCATAGCGGAGAATTCCGGTCCCAACGGGCGAGTAGCTTTTTGGAAGCCTTCTGGCATTGGGCCACGTGGAACCCCCGTACAACTACAAAGTCTATCAATGTTAGCCTTTGTATAGCCGCCCGGCTTACACTGCCAAGGCAACTAAGGTACCGAGAGATTGGGATCAGGTCACTGATGGAGAATTACGATCGCGATCGGGGACCACGTCAATAATTCGATATCCCTATGAAGGAGCCGAGCGTGCCAATTAGGAGTTGACTTAACTTATGGGCGCTTACAGGAATCTTCAAATCGCGATTGCTCAACCTAATAGGCTTCTTTGTACGACCTTGAAGTATCCAGCTGGTATCTATCGTTTTACGACCGTGATCCTACGTTAAACCACGTCAGAGACACTGATCACGACATTATAACAGTACGCAAGGCAAGCAGAATGACGTTAGTCAGTGCACACTTGGTGCAATCAAATCGATGAGTGAGGCTCTCGGTAGCATTCGCAGTTTCACATTGACCTTGGAAGAATGGTGGTTGGCAACGTGAAGAACTTTCCAATTTATCATAAATATCGAATAGCATTCCAGCTTGTAGACACTTCTTCTTGTTAGGCGGAGAAGGGAAGGCCCTCTATGATCATTATCCGTATTAGGCAATAGCGATGCTCGGATACGCGTTTTAGATTCGGACATTAATAATGCATCTCAATGATCGCATACTGGACGCAAGGCTCGCGTTAGCCTCTTTACAGCCAATGATTCATATTCAATGACCTTTCTAGCCGGAAATAGGACGATGGTGCGCTAAATGTCTTACCCATCGCTGGAATACCTTTATAGTACCGTTTGAATAATCGAAGAGATGGCACATATTGACCCGTCAACAAGTCCTAGAGTACAATGGGCTCACGGGATTTGGAGTATAAACAGAAACTTGTCCATGTATTGGGCAAATCATGAATTCGTTACTTCAGCTCTTCATGGTAGGTCTCAGTGCAATACAGCACATCTTCTTCGTCTTAGGATTGGTGCTTAGTGCTACAGTGGTAGTCCTACCCCCCAGAACGATGATGCCACTGCATTGACACAAGATTCCGAGGTTTCTAAACCGGCTTCCGAAGGCAATATTGGGAAGCTCTGTGCACAAGCGCGTTCGCTTTACCTTGAACCCTGCCTTCCGGATATCGGACATAGACCTGACTGAATTAGGCCTGGCTGGAGCTAAGTAGGAAGCATGGCCACTCCGATTGTTTGAGGTTTGGAAAGTCATTCTGTTCAAATAATACCTGAGACAGGGCATTAAACGAGCCATAAGGTGTACTGCCTATGATCTTGTGTATGTCGATATGGGAAGCCTCAATCCATACCTAGTAGGTCTAGTAAGCCATGCGTTCGTGTTTAGTAGTAAAAGGCTAGATCGAGGGCCGCTTAGTACTTGTCAAAGGTATAATGGATGAACAAAATCGCAGATTACGACTAACAGTGGTACACGCTTTGTCGGTGTCTTACTAGGAAGTGTACTCCATAGTTCAAATCCTGATCCGGTATGAACCTTTGATTTTTTCCTTCTGGGGATGACAAAGCTCGGCTACGTGTCAACGTGTCGAACAACAAACACTGATTAGCAAGACTTAATGGATATGTCAACGACGCTAAGTCATCTAGAGTATAGATTTAAAGTTTAACCTACAGCTAAGGAGGTCAAAACGCTCCAAACAACAACACTGTTGGACACCCTTGTTGATCTCTTGGACACAGTTGTCAGTGGCTTGAATTCCTACTGTCAGACTCACGGTATACTTGTGATCCACTACTGGGTATACACAAAGGAAGGAATGTTATAGGTTCTCACCGTCCTTTGTCTGGACGCTAGCTACTCATGGTCCCCACACCAAGCCTCCTCTCTGGCATCTATCATTGACCTTCTTCGATATTCATCTTCTCACCGCTTGAATACGAGTCATGCGTAGGAAGGATCCGAATTATAATCGGTAATACCACTTTGCTTCAAAGCAGATGGCGCATAGGGTCAATTCAACTGTTGTGTTCAAGGCCTGCAACTTGGTGTCGTAAACAGTATTCTTTTGTGTGATGCCGCAGGTACGTGGGTTTGCCACTCAGCATCACCAAGACATATAGCCGGACAGTCTATCCTTTTTGTAACAAAGCCGGCCGAGGTCAAACCTGGTTCTGTAATGCACCTGAAATATTCAGTATCTTGATTACTAGATCAGGCACAATATTAAAGTTTCTGTGCCTCATGTCAATAACAGAAGTGCCATTGGACTGGCCGCTAGACCAAGAGCCTGGATGCCCCGCATGTACACATTGTACTTTGATCTTAAAAATAGGCAAGGAATCAGGAACCATTTAGCTAGTCGTATGCCGAATTGACGCAACGATTGGTTGCATTGGCCATGTCAGAAAGGTCGCGGCCAATATTGTATTTAGAAGGAACGTCAGGCTCCATAATATGAAACTTATAAGGGGAAATTATAAACTATATTATGTCCACTGACATTTGAAAGTCAATTTGTAATAGCAGTACAAAGCAAGGCAAGCTTTCTGGCGGATATAAAAAGGGCAGCCTGTAAGCCGACATACTACCCCTGCATCTTCATCCTTACCAACTCCCAGGACTTTCCTACAAGCTATTAAGTAATACTTTTTCTCTGTCCCATTCATTTCACTATGCAGCGCATTTTGCTCGTCCTGGCGATGGCACTTGGCCTTGCGATGTCTGCTCCGACCCCTTTGTCGGACCATAGCGCCCAGGCTGATAACGGTCAAGCCATGGCTTATGACGTTCTGAGAGAGGCCAGCTATGTTTCAAGGTAGTCATACGTGCAGAGCTGCATGTCTAGCAAAACTTTCAGCTGACTAGTCGCAGTATTCATGATACGTCCAAGTGAACGAGATATCAAAACATCGGCCCGGATGCCTGGAAGTTAAGAAGTTGGCTTCGGGAAGGAGTTAGCAAGTGACATCATTCGGTGCTGGATAACCATCGAAATATCTTGATTATGGACAATCTCGTCATTCCCCGCTGGCGGGGCTGATTGTATGACCCTGGAGAGTTCATAACTATGTATAAGAAGTTGCCCTTCAGATAGCAATTTCAACGGCTATGAGAGCTATATGAAGTTGATGATACGGGTACAAGCGTAACAATTCTGTAATTGCTCTGAGCTGGCTTTTTGTTGGTTTAAATAGTAGCTGAAAGTCGAGGGTCAGGATATTGGCCTATTGCCGTATGGCTAAAACGGCGTTCCACTATGAAGAAGACAGCTGAAGAGAGTGTTGTACTCGGTGTCTCGGTGCGCACCCTTTTCGCTACACCGGCCCCTGATGAACTATGTCAGCGTACCGGGTTATATAATTTTCTTAATTGGCCATCTTCAAATTGGCTTTGATCATATACCCTTTGTTTTGGTCACCAATGCGTAGAAAATACACCAGTCCAAAATTTGCAGTACGTTTCGCTGCTTGAAGCTACATCCTAGTGTATATCAAGTCGCTTTTTTGAACATCAACGACCGTAGTCAGAAGAAACGTTAATGGACGAGATATGCAGGGAATACGTGTAGGGTGTGTACGAAGTACAGGAGCGATATGCATACACTAAACAACGCAGTGAAAGGTGCGTTGAGCTTAGCGTTAACGTGTACCCACTCAGACCTACGGGCCGCTATATGCATTTATGAAGGTTGGTTGATCTCTAAGCCGAGACATAGTGATACAGGTCGGGTCTTGTAGTCGGCAATTTAGCACCATATGTCTAAGTTTAAACTTGCTCTGTCCTCGTCGAAGATAAGTATTATTCGAGCTTCAGGAGATCGACCGTACCCTTGACCCATTAAGGCTCCTCAGAACCTACCCCACTGTTCCTGGGTAATTTAATGTGAGGTTAGTTTATTCGGCATCATTTAGCTCTGCTTTTATCATACAAAGCGTATCGCTCTTAAACTTCAGCTGGCAGTGAGGTATAAGTAAGGTAGGCATACATAGGAGCTACAGTACTATCACTGGTATTTGTATCCATTACCAAGAAGCTCCTTTGTATATTGGAAAGCTTCCAATAACATGCCTCTTGGTCTCAGACACCGCAGCTCCACCGTCCTACGGGCGAAACGAAATTATCAGAGAAAACCACACCTACAACGCTCACGCATCTATTACCCTTATCAAGTATTAATTTCCAGAGGCCATGAAGCCCCTTGTATGTAAGGAACCTCGCACGATATATAACGCGAAACTGCAGCTACTCTATATCCCGAATCTTTACAAGATAAAGAGACCATTTCAATAAAGTGGAATAAAGGAGTATGGAAAATAAGGATGAGGCTTTAGCCCTGTCAGTGTCGAATGATCCAATGGCGAGTTTCTTGTATATTATTAAATTTTCTCTCTGTCTGGAAAGGTCGGCATTGCTTGCGCAAGGAAGTTCTCTGGTATCACTAAGCTCACTTTGGTGTTTCAGGTTAAAACAAGCTTGTTCTTTATGCCGCAGCTTAGCCCTACTAAGGAAGAATTACGATAGTGGGCTCTATAGGTAAAACGGGCTCCACCTTGCTCCTGGCTTAATATGCCGATAAATTATCCGGCAATCAAATTATCCAAATAGGGTACTCATGCTTGAAAGTGTTTACATAGAGTCGTGTTCTTCCTAGCTCAATATCTCAACTTATAGCCCACTCTTTTCTTCTACCGCATCTCATTCATTTCTCTAAGCGACCGGTTCGCGATATCTTCATCAATCACCCCAGTTGCTCAACTACACCTACAATGCGTTCCGCCTACGCTGCCGTTTCTTTGGCTCTTGCCTGGCGCGCTGCCGCCACCACCAAGGACTCCTGGGCCTTCGGCAACGGATTCTACTCCGGTCCCGCAACCAACGCCCACATCACCAAGGCGACCTGGTCTCTTGTGCCTCCGACTGTTCCTCAGGGTGTTGAGGTCCAGGACCCCAGCGACCAAGTCTGGGTATCTCTTTGGATCGGTCTTCAACATACCAACGGTGACGACAGCTCCTACCTGTACCAGCCTTTGCTGAACTGGTCTCCTGACCAAGAGTCTCAGTGTGTTCCCCTTAGGAACTTAAGGAATTCAAATGACGGGACTGACATGGTACTAGGGGATGTCCTGCTACGGCTGAGGAGTGGTGTGTTGCTGCTAGCACTTATACTCCTAGTTCGTATCTCTTTATTGTCTTGTTAGGTTGCCATGCTTACACACCATGATAGATGGCCAGAACGGCCAGGCATATGTTACTATTCCTAGCGGCACCCAGGTTGATTTTGAGGGTAAGTCTTGCATTCCTAATGAAGATGACTTATCTCCAGAGAGAAATATTGACATCATACAGTCGCCGTCGAGAACAACAAGGTCTACCAGACCGTCACCATGGGCGGCAAGGTCGTCTCCCAGGAAACTGACGGTGAGTCCTCACCTGATACACGCTGATTTTCATATTACACAGCCTGACATAAGTACTTCCAGAACTCGATGCCGAGCTCCTCTACCTTTACTCTGGTGACGAATGCTATACCGGCTCTGGCAACTGCGGCACTCTTGAGGCCTACAGTAAGTTCTGCTAAAATATAAATCCACATAAGAACTCAACTTTTGACATAGATAGGCTGGAACAACATCACTATCCACCTCAGCGCCGAAGATGAGAAGTTTGGTGACACTCTCTTCCTGTACAAAGGGTCTAACTCCAGCGGTTTCACTACCTCCGACGGTGGTAAAACCTGGCACGCTGAGTCTATCAACATTGAGCAGGATTCTTGGACTGGTGCCTAGATATCCTTTTGCTGGGTTGTCGCATTAGGGAACTATTTCTTAGAGGATCCCGGTTTGTACGGAATATTCGTTTATATATGCTATTCTAGATCGACGAGCATGGACTCATGTAAATTCTTAATTATCTATGCTAGGCAGATATAGCTCTTCATCTTGGCTGTAATAGCTAGTCTGGGTCTTCTGGATCTAGCTGGGGAACCCTGGATGGTTTAGGTGGCGCGGGTAATACACGAAGCTCGAGAAGCTCGTTGTGGAATCCGTTTGCAAACTTCGGGTTTTAGCGACACATGCCATTTCATTATGCGAGAGTCTACTTGTGGTGGAGAGAATGAGGTGAGAGCTTGACCAGTAGTTATATGAACAGTGGGCGTAATTTATGCCCCTTGTGGTGGCAGGATACGACCTTTACGCCTAGACATCAAATCAAACGAGATAGAATCATCAAAACTATAGGGAGGAAGAGCTGGATCTGGATTCCTCGTCGAGCAGATAACCATCAAAGCCCATCATATACAACCTCAAAGATGCAATCATACCCTCCTGATAATTCCAGATCCTTCGTCGGTTCCGCAGGCCCTTCAACTCGGTCCAATGTCGCTTAATATCCCTATACAGGAGAAACCAGTTAGTTCGGCTGGGTGTAGGCATTGGCATTGTCCATTTAGTCAGATGCTCATCAACATTGATTTTATGTGTCAGTACTTTCTCCTCTCCGTACTCAACTCTGGTCTCCCCTCTATTCTGTTTTATATCCTCTGCAGTGACTGTCGCCCAGAAGTAGGGCTTCTCATTAGACCACACCTCCCATAACCAAGGCATGTCCTCTTGGATCAGGCGATGCCAGAGTGAGACGTGCAGCTGGTAGAACTGCCTTGAGACGAGACGAAGAGATGCAATGTCTTTCGTGGAGAGGCTTTTTATAATCATATCCAGTATTTCTCGCGGCAATCGAGTAAACGGGTCAGTTGTATTCTTGGTCATGGATAGAAGGGGCTCAAATGCACCATCCTGGGGACTGAATGACGGTCCAGTATCTATCGCTCGTTCCAGGATCTCCCGAAGCCTGGGAACGTAGAACGGATTCGCAACGAGCCATTCATCACCCTTGGAATGAATCCACGATTCACCGGCGGCTTTCTGAACGGCCGAATCAGGCTCGTCAAAGTACTGGCGTGGGAAGCGTTCGACATTGTCAAAGTATTCTACGAGATCGTTGATCTCGACACGGCCAAGTCGAAGTCTGGAGAGTTTCATGTACACCCCGAAACACCATGGATGGAACGGCAGTGCCCTGTAGCGTTCGAACCCCTAGCATAAACGGTTAAAATCACACTACACGGCAATTAAGTAGAGGGACCATACATCATTGAACGGGTCCGCCGGTTCAATCCAATCGTAGCCATGTCTTGCAGGAAACACATCCCCACCCACACTTCCAACATACGGCATGTAGTCCACGAGCCCCGAGAGGAAATAATCGCTGTCACTTTCGCATTCCAGGTCATCTGGCGCGGACTCTTCGTCCCCGTTGCGGTAGACCAGACCCTGCCCAGTGTGACAGCCTCGAATCTCCTCCGGAGAGATGGTGGTCCCAGAATATCCCAGTGTAGAACGACATCCCGGACCAGCGACATGTTCAAGATGAGCCCTTCTTATGCCAATGCGACCTGCCTTTTCCTCCAGCCGTTCGCCCATCGGCAGTATTTGTCCGACCGTGGGGAGGTGGCCATCATCCATTTCAAAGAATAGGAATCTATACTGTGGCTCCTCTGACTGATCAATGCCATTTTTTATAGTCTGAGAGTTGCGAACAACCCAAACACAGCCTGTCTCAGCGGTGATACACTGACCACAGTCACTGCCGTCGTCGTCGTAATCATCGAGGGCACAAATAAACTGTGTCGAGTCTTCTGCGGACCACGCCGCTGAGTAGGGCTCATCGATGGTCCGGATACGTGAGATGTTGAAGCTGATACCACACAGCGTGCACGGGAGCTGAGCAAAGATGTCAGAAGGAACGCACTGCGCGTGATGAATGAATAACGAACCTCGGATTCTTTTAGTATGCAATTAGTGAGACTGTACATAAATGTTCAGACTTGGCTCGTACCCATAGTGTATTGTATAACTTCAGATACAGACTTTTTTTTTGGTTGACAACGGTTGATATTAGGTCTACCTGCCGAAGTCTGCTCACGGTACCCCTTTAGCTCAGAGAGATAATGCTTTGATGAGGAGCTGTAGAACTGGGATTCGACAGATCTTCAATACGAGCAGTCTGTCGATCGATGGCGGTCTGCCTAGTTTCTGTCTGGGAATTAGTCATAGTCCTGGCATTGCCACAAATTAAATCGATCAGGGACGGATCCACCCTTCGTATTCCTTGCATCCTTATCCTTCTTAACTATGTGGAGACTATGCGGAGGTGAACAGGGGACTTTCGTGCCTGAGCCATGAACAGCACTCCAAAATATTAGGGCTTTGGTGGAGCGTGAGAAGTTTAGAAGCCAAACAACCATGCAGATATGAACCTAAGCGTGGACCATATCTTTTTATCAGGGTTGGAATGTTCAGCAAGGATGGTCCGAATAATATCAATTATCCAAGATCCTTAAGCTTTGCGATAGTATGTATATACGTTTGTGGCCTGTGAAGTTTAGTCCAATATATCTACACCACGGGTCTGAGAAAAGGTAGAAACAAAGACTGGATTGTAACCTACTACTTTATGATTGGAGTCATTGATACTAAGTAGGAGGAGCGAAGCAAAGGTAGAGGCAACGAAGCAATATAGCGAGCCAAAAACATTGATATCGGCCGCACTCGCCAACAATCTTCAGTTCCGAGTCAGGTGAAGATTCCATAGTCGAAGGCAGCATTGTGCTTAATTATCTTTTGTAACCTTAAACTTCGATCATTATGAATAAAATATCGATGCAGTCTTTATTTCTCTAGTCGGCCTCTCCAGCCAATACAAAACAACTAGTGCCATTCTGTATGCCACATCACATTCGATAGCAGAGACCTGGTGGGCCCAAGACATCGTGCACCCGACAGTAAAAAGAGAGATGTGAGCTAGAGGTTTCCGCTGCACCTTTAGTAGTTACCATAATCCTTGCGCCAAGAATAGGGAATAGAGCAGATCCTGCTCGATCCATATCAAAGATCTTCCGTCTCATATCTGGAACCAAAGTGTCAAGATACCGCTCAAGGGCTCCGTGTTCATGGCTGTCCTTCGCTGCTGCTATCGCTCGGGGATCGAATCCTGGTAACTTGAATACATGCCGGTAGAAATTCAGAAGCTGCCACCTCTCCCAGCTGTTAGTCATATCGAAGCCGAAGCCTACTTCACACTCAGGATCGAGATGTGTTTCGAAGTAGCGTTGATATGGGTGATCATGCTGCATTCTAAAGCAGCTGCAAAACCTGCCAGAGAGAGCATGGCTTACTCCACTCATGAGCCTGAACACAGAGTAGATCGTCCCAGAAGGCCTTTTGAGTCGGATTCCGTTTTGAGCTAGATTCGACACATCAATTCCATGTTTTGCCATCAATTCTGCCATCGTGGAGGTTTCATATGCGGAGACTATGTCGTCAAAGGTCGCACTGGAGGCAGCCAGCCACAGATACTTGACAGAGAGCTCCTGGCGCTGTCGGAAGGACTTGCAGTAGCAGAAGCCAAAGTTGATCCAGGCCGAGGAGTTGATGTCTGGAACTTGCCAGATGGAAGGTTGTATGGCTATGAACAGTTTGAAGACTTCAGTCTGCCCGGGGGTTAATCTCCATCCCTTTTCGAATTTGTCGTACAAGTCCAGAAGATCTATTGCATTGGCAAATGCTGTCTCCCAAATCCCGTACACATACTTCTCCATGTTAGGGACTGGAAACGGTCCTCTTTTGAGGCGTTCTAGGTACCATGTTATACAGTCGCACTGCGGCTGTCCGGGGTTCTGCTTGATATGTAAATTACAGAAGAGCTCTAGAACTTCACCAAGCCTTCCAGCCTCCTGATACTTATTGAGGACTCTGACAGGAGAGCGACAGGTGACTAGCACAGCATCGTAAAGACAGACGAGATGGAGAGCCTCGACAATATTCGAGCAGTTGTTAAAACCAAACCTGCAGCAGATATAACCATCAGCAAACAGATCGAGAAGTGAAACCCGAAGAATTTGCTGATTGTGGCCCGTCATTGCCCTCTTCACACGTCTGATAATCAGTCTGAAGAAGTCAATGTCGATGGGGCGGTTCGGTGTCCGGCAAATGAAGACATGCCTCTGCCAATCTCGCCGTTGGCAAGTGTGGGAGCAGTACTGTGTCCAGCATGCCGAGCATCTGGCTCCAGCTGGTTTACTGCAATATCGGCACAGCTTGGCGTTGGTGATCACAGGCGGTGGCATCTCATCTATTAGTTCCAATGAGCATTGGCTTCTGTCGTGATTGATTTTGTACATCTCAGCCTGGTCGATTGGCAGATGGGTGCTAATGCGGGGCATACTCGGCGCCAGGAAATTGGCGTATCCTGGTTTACCAGCTACAGGTGAAAACTGAACTTGTCTATCAGCAGCAGAGAAGGCGCCCGGAACCATAAGACTTCTGCACTTATCAATACCAGACAGTTCAAAATATGCCATGGGGACCTTACCTTAGGGTTGAAGGCTTTTCAGAATATCTTGGTTCATCATCTTGCCTGGCCTGCGCCGTGGATAACGCCGCCGAGGATTGCTGACATAGGTTTCTGTGGGGGAGAGGATATGGCATGCTGAGCGCCGTATGCAGCCTTCTTCTCAGAGATGCAGCAAAAGTACTCATCAGCGGAGCAAGCCACTCTAAGCTGCCACCTGCTAATACATCTTGCGGTAATCCCCACCTAGGAAAGACCGTTTCATGCGTTCCACGCGCCAAGAACTTCCCGTGAGACACCCGAAACGTGTCACAGAAAAAGCAGCACTTCTTGCTACATCCGATATAGGGAAAGACCTGGTCGACGCTATCAGAATAGCGACCCTCAAGGTACATCATTAGCTGAACCTCTGCGTGAACTGATCTGGGAATACGCAATAATTTTCTATAATTTCTGACAGTTGCTTTGTCTTGCAAAAGTCCTACCCACCCATTATGCTGTGGCCGACACTGGAGTGCTATTAAGTCGTCCAGCGGTAATCCTTTGCCCAGTGGAGGGTAACTCTTAGTTTTGAATATGGAAACTGGTACGGAGATGAACCTGAAGGAGTTGAAATGCTCCAGCTTAAGCCTTGAAGCCAGCTCGACTAATGTTACTGCGGCGTGGAAAGTTCGAGCGAGGAAGAGAAGGGCATCCCAAGCTTTTTTGAAAAGCTTTTTGCGTCCATGTAGCGCCTGCATAAGTAGATTCTTCAGGGCTGGCCGCTGTCTGGGATTTTGGATGATGGTATAAAAGCGCCTGAGGAAATCCCGTAGCTCGTCATAGTGCGTGGTACTAAGATCAGACATCCCAAAAAGTGTCTGGATGCTAACGCATACCTCTACCACCGCTTCATCCCTATCTTTGTCTGAGAGGCAGTCGAGGGCCTCCCGCGAGAGTTCGGGTTGTCTCCCGTCGATGCCAATAATAAGACCTTCCCACTCCCTTGCCTCCAGTGTCTGGGGTACTACATGTTTCATAACATCTGCCGTGAGCGTATCAGACAGTTTGGCCCTAGAGGCCTGCTCAAATGCCTGTCGAACTGCTGCCGAGTAATATTCAACTCGAGGTCTGTTGTGCTCAAATATGAGATCAAACACCTGTGATTCATGGGCTTCCTTTGGACCTACTAATAATCAGATGCCCCAGACCAAAAAAAGTAGCAGGAAGGAAAGACCTACTATCGTTCAAAATAAAAGAAAGCAGCTCGTCTAGCCTGCCGAGGAACACTTCGTCCTCCTCTTGAAGGCCCTCATTCTTGGAACACAAAAAGGTTACACAGTGAAGACTACTGTCCTCCACCATAACTACACTCGCGACATGCTTTGCATCAATGTTGCCCTGGTTCCTCTTTCCCTTCCCATATGGGCCTGTTTTGGCTGTCTTAAACCTGGCTAGGATCTCAGCAAGGCGATCCAACGAGCGTTGCTTCAAGAGGACAAGAGCAGCGGCCGAGTCGTCGGTAGGCACTTCATCTTCAAATTCTGCTTCGTCAGAGAGCTTTTCCAGCTCTTTATCAGTCCCCTGTTCAGGCCCTTTGGATGATGGTTTGTCGTCACCGAGTTGGCCATAGCTGATGCATTCCGGGGGTCGCTGGAAGATGAGGGAAATTAGAGTTGTTAGAGAATGGATCTCTCGATGTAAAGAAGAATTTGTCCATTGTTATGGCTTATTTAGTAGAGCATCTCCATAGCTGTGATGAATAGTGTGATGAATAGTGTGATGCGTACTCGGCTCTTGGTGGGATCGTCAGGCTGAAAGTTGGGCGCTACAACGATGACAGGGATCTGGTGTCACTAACAGCGGGCAACAGGTATTATTGGTACTTTTGCAGTGCCAAAATATCAAGCTTTGTCGTAAAATCGTTATGTCTTCCACGAAGTCCCTCTACAAGTATCCCACTCAGCTCAAACTCCTGTCCGAGTCATATAAAAACCACTAGTATCATAATATTGATCGTTGTGTCATGTACAGTGACTGTAAGTTTAGATCTCAGATAAAGACCATTCTATAGCCCTGGTCGCTGTACATGGCCAACATCGAGGATATTATAGAGTGCTATTCTGTATGCAACCCTTGCTATCCGCGTCATTTATACCCAACTATTCAAAATCTCTTACATAGGGATAGTACGGAAGGTTGTGCACATTATACCTAATCCACGAATATAAACCCTTGAAGCAGATTACCCTGTCCATCGAGTCTCTACCAGGCCGTTAACCAGCTGCCATTGCCGAAATTTGAGTTTACCTCGGAGTCCATCCCGATATCGCCCTCGGAGGATATAGAAGATGCGACATGGCTTAGCACAGTTTCTCAGTTTTCTAAGCCACTACGTGTAAAAGAATCGATCACATCGCAATGATTGCGAGACGGACCAATTAGATATCTCTGTATAACCTTCACACCGTTATTCGTATACTAGCAGGGATACCAAAGAGGCTAGTTGCCTAGCAACGCCAATCCATGAAGAGACATGCATCTCAGGGCATGACCTCCGGATGTAACTCCCATCACACGGGTGTACCGTGAGACAGCCGACGAGTACGACAGTTACACGGCGGTATTTCGACAACTTAATGTCTTGTCAATCAGCTCCATGGCTGTAGTTAATTAAGCTCTAAGACTCTTCCGCTTGCGTGGAGAGACCGGATGTTATTTTCTGCAGTGTCACTTGCTCATAGGACCATGCTCTATAGAAAGCCTTAACCACATGGTATAGTTGGACACTAGTAAAAACCCTGGAAAGAGCGGAAAGGCTGTGTATTGACCAAGATAAATCACCTTAGCCAGAGCCGATTATTATGGCATTTTAGTCCACGAAATGGACAACTCCGCGGTCCTGCAGGCTGTGTAATATGACGTGATTTCCTTACTGGCGTGTTCGAATCGACAACCGTCATACAACATAACCCTAGCCAGCCTGGGCAGATTACCGTTACCTAACGCCCCAAGCTATGAAGTGTGCATATTGGTCTTGTGATACGCGTTGATGACAACTGTGTAACTGTTCTGCAGTAGGCCCGTACGAGGGTTCCTCGCATCAAACATTGCACGCGTTTGTGTGTCGTAGAACAGTAGCTAGTCGAATAGGATTCCTACATATATGATTCGCAGACTTGAACTCTCGACAAGCCACCTCGTATGCTAGGATCCCTAAAAAAGAGGCAACTCCCGTGAAGGATACCTTTTCCTTTCTGTTTTATTGGTGGTCTGGTTATCAGCCTCGTCTAGACTTATGCCACTTTTCTTTGCGTTTGTCTTTGTCACACTCTAGAGACGAAATAAGAAGAGATTGGCGATATCTGAAGACATGGTCACTTCCCACCTGGTAATGATGCTCCCTAGGAGTGTAATGCACATTGTATCGACGGTAGAAAACTTGATTTTACGAATCACAGCTGGTTAGCATCTCATATGCTATGCTAAGGATACAAGCTATCATTCGTGGCATGGAGCTCGCAGTCAGAACTGAAAAGAAACCAAGGAAACGAGGAAACCAATAACGCATTATTGCGCACGAGCGCTCATCACGATAGAATCAATAGCCCACACAACGTGTCTTAGCACTCTCTCCTTAGGCTCCTTGGCGGAGCCTTTAGCACGCGGGATCACGATACCAAGAGTGTCCTGTAAGCGAGCACTGTACACGAGATCCTGCGATGACCCCATCTCCGGAGTTTCGTGATCCTGGATATACACAACAATGTCGGGACCGACACAACCACGCCAGAGAGATTCCATCCACTGCTGGTGAGTCGTTTGCGAATAGGGATCGTCAACGGATATCTCGCAAGCAAATGCATCCACGGTTGTAAGCTGGTATCTTGCGATGAGCGCCACAGGAAGTGGGTAACCTGTGTCGCGCAAGGCCGGCACCGACCCGTTGCCCGGGTCGTCACCACGCTTTGCCTTGGCCCGTAGCCCTCTATATGGGTGTTGGATATAGTCGACAACTTGAGCGGAGATGGGATGCCATGCGGAGACGTTGTTCAGATATTCAACTATGGGGCCATATTTGCGACGCGACATATGCCGGGGGCGAGCTTCAGGTCCCTTGAAAACCCGGGTGCGGAATCCTTCCATTGGTAAGGTACTGTGAAGATAGTCAATGATAGACTTGACAGTCGAAGAATCCTGTCCATCTACCGATATCACTGGACCTCGAGAGCCACTCTTCTGAAACGCGGGATTGATCGGCGGTGAACCATAGGCTAGCGTGCCAATCTTATTGAAAACTGAAAGTAGTTTTGCTGTGATCTCTGGGGTAGATGCAGGGCCAGTTGCGGTCAGGGGCTGGGACTGAGTGTGCTCATACTGTGCATGCGCTCGAGGCTTTTGTGGCGCCCGTATCAGTGGCGAGGTGCGTAGCATGTCTTCGTCGCTGTGTTCCCTGGAAGAAGTATGTGTGAGAGATGTCAGGCTTCTGCGATTACGTCCCTGAGTGTTTGAAAACGGCCCAGGCTGGATATTATGTGTATCCAGGCTGTGATCTTGCATTGTGTCGCTGTCATACTGGGGCTGGTGAAGGGGTGCGTCCCAATAATGCGCCACCGCCATAGGGCCGCCATCAGAGAGGTCCTTCGTGCTGCGCAGGTCGGTTGATTGGCCAAAGCTATCATTGACACCCAAAAGCAAGGATGTGAACGGGGGTAATGACGTAGGGGAACATGTTCCGTTTTGAACCACAGACGTAATCCTCGGATCTTCCACTGGGTTGGTATACCCTTGAACGGAGCTGCCCCAACGGGTGTCGTTGTCTTCATCTTGGATGCGGGACTGATGCTCATCCCCCGAACAGCATTGGCGGTCCTCGTAGTTTGGAATCTTAAGTTCGTTAGTATTGAATTATCACCCGACTCATATAACACATAGCAGATGGCCAGACGTACTTCGCTCAATATCGGCCACTGATTCCTTTCCGCCTGGGAAAGCCGCTTCCACTGTTCCTGTACTATCCTGGTTATAGCCGGTGGCAGAAGTCCTCGGTTGGCCGCCGCCACGACAGGCAGGTAACGTTGACAGTAGTGGGCAAAGGCTATGCTTGGCTGTTACCCAACTGTATCCCACGGTGGAGTGGTGTCTAGGATGCATTCGACCAGACACTCTCAAGGCGGTTGAAAGTCAACCGACAGGTCCACATGGGGTCGTTGAACGCAAATGGAAACGCACCTTCCGATCTGAAGTCAACCTGCATTTCCTCGGTAGAAGCTTTGAAAACAGCACCGTTACTTGGCTGATATCGAACAGGGTCACTAGTCGCCTGAGCATGGTCGATTAAAGAGGGCTCACTGTCCCAAGTATCAGGTCTGGGGAGGACTCGATGATAAGACATCTTATTAGCAGTTTGGGCTTTCTCTTTGTTTCCAAAAGCGTAGAGGTCAAAGGTGAAGGAGAGGCCAAGTGTAGAATGATGCCAAAGACCCGCCATATAAGTTCAGCAGTGCAGTTAGCATTTAATTCTGCCCTTTGAGGGGGTGCGGGTTTAAACTATCTGCAAGAGTCGTTTGCCCGCGTCTTTTGCCACTTTCACCATATTTTGCTCTTGTTCAGCTGTGGAGATCGCTGCCTGAACAATCTAATGTTGTAACACCAACCGCACAAATGAAAGAAGCCAATCTTAGTGGCAGAATCAGTCTCCGGACTTTCCATGAGTCGCCCGTAGCGTATGAGACGCGAGAAACCGGGCAAGGTTGGGTTGTACACATTCATGGCCCGAAGACCAGAGGTCCGACGCGCGTCAAGTAGAGACACTTGACTATTAGGATGGTGCATAGCCCTGTCTTAGATTTGAATGAGAGCGCTGCCTCAAAGTCTCACGTCTAGCCTCGGCTCCTTGCGATGTTCAACAGTTGCAATTAAGAAGATCCAATATTCTCTGATCAAGCTCAGATCGCCTATTCTCGCTTATTGCAAAGAGGAGACTTCTATGTCAGCTAGTTGAACCGATCCGGCATAGCCTGAGCCCTAAAAGGCCCGCTACGAGCCAGAGGTGAGGTGCTACCACTTAAGCCACCCTTGCTGATATGCACTACGGCCCTGCAAATATCTCCCATTGGTGGCCTCTTCCAAGAGAAACAGCTATGATGCGTATCGGGCAGACAGCTAAATCAACACCACCCAGGGAAGAGTTGTTAGGCAGATGGCCATCAGATTTTGCTTTCTATCGGGGTGGGCATGTGACAAGTCGGGTGCGATTGAAGATTAAACACCTCTCGCACTCCCTTATCAACCAAATGGTGTGGAATAGGCACTGATAGTCTTTGCTAATGAGCCCTAGTTTTGAAGGGTAATCGTAGAGCTGTTATCAGGACTGGTTTCGACTCTCCCACCCTCAACCTCAACCTGCTGCACCTACCCCGATTCAGGAGGGTAAAAAGAGATTTGACTCAGTCCTTGGGTTGGCTGAAGTACAGTGGGTTGCCCTGAGCACGTGGCGGCTTGGGTTCCGGTTTTATTTGTGATTGGAGAAAGGTCCTGAAGTGTGGTTAGGTTTGATCAGTAGACCTAACAAATCATATTGGTACATTTAAACAGTTTTGACCATGAATAGAAGATGAAGTGGGGGAGCTGAAACGGTCAAATGGATCAAGATACAGGTTGGACTAGGTTAGGTATAGTCTCATCCTGAAAATCAGAAGTAACTTGACAAGGAATATGATGACATCTGGTACACTCGATTCGTCGTCTTAGAAACCACTCTCGTACTCCACCAATCAGTTCTTTCTCATATCGACAATCCCTTCAGTATTCCAATTTTCCGCACTTTCTGTAACAAGACCCTTTTTAGATTGGCCTAATTAATATAGAAAATCAACCCAGTGGACCGTCGTCAAAATCTAAGCAAAGCATCAATATCGCTTAGATCCAGCCATTCACCACTATGCACTGGAGCCATTGCCTCCAAGCCTTCATTATTTGCCCAATCATTCCAACGCCGTGTAGCTGATATATTATGTATGGGTCGTTCTGGTTCGTTTTCGAGCGCAGGGGCTGGGTTCTTTGTATCTCCTTGTGCTATTATTGTGGAGCTTGACAATCGGCGAGCAACAATATTTTCAGGGACTCTTGCATCCGAATGACTCCTCTCGCTGTCCGGTATTGTCAACTCTTCCTCTTGATCCGATATACTGTCCTGGGGTGGAAGGAAACGCATAACCTCCTCGGCCATAGAATAGACCGCAGCCCAACGGGGCACTTCGTGGTCGATACCACGCGGCAGGGGCAGATTAAACATATCGTGGGAGCTTTCAGGCGCGGGATCATCATATTTATCTTCGGCGATCCTGCGGGTAGCCATAATGCTTAGATTAGTTCCTCAATTCGAACTCGTATCGTGGATGATCGCAGAGCATACCGCGTTACATGTCCTGTAGACACGCCTGAGCAGACTTCCTGGAAACCACTCGTGGCCCGGCGATGTTGAGCAGCAGAAACACATTGCTTCTTGTGAACACGACATGATTGACCGGTTATCGTTCGGGTCGGATCATTATGACTGGCGCCGGATTTGTGGACGCCCCGTGGGCTATTTAGCTTCCGGGGCTTCCGCGGAGTCGACTCCATGGCAACGTCTCGAGAGGTATCGTGGTGGAAGAGACCCCACTCGAAAAGGATCGCCCGGGGGTGCAAATAAATCGTGATATGTAGCGATATGCAAGAGTCGGAGATTGAATTCCGGGCTGCGCGTCGGAAGGATCCGTGAACGAGATGATGACTCCAATGTGCGTGCCCAATACGAAAAGCGGGGATCTTGGGGTAAGCTAACTCTATTTCTAAGTGGATCCAGGTCGATTCGACTCTTGAATGCTATCAACATGTGCCATAAGTCGATCTAACGTAACTGGCAAGCACCCTGCGCACGCAAGTACCCTACGCAGCTCTGTAATCTATACAAATCAGCTCTTTTTACCACTTGAATATCTCAGCAACCACAGATTATAAAGTTATAATATTAAATATATAATATAGTATAGAATAAATAAGAATACTCTTTTTTTTTTCTAAATTTTTTCTTTCAACTTTATGGTATAAATTAAGAATATCAAAAATACCGCTGTAATATATAATATTGAAGGATATATAACTTATCTAAAACTCTCTACTTTATATATTAAGGACTAAGTACTATTATATACTATATCCAAATTTTATCTTATTGTAGTCCATAGTTGTTGAGATATTCAAGTAGTAAAAGTAGCTGATTTATATAGATTATAGAGCTGCGCAGGGTACTTGCGTGCGCAGGGTGCTTGCCAGTTACGTTATTCTTTATCGACATTATCAGCTGGCTCTTTGCAGATATCTTCGGGATCAAATAACCCTAACCCACAACATCGAAGCACATGCTGTACAGTCGTTTCTTTGAATGTCTGTATCCAAAATTAGTGGATTGGGCACAGTAGAATCAGCCCACGATATATAATGGTCGCACTGACAGTAACTGCGGATGGCCACGGCGATTGACAGGAAAATCAGGGACTTTATAGTCGAGATGATCACACGGGCAGGCCTTCATTGGAGAGAAGCAGTCTCTTATACTTCTGAGTACCTGTAGGGCTTGGAATGGGCCTTTTAGGGGACTGCCTTATCATGCTTGTTTTTACATTAATTATGGGTCACCACATGTAACGAGTACAGAGTACACGATTCCTTTTCGCTCTAACGTGCAGAGCATAACGAACCGCCAATGCCTCCCGCTACCACAGACAGATCCTAAGCTGGGATGGGCCGAAGGATTCCATCCTATTTTACGGTTGTATATTTTTGAATGATGCCCCGGGTACCCTGTGTCTAAGTAGTCTACAGTAGTACGTCTTAGGGACAGATAGTCCGCAGAGGGCAGTATTATCATCTTAGACCTAATACCTGATCATTGAAAATTCATGCTTTACCTTCTTCAGAAATATGACATGTAAGAGCGCTTGTCAATTGCTTGGCGCCAAACTGGATATACGTTTGACGCGGCCATGGAGCTTTTGTCCTGCCCCATGGCAGTGCTGGCTGTCAATTGCATAAGCTGACCCACCATGCAACGTAACTCCTCACGATACAGAATCCAAACCTTTGCCATATGTATCTTCGTACCTAAACCCTTGCCCACTTCAAGAGCACAGCCGCAAGAACAACAGGCAAGACACTAACCAGCTCCCCCAGCCCCGCAAACTCTGGCGGAATCCTGGCATCCACAAACGCCCCGGCACCGAGCAAGATGGCAAACAAGTTATACACAAAGCTCCAGCCGAAATTGAACTTGATCCGCCACACCGCCTTCTCACTGATGTTGATCATCGTCAGGATGCTGAGTAGGCTGGGCCGCATCAGCACAACGTCTGCGGCGGATTTGGCAACGTCGGTGCCGGTTTCGTGGTTCATGTGTACACCGATTGTGGAGGTGGCGAGGGCGATGGCGTCGTTTGTGCCGTCGCCGATGAAGATTGTTGTTGGATTCCGCTTGGGAGCAGATTGATCGACTGGGTCCAGGAGGGCTTCGATGTAGGCCTGTTTGCTGGCAGGGGTGCAGCGGGAGCGGGTATTTTCAGCTGCGATGCCGAGCTGCCTTGCGACGGACTGGACGGCGCCATCGTCATCACCTGAGAGGAGGTGGACAGATATACCACGTTGCTGGAGTTTGGTGATGGTTGCGAGGGCGTCTGGGCGGAGTGAGTCTTCTAGGCCAAAGACGGCGGCGAGATTGTCGTTGATGGTGAAACAAAATGCTGTGTAGCCTTGTTCGAGGACAGATTGGACCTGCGGATGGGACGAGAGGTTGAGCCATCGTGAATTTCCTGCGCGGAGGATGGCTCCTGGTGCAGACCCTTCGACACCTTTGCCGGTTAGTAGTTTCGTGTCAGCGACAGTAGACGCCGATATCCCCTGGGCCTTCAGATGTGCAGTAACGGCGGCGGAAATTGGGTGCTTGTTACTCCCCACTAGCCCGAGAAGTAGGGGCATGGAATCCCTCATGGTGTGTATATGCTCAATAGCAACGATCAGTTTGCCTTGGGTGAGTGTTCCGGTTTTGTCGAATACAACGTGGGAAGTCTTGAAGGCAAGCTCGATGCTATCCGCGCTCTTAAAAATGATGCCTCGCTTGGCAGCGACGCCGCTGGAGATAACGATTACCATAGGTACTGCCAGGCCGATCGCACAGGGACAAGAAACAATTAGAACAGTGATAGCGTATGTTATGGCCTCCGTGGTTGCTCGAGATCCAGACTGGTTTCGCACTGTAATGCCCACTGCAATCCAGATCACGAAGGTGATGATCGTCAGAGCGACTACCACAGGGACAAAGTAGCTCGCCACTCGGTCCGCGATATCCTGGATCTTTGCTTTTGACACCTTTGCTTGATCTACCATCCCTGCGATGGTACAGATTGTATTATCAGCAGGGAGACGCGTCAGTTTGACAATCAACGTTCCAGATCCATTCACAGATCCTGCGACAACGGCAGATCCAAGGGACTTGTCTACCGGTATAGACTCTCCAGTAATCATTGACTCATCGACCTCTGACAAGCCTCCGATAATTGTGCCGTCGGTAGGAATCTGAGAATCTGGAAAGACCTTGAAGATGTCCCCATATTGAAGCAGCCTGACATCAATCTCTTTTTCACTTGACCCGGAGTAATCCGTGAGGATAGCAGTAGGCTTCTGAAGTGACCGAAGCGAAATGGATTCGACGGCTTTCTGACGAGCAAGTGCGGCGACATACCGACCAACCATTATCAAAGTAACCAGCAACGTGCTGGTCTCGAAGAACTCACCAGTGGAGAGTCGCTGGCCCGCAATGGAATATCCAAATGAAACTACTGAGAAGATGTAGGCGGCGCTCGTGCTCAGCACAATGAGCAGGTCCATCTCAATAATCCTAGAAAAGACTAAGGCTTTCAATGCTTTTGGGTAGAACGGGCCCGCAATGACAACTTGAACAACTGTCGCCAGTGCCAGCGATGCAGAGCTATAGGCGGTTTCCCTCTCTGGAAGTGGAGCCCAAGCCATGACCAAGACAGGTACTGTTAAAATAATGGACAGAATAGTCATGTATCCCATATGGCGCACATGCTTGATACCAGCTTGGAGTGTCGGGTCAGGCAGAGGAACAGCCAGGCTGAGAGGACGGCCCCAGCCATGTTCAACCAGATCTCGCGCTCCAGTTATCTTCGCATCGAAAGTAACATTGATGCTTCCATCGTCAATAAGTGTCATCTCGGTCACGCCACGCGGCCAGTCTTGCTTCATGAACTCAGGGGCATTGGGTGTGATAACATCGACGCGAGATCCTCGATCCGTGACTCGCTCGTACTTGAACTCGGTGGTCCTTTCCAAATACTTCAACACGTCATCGAGAGACTGAATACCCACGTCGAGATCGAACTCTGCTCGGGAAAGCACCAAGCTACTTTTCAGGTTCTGAACGGACTGCAGTGTACCCAAAGTTCGGGTCAGTTTTGTTTCGCACCCGGTACAGGTCATCCCCGATATACTCAAAACGACATGCTCCTGGCCCGTCATTCTTTTTTCTAGGTCAGGAGTAGCAGCGGCCGGGATGGCCTCGATTAAGTCGCCAGATGTTTCTTTGGTCATTGTGCATGGAGATGTTGCGGGCTTACCGCAACAGCCAGTTGAACAGGTAACAGGTCCGGATCTATCAGCATTTGCTACAGGCAAAAAGTCAGCGGGCCCATCAGGCTTACTACAGCAGCGAGATGAGCAGGCGGGCTTATTGGCCTTCCCTCCATCTAAGGCACAAGGGGGTGTTTTGCGTTTACTGCAGCAACCACTTGAGCACTCACCGGCGCCAGGAATTCCTTTTTCAGGAGACGAACACCGCTCGGCAGATGAACTCGGATAGACCTTTGATTCACCGCAGCAGCCCTTCGGAAGTGTCCTGCTATTGCTCAACTCACCCTTCGTAGTGGAGGCATGCGATCTGGCAAATTCAGACGTTTCACCTTTACTGCAACAGCTGCTGGAGGTAACGGCCTTCCCCTTGCTAGTGGAGGGACACTGCTTAACCACGGTAGGAGCCTTAGGAGGATCGCAGCAGCCGCTTGAGCAACGCTCTCCAGTCCTCACACTCCCGTTGCGGCATTTATCGGATTCCGGACTGCCCCATGCACAGCAAGAGTCAATAGAGCGACGGCTTTGACCAAGGGAGGAGCGTCCTGGCGGTACACAGCAGGATTCCTGTCCGAGGGCTATCAAAGCACGGCAAATACAGCCCAGAGCTTCCAGTGTGGCCATGTATTTGGTGCGCGCTGAGCGACGGTGCTGGTCACATGGTCTTCCGTCAGGACTTTGGCAACTGAGGGTCGAAGCCTCTACGGTTTGGCATTAATGCGACCGCTTAGGGCCAAACTCAGGTGTAGCCAACTTGAACTTACTTGGAGCTGCCTCATTAGATGATCGTATCTGCTCTTTATGGCATTCACGGAGGGCGATACGATCAAGGCAAGAGACATCACAACAGGGAGATGGCTTATCTTTACAGCAGTTAGGTTTATTGGGGTCTGCTTCCTGTGGTTTCTCAGTGGAGCGAGGGTTCGCGGTTTGCCCTTGGTCAGAAGTCTGGGGCACGCCGGTATCACTGGTGTTGATCTCTTTGTGTTGTTCGCCGCAACAACCAGAAGAGCAGGTGCTACGAGAATAAGGTTGGCCAACCATAGTTCCGGTCTTATCGTCTGGTGGAGAAGAGCCAGGTAATTGAAGATAGAAGATCAACACAGACGTGGACTACAAATCAGATTCTGCCCCACTTCTCCGCTCGATCTCCTGACTTAATCGGAACGGAAATCGGAGAAACCCCAGCCCGAGTGTAACAAGATGCCTGGACCAGCTTCATATGTGGTTCACTTAGCATTTACCTGTGATATCGAGATTGGGGCTAATTTGGACAGCAAACCATTGAAAGGACTTCTGAGGGTCCAAGTTAGATCTATCTGTATGACGCTCACATTTATGATCTGTCTTTATGGAGGCCACAACGACGTTAGATGCTCTGTCTAAACAGAGGAAAACTGCACCAAGTCCGGGGGCCAATGATCATTCGGTGTCTCCTAGGGTTTTACTGTAGGACCAATCCATGCTGAACAATCAGAGGCATTAGTCCTTTACAAGTTCAATATTTTGATGCTCAATATTGTCTGTCTGTGAAGCAGCCTTTTTCTAACGATTTATTCCTTCTGATACTTCGCTGAGCTTCATCGATTGTGCCTTGCCCTAAATGACTGATTAGGAAATTCCATCGGCAGGTGTCAATTTCCGCCCAATTGGGTAAGCCGAGTATTATATCCGGCTCTTCTGATCAAACGTTTCCAACCGGTTCTTATTTCCAATGATTACTTACAAAATCAGGATACAGAAAATTGATACCCAAAATTATTGTCCGATGATATTTTCAGGTCACACGGTGTAGCCTACCTCGGAGACAAAGGGCCATGGAAGGCAGAAAAGGGAAAGCCGTGTTTGTGCCGTGGTATTCAGTACGTCCAACAGGAAATTGACGACTAGATACCATCGTAAAAACGAGCTGAAAGCTGAGGAAGTGTTTCACTAGTCTCCAATATGTGGGGGCAAGGTTGGGCCAGTTCACCCACTAGTAACTACTGCTGGTTGCTATAGACGAGGATCGTGCTCCAAGATCCAGTCATCTGGGACGACGTTGTCGCACTGCGTAGAGGGGTTTCTGTCGTAACACTATTGTCTGCACCTGAAGTCAGATGCGCTTATGTATATATTTGTTTTTCCTCGGCCTGGAGCAAGCTGGGGCTGAGCGCCGCTGCAGAGTGCTTACATATAGCGCTGCTATTGGTGTGATCTGCGCACAGATGTTCAAAGTTGTCTTGAACAGGGGTACTCCGTACAGACCTGTGAATCTGTATTGAAAATTCACTGGAATTAGCCTGTAATTTTCCCGTCACAAGAGAAATTTCGCTTGCGACACAGCCGTGGCTGCAGAAGAGTGGAGCCTCCATTGCCAATAGTCTCACAGCGTAAGTCTGTGCTTTTACAGTGTAACCTTAACCCATATTCAAATCCACTTAGATCGATACTACTAAGTATCGCTGGGATAACCCCTCGCCGGCAATCTCCGGAGTAGGCGAATTCCGAATCATCCTGGCAGTGCCATGCACGACGGCAAATGCCTGAGCAGACTCTTCTTGGCAGTTTCGAAAATTGGCCCCTGCTTGTACAAGGGCTTGTGAGGTGGGCATATGCAGCTCCGAGTCAGCTCGACGATCGACCTGCAACTTGGTTTGTGTCGATCGAATCAATGCCCCATTGATTGAATAATACTGAGTCAGGGGCGAGGCAGATCTTCAGAAACTAAGACAAACCACGTTACTATGGTCCACGGTTGATTAACTTAGTTCCCGTTCAGCTCACCGCCGATCATCACGTAACAAGTGGAGCAGCTTGTAACCTAGAGTAAACACCGGTGGGTATAGTGGTTCCCGATCGAGAGCTACACTTCATATTCATTAATATTATACTTTCCTTCCACTCATGGCCCTAAGCAGCACTCCGTATGAGACAATGTATATCTATCTTACAATCGCTATTTTGAGAAATAGTGCAGAGTATGACCCTGTATTACTAGAATTAGCTTGTGGTGCCATCTCAGCGGCTATGGCGCGTGCGCAAATTGTCGCTAGATATGGATATAACGCGCTATTTCATAAGGGAAAATTCGCGAGACAGCTCGGAGAAAGGGCACCACGAAGAGGATCATCTTGAGGGATTGTTGCATGCATCAAGTACCTTATGTGGGGCGTCTTGCCACAATATATATTGGCAGGATGTATTCAATGCACCTTCGTATGCCATGCATAAGTTTGCAAAGGAGATATATATCACATTAGTCGTATTCATCAAGGACTAATTAAAGAATACATTGAAGGATCAACTTCCTCGCGAACACAGTGCAGCGTAAGGTTTTGAGGCGATTGTTATTCCACCTATGACACGCTTTATCTGGCTGCTGCGGACCACTGCGCCAGCAATTGACTTTTTTGGGATCGAATCCTGTGCTACAAAATTTACTGTAGTCTATCGAATAACTCTGTGACTGGCCATTAGATCCATGATAATATTCCACCAGTTTAGTAATTAGGTAACATCTTCCATAGAGTCGAACAAAGTTGTGTTGGATCAGCTGCCAAGAAACCCTACGCTCCATAGCTTAAGTGGATCGACGGCGATTGATTCTAGAGAAGTCGTTTACTTTTCCTCTCACGTATGGCAATGAGCAAGTAAAACCCGCAGTTAAACTCAAATGACGCTTCTTAATTGATATTAGTACTAGTAACTTTTACACCCAAAACTCCGTAACATGTACCAACCCTAATGCCATGGCTCCACTGCAAAAGTTCCACAAAAGCACTAGATACTCATGGCAGGAAATGGGCTGGCGTCCCAGCGCACCCGGCGCAAGTGGCGCTCGGGATCCATAACCTCGTTCCGCGCATGAAGCCACCGGCGGTTATCCATGAGCACGACAGAACCCCGAGGTAAGCAGTCAGGCGTAAGATGGAGCGTCTCCGTCTGTACCTCCAATCCTAGCAAACACTCTTTTAGCTCCGCTAGCGCGGCGGCAGCATCCATACTCAGGGGAGTCATGATGTCCTCCCGGAAGCGTAACATACTTGGCGCACCACTCAAGTCAGCAGCCATTAGGCTACCAATAATGTGTCGGCTGGCGTCGCTTTTCACGAACTCTGGAGGAACATCGATACGGAACTCGGGCCGCAGCAGTGCGGCGCACGTAGACGGCGAGAGCATGGAGCTTAGCCTCCCCACGTTCATTACCGAGAGCGTACCGCCGCCACAGCGATCTTCCCGGAGAACCTGTAACGCAAAGTATTTGGGCGGGGCCTCCTCATAGCTGCAATCCGTGTGCCAAGGGAATTCCTGCATGGTCTCGGACCGGGCCTGGTGGGATGGGGTCTGGAATGTCGTGCTATTGGGTCGAATGTCCCAGAACCAGCCGCGCGATGCACTATGGGTAATGGGTAACCCGTGTCCGTGGTGTTTGTGGAGACCGAGAATGAGATTTTGGAGGTATTTGCTAGCGTCATCTTTGAACTGCAGGCTGACTTTGAGGATGCCGCTTTTCCGGAGGGCGTTTGAAACGTCGGTAACGTGGCTTGATCGCGTTGCGCAGCTGAGGTCGCTGGCTATTAAGTGCGGCACAGCACGGGACGTCTCTGCTCAGCATTAGGGGTATAATCACAACTGGGATCCCTGGACACGACTAACGCGCAGCTATGTCTACCAATCTGGTGGGTTTGACATTTCGTACGAATTGTTGCATTGTTCTTTTTTTTGTGAAAGTCTCTTCGTCGTCCAAAGGGAGAATGCAATCAACAAGTATTGGGGTATACAGAAATCAATAGAACTGTAGGATGTACTGTAAAGATATGGGCAGTAGGGAACCAGGTGACTATTCAGCTTATCTGATCTGATAAAAAGAGACGCGAATAATCCAGGCACGGCAGCAGGATGGTCACAGGGCACTATATACTGAGCCAGGGCAAAATCCATTTCAGCTCAGCGGGGCAGATAGGCGAGAAGTAGTTGTACGTTGCTCCTTCCTGTGGGCAGGAATGTTTGTTTAGAGTACAATTCGGTCGCATTTCGGAATTTGGTTCCTGTATTGTATGCTTAATGTATGGGATATGACACCACGTAACTGTGGAGCCACATAATCCATGAGCTGAAAAAAGCCACAGCAATCTTTCGCGCTAGTGGTTGCCACTTAGTATGGGCTGTAGGACTCTCGGTCTGTAGCTGCGTCCCTAGTAACACTAGCCCTGCTGCTAATGTTGCAGGGGATAGTAGTGGCCTGCGTTGAACGATGAGTTCAGCGTGAACTCAGCTGAAGTGACAAGGAAAGATTGCATTTCCGGTAATCTCACATACAGAAATTACGATCAAGCCTTAAGACTCTATCTTTGGGACGTGTTCTTGGGATACCTCAAGTTTGCCTGGCCGGGAACTTTCTCCGATACGGCTCGCGCCGCTAGTTTAACGATCAATTCAATCATTCCTGACACGTGTCCAACGCAAATGGCCAGAAAGTTTCGACCTCATTAGGCGAGCTCCATGGTTATGTGTTGGGAAGCGTGAGGCACATTTCTATACAGTTACTCTACTGCTGCCACCTAGCTGAAAAGAGATGCAGACGGAGGGATTCCAAGAAATGTAAATTATAGTAAAAACAAGAGTCAATACTTCGTAACGCTCAAACAATGGCTATTCATCGTGCATAACAGAAACCGTCCATGCACCTCCATGACTGATCGCGCAGATACGATCCGCACTGCTACGCCAAACCCCAACTCCAAGGAACTCACCATTGATGGAGTGGTAAGTTCCAATGAGCGGATATCTAGTCTTGACACCCGTTGGCCTCAACACCACGTCGTACAAGGGCTGCTTGACCTTGCGTTGGACAACACAGGTTCCACTGCCGGATAGGAATTGCGCGGACCGCAGGTTCTCCAGTCTTGAAATCCACTCCTTCGAGTCCATATCCTCACCAAACACGATCCCGTCACCTTTTCCACTCCGGATAGGCTTGAGAAGATATTCATCCTTTAGGCCTGGCAGTTCCTTGCAGTTAGCAATTGCCTGGTCGAGCTCTAATGACCCAGGGAGAATTGTTTCTGGGATGCCCTTGTCGAGAACTCTCGCCTGGGACGGTGTAAGAACATTTCTTGCCACTAAATGGTCAAGTTCCTGCTTGACGATTCCAAGCATTCTCTTATCGTGAACGAGCAAAATGGTACGCAGATCGTTAAAGCATCTGAGGCTCACTTGCCGGAGCATTTCCGGCCCCAAGGCACTGATCTCTCGCTGGTGTAGCTCCAGACCGACCTGATGAATTTCCTCCAAGCACTCTCCATTATGGTGAATAAGTGAAGAAGCATCGGAGTTTTGCGAGCTATCCGGGCTTTTAACCACACAGCAGAGCTTGTAGCCCCCCTTTGCCTGCGGGTCGGGTAACAGCCTCAGATCTGCAGGGGTAACAAATCGGGGGCTTACTCCCAGATAACGGTTGAGGAAGTCCACTACCATGTGGATGTCAATCCCAGCTTCATCGCCCTTCAAAAAGTGCAATGGGCGGTTGGGCTGGAAGAGGCTTAAAATGCCATTCAGGATCTAGTCTCCGTCAGCTTCCAGCATAAAGTAGTAGGAAACGCAGGAAATTGTATATTTCTTTTAGCTTACCTTCGCCGGATCCGTGGCGCTTACCAGGCCATTACCATGGTCACAAATACCCATGTCTTGCATTGCCTTTTGCCCACAAGTAACGTACATAAACCCGTTAAAGGAAAAACGGGCATTGATCTCACTTATACGGAAGCCCTCGACAGGCCCCGAGCTCTCATCACTGGTGTCCTGTTCCACCAGGAAGTCGGGTCTCCATGAGCCCCGGCAGTCTCGGTACCGTGGAAGGTTGTGAGGCACTTGCTCGTCAATCCACTAAAGCCGTTTGAGGTTAGACCTGTGCGCTGCAATGGGAGCCATTCCAAAATCACATACACGCAGTAAATCTTCCTCCTCCGGCTCCAAAGGCATCCGTTCCGGAAATCCAGCCTCGGTGTCTGTTAACCATCTCTCCACAATGTCGGTTATAGCTAGGACTAGAGCTTCATGAAGCTCCCTCCATCGCCGCTGGTGCTCCGAGCTAACGAGGATCGGCCGGGGAGAGCATGCTGCTCTAGAACTTTTATGCCATCCGTTGGCGGAGCATAAACCCAACAGGCTTTCTTGAAGAGTTTCTTGATCTTGGAGATACGTGGCTTTCGTAGAGTCATAAGTTGCTACGGGCTCATAATCACCCTGCTCAAGAGAGACATGCAACTGTTGGAGCTGCTGGGTAGTTGGAATTTTCATAGTGTGGAAATGCGATATAATCACGTAGTGACTTGAGGAGAAATGTGGGGGAATAAAGGGGCAGACAAAGTCATTATGCTAAGGCCATCTTATTTCAGACACAGACAATCGCTCCAGGGTGGTGTCAATCGCCACTAGGCTCAGCCCATGCGTTCCTGTACGTTGCTTTTTGTGACAGCATTATTAATTTGTATTATGACCAGGGTGGGTGTCAGCCTCCATTGCCACTTGCATAGCTGAGCATCGGATTGAAGCGAGGACTAATTCCAGGTGTGGAGTCACATCAAATCCCGATGACTCGTTTGCAACACTTTTAAAAGGAAAAGAAGAAAACAAAAGCAAAATGTATTAAAAAGGCAATCAAGGCCGCAGAGATCGTTGTGAACATGCGGATAAAATCACTAGCGCCTCTCAGCTGAGCCGTGAAAAATGATCGACGGTCCTATCATTCAGATCCAAACTACACAAGGTCTCAGAGTAATACACACTTGCATACTCAGATGGCAGAAAGGCCCACTGTGTTATGCGAGGTCTAGAAATCCTGGCTCGTATCCAATGTGGAGATTCAGATACTACCGCGTTTGGCGAATATCTAGGGCCAATCTCTTCGCAGCGAGGCACGATGCGGAGCAATTACTGATGAAACTATTCTATTTGCTATTACGGAATCCAGCTGCTAGGAGATCAGTCTGATGAACTTGTAAAATACCTGTCACATACCTAACCCATGTTGGTGGGCCTTTGAATTTAGCCGGTGTCTTTTAGTGTACCCCACCGATCAGTCGAATGGAAAGTTCTCCCGATTCTCGAACCTGCCCCAAATTCGTTACCTACCATGGACAGCGTCAAACGATGGAAATGACAAGACGCTATGAACCCTGGTACCCACAGAGTGAGCGGGAAGCCAAAGGAAGATCTGGGAAGAGGAAAATAACATGTTGTCGCCCTGACAATTCAGAATGATTGATCACGTAGAAGTTCCGATAAGCACGACACATATTCTTCTATTGCTATGGGTGCATCTATAATCTCTATAGGACAGCTTCGGACCTGATACGTTTCGAACTAGCCGTAATTTCTCTATCCCATCTCAGTGGGAGATGGTCATCGACATATATGATGTCGTAGCGATTTGGAAATCCATTGAATTGCGTAGAAGTCGCTACCGTATAGGCTGCGATATGATTGTGTTAGCTATCAAGTGACATGGACGGTTGAGTTAATGGCAGACTTACATCCCATATTCTCAAACTTGACCCAATCGCCAACCTTTATTTCACAATCCATCGTGGCTTCTTTGGCGATACAGTCCAACCCATCGCACGTCGGGCCCCACACAGAATACCGATGCTCCCCAGTCTCTCTCTCGGGATCGCTCGCAGTTCCCCGTCGGACCAGGATAGGGCAGTATATCTCGTTCTCGGCTACAGCGTTCATGAAACACCCATATATCCCATCATTCAAGTACAGCATGTCGGTGTGTGTTAGCCGATCCTGCCCGATTTGCTTGCGACGCGCAATCACCTTGCATGCTGCTGTGTAGAAACTACGGGCATAGTATCGACCAGGCTCTGCTATTACCTGTGTGGAAGGGGGGAATTCTTTTTCGATGGTCTGTTGAAGAGTGAGGGCCATTTGTTCGAAGTTGGAATCTTGAAATCCGCCTCCGACATCTAAAACATGCATATTGAACCCGAGCTGTTTCCCTTGTTGGAAAACCCGTTGTGCATTTTGTACTGCAGTGACAAATGTATCGGCATTCGATGCTCCAGATCCTGTATCTGTTAGCTACTATAGGATAGAGCGTGCAGCTAGAGCAAGGAGTGCAACTTCCGAACAGAAGTCGTACATACCGACATGAAAGCTGACCCCTTCCACAGTTAAGCCAAGTTCCTTTGCCTTCAGAAGCAATGCCTTGGTGGTATCCAAGGGAGCTCCAAACTTGTTCCCAAGACTCACAAGAGCGGTAGCATCATCGGCGTAGATACGAAGAAGTAACCGTAGACTGGGAGCATAGTTCTTGATTTTCTCGAGTTCATCAACATTGTCAAATGTCGTGCGTGGAACTCCTCTCCTGGAAGCCATCTGCAAAGCAGATACCGCTTTGCACGGATGAGCGAATATAATTCTGGTTGGGTCTACACCCAGATCCAGCACAAGTTTCATTTCTCCCCATGAGGCGCAATCGAAACCAACGCCTAGACGTGCGAGATAGCGTAATAACCGAACGTCTGGGTTACATTTTACAGCTATGAAAGTTGTTTGTTAGTTGTTTGGACCCAATGAAAATCGAGATGGTGCCCACAACAGACCGTAGAAGGGCGCAATGTTAGGGAGACACTGGAGCCAGCGTTCATGCTGCCGGAATATTCTCCTTGTGTCTGCGACCAAAAAAGGCATGTCATGCTCGATATCAATAGAGTTTTGATTCAATTTTCGAATGCGTTCTTTGATGATGCTATCTATTAAAGCATCGGAAGGCATGTCCTTCACCGTCATATTCAAAACACAAGCAAGGATGGAAAGCAATCAATAAAACGATACTAAGTCTTAACTCTTACCACTACATATATGTACTCTAGAGATTTGCCTTCATATTCTTCAGCTGTACGGACTATGCCAGACTGGTATCTCTTAGCTGAAATCTGCCATTGCTTAAAATACCCTGAAATATCTCAAAAACATGACAGGTAGGTATTTTTACAATTGGAGAACAGCCGAGCTGCATACCGAGGCTAGTATTTTGAGCTGATGTGGATACACCTTTGATCTGCAGGAGATTTCCTCCACCGGGTTGACGGCACGCACTGATCGCGCCGATGATGGGTTTCCATTAGGTAATTTTGGCCCTTACGTTCCCTTCCTGATGCATCATGCAGCTGGGACTAGCGCCATGCGCTAGCGGTCAGCATGGACTCAAATATCGCCATCGTGGCCACAGATCATTCAGCTGGGGGAGGAGTGAGACTGCAGCGTGGTGTTTTATGGACAGCGAGCCCATAGTTGAAGTGGAACCCTATGTAGAATCGTGGACAGGGAACCCATCAAGTCCCGACACGCACGAAACTAGTATTTCAGCTGCTCAAGTTCTGATCGCTAGAGTATCCACTTTCAATACAAGTACAATTGAAAACCAATTAGCGCATGCGGAGCTAGCTCGAGACACGCATAAGTGAACGAAAACTTTTTCTAATACGCGCGGGCCGGACCCTATATGCATTTCCTAATGTCTTGGGGACTGCTTACGCTCAGCTGATTTATCCCCTTGTCTTAAGTTTATGGGTCAAATCACCTGGAAGCTTTAGGCTGGTTGAAAACTGGCGGATGTCCTACGTGTTGTACGCCACAATAAAAACGGCCGTGAAAGCCCGTTACGTATAAGAATTTGAGATGCTTCCCAGTTCCGACTCTCAAAACAGCATTTACGTTCAGGTTGAGTGTTGATTTACCTATTTTAAGCCCATACAATGATGGCCCCTACCACATTCCCCCTCAGGGAGATTCTCGCCGTCGCCGAAATCCACCCCTTCTACAACTCTTCCGTCGAATACCCTCCCACGCCAGAATCAATCAAGTCAGCAATAGAAGTGGCTGGCAAGAGGTCGACGGATATTGACCTTAGCTCACTGCCCTTGGTTAGCAAGAAAGATCTGTAAGTCCTCAATACCATATGATCCACGCCTGTATCTAACACGTAGCCATCTAGTTACAAAGTCATTGCACGTCTTACAGACGACACAAGCCCTCAAAATGAATACAGACGTAGTTCTTACGTTAGCATCACAGGCGGAGGCTCCGGTGGACTCCCGCTGATGTTCGTAACTGACACCAAAGAAAACCGTAACCAGCGCGCAGTCTTTGGTGAATTCTTGAGCACCTGTGGAGTTGTGGAGCCTCATGATTGGATCTTGACAACTCACGTCTCCGGATACTTCTACCGGTATGTTGCTCGCCTGCTGGAAAGCTTGAAATGGCATGTGGAAAGGATTCTCCCTAATCAATACCCAGGTCTCTCGATCTGCTAAGCGAGATTCTGGAAAATGCGGGAGCAACTGTTCTCAGCGCTGGAAATTATATGACACCTGCCGAGGTTGTTCATGCTTTGGCGCATTACCACGTGAATGTCATTACCGGCGATGGCAGCCAGGTCATCCAAGTTGTTCATCATATCTCTACACTCCCGGCAGAGGAGAGAGCGAAGATCAAGTTAACCAAGGTTCTGTATACATCCGAGCCGCTCACGGAGTCTCAAAGAAGCCACATCACAGCGACTTTAGGTCCGGTGAAGATAAGCTCGGTCTGGGGAAGCGCAGAAGCAGGTCCATGCGCTCTAAGTGATCCCGATCTTACCTCGCCCGAGCGCCCGCCCGGTACTATGGACTTCATCTTTGACACCCGACAAGTGGTCATTGAGATCCTACCCCCTTCGGCCTCTGAGGGTGATTCATCCGCCGGCATAAAATCCGTGCCGGATGGCGAGGAAGGGATCATCGTCCAGACTTCTCTCCTCCGTCGTCGGAATCCCCTTGTGCGCTATATCACAGGTGATATTGGGTCATTGCAGCCGCTGCCCGAGAAAGCCCGCGCCATCATCCCTGAATCCGAGCTCCAGCATCTTCGGGTCCTCCGTCTTCGCGGTCGCGATCGTCGCTTTAGCTTCAAGTGGTACGGCATGTATTTTGAATTTGAGAGCATTGTCAGCCTTATGCAAGGCGATAAGACCGGAATACTTCAATGGCAGGTCATTCTAGCCTCCCTTGAATCATCTCCGCAGACGAAGCTGGAGCTTCGTCTGCTCCGCCAGGCGGATAACGACCACATCATGTCTAAGGAAGAGCTTTTGGATAAGCTAGAGAAGTACTTTTTTGTTTTGCAGGAGAACGAGCACCTTTTCCAGGTTACATTCCTGGATGACCTGTCGGGCTTTGAGAAGAGCAGTACGGGCAACAAGGTCATGAAGTTTGTAGATAAACTGCACTGATCTAATGGCATATATATTCTCTATTGTTACCAGTACCATTGTTACTTTCGATTCGCATACATACCAGTTAACATCGGTGTTGCATTCGCTTTGTGAGTTTCGTGTCGTTGATAGGGAGCCGGGATCTCTAATTTATATACGTAAAAAAAACATTTGCAAGAGACATCCAGAATTCACAGACGGCCCACATCCCTGCAACACAGTGTGATGCTCTAGATTTAGAGAGCTTCTTGACCATGTGCTATACTTTCAGGTAGTAATCTGGAATATATCTGAGTTACCGAATAGTTTCCTAGTATATTTCTCACTATTTCTGGACGCTTGGCAACTGATTTCATCAAATGGATATGGAATAACTGGTCTTCCAGGGTACTGAACAGCACGGTACACTATCGTGGTGCACCATTGTGGTAGAATTATCAACTCATTCTAGCAGTTTATTGAGCTCAGTATATAGGGAAGTAGTCGGATTAAGTTATGCAAATAGCTCAAGCATGCAGGCCCTACATGCAAGTGATTTTGATACCACGAATCTCACGGGAAATCGGCACTCAAAGTGTTTAAGACAAAAATTCAGCGATTGTCTAACGTATGGCTTTCCCTTGCCAAGTACGATATATCCGGCCAAAATAGCTTAGAGCTATGTTCATTCATGGAGCTTTCTTTCCAAGCCCCAATGCAGTTGGACTCCACTTGTGCTCAGCTTCACGCGGTGCTCTCTTTAAACCCTTAAGCTTATCTTTATTTCATGTTTTCTTATCTCGTACGCTTCCTCTTTGGCGGAATCTCTCTCATAAATCCACCATCCAGATATTAGATAAATCGTGTTTGAAGGTCTAGAGTGGCAGGGCGATCCCGTTAATCCCGACCCGAGCCCGCCCCGACCCCGACGATTTCCAGGGCGGGTTTGCTGGGTCGGGTTAACTAAGATCTATACGGGTTCGGGGGTAGTTCAACCTCTGAAACCCGACCCAGCGCTGGGTCGGGAGCGGGTCCTAGATCTTGAACCCGAACCCATATAGATTTTAGTTCCCCTTTAAAGGTTCAGACTAAACCATCCGGTTGGATAGAGCAGTATGACGGAGATTTACTCGAGGGGTGGTTTGGATTCAAACTGGGATATGAGCAATTCTGGTTCTAAGAATGGTACCCAGTATACGACCAGACTCTGGGAAACGGGACTTCCTACCTACTTACCATGCTGAAGGCATATAGTCTGAGCTCAAGCAAGAGATTGTAGTACCCTTCCAAACTTGCAGCAATATGGATAAGTAATTCCAGATGAATGTTATAGAACAAGTATAAACAAAACCCTATCTATTCACATGTCACGCGTGAGCTGAACACGACTCGGTGTGAATTCTTCGTTTCTCGAGTCTGGACCCACCCTGAGTCGTGCGGAGCCCTAAGCCTGATACAATCCGTTACCGCTGGAAATACCGGCCAGCATGGAAAACTACCATGGGACGGCTAGAATTGCTCCTTGACGATGTAAGTACCGTGTATTAGCCCAGGTTTCCGGACGGAAGAATCTCGGGTTGCCGCGCTACCTTCCGAGCATATCACCAACACGCTGGTAGCGAGGCGCGATGTCCCAAAGAGATTTCACGCTAGCCCGAACAGAACTTCAGATCGCCGATCTATGCATGGGATGGAACTAGTGATCCACCTCCCTCAGTGGATATACCTATCACGGAGTAGATATTCAATGGTCGTCGGGTCATCATGAATGGTGAGTGGAACTATTGCACCAGCTTAAACTTTTTTATGCTCGGCAGCTGGCGGGAGTTGACTCGCTCACCGAACGATATATCATGACGGGCGATCCCCTACCTTCGTTTTTTTCAAGCCGTTGAGCTTGGGTCATGTTCGATATGCCTGGTCAGCGGTTTACCAAGCTCTACCTTCTTGGTTACATGCAAATAGCCCCTACTCTCGCCAGCATCCAATGGTCACCATGCACATCAAATCCATCCCTAGATTGCGCCACCCTCACAGTGCCGCTCGAGTACGCTGACCCAGGCAATGGGGCATTGGCGCACATTCCACTGACTCGCTTCAATGCTACCGTCCCTAAATCCCAGCGCAAAGGCTCTCTTCTCACAAACCCAGGCGGTCCTGGGTCGGCCGGGACCGATTTCCTTTTGAACGGCGCCGGAGAGGGTATTTCTAACATCACAGGCGGCTTCTACGACATAGTGTCTTGGGATCCACGCGGGACGGGTTCTGCACGGCCTCTGCTGCAATGCTTCGACACGGCAGGCGAGGAATCTGACGCATCTGCCGCGGTTCCCGCAGCGGCCGAGATAGAATATAGTCAATTTCGCAATCAAAGCTACATGCCCGCGTATTATGCAGCACTAAAGGACTATGATGATGCCGTTGGGGAGCTTGCCGACGCATGTGTCGACCATAATTCCAGCGCATTATACACCTCCAGCACAGCATATGTCGTCCGTGATATGGCTGCTATTGTCGATGCCCTAGAAGGAATAGACAATGCGACCCTCAACTACTGGGGCTTCTCATATGGAACTATACTCGGTGCCGAGTTTATCCAGACTTACCCAGAAAGAGTGGGGAAGATTATCTTTGACGGCGTCTTCGATTCTGCCGCCAATGCGAAACAATATACTAGTCAGCTTCCCTACGATCAGTTATATGTGCGAGACGCGATCAACGATCTGGTTACAGCCTGCACGCAAGCTGGCATCGATGGTTGTGCTTTGAATAAGACTCCCAACAACCACACGACTCCCGGAAACCGCACTACAGACCTGGCCACGCGACTCGCCAATCTACAAGCATCACTATATAAAAACCCTATTGAGGTATCAGACGGGTCGTTCTCGATCACAGTGGGCATGTTCAGCTTTTTCATGTCTTCCTACCTGAGACTACCAAGCTCATGGCCCGCTGTCGCGTCAGCACTGAGCGCGCTTGAGGAAGGAGATGCCGACCCTGTGGCCAACCTCCTGGGGGTTGCAGCAGCTCCCGAAGTAAACGCCAGTGCGCCTGACACGGGGTCTTTCGCTGGATGGCCTATCCAATGCACCGACAACGCCCCTTCCAACCAGACCACCTTACCTGAAGTTGCAAGCTTAGTCCTCAACATCTCTCTCACCGAGCAGACCCCGTGGCTGAACGCGGATCTGTCCACCACTTCCTTCTGCCGAAACTTCCCTAACACCCGGCCAAGAGTGCCAAACCTAGGGGCCTCGAAGCTCCTCAATAACGAGACAAATGCCATCCTCACCAAGCAGAATACTTCTGTTTTGATTGTCAATCCGCTCCATGACACCACTACTCCTGTAAACTCAGCGGTGCGCTTACACCGCTGGCTTCCCACTTCATCTCAGCTGGCGGTGAGACGTGGACCTGGCCACACTACAATCACTCTTGGCTCTTTAGGGCTGTTAAATACAATCCGCGAGTATTTCCTTGATGGGACTCTGCCAACTACGACGGAGGTGTACGACGTGAGTCAAAAACTCTTTTCCCCGGAGATCGACACGGATTCAATCACCCCTGCGCCTGTCTTTAATGGGACATATAGCAACTCTGAGCGGATGTTGTTGGAGTCTAACTATAATGTTTACTTGGCGTTTGTGAGCTTGCCATAGTCATGTTGAATGCAAGTTGCACGTTGCCCATGAAACTTGCAGGGTTTTTTTTAGCATATAGAGTATAGAGTATTCATGCATATAAAAGTCTGATAAAAATTCCAGAACTTCTAGAGCCATCTGAAACCAAGGAATGTATCTTGCGTTAAAGAGAACAGTCGAATACTGATAGAAAATTCCAGTATAAGGAGTACGTAGGACAAAACACCGCTCATTGCTCGCATAGTGCACCATCCATGTGCACCCCGGGTATAATACGGAAGTATGATGAGGTCCCCGACTTCGGAGGTAGAGAAGGCCAAGGCCTCCATAGCTGTCGGAACGCAAGTAGCATATTTCATCGGCAAATCTGGGCGCCAGTGGATATCATGACGCAGCCACTACCCTTTTTCAGCGTGCGAATTTGCAGCCATGCACGTCCTATTGTTAAGCATAAGCGAGACATAAGATGGACAATGCTTGATTACAAGTACATTAGTCAGGAGGCTCCAAGAGTCTAGCAGTGAAAATCTCGCACAGCGTCTCCACACTTTTCAAGCTCCTATCCATCAGATAACTCGCATTGCCGGTAAAGGCAATCTAATCAGCCCCTCTTGATCTTGGCGGAGGGTCAGGAGTCTGGACATCACAGCTCCGCTTACTCATGCCTTTGTAATAGTTAGCAGTAAACCCTAACAAGGCATTGCTATGGGCATTTCCATAGTCCCGAACCGGGAGCAACAACCACAATCTCAATTAAAAGTAGCCATGGCGTACAACTTCGGTAGATGCATGGAAATCTGATAATTTTCAAGTGGATAGTCCCACTCTGTCATGTGAGGTATTTCTGCACTAACTTAATGCCAGGCTTCCAGGTGGATGATTGCATAAGGGTTTATGTAAGATACATGGATTGGTTAAGCGAGTCCAGTTCCGGGTTCATGATTCTAAAGCCTGCCCTGACCCGGCGCCGTGTCGGGTTTTCGGGTTGCAGCCCGCACCCGCCCCGAACCTAATGGAAAATTGACAGCCTGACCCGGGTTACAGATGTATAGTAGGATCTGTAGAACACGATTTAAGTAGTTCAGTGACTATTTCGCGAAGAAAGGTATCAATAGGGATTTATCTATCTTTAACTACTACATACCTTGTCCGGTATGCGCAAACCATAGGTATGTGGGGATGGGGCTTGTTATGATACAGAAATATATTTAAGGCCTGGGACACGTCGTTAGTCATTAAGATACAACAACCACAGCAGTGACATGAGTTTGTCGTTATGGCATTCCGTCAACATTAGGGTCAACATTAGCGCTACAAAAGGGGAGAATTCAAGTAATATGCTTGATATTTCTATCTCCTTTGGGACCCCCTGGTAAGATAATGAGGTGAAAAGTACGACGGACTAGGCCAGAGTAGCCCGGAAAAGACCATGACACAGCGACAGATGGAGATATGAGCGGAAAATGATCAAGCTGGATGTACTTTCGTCCTCCAAGCGGTCTTTGCCAAGATCGACTGATAGTCTTTGTAATGTACATAGAAGCTGCATTTCACCCTTCTCCGTGGCAGACAAGCAAGGCCGTGGTGCAGATCAGGGTAATCACAACGCTGGAAACTATCCCCATTTAGGGGTATTGACATCTTGTATACGAGTATGCATAACCATACCTCGAAGTATGCTCCTGCACACGCTGAAGCGATGAATGCGATCCCGGTTAGTTTCAAAATCTGGTGTCTCACAAAGAAAATGTTTGATGTGGTTTTATATTTATCAGGTGACCGTCCATAAGTACATTCCAACGTACAGTTTTTATCGAACAATCTCTTCCATGTCTGATAGCCCATGTCGTTGTCGACTCCACGTAGTAGCTCGTTAGCGGTAGAAAAAAGGTATACAACGCCTTCCATCTTTACTACAGCCCATGCTACACACACTAACACCACCATGTCGATCATGACATCTAGCTCCCACAATGAATGACACCGTTCAGACAACAGCCGCTCAATGCGCCCTCGCCTTGCCGGAGATTGTATCTATGATCCTCCAATGGATTTGTCTTGGATGTAGACGCTGGGACTCGGTGTGGTATTTTATCGCCCTCAAACGTCCTATTTTGGATTGTGGACTCGTCAATTGGGTCTGGTTTCATCAAGCCATGCGCTATCTCTGGAAGAAGCCCATCCCCGGTGACCTTCCGAAGCTTCTTGAGAAAGTCACGCCACAACGCCGACAGCTTTACGCCAACCTTGTTGAGGAAGCAGGAATGTGTGTCATCAATGGCCACAGAGTCCCGTATTACGATGCGATGCTGCGCGAACTACGATTTCCAAAACTCAAGTTCTTAACTCTCAGGACCGAGCCTGGCCATAAGCAGAGCCAGGACTTCGAGTGCCATATCCCTCGATTAGGATCGAATCATATCAAGACGGTGTTTATCGACTGTTCTTACAGGATGTGGCCTGCGTTGGCAACGTATGAAATGCATGAGGTCCTTCGTCAAATCCCGGTGAGCCCTAACTATGTCCTTTCAATTGGCCTTCTATGGACACATATTGAGCTAAATGAGAATGACTGCAGGCTGCTTTCCCTGAGGTAGAAGACATATGCTTTGACAAGGCACAAGAGGCCACTATAGGTGCAGAGGAATGGTTGGCACAACAACTCCCTGGTAAACAATTTATATTTCTAAATTTCTTTTGAAATTCTTACGGTTGTGCCACTACACCTGTTGAATCTTTCGAATTTATCCTGTTGAAAGTTGGTATGATTGCATTACTTCCACTAAACACCCTCACGCCCAATCTCAAGTTTTCTTCTAGACCCCGCCCCTCTTGCCTACCTTTCATGTCATATGCCTCCGCATAATCTCTCATGCAGCATAAAAACCCCAGATACAACAGGACGACAACGTCATAGCAAAACCCCGTTGTCCAATTGTATTACTGTGTAGGTGGGACGGAAGCGGTCCGTGTTGAGTGGATTTTGATAACAACGGGAGATCAACCCAAACCAGGTTGGAGCGGGGTTGACCATGAGGCCGGATGTTGCCCCGTGTCCACTGACTGCGATGAGTCCAGCAGCAACTACTCCATTGCATATCCTAGATTAAGCAGGTTTCTTGTCAGAATCCTACTCTAATGGCCAAAGTCAGGTAATCAAGGCCTAGGGGCCCCTCAGCAAGAACCACGTGAGCGGCCCGTGTGAACCGAGACGCAAGAATATAAAATGGGAACCATGGTAGACAAGAGCAACAGGTTCAGTCATTTATTAGTAACGAATATCATCCCAAATGGAGCAATTCGATGTGGCAGTTGTAGGCCTTGGTGTCCTGGGAAGTGCAGCAGCCTACCAGGCCGCGCGGAGAGGCAAAAAGGTCATCGCATTTGAGCAGTTTGAATTTGGTCACGTCCACGGGGCGTCCCACGATACATCGCGCATTGTCAGAACCTCCAACGCCTTACCCGAATACGTGAGGCTAGCCCAATCTGCCTACAGGGACTGGGCTGAATTGGAACAAGCGACCGGCCAGAAGCTGCTTACTATCACCGGCGGCCTGGTTTTCGTCCCTCGGGATAAGGCCTCACCATTTGAAACGCTAATTAAGACTCTGCGTGCCACGAATTTACCCCATGAGGTTTTGAATGCCAGTGAGGTGAAGAGACGCTGGCCGCAGTTCGACATCCCCGACACAGTCGATGCAATATACACGGCCGACACGGGTATAGCCCACGCTTCCAAAACAGTTGCAGCCATGCAGTATTTGGCACGTTCCAACGGCGCAGTCCTGAAGGAGAATACACCTGTCGATCGTGTGATTCCCATGAAGGCGGGAGGAGTGACTATCCAGACACCGAAGGGAGAATTCCACGCGGCGAAGGTGATTCTTGCCACCGATGCATGGACAAATAAACTGCTCGCGCCGTTGGGAGTCCATATTCCCCTGTCGGTCATGCAGGAACAGGTAACCTACTTCAAGCCGACAGATCCAGCCGCTTTCGAGCCAGAGCGATTCCCTGTGTGGATTTGGGGTGGCGATCCGGCGTTCTATGGGTTCCCATCTTACGGCGAACCGACTATCAAAGCTGGTCGTGATTCGTCCAACAACTTCATGACGCCCGAGCAACGGACCTATGTACCATCGCCCCAGTTGTCTGAGCAGCTCTCCTCATTCATGAAGGGCTTTATACCCGACAAGGAACGTCAGCCACTTCGCACTGTTACATGTCAGTACACGATCACCCCAGATCGACAATTCATCATCAGCCCATTGGACAACAACAAAGACATAATCGTCGGTTTAGGGGCTGCACATGCGTTCAAGTTCGCCCCTGCGTTTGGCCGCGTTCTGGCCGAACTGGCATTAGACGGAAGGACTAAGGAGGATATTTCGAAGTTTGGGATGCCGAAGACAGCTTCTTCGAGCAGCAAGCTATAATGTATTGAATTTCTGCCCGCCTGTCGAGGAGATTCAGCTAGTGAGATGTAGGGCATGAGACTAATCAAGAAAATACAAATTCCAAGCGTAATCATTCTGGCACATTCATTAACATCTGAAGATTCTACTCAGTAGAACAAAGTATCAAGACGGTAGCTGATCCCTCGTATCCGTCTCCACACTCGGCCTTTTCTTCATAATCCTATGCCCATACAAAAACCAGATAAATAACCCATCGAGAACAGCACCCCCAACAATATCGCCAAGAGTAACCGGGATGACGCTCTGGTAAATGAACTTGCCGACGCCAAAGTTCGTGCCGTAGAACATGCCGATCGGCACGAGGAAGAAGTTGGCAATGCAATGCTGATAGCCAATTGCCACGAAGGTCCATATGGGAATCCAGATGGCGTAAATCTTCGATACCTTATCGCGACATGAGATCGAAAGGAAGATCGCCAGGCCCACGAGCCAGTTGCAGCCAACCCCTCTGAGAAAGTTCACGGACCACTGCACGTTGACCCGTCCCTCGGCTTGCGTGACTGCAAAGCTCTTCAGTGTATCTGTGGACAGGGTATCGGTCCACCAGCAAAGAAAGCCGGCCACGAAGAGACAACCGCCCATGTTGAAGATATAGGACAAGACTAAGTTGCGTAGAAGGTCAAGCCACGTCGTCTTCCGCATAAACGTGGTCAATATCAATACAAACACGTTGGCTGTGAATAGCTCTGTGTTGACGATGGTAAGAATGACAAAGCCGGTTGGAAAGGTAAAGCTGGCCAGCATCGTGGCAAGTCCAGGATTCTCAGCACGCAAAGTAGGAGTGCCGCCGGCGACGATTAGGCTAAAGAGAGCACCGATGGACAAAAACGCCCCAGCAAGAAGCGATTTGAGAAGCAGGTCTGGCCAAGGTAATCGAGCTTTTGCGATACCAGAGCTGACCAGCAGGTTCAGAGTCTCCTTGGTAGGATCAAAAGTCGGGTCCATCTTGACGAGCCTGAGGAACCATGACAGAACGCCCTAGAGGTACGGTAACTAGGTCTCAAGTTAGCAAATCTTTAAGGTCGTGAAAGCTGGCACTATCTGCGCTACATACTCGTCTTTCTCGGTTATTACGTATGCAAGCTGGCGCTGTATGGCCGGCGCTCCGGTGGAATCCTAATTATGCGTGGATAAGGGCACGAGAAGCATATTTAACTGTAGAAATAAAGGAATATAAATACTAGAAACTGCATGGATCGCAGATCCAAAGACCAGCAATGATTTCATCATCAGCGAATACACCTCCCTAATCTGGAGATAGTAATTGACCAGCCGCAGTGCAGAGCGACTTGGGATCAATGCAGCAAGAATCCCGGCAACATAGCTATCTCCGCGGATCTTGAGGATGCTCGACGGTAGTGTGGACCAGGCGAGAGACTCGTGTACGTCACTGGTCCGTGGCGAAAATAAACTGTGCGTTTCTTCAACACCGTCGCCCGCTGGAATGTGCGTCGGGACCAATAACAATCATTTTTTTCAGAGCTGTCCGTGCGCTTTGAGTTTGACCACGTCCGGCATTTGCTGTATCCTTTCGTGAAGATTAGTCCACTGCTTGGGTGTGAGTTGTCAATGATTAAACGTGAATAGCATACCAAATTCAGGGGGATATTATACTTTATGCTAGGGCATTTCTACCTGTAATCATAGAGACAAAGGTGGAAAGGCATATACTTTAAAGGGATCACCTCGGCATCTAAATACCAGTCGCTGAAGCCGACAGCGAACATGAATGGTTTGTCATTTGATCTATCAATCAGTCCACTACATACAGCTATAAAACAGTGCCCCCTTGCAATTAGCCCAGATGATTACTTATATGTACCTCTGGAGTACTAGATTAGCCCTTTTGTATTACCTTAGCAACCGAGTATACGCACTGAGTAGACATCGTCATCCGGGCCCGAGTCATTATCGTTAAACCTCTGCCTTCGTGGAGCTTTTTGGACCTCGATGAGTACCATTTCGTAAACTATATCCTGGCAGACGACAGGCTGTTCCACTGTCCAGGAGTCCATGTTTTTACTTGGGTACCCACAAAGAGAGCTTCAATCCTAAATGGTGGGGCTCGGAACAACCCATACTCCAATGTGGTCCCAGCCCGAGGTCTAACCCTAACACCAAGCTCAAATAAGATAGCAAAAGACCCCTTGGCCTTCCCATTCAAGACTTGATATCTTCATTTAGTTTAGTGCCAGGACATTGCCCAGTCATATGGCCAAAATTAGCCTTTCGGGGTAATTGTCTGCAGATCATCCCAACACGAGTCAAGAGTATGGAGGCACAAAACCCTTGCGGGACCGATTGACGAAGATACCGGGCGTTATCTGTCGCCGCTATAGCGCATGTATTCCCGATGGCTTTGACATCACCCCGGCTTAAGAGAATAGTTTTCTTTTACGGAAGCTCTATATCTATCGACGGTGATGTTTCTATACCATCCCGTCCTCACCCCAAATTACAGGAACCCGCCAAGGAGAGGCTATGCTTAGTTTAAACTTTGATAATCGTTTCGAAGACCTTCCGCCAATGACAGACACGCCGGTGTACAGCCTGATCGAATTATACGAGGATAAACACTTGGCGGTCTATATTCAGCGTACTCAAACCCGTTTAATAATCTCTTGTTCTCCCCATCTGCGGAAAAGATACAGGTTTTTGTGCACCCTGCAGCGCAAGGTCCTACACTGCAGTATTCATAGACTGGGTTAGTTATAATGGTTTCTCACGTCTTTTTCGCCTGGTTCCTCCTTCTGGTTGCCATTTTCAACGGGGGAGCCGTCGCCAGGAGAGGTGGGGGAGGGGACCATGACAGCGACAGCGATGGTGACAGTAGCAGCGACGGCGATAATAATAGCGGCAGCGGTGGAAGCGACGGCAGCTCAGGTTCCTCAGGGTGTGGAAGTGGAGGTACAAGTAATGGTCTAAGCACGACATATCTTGTTCCTAGACACGCCTGGAACTGGACATCCCAGAGCGGCGCATACGCGACCGACAGCCCAACTATATACGACGGGTCATACTTCCAGGGAGAGGGGTCCCTGTCGTATAATATGACCACTGGAACCCAATGTCAAATTACGAAGCAGCTCCGGCTGCTAGGATATGCCTGGGTCGGGCCACAGGTTCCATACCCGACAGGACCCGAAAACCCATTCATCGTAGGGTTCAAGGCGTGGGAATCCACCAAATCCGTCAGCGAAATTCACTCATCCTATACACAGATCACATGGGAAGGCGACTCGTGCTCTTCACAGCCGGATCTCTTCCGCATCGTCACAACTAAAGGCTCGGCCTCTCGCACCGAAGCTGCAGACACGATGATCATGAATGTCTCAACCAGTTCCGCGGCACCTGATGTTGTTGACTTCAATGCTACCACAGGTACTGACTCGGATCTTCGAATCAGTGATTCTGATGGCTTGTTCCGTCTCCGTGCGGAGAGCTGTGCTTCGCACGACACAGATATGCACTGGCCAGCCACAACAGTCATGCAAGGTTCTGTTACAAACACCACCTTGGAGCTTAAGTTTTCCGGTTCAGTTGACCAGAACTCATCTCAATACCAATCCTACGATGGCATTAATGAGAACTTGAAAGTTAATTTCACGCTTACCTTTTCTGGGCAGTTTGACAGCGTCAATTCAACCCACGCTCTCAATGTTCAACGAAGCAATCAGAGTCTTGCGTGGGTGCCGAATAGTGCCACCAATATTGCATCCGGTGCTTGGGGTTATATATTGATAGCCGCTGTAGGAATACATGTCATGGCTTTGGATCTGTGGTAAATGGACCAGAGGGAGGATGTTCGCCATGAAATAGACCCCAACTCCCGCTCGAACCGATCCTTGATTCCAGTCGGAGAAACGATGCTACATCAATTGACAGGGATACTCAACCACGTGATTCCTTCTCGACATAAGAAGGTGGCGTGTCTCTCACCATCATTATCCTTCCTATATTTACATCAGATTTTTTACATCATCTCTACACCCAAAACACAGTCCATACCATATACCCTCTCAAAGGCCATGTCATCAAACTGCGACGATTGCACCTTCAACCAATATGTACTGTACTGGCTAGTCTATTATAGCTGGCACTGGATCCTTTTCTGGATCTACGTATGCTGGTGGGAAGACTCGAGAATTATTCATCGTTCAAGGCTAGAGCCTCCGCCAAGTCCAATCTCGTGGCTCGAAAGGAAAGGATATCTACATACGAGAAAGGATGCTCGCCGTCTATTTATTATCCATCTTATTCTCCTGGCTTTAGAACCAGTAGAAGGATACTGGATCTTGACAGGATGGTACCGGGCGTGGTTACCAGCATGGACCATGGTGCCAGATCCCTATGATATTGGGGGAAATTTCGGTCGATATATAGGTTTGATTGCTCTCCCAGTAGGGCTAGTCATGTTTTCCCTGGTAGGGGTGATATTGATGATATCAACCGTGACGCATCTGCGGGAGTTGTGGTCCTGGGAACCGGCCGATGTCCAAGCCACTGAGAATGGAGGTGGGAAAATGCATTAAGAGTGGAAGAGACAGAGTGGGGGTAATATAGCAACAAGCACCTGCTTTTGTTTCAGTTACTACGTTTGATTTACTGTGATTCATTACTAGAGACTGGAGAACGAAAGGGCACCGCGGTCCAGTCATGCTACTTGGCGGTGGTCAAGTTTCTGGCAATTAACAGTAATGGAGGGGGTGTTGCATTTGGTGGAGTTGCTCTGTATACCCCAATCCATACTTGCACATGTGGATCCATATATCTTAGCTATCTCTGCTCCCGGGATGGTGATGGGTTGTGCTTAGGGACGGACGGAGAATTGAACTATAGTATAGGGGAGAGAGACTTTTCTCCACAAACTGTTGAGTGATATGGACTCCTCTTTCTTTAAGAGTTCCTTTATTTTTTCTAGTATCCATCTAGGGTATTCTGTCCTCAGCTCTATAGGGATACTAGTGATTGCTGTAATCGAAAATATACTCGCATATTACGAGCGAATCGCGCCTGTTTTATGTTTCAATTGTGTTCTCTATTCTTTTCTCGTTTTTCTTTTCTGTGATCTTATCTGACCATAATTATTAAGAAAGGCTAGAAAGATATTATATGTTTATAATGTATAATACAAGACTAACCATTCATATATAGATCAATTTTCCTCTTGAGCGTTTTCCAGGTCAAAAGTCCTTCTCCTGAAACCATGCTGGTGCTAGGATTGTTCATGGGACACAATCTATCTTCAAAGCCGTCTGAGACCGATATGTGATTTTTTCGTATTCGACTAAATTCAAGATTTGCGTAGGTGTTTTCTTATTTATTTTTAGTTTTTTACTGTGGCTCTTCACAAAAGCTGAACATTACGAATATCGTCCAAATGCGGGTTTGGACGCCTGGCGGGTTTCGGGATTGCGGGTTTCAATGAACTCCGCAAACAATCAAAATCCACGTCTGAGTCAATTGCTTCTATAAATGACCATAAATATCTTCTTCATTTCTCTTTTCCTTTCTTGCTCTGAATTAGTAGATGTTACAACATCAATTTACATGGTTCTAGCTCTTAACCATTGAAGGCGACATTGTTATTGTGCGACTGATATTGGAAATGTCATCTCACCGATCCGCGTCCTCGGACGAAACAAAAAGCCAACATGTCGACGGGGCAGATAAAGAAAACATTGAACGCAAACCAGAGCTGGCTGCTGATCCCGAAGTGACAGTGGCACCTAGCCCCAGCGCACAGGAGCAACAGTGGGTAACGGGATTCAAACTGTTCAATATCATCACTGCCGTCGCACTCGTATGCCTTCTTATGCTATTGGATACGTCTATTATTTCTACAGTCAGTCAGCACGGCGATACTGGAGGGAGAACCACTGCTAATCATGTAAATCAGGCAATCCCTCGGATCACAAGCGAATTTCATTCGCTCGTTGATGTCGGTTGGTATGGAAGCGCATATCAACTTTCAAGGTGTGTTTCTATGTTCAAATTAGGTCTCACCATGTTCGACTAATTCTTTGCAGTGCGGCGCTTCAACCACTCACCGGCAGAATATATATGAACCTTAATACAAAAGTAATTTTCTCCCTTTTCTGCTCACTATTGATCTCCTTTACTGATACGATGCCCAATAGTGGACCTTTGTGGGCTTCTTTTTCATCTTTGAGTTGGGCTCACTAATATGTGGCATTGCTACATCGTCAAAAATGTTGATTGTTGGACGAGCGGTCGCTGGGATAGGAGGCGCAGGCATCTTGAACGGAGCTTTCACCATCGTTTCTGGATGCGTACCGATGTCTAGGCGCCCCACAATAATCGGTCTTGTTATGGGGGGTATGTGCTCACCTATCCTGGTGCTGTTGCTCCTATATTAACTCGCAGTAAAGTTTCTCAGGTGGGCTTAGCAGCCGGACCATTGGTAGGAGGTGCATTGACAGAGTACTCAACATGGCGGTGGTGTGAGTTCATCTAAACATGTGAGAAGAGATTCTCAGGCTAATCTATACATCACAGGCTTCTACATCAATCTTCCAATTGGCGGCCTTGTTGGCATCATGCTCGCCTTTGTCAACATCCCCGAGGTTCTTCCCAAGAAGAAATTCACCATCGCCATCAGAGAATTACCCGGTCAGCTGGATCTTATTGGCTTTGCGCTCTTTGCCCCGTCTGCAATCCAACTACTGCTCGCGCTTCAGTATGGTGGAAATCAATTTACTTGGCATAGCTCCCAGGTGATTGGTCTTTTCTGCGGAGCCGGTGCCACGTTTATTGCTTTTCTTCTCTGGGATTACAAGCAGGGTGACAAAGCTATGATACCATTTTCAATGATTCGCAAACGAGTCGTATGGTCGAGCAGCCTGGCCTATGGACTACTCATGGCTCAGGTCTTTTGCGTGCTATGGTATCTTCCTCAGTATTTCCAAGCGGTGAAAAACGACAGCCCGCTGATGAGCGGAGTCCATATTCTCCCGAGTATTCTGGCTCATTTATGCGGCGCTGTTCTTGCGGGCAAGATTAGTACGTTTCAAGCTCTCTTCATCTCCCGAACGTTTGTTGACATTGTCTCTAGTTGAACGAGTCGGCTACTACCTCCCGATAATGCTTTTTGCTACCTCCCTCACGACGGTGTCCAATGGCCTGCTGTCAACCTTTTCACCCGATACGTCAACAGGGAAATGGATCGGATACCAGATCCTCCTCGGGGCGTCTCGTAGCTTGGGCGTGCAGATAGTAAGTCCGAGCGCGATGGCATTTTGCGAAATATGATGACGCTAACTTTCGTCTCAGCCCGTTATTGCAGTTCAGAACATCCTTCCACCTGCACAGATCCCCGTAGCGACTGCGTTGGTGATGTTCAGCCAAACTCTGGCAGGGGGCTTATTCCTCACCTTCTCAGACACTATACTCACCAACAGTCTTTCAACACTGATTCCCAAATACGCTCCGTCTGTCGATGCTAAGACAATCATTCATGCAGGACCCACCGAGTTCCGCTCCTATGTCACCGACCAGCAGCTGCCGGGTGTAGTTCTGGCCTACGCGAAGAGCGTCGATCGAGTGTTTTATTTGACAACGGCAACAGCTGCAGGGAGCTTTTTCTTTTCTTGTTTCATGGGATGGAAGGATATTCGGAAGAAGAAGATCGTTTCAAAAGCTTGATTCTGTGTTTCATTTCTCAGTTCATTCCCATGGGATCCCGCCATCTTTATTTCCGGGACATGTCGCTGCGATGCGGACTAAATTTGTGTAAAACTATATCAGTCCATTAATTCTGTACACTTCTCCCATATTGATTTATAATTATCAAATTAATTATTGTAGTTTATTTTATTAGAGTAGCGGTTAGATATAACTTACCCTGATAACCTAACCTCGATATTATCATGTCTTCTTGACCTAAAGGACATGAAATCGAACAGGAACTTAACAGAACTGTTTTCCAACGGGGAGGTAAAACGTTACATTATAGCATTGAACGACTTGCATGATGCGACAAGTAGTACATCTAAAGTTTACGACCGTCGCAAGTACGTGCTCGTCATGAACGAGCAGTTTAAAAGCCTTATTCCAGTTTGTCTGGCAACTGGTCGATGAGGTAGCACGTGGATGGAGTCACGGGTGCGGAAGATCATATGTCCGTTCTGACATGAATCGCTCCACGCATGATCGAAGGGATACAGTATAAGTATAAAGCCTTGCCACGTGGCTCTTCACGGGGAACGGCTCTCTCGTGCCATGAACTCGGATCCTCTGTCTTTGGCCGACAAGCCAGCTGCCTACGGCTCTTCTTGCGCCAACTGCGCCCAGTCCAAGCGCAAATGCATCGTTCGCGCCGCGGGCGGGCCGTGTCAACGGTAACCCGAACACCCGAATTATGGTACTAGCCATTGAGACTGACTTCTCCAGATGCTATCAAACGAACAAAGATTGTAAACCAGCAAAGACAGTGCGACGGCGGGGTGTTGCCAAAAAGTCCGCCGCTACTTCCCAAGCAAGCCGGCTGGAAGAAAAGATAGATAGCCTCGTATCTTTAATGAAAGCTGGGGGCCAAACTGGAGCCGCAGTTTCACAAGTCATCAGTTCCGCAGAGGCTGCTTCAAAGCTCGGGACCAACCAAGAGAAATATTCGGCACCAGCTTCTGACGATGGATCTCGCTGGAACGGCCCTGATGGAGATCAAACTAATGCAAGTACACCAGCTACGACCGACTCGGTATGCTCACCCGGCATAAGTGATCTCTCCTCACATGAGTCTGAAGAATGCCTTAATCACTTCCGCACGTTCAAATTGCAGTATTTTCCATTCGTTCATATTCCCTTCGACAAAAGTGCTGGGGAACTCCGCAGAGAGCGACCCTTTCTGTGGCTTTGCATCATGGCGATCAGCACCAAGTCGACCGCTCGCCAGCATGAACTTGGTCTCAAGATCCGTCAAATAGTGGCACAGGAAATGGTAGTTCAATCTGACAAGAGTATTGATCTTTTACTAGGGCTGTTGACATTTATTGGGTGGTGAGATGCCCATGTCAATCATTAAAGTACGCGATCTGACTTCAGAGCAAAAGGGCGAGTTATCAATTCCATCAATTCCATCCAAAGCCCTTTCTATCTGTCTTCACGCATCTTGCGACATCATTGGTCTTTGACCTGGGTCTGAATAAACCGGTCCAGGTAACTCCATCGACCTTCAATCTTCACCAGTCCCCGAAACATTCTACGCCTCGTACTATGGAAGAGCGCAGAGCGGCGCTGGGTTGCTACTTGATAACATCAATGTATATTCAATATATTCCCAGGATAGTATGGAGATGTACTGACCTATCTGCACAGAATATCATCATTTTTTCAAAGGATAGAAACGTTTCGATGGACAACACATTTGGATGAATCTCTCCAAATTCTAGACGAACAAAAACAATGCGTCAACGACGAGATCCTAGTCCAACTAGTTCGAATGCGTCTCATTGTTGAGAAAAATAGAACTCGGCAGGTATCGTTGCATGATGCATCCGAAGGCACCGGGCTTGCTGATGACGAGGCCGCCCTATTCTCGAACGTGAAGGCAGAAATATTCAAATCTTCACCGAATGATGGTACGCGTTTTAGTCCTTACCTTTTTTATCAGTACAAGTCCCCTGTAGCTAACTCGCCAGCCAGTCATCCTACTACATCTCTATAGCAACGAGCTTGAGATCGCCGCCTCCTCTTTATCTTTAACTCCCTGCGATGTCAATGCATCCCGCCAGGACCATCTCTTCCACGCTCTCACATCAATTAACTCATGGTTCAATATTCTTCTTATGATACCCCCAGCAGGATACGTTTCATTCTCGTTCGCCATTTTCTCCCAGGTCTCTCGATGTCTTCTCGCCCTCTACCGCCTTGCAACACTCGACGCCCCAAACTGGGACAAGAACCTCGTTCAACAGACTGCAAATCCCCTTTCTATTTTGAATCGACTCGTGAATGCCTTGGAGCAAGTCCCTGCTGTTGTTGGCATCGACAACAGCAACTATCCCAATGGGGACTTATTTTCTCGGTCAGCCCAGATTCTTCGATCGCTTCGCCCTGAATGGGAATCGAAGCTTGGCTCCGATGATATGGTCCCCGTTGAGCCTTCTACACATGATCTCAATGGGATCCAAATGCCGGATGCTTCGTTCTTTGGAGATGATAGTCTGTATGATAGCTGGTTTATGGAGCTTATGTCTTGCCCTATTTGATACTTATAACTGGCACTCTTTGTACAAGTCCCTGAGGTTGTATATTAGATTCCGGCTCCTGGTTACTGAATGAGACCAATCATCTAGCGAGCATATAGAGTTTGAATTATAGCTTATTTTCTATGTATTCCTTCTGAATATTGAATGCACATAGACTGCACGCATAGATCAAGATATTCTATACCATCGGTATATTATTTAGCTATATGACGATCTTGAGCTATGGTGGCAACAAACCCCCGAGTTCATGCACAACGATCCTACTCATAAAGTCACGACGATATAGATCACCCTTCGCTTCAACGCACAGAAATCCGCTTGAACACCAACTCCCCCTCAGGCGGATTACCCGTTATATTAAACTTATCAGCCACATCATACACCCCACCGACAAGTTCCAACCGCATATCCGCAAGCAGCGCGAAAACCGCCAGTTTGATTTCTGCATAACATCAGCATTCCAATTCCCCACCAACTGTAAATGCCCTTCGGAACATACCCGCAACAGCCAGAAACCTCCCCGGGCAAGCCCACCTACCGAGCCCAAATGAAAGATGCCCGGGATCAGTAGTAGAGGCGGCTTTCTGCTTCTCCACCCAGCGCATTCCATCGAATTTCTTCGGGTCGCCATCATTGTAACACGGGGAGTGATTCGATAAGGATACCAGTGGCAACACTAGGGATCCTAATCCCTAAGTTAGTAGCCTGAAAATGGGTGGTTTGGGGAATTAAGGTACCTTTCGGAACGATGTAGTCTCCCATTTGCACATCCTTGCGCGCCATCCGTACCAGGTTCACGGCGTCACCCTTCATCCGGAGCACTTCGCGGATAAACGAGTCCGTGCGTGAAGCCTTCCGGAGGGTCCGCATGTCAAGCTCGGAGATAGGTATTGGTGACGAGGAGTCACGGCCGGTGAGGTCGTGGATCTCGCGTCGTATGATATCTTGATATTCCGAGCGCAGGGCTAATTGGAATACAGTCCACATTGTGATTGAGACCCTTGCATTCATTATTTAATGCATGTATATGCAGACCAAGACATGGGGATGGACTCACGTCTGATGCACAGAGGCAAAAATGAACATGACGACTAATCCGCATATCCAAAGCCGGGAGCTGAGCGTTATACGGCCGTTCGTAGCTCCACTTGTTTGGACCAGGATCCGGAGGAGAGATATCTGAAGTTGACAAGTCAGTTTGTCCCCGAGCTTATTTAACAATCGTGATGCTCTTACATTGGGTTTTAAAGACTTCTTGTTAGAGTCCTGCAAAGCAGCCGATGTCTGCTTCCATATGAGAGGTCCGAATGCGAGGCCGAACCGGATTACGACCTTATATATGACAACTTTCACCCTGGTCTGGTGTTACTTATTTCGGTTCTTTAAGTGAGTCCTAGAGACTTACCATGTTACTATTTGCCATACGACAGGGAAATATTGGGCTAGCATCGAGCGACTCCGGAAGGTCCCTATCAGTTCCGCCACGCCTTCGGCAGTATCGACCACGATGTCTCTGTCAAGTGATTGTATTATGTCCTTTAGGCAATAGTTAGTCTCAGTGAGGTGAAGTATTAGGATGAGGTACATTCATCTCCAAAAATGATCGACATCATTGCCTCTGCGACCGTCCGCTGCAGATGAGTTAAGAAGCTAATAGAGTCTTCTGGGTGGGATTCCAGGAGTTCAGCCATGTTTCTCTCGAATATAGGAGATACTACTTCCAGATTAGGTCGAGGAAGACAAGCGAACACGAAATACCTTACCGCGGTGGATCATCGTGTCCAAATGCTTTGTCAAGAGGGTATTAACCACGGAGTCAATATCGTGAAAGATGGAATTGCCGAATAATGTGCGTAGGAACTCAAGGTTCAAGATCTACAACGCACTTAGCAATAGTAGACACGTACTGCATATTTCTAATATCGTCATGAAATAGGCTAACCTTCGCTATCCCTAGCTCGAAACTAAACACTGCATCGTCTGTCAACACCTGGGGTGTTAGTTCATCGGAGACGATGTATTCAACCTGTGGGATTGTAAGCGGTGGATGACAGACATGAGTGCTAAGCAATGTGCATACTCTCCCATCTCGGCGCAACCCAATGACTGGACCATATTGTTGGATTTGCCTTTCCAGTGCTTCAAGGAGGTCATTCTTCCTCTCGTCCTCCTATAGGAAGGTAAATACAAGCACAGGTGAAAGACAGAAGCAAACACGGACTGTAAGTGATACAATTGGCGGCGTTCGCACAGGACGCTGGGCGATGTCAGCGACAGTAGTATGATAAGCGCACCAATAGCTCAAACCTTCCTGTACCTCCGCCAGGTATACAAACCCATGGCCAAGGCTATGAGTAAGGTGGCATTTAGATAACAAGGACGGATCTCCAGACCTAGATCCATGTTTGTGTGACTTAGAACCCATTTGACATCTTGGCTAGGGGACTCTTCCATTTTTAAAGTCACTTTTTCAACATACACGTAGGACCCTACATCCTGTTGCATCACACGTCAGCTGTAAGTCTTGGCTAGGTTTATTGTCCGGGGATATGGAATCTCGTACAAGGATTACCCTTCTAGGCCGATGACTACGCACGAGCTGGCTAGACAAAGCTTGCTATTGGATAAAATGGACAGCGTTGATCCATGCTGGAGGCCTGATCCGTGTATGTAGACAGAGATAAGAACTCTTCAAATTGATGCATTCCCATTAGACGTTGAGAAAATCTAGTATAAGGTGTGGCTTTCAATGTGAACTGCTAATAGTAGCCCTCAAACCCTTACTCATCCTCATCGCCCATTCCATAAGGACGTTACGCATTATAGTTGTTTGATAGTCTTATCACAAAATACGACATGTCAGATCTCCCCTTAATGCATTAAGCTCGAATAAGATTTTGAACCGCATATACCTTACTCTGTGGGGGTGGAACTAAACGCCTGGTCTCAGTGGGAAGCCCTACAAAGGCTGAGCCAGAAGGCTAGAGCGCTTTTACAAAACTTACGCCTTATGTAAAGAAGAAATATTTTCGGCCTTCCAGGATCTCCCTGCGAACATAGACCCACAAGAACAAACAAGTGCCAGTGGGTGGCTCCTTACCGCATCTGACTACATGTGAGGACCACAGCTGGACGGTTATCCATTGGTTCACGCAACCCTCCCTGCCTATGTGGCCAATAAGGCACGCGTGGCAGATGCAGTGTAACACTACAATGTGATGGAGTGAGCTACATGGCTCGACAATTGTTGTACGTGAGTACGCCCGAGATTAGGTGAGAGATGGGGTAGGATAACGTGCAATGCTTGGCCCGATCTGAAAGCGCTCAGAATCAGGCGAGAAAGAACCGCGTGTCTGACCACTTTTCAAGGCACACCACGTTCATATTAGTCATCTAAATACTTGCGATCGCGTGAAATTCTATCGCCTCCATAATTGGCAAAAGGTTGGACCTGGTTTAGTTCGAGCTCCTCTACAATCTACGGATTCTACAATGCTTGCGGCTGTTAGCCATTATTTATCTAATATTGTCCCAGATATTTGATACCAAGTGACAAGCCAATCTTCTAGCAACTGCTCTAGTAGATAGTATCTATATTTCCAATTAGACGTTCGTCTCGCTCGTGTGGTGCCATTCTTTTCTTAAAATACAATTCAGAGGCTAGGCCGTTTATATTTCCCCTTTGGGTACATGAGGTCCGAGGACCAAGACAGAATATATAATTACCAATAATATATCCAGATATACATAGACTTGTTCAAAATGAAAAGTAGAAGGAAATAAAACTCAGGATATTTGACAATGTGGTTCTAAGACCCATCGGTCGCATGATATACTGCTTTGTCTTGTTTGGAAGTTAAAAAACGAGCGCCTGGGTCGGAAACATTTATAACTCCAGCGATCCCAATGTAGTCACAGAGTTTTAGTGACAAGACTATGCACCTTGAGAGAGTCTGCCTCGGGCAGTCCAATTATGAAGTCTCGCGTTATACGAACGCTCTCTGGTGGTGTGTTGTGGATCTCTAGGTCGAAGCGACGAACTAGGGAAGCAAACATCTGGTATAGCTCGGAGTACGCCAGGCTGTGAACGTCAGGTTAATGTGATGCAGATATTACTGAGTAGGAGACTTACTTCAACCCTAGGCACATCCTAGAACCTTTTGTGAAAGGAACCAAGAATTTAGTCAGTCGTTCACCCTTGCTCGAGGCTTCAAGCCATCGTTCTGGATTGAAGGTTTCTGGATTAGGAAAAATGGTCGGGTCCATATGCATAAAATAAATTGACTGGCTGACTGGTGTCTGAGAAGATCGTGTTAGATCGCACTAACGTCATGAGCCCTGAGTAGCTTACCCCTGGAGGAATGATGTAGTCCTTATATGCCAATGCTGTTGGCGAAACCCGCGGCAATCGCAGCGTTACACTATGGGCCATCCGAAGAGACTCGTTGATAACTGCGGTCTAGGGCGTATGTGGTTAGTTTCTCCTATCGGTGCTCTCAAAATATTTGGAAGAGACATACTAGATACGGCAACTGCTCCAGCTGGACCAGAGGGACGTGGCTGGTCGAGTCTGGCATGAGTGTCTTTACCTCCGCTCGTAATTTCTCCAAACGCGGTGCATCTCGGAAGAGGAAGTACGACCCCATTGTCAACACTCTTGCTGTCGTTTCTGTACCTGCACCAAAAACAACCATCGCCTCATCCCGCACCCTTTGAAGCGTTCTCTCCTCAGGTCGCACCGACTCGGCGCAGAGGGCGTCAAAGATCGTTTTACTCGAATGTGCATCCTTGACGTGGTCTTTCTCGATCGCAGATTTCGCCATTTGTTCGATCATGCGTTTGGCTTCAAACAGTCCCTTAGAGCTCGGTTGCATCCATTCCACCAGCCCGGGCACCGCATCCGCAATCATCGACACGACGAAGAAGAAACGTGCAAAGTGACATAGAAATCCTGCAGAAGCAACGGCGTCTCGAAACTCATTTTTCAGATCTTTCGTATCAAGAAAGCCTACACTCTCGCCATATGCATAGTGAGAGATAACATCTGCCGTTAACGCAGCGAATAAGTCGTCCAAAGAGACCACAGTTCCATTTTCGTTCGCCTGTGCGAGTCGATCGCATACCTTATCTACTTTATCCTGGACGATATGGTCCATGGCCGTGACGGACCGCTTCGAGAAGAAGGGGTTCACCAATTCTCGACGGTAGCGATGGCGATCATGCTCGACTGTAGCGGCGGTAGACTGGGGAGTGGCAAATGTTCTGACTATGTACGGATCCTTCGCTTGACCTTTTCCGGTATAAATGGGGTCAAAATAGTAGGGATCTTTGATATGAAGCTCTCGCGGGTTGATTCTCACAATGGGGCCTGTACCTCCTTGTTAGACCCGTCCATAGCTCGGAGGTTCCCGACTGCAGGACCCACCATATTGATCGTGCATTCTCTGCATCTCCCAGAGATACTTCCCGCCTTTGACTATATCATAGTAGATTTCATATAGGTGGGTCAGGGCGGCTAGCTTTGGTCCAGGAAACTTGCTGAGAGGGTGGAAGTAAAGACGATAGATGCTCCTGACAACGAGGTAGCTGATAGCAGTCAATCCTCCAATGTAATACCAGGGTAGAGTCATGCTGTTGTACCGTGGCTGGCAAACGGATCATCCGGTCTCAAGTGCGAATCCTCGAAACGAAACAGGACCCGCACAACTTATCTGTGGCTTCTTATAAGCAAGGCCATCTCGTGCGGGGTTCGCCGATGATCACTAGTAGTACTTTCACTCGACAGATACCCCATCATGTCAATTGGCCACATACTAGTAGCCAAGGCGCTACAGCCATTCATGCATGATTTGATCTGCTAGCTGCAACATCTTGCTCGCCATTGGCCTGCCCGAGAAGCTACTTGATTTTAGTAACCTGCTTGGTGTGGATGGTCATTTATAGTCTCCTCAAGTCTCTGCAGCTACATGTTAACTGAACATAATTGGTAGTTATACTTGTTAAATTATATAATGTACCGAGATCGTCGCCTTCATCAGTTGCATCTTTTCCAGAGACGGTTAACCCCTTACTTTTTCCCAAGATGGTAAGTGCTCCAAGATCTTCAGGCATGGAATCTTAAAGTCTCTGCATGCTTTGGCTGACTAGAACTAGGTATCTTAAACACGGTCTCGAGGAACGATACAGTGAGCGGCTGCGCCTATAGAATTCCAGTGAGCAGAGAATGCAGAAAGGCGCCATGAGTCAATCAAGAAATAGACGCTCGAATTGATGAAACGAAATCTTGCGGTAGAGAAATGGAAAGCATTGTTGCAATATGGTGAGCGCTTCCAAAAATGGCAACGTTTAAGGAGTATAGCAATGCCAAAACATAGATATTCAAGGAAACGTTTCCATCATCATCCATCATATCCACCGTCATTATATCACAATATAGTGCCACTGGCGGCATCATGAAGACATATGTCGGTACTCATTTCGGAACGCATGGAGGTGCTGCTGCATGCGATAGTTCTATAATTCAATCATCTTCCTTAAACACCCTTCGGCTAGTAGGTAACTCTGCAATCGCTAATCTCCCCGACAATAATAGTTGGCATCCAGGAGTTCAGTGGGCCGTGGATATCGTAATACGGTCGTTGCACTATCATGTTGCGACTGAAGATGTGTAAAGAAAAGTCATGCCTACCTGACCATCGTGCTCCGCGAAAATATTACGCACATACAATGGCTATATGGAAGAGTAAGATAGGAATAAAAGTACGGCTGGCGGATAATCTGCAAAGATACCGATCGGATTACCGGGCTATATTGTTGTATGGCATCTGCTGAGATAGATTAGGGGTCTGGAATTTATTCTGGGTATTCGCTGATCAAGGCCTGCCTGTTACTACTGACAGTATAAGAATATAAGTGTCCTACTCCCGAACCCGGTCTATTCCCCGACGCCAACTCTGACCCTGACTCCGGCTCTGGGTTGTTAAGGGCATGTGTGAGAGCAACGATTTTCTTGGTTACAATTTCGCCGTAGCATAGATCCCTTAGAGTTTCAAGTTGCTGTTGGATTGTCTTGGGTATAGCCGCAACTTTTGGGCTATCTAGGACCTAAAATGCTCCTTTGAAAGTCCTGAGAGGGGCACCTTTCCATATCCCTATCAAATATATTATTGGGCTTGCAAGTACACCAGCCGCAGACGAGTCAATATCGCTCTTGGCAAATTCTTCGAGATACTGACAGTCACTTGAGGAAGCATGGGCGAGACCACCTAGGGAAACAATACCACTATCATAGTGAGCAGCTAGCCGAAAACTAAGGACACTACATACCTAATCGCGCCGGGATCGACAGCTTTACCTCTATTCTCCTCAAACACTTCCCTTCCCTCGTCCTAGACAGCTGAAGCAAGCTCCACCATATAGAGCTATCCCGCCGTAGGACGCTGACTCGCGTATCCATAAACAAATTCCTTATCTGAAACTCGCCCAGGGGTGCGGCGAAAGTCAAACAGGCCACTGAAGGTTCTAACTCCGCCAGCCGCCAAATGTCGGCTGCAATCAGAGGCAATCGCACAGTTGGGAGGACCAATCAACAGCGGCGACATGTGAGGGCATTCGAACATGGTACATAGCATCCTCTCTCGGGGACTCGTCATGGCTTGCTCAATATGTAAGCGGATCTATTCATAAATATCTACAATTCACCAAGGCTTCGCATTAAATGAGGGTTTAGTGGTGAATTAATGTGCCTTGTTATACTGGGGAATACTATTGAAATTAAACTTTATAGCGTAGGTGAATTTGCAGGAGTGTTTATTGGTTTATGATTACTTGAGAAGTTTCACGGATTATATGGATCATCTGTTCATGTCTTGGTACTTAGTTCGAGAACATAAAAGTCCCTGTCAGGTAGTTCATTCAGGAGTACGCATGATGCACCTACTAGATACATCACTGGGCCCGAGCTCTATGCTTACGGTGGTTTTTGCCGCGGTATTCGCAAAGCAAAAGTCAGTAGTTGTGACTTTTTGATGCATAGACAAAACAGAGTGCCACTTCAAAGGCAATTGACGCACGTCCATAATCGAAGGTTGCACTTAATTGGTAGAGATTCGAGTTGTTATGAGATGCTTCACTTGTTCCAACTCTCACATAACTATTTGACTGTTCCACTGTCTCCTAACCCTGGCAGTAAGCATTGTGACACGGCTTCAGAGACCACAGGCCAAAACAAAGAGCAGCCGATCACTCTGAGTCAAGCCATGAATCTTTCTGTGGTTTTCGTTGTGTACCCAGACTGAAATCAACTCACAAGAAATAACTGTCAATTCGTAGAATATTGTTGGACAAATATGACATTGACGCATGTGATTAGCTACAACCTGTCTAACAGTGCAGCGATAACGTGTTGGCACTTCGGGGCTGTATGCTGCACTACCCTTCGACACACATACAGCATGCATCTGATGCGGAGTTGGTGGCAGGTGGGTTATTTTGCTCAAAGGAATACCGGATTCCTGAGGTCCTACGTTAACAACTAGAATGAGTTGCAAACTTGTCAGAAGGACCAAAGACAAGGGTGCGCAATACCGCCGGGGGCTAATTGACATGATCATTGCTCTCATTGTAGTGTAGAATTGTGCAGACAATACTCCTTCATTGGGTCTACATATCCTATCAGAACGATATATCGATTTCCCCAAGGCTCAGTATCAAAATTGGCAACGATAGTATTGTTGTATTGAATCTTCAATAAAATGCAGTCCGCGATAGGCCTTGCGACACTCGAGTTATGATGCGAAATAAATATGTAAAATTCACAATAACAGCCTCCTAGGCTAGCAGACCCATCCACCTGTCCACCATGCGTATTCACAGGTATATAGACTTTATTTTCAGACATTGGGTTTACAGAGAGTATCACTGACATCTTATTAAGAATTTGTTTCTGCACAAGATTATTCAAACCTCTTGACTATACCATTAACTTTTATGCTAGGGCCGGCCACCTCTGACATCCGAGATCCGGAATGGTGGGGTTTGGAAAGATAGCGCCTCAAAAATACTCAAATAATTGCGGGTCCCTCAATAGCGTCAAATAGAGACAAGACGTGAGAAATGATGGCAGTTTCACTACTGTATTCCGTATGTTTATAGATTTCCTTTGTCGGAACGCTGATTAGGGCATCTTTTTCGGGGGTCGGCACTCCGAGCATTCTTTGCATGTCCGGGGAGGAAGCCCCAAGACTCCGACGATTCCGGCAGTTAAGTACCCTAGCTCATCCGGTTTTTGTAGTTTTAGTTCAAGGGTAGGTAGAATTACATGCATTTTGAGCCTCTGGATTGTTTAGGCTAAGTAGCCCCTTTTGATGTTGGGTCACATGCCACACGGCTGGCGGTTAGCCCTAAGCCAAGATGGTCAAGAGGAGCTAACACGACACTAACCCATCTTCAGCTTGTATTCCGACGCGAGGAAAGGAAGGAAACGGGAAATTTTTATGCTCCCAGTAATAGATTCACCGCCTGTCGTAAAGGGAAAGTGAACAGCAGATCCCGTTAAACGCTAGCCCTCTAATTTTAGGTGTAGGCAAATCCCGTAAACCGTTCCTAGCGTCTACTCTGTTAGATTAATAGTCCCCCAGGCCTCGGCTTACGGAGTAGTCAAAGTGGCCTGATTAGTGTTTCCAATTCTTGCGAACAAGTCTCGGGTGAGAAAGAACCAAGTAGAGTCCTAGGAGTGCATACAACACGATCAAAAACTGGACTAGTACTTTCTTTCGACTAGTGCTATATTTCTGGTCTTCACGTAACCGGGCCGGCTGTGTGACTATGCTCAGTAATCAGACACAACTCCCATAATGCGGAGAAGCCAGACGGCCATATTACTTTCGTAAGACTAGCCGTCTATCCTACGACAACGGCATCCTTATCTTATTACCCATGGGAGGCGGTACAGCCAATAGCCATCGACAAAAGAGGGGACCAACGGCTAACGGGGTCAAAAACCGTCCGGGCAGCGGGGGCAGCCGACGGACACTTCAACGGTCTCAAGCTAGTGCTTAGTGGGATGCATGAGCAAAGGTGACACTTGTACCCTCACTCAAAAAAGCCAATAGGGGCAGTGGAATTACGCTGTGCCATCCCTGCGACTGACAGGGACCCCCCAGCTAGAAAAATAACGATAACTGAATCAGTAAGACTGTTATTGTTCCTTCCTTCATCGTTGTCTGCGAGTAATGCAACCGTCATCATGGCCGTGTTGGTAATATTAGGGATAGGTTTGGTTGCCTATTTGGTGTGTCGTAGCATCTATCGCCTGTATTTTCACCCATTGAGCCACATCCCCGGCCCCAAGTTGGCTGCGATCACGCATGGCTACGAATTCTACCACAACATTATCAGAGGCGGCCTGTTTATCTGGGAGCTCGAACGACTGCATGAGGTCTATGGTAGGCGTATTCCATCCTCTACCTATATGATAGAGCCGAAACTGACCGAGAACAGGCCCCATTATCCGCATAAACCCCCGTGAAGTCCACATCAAGGACTCGGATTACTACGACGAAATCTACGCCTCCAGCGCTCGCAGACGCGAAAAGGACCCCGTCCTAGTCGCGCAGTTCGACCTGGAAGGGTCGGGCTTTGCGGCGATCGACCAGGAGACCCATCACCAGCGGCGCGCACCCGTGGCGAAGTTCTTCTCCAAGCGCGCGATCGAGAACCAAGAGCACTTGATCCGCGACAGTTTGAGCAAGCTCGTGGGCCATTTCCAGGAGGCCTGTCGTGCGCACACAGTGATCAGTCTGGACGCGGCGTTCGCGGCGCTCACCTCCGATGTCATCCACCAGTATGCGTACGGCTTCAATCCCAATAACCTCGACAAGGAGGGCTTCAATGCCAGAGTCCGTGATGGAATCAATGGCCTCTTCCAGCTGGCGCATCTGCTTTACTTCTTTCCCATCTTGCAGAAACTTATGAATGTCATGCCTCTTCCTCTTTTGCAGCTGTTGAACCCCCCTGCGTTTGCTATTGCAAGCCAGAAGAAGGAACTCTATGACCGGGCTGCTGCGGCGCTGGACAAGGCAGATTCGAAGACTCAGAGCGGGACTTTGATCGACATGCTTGCCGCGCCATCCATGCCGCAGCATTTGCGATCGGCGCATAGGCTCATGAATGAGGGCTTTGCTTTGGTGATTGGCGGGACCGAGACGACGGCGAGAACGCTTGGTCTTGGGGCGTGGCATTTGTTCTCTAGGGAGGATATCCGGAACAAGCTGCGCGAGGAGCTGAAACAAGTGATGCCGACGCCGGAGTCTCAGCCGACCTGGAATGACCTGGAGAAGCTGCCATACATGGTATGTCTTGGGCCCCGTCTCATGTTCAATAATATTGCATTTCTAATGCCGGTTTAGTCCGGAGTAATCAACGAGTCGTTGCGTCTTTCCACTGGCATCGCGAATCGATCCGCAAGAGTGGCGCCGACCGAAGCACTGGTATATAAAGGCTACACGATCCCGCCTGGAGTGAGTTCGGCCCCGTTCCGCTGGGGAAACTGTGGGGGTCAACCCCGATACTGACAACAATCTAGACCCCGGTCAGTGAAAGCAATTACTTCACCTTGATGGACCCTGAAATCTTCCCTGATCCCCACGCGTTTGACCCAGAACGATGGATCCGGGCCGCTGCCAAGGGCCAGCGATTGGACCGCTATCTGGTGAACTTTTCCAAGGGAAGCCGGATGTGCGTGGGCTTGAAGTAAGATGCGAAATGCCCTTCTACAATGTCTATGTTTGCTAACTGTTGTACAGCTTGGCCTATGCAGAGCTCTTCCTGGTCATCGCTACGGTCGTCCGTCGCTTTGATATCGAGCTGTATGAGACCCCGAAGAGCAATATTGACTTTGCTCGTGATTTCGGTACGCCATACCCGGATAAGGGCAACTTCAGTGTGCGGGGATTGGTTACCGGTGTGGTTAGCGAGTAAATACTTAGTAATTTGAATGTATCCAGGGGAATGAATAAGGGGTATCTGACGATACATGATCTGACAAATATGCACTATCTAGTAGATACGTATCTCACCGTTCTGACAAGACGTATTTTTCAGAAGCAATATGTACATCATTGAGTGTAAATAAGAAAAACAAAGGAAAGGTTGGATACTAATAGATGGGTATACAGTCGTAAGACATATGATAGAGCAAACATGACTAGTCGGCCCTATCGCCCGAAAAAGGACAGCGCACGGTTGAAGACCAGACACTTCTCAGTAGGTCATGGGTGGTCCTCCCTCCAATCGAAGTTCTGCTTCACCCTGATCTGCATAGCGATGGGTTCCTGGCTGGAGGCAGCGGAGCCGTTGGACGGGATGACGCCTTCCTCTCTGGCAGCACGTCCTACGTCGGTAGTCAGGTAGATTTCGTCATCTTCTGGCCAGAATCGCTGCTTCTTACCAGTCGAGGACCGATATGCCGATCGGTTGCCGGTATCCTGCTGTCCCGTGCCGGAAGTGCCGTCGCCGGTCATCTTGTAATTGCCCGAGAGTCCACTGCTGCCGAAAAGCCCCCAGACTCTTAGCTGGGGAATTTGGCGCAGGAGGGGCCGCAGAGTCGGTAGGCACGCGCTGACAATACCGATGCAGGGCTCGACGTTGGACCAGATCATGGCGTCGCCGATTACCCAGGTGATGTCGACGGAATCTTTCATTTTCGTGATGGCGGAGATGCGGACAATCGTGGCCACGCAGACACTGCAAGAATAGGTTTGTTAGGCGCTTGTTTAGATGCTAATGGTGAGGTACGTGGCTTACAATCCACCGAGCAGGAAGATACCGCTAATGGCCCATTTCTGCGCCTTGGGCATCTGCAGGCCCCAGACGATCGGCATGGGCAGGCATAAAATGATGACATCGGTGAACAAGTTGGCCACACCGTTCCACAAATAGAATTGATAGAGGTTGATCCGACAGTGGCCTCCACTCAAAGGATATACCCATTGAGTCCAGAAGAAAGATGAGGGGACGCAAGCCAGCGAGATGGTAGTAACAACTGAGATAGTATATCCGATGGAGAGAAATGCACAGAAATACAACGTCCAGGTGAGGCGGAAAATCCGGCGATAGAGAAGAAGCACGGACAATTTGACCATAGGCACTGTCGTGGCATACAGAATAACATAAGCGAAGATGATCTGTAAATTCCCATTAGTTTCCCAGGACCAGATTATGAGCGAGAGCACGGGGCATTTACTTTCATGCTCATCAGGACATCGTTTTGATCTACCACCCATATGTGTTTTCCTATTCCATATGCACCTCCTGAGAACACTCCATGTCAGTTGCCTCGCCTTTCAGGAGTTGGAGTCCGCAGCTGGCGATGGAAATACCTAAAATACAACATACACCCGTCCCATATGCGAACGCCTATGCAAAACGTTCAGTCGAAAGTTCCACCCGCCACCATGAAGAATCCAGGATACACACCAATGCTACCAAGACAAACCAGTCATCATATGCTAAATTGGCACTCTTATTAGTCGTTCGCGCCCAGAATCGCAAACCCACAAAAATTGTGGCAATTCCCATGACAACACCAACAGTGGCGTCATTCTGAGCGATTCTATCCTCGGACAAGTCCAGACCCTCCGGCGCAGTCCCGATGACAAGGCTTGACATGTTGGGTCAGGGAGAGGTCAACTCATTGTCTAGTCAAGCGATGATGAAATTGTGGACTGCCGAGGCAGTGCTGCAATAGTGCGGCAGCACGGAAAGAGAGTGTGTGTGCGCAGTTGGAGTCGTGGAAATGAGGGAAATGGGGCGAAGAGAACAACCGTAGGACACCCGAGATGAGGACTAAATTGCGTTTCGCTATCCAGTGACAAGAAGAAAGAGAAATCCACGTCTTACATGGCGACTAGGCGGGAAATAAGGACGCTGGGAGAATGACAGAAATAGGGTGGGATCTACAATGCGGTTGAGCTTTCACGAGCCATGAAACTACTAGGGATCGCAACATTCTTTAGCTTGCGCACGGCACAGATCGAGCCAGAAGGAATGCTTCCGGTGGGGAACGAAGGCTTCCCCGGGCAGATCTAGCCTTACCATGGCTTAGAAGCGAAGTGACCCTTGCCGCCATTCATGGTTTTCAACTACCGAAGTCTTCTGCACTATAGAGTTAACATTACAGCGGCCACGAAGCTCTCTGATTTCTAGAAAAAAAAACCTGACATACCCCTATATGTTAACGTTGAGAGTTAAGGAGACAGTAATAATACCCGGCATATGATCATACTGTTGCCCTGAATCTGCCGTCGCCTACTAAGTAGTCCACATCCTTCGTTTGGGTCTATTTTAGTGCTGCTGAGGCATTGCAAATCAAAAATAGGGATTTAGGTCTGGCCCGCATGTATTCTGAGGTTTTGAGTAATGGGAATCCCCACATCTCCACTCAGCCGGGGCAGCTTTGCCAATAGCCGAAATCGCTTAAATCTTCAGGTACCAAGCGGGCCCTAAAAATTCATGCGACGTCCACTAGCCGAAACGTTTTCCAATCTAAGTAAAAAGAGGAAAGTCCAACTCAGGCTCACTGCCTCGGATGGTCCACAGTCATGATACTGGCCAAGATCTCGACTAAACCCCACTGAGTAATCTCCCATTCTCCCGGTACCTGTCTCAAGGTTGATTAATTAAATCAGAACATGGCTCATGCGGAGAACTTGTCATGTAGAGCAACCAATGCAGGCAAATACCGAGTACCGACATCAATGTGTGATCCTATGGGACGCCACCGTACTTGAACCCCGAGCTTGAAATCCTTCCATGGTCCCCGAGTGGACGTGTTCAACCTAGGTTATTTCTTACATGGCCACGCAGGGGTGGTCTGATGAGGTGCTATGCCCCCGGAACAGGTTCCAGTTGCCGAACCATCCATGAAAGTACTCTTACATGCCATAAGTACTCTAAGTTCGTCAATTAAGACGAGATCCAAGTTTGGGGAGTGCATTTACTTTGACACACTCCAAGGCCAGACGATGTCGCAAAGAGCGAGTCGGCTCTTGAGATTCCAAGAATCTGTATGTGGCGGCAATTATAGGGGGATCACCGGGGCGCCTAACTTGGTTTCTTGCTGCAGACATTCTCGATTCGATGATAAAACTCCTTTCGCTTCAGCTGTAAACGAATGGTTTGTTTCAACAAGTTTCTCGGGGGCCGCGGGTTGAAGAACTGCAAGTAAGCTTTTGCTCGGGAAGATTCAACAGAAACCTAACATCGCTCAACCAGTGGGCCTCCACGGGCAGTGATTGCCCTTTTTCGTATGCACTCTCGAATAGAGTTTCGTAGCCAGTTCGCTTAGATACAATAGGGAAATGGTGCACGCCGGATTTTAATTCCGGTCTAGATATACTCCTGAAAAGTTCTGCAGGCCTCGGCTCGGTGTCTTGTCCCGCTGAAGCCCCACGATGAATGCCAGACCTGGGTGAACGTTCAACGAGGTACCATGGAAACACAGGCTACCCTCGTGTCCAGCCCTACAGAATCTGGAAAGCTATTGCGTTTTGCAGTGTCTGGGACACTAGGTTAGCTTGCTGCAAGACAGACGGCCTACTTGCCGAGCCTCATCCAGCACCCTGACTTGCCGAAAAGCTGAAGGTTAAGAGAAAGGCAGGGAAAACACAGCACACCTATGTATTCCACTACAAGCAAAGGTATAACCACGCCAAGATCCCCGAAAGCATGCAACGGAGATCGTGTTTACCACGTGGGGAAAGCCTAGATAGACTTTATACTCAGACTCCAGATCATATGAAGCTAACTATTCAACAGCTGGGCCCTCTAAAAAAGATTCAGTCTTGGAATTTCTTCACGCTGTTCTCAACTGTTCCCCACTTGCCGCTTTCTTCTGTGATCCTGGCATCGATCCACGCACAATTCTGGCTGAACCGTGCAAATTCTACGGAGTACTTGGTCGACATTAAGCTTACCCAGGAACTTGGGTTGGTTCCTGCCAAACTCTATAATAAATGAGCCCCTCGGTGAGCTTACAGTAGCGCCGCAACGTCTGGAATTAAAGGGCTAAGTGGAGAAGAGGAAACTTCATTTTTCATCATGGAAACCGGGAAGGTTGAAACACCATATCGCCGAGGAATGCCATAATGAATAATAAGTGCATGGGTAGTTCCAATCGAATTGCTGAATGTTGTTAGCTTTACACATATACACATTTGTGAGTTTCTAACATCACAATACTGATATTTCGTGATGATTAGACTCAAGATTGAGAAATGTCACTGTGTCGAGCCGGGTTAGGAACTCAGGATACTCCGGATGCCGTGGTTCAGGGCTGTGTGCAATTGAGTTTGTATTGTGGGTAACAAACAATTGCCGGATGCATGGCATCCGAGATATATATCTAGATCGAGTAACATCGTCAGACAACACATTACATTTAGGCAGCCATTTCCCAGGGCAAGGTAGCAATCAGACTTGAAAATCTTGATTAGCGATGATCCCTTCAGCTCATATTATGTCTCAAGCGGATTCTATTGTTGTATATTGTCGACCAGGGTGCTTTGCCCTCTTACACGTGATACCACCTGACCATGATGAATCATCGCGAAAATCAACAATGTCACGTGATCCGGTATTGGTGCTGGTTGAGGAGCAGAGCCGGAGAAACAAGTAAGACAGTTCGTGGACAGGAATTAGAGCCATAGCATAGGCAAGGACTGAGGGCTTAGGGCACATTGAGTGGGAAATCCCGTCGGCGACGCTCAAAATCAAGAGCGGTGCTGACAGGCATGATGGACTGCATCTTCCTGCTCTCTTATAGGATGAAAGGCATACCCCTGCGCACCACCACTCAATTAGTCAATTTGGACGACGTGGTACGGGGAGGGTAGTGTATATTCCTGCAGAGAGGTGCTGAAAATCAGCAATTGAGCTAGCAGCACGGTCCCTTGGGCCTGGTCCAAGACTCGATCCCACCTCCAGTCTGCTCCCAAGCCGCCATGGGGGAAACAAGCCATTGGATATATAACTAGCCTTGAGAACTGACCGTCCTCCAGCTGTGCTGACTCTTCCCGTTGTCGATATACATGTTCAAGGGGTTCAAGTCCAGGGATTTGAAGCAGCCTCCACAGATCTACTACCACCACCCGTCGTTGGTCACCATCGGCCATTTGAGGCAACCATATGATTCAGTTCTGCTCATATCTGGCCAAAGCACAGCCGTTTGTTGAAGTTAGCAATCTTCCCCTCCCTTCTCCGTGGCCACCTGTAATCTGTGCTGACATTCAAGGATAGACATTTATCCCTGGGTACCGCATTCTCACAACGTCTACAAGCCCTTCTGGATCTCCTACGGCGTGGTCCACATGGCGCCCGAGATTGTGATTCTGGCCTGCAGCCGTTGGTCTGGAAACTCAACCTGAGCCCCGAACGAAAGCGACAACTTTCTTTTGTTTTCCCCCTGGGTGCATTGTAGGTGAAGAATTTCCACCCCAAACTCCTTCCAATGAACTGCTTGCTGACCCTCTCTGTCTGTAGCGGCTGTGTGGCGAAGCATGGTACCCACGATCGTGGTTGGTAAGCTGGACATAAACGATGAATCCTGTAAGGCCTCCCCTCCCGGCCGCTCAGTATGAGCCATTTCCATCGATAACCAATACCGTCGTGTTTCCGTTAGACGCCTTACTCCTGGTGACGCTGTGGGACGTGGTGGAATCTGACTGTGCCATTATTTGCGCTTGTCTGCCCATGGTGCCGACTCTGTTAAAGAATGTTTTGAGTCGGTATTAGTATTGTCATGGTCGGGTACGTATTTTCCGCCTTTACGTAAAACCAGGCAATCCCCCTGCTAGTCTCGAGCAGATGCTGTGCTGCCTGCCTCACTTGTTGGATTGTGCAAGGGTCATGCAGGGGTGTCGTTCACGAAGGATTCTCTTTGTCTCTCTCTGTCTTTTGTTCTTCGTTTTCTCTTCACCCTCCCGGCTCCTGTCAAGGTACCACAGCAAGTCCACGATTTCGCAAACACCGAGCCTGGGCTTCTTTTAATATACCGCCGCATCTCCCGGGTTGACTGACCAACATCACCATCGATCATTGTCTGATCTCCAAGTCCACCATGTCAACCCTGTTGCCAGCCAAGTCTCTCCTGATTGCCCTCGGAGTGGTGGGCGTTCTGGGCACCTGGGGGCGGACTGCCCTCGACGGGTCGACCGAGCTCCTGACGAAAGTGTTGGATGACCCCAATGGCCAACTCCCGGGCACCCAGGTGCCTCTCCAGCGGACCTTCACGGGAATTCGCATTCCCATTGACCACATCATCTCCACTCTGGTGGTCTTTTGGTACGAGGTCGTGGACGGCTCCCACCCGTCCTCCACCGCGGTGGCCCTGTATTTCTTGGGACAGCTGCTCCCCTGCCTTGTGATCGCCTACACAAACGCCCAGCGTGGCAGTAAATCCAGTCTTGTGCGGTAAGCCAGCCCTACATTGTCACAATCAACCATGATGAACCACCGAACAAGGATCTAATGCAAACCGCTGAAGACCAACCCTCTGGCTCACCCTTTTCCAAGTCTGCTCCCTAGGCGTGACCGGCTGGATCTGGGCGCTCAGCTACATCACATCAGCACCCACCGTCCCCAAGTCCAAAGTCTCCGCGGTGGGCTCGTTCGATCTACTGCAGCGTGCTTCCAGAGTCTCCTCGCCGGCGCTGGTCAAACAGCTGCTCGTACCCGCCATCATCCTTGGGTATCTCGTCCCTGCAGCTCTGATGGGAGTCTTCTCCTCCAACCCCGCCAGCACCGCGCATCAATCCGCCATCGGCGCCTGGAACATGTACCCTTTGCTCATCCTCCCCATGCTCTACATCCTCCGATCCATCTTTTCTCCTGCGGTCGCGACGACAGGACCTAGAGCGCACCTCCACGCCATTCGCGCCGCCAACATCCCCACCCTCATCATCAGCGTCGCCCTTCACTGGTCCGTCTTAGGCGTCTCGCTCTCTACTATTTTGTTCCCGTCTATCTTTACCCCGGCCTATCGCGAAGAGCTGCACCCGTCCGCCGTCTTCGTGCCCCCGTTGGCCCTGTCCCCCGCCACCACTCCTGGAGATGGGGTCAAGGGATTCCTATTGTGGGATGAGTTGATCGCCTATCTGGTGGTGTTGGTGGTGGTTGCCCTCGAGCTGCAAGGAGCCTGGTCTACCATCCCGTCGCGCGGTGGAGCCTTCCGGTGGTCGTGGTTCCTCCCCGCTGCGTTTGGAGCCTCTCTCCTGCTTGGACCGGGGACGATGTGTTTGCTAATTAGTTGGTTGCGGGATGAGATTCTGTTTGGTGAGTGGGTTGACCGGAAGGAGGGGACAAAAGCGGCGGAGTAGATCTGGCTTCTTCAGGTTCGCAGATTCTCTACGTTCGCTGGCGAGGATTAGTCTTGTAGAGAGTTGAACGAGTAGCAATTAGGGGGTTATCACCCGAACTTGACCCTATTCTTGACCATCGCAGGCGGCCAAGGGATAGGACCGACTCGAAATATCAACAAGCGAGATAGAAATGGACTAGGCAAAGAGCGGTCGAGAGCGAGGAGACGAGTAGAATAGACCACGAAATATAATGAGAGGTATAGCTGGGTGGATAGGAGTGCTGTACCGGGAAAATGCGTGACACGATCGGGTTTAAATAGCCTGCTTTGACTGTTGGCACCATCCATACTTTGCTTTGGGAGGTAGGAACAAGTCACGTCGATAATGTCTGAGACATGAAATGAACTTCCTGTCGCCTATTCGCAATGTATAATTGATGCGAGATGTCCCCGCTCAGGACAAGACGCCGCTAGAGCAAGAACGGATGTTCAAGAAGCTGTTTGGCGGTCTTGCGTTCCTCTGGCATCCATTTCAACATTGACCTAACGAGCGCCAAAAATAACTCTTTCTCCTCGCCACCAAGCCGCTTTTCCAGGGCCTCCAATCAAACAGAGGGTACAGGGACGTCACGATGAGCGATCCAGCCCCCTGCAACTATGTCAGTCTCGGAGTCAATAGGAAAGGGTATGTAATGGGAAGCGGGTACCAACCGCTCGAATCAAAGCACTGCCCCGTCGTCTCACTGCGCCGCACGAATTCGGATGGCAGCGGCCCTATCAAGGCTACCCATACGTGAGAGATGTCGAAACGGGTCATGTCCACCTCTGGCATCGAATATATCTCCAAAAAGATGCTGTCCTTCGAACAGATCCCAAATTTAATCGGTCATCAGTAAGCCAGGGAGCCAACACGAAACACTCGTAGCGTACCTGTACATAGTCCGGAGCTCGATTTAGTTTCCACTGTGACAAGGAGCGACGACCTGCGTTGATTGGACAATCCTCCATTACTAATGGACAGCCCCACTGTCAACCGACACAACAACAATAAGAAGCTCACCCTTCCTGAGGATTTGGTATACTGCCTACTAGCAATGTATAGAACAAGAGTGAGAACACGATCGCCATATCAAACCGTTGGACATCTAGTCAACGCCGAACATTGTCTCCCCCATCCACCGAGCTTGTTATGCCTACAAAGGAGTCGATTTGAACGCGACTGATTCTGATTTTGATCACTACCCTCCCGGCAAGCTAATCGACATACAAGTATTAACCGGCCTTTTTTGCCTTGACTGGTTCCCTTCGGGATGATAAAGTTCTGATTCTGATATAGATGGAAACGGACCTTACGCACATACGAAGAATAAATAAGCGGGTGTAAAGCTAAGCATGCGCAATAGCAGAGATTGGCGATTGCTTTCACCGATGCCGAAATATTCGCTGAATCACTGCGACTAGCGGGACAGTACCATTGACATAATCTAGTGGCTTCCAACTTATAGCGTGAGAGGAGTCGCCTTCAGGACAGACTGGCCTAAACCACGTTAACAAGGTCAAGGCGTCCCGGAGAGTGCTTCATGCAGGGTGGCACAGACTATAGGTAATCGCTCTTGCTGCAGCGCCTGGAACGTGTTATTGATAATCTTTGCCTTTTTCTGGTTCAAGACTCGCAGTGCGACGGGAAGTCTGGACGATGGATTCCCAGGCATCTCGGAGCGGCGCGTGTACGTCAATGGATCGACAGGGTGTTTTGTCCCCTCGGCCCACTTAACCTCGAAGGCCCAGAGGATCCTCATCATCGCAATGGCGAGTGATCGTTCGGCGACGTGATAGCCGGGGCCTAGTATGTGTCAGCCGAGTAGGCTCGCCAATGGGCGGTGGTTGATGTACAGATACGACGGCCCGCACCGAATGCAAAGTGATCGCGCTTGGTCACGTCCGACGAGTTGATACTCTGCATTGTCTGGAAAGTCCACTCAGCGATGGGCCACCTTGTTCCAAATGAGTGCTACATACTGTTGTATGGTCATCAGCGTATCTTTCAGGCCAGAAACGATCTGGGTCTTCGTGCCTTTTCGGGTCGTGTGAGATGGCCCTGGAAAGATACTCTGTTAGAAAATGTTTACTTTCTCCAAGAAGGGTCTATCGCACCATGCGTTGAGATGCAACCGGGCACCTTTAGGGATCTGTTGCCCCTTATAGATTATGTCCTTCGTGGTGACGTGTGGATGGCCGAGGGATACAGGGGGCCGCCACCGCCAGAGCTCTTTCATGATGCATCGAATGTACGGAATGCGCTCTAGGTCAGCAAAGTCGGGCAGGCGATCGCCCACCACCGCCTCTGGACAAAAGAACTTAGCAGATGTGTTGGGGAGGGAACCTTTTCACTATACCAATCTGGGCTCGTGCCTTCTGCTGGACGTCCGGATATTGTAGCATCGCTTCGAGGAACGACCAAGTCGAGATCTGGCTCTACGAGTGGGTGATATGTCAGGAGATATTCGTTGGAGTAATCGACAAGTAGTCTTATAGCCTACCGTGTCTGCCGCGCCAATGATAAGCTGAAGTGACAAATAGGCTGCTTGTTCCTCAGTGGTGAAGCCCCCACGGTCGGGGGCTTGGATGACGGAAGGAAGAAAGGCGTCTGCCATGTACTGCCCTGCAAACGCGGGATCTTTTATTCTCTGATCGCAGAGAAGCAGTCAGATGATATAGGCCGAGTTGTATTTTGAACCAGTTGAATTCGTACCTCCAGTCGCGCCATGCACCATTCCAAGTCTCGCTTGGATCGTTTCCTGGCATCTCGCTCCCATGGCTTGAGACAGAGAGGTAGATAATTCAACCACGTGAAAATATCAACCATGTGCATTCCGGGGATGGTACCTAGGGCACCGAAAATTAACCGTTGTCGTCCGTTGCGATAGATCTACAACCTACCCAGTATTTGCGCCAGACCTGTCTCTAATTTGAAGGTCAGATCCGTTATGTACGAGAAAGTGAGAGTACTTACCGTGTATATATTCAATAACAGGATCATCAGCGTTAGGTATCTATCCGACAAATTGTCAGTAGGCCGGCCGAGAGAAGAAGTGAAGAGAGCACGTACGTCCATGCCGAAGGTCTGTGTTGCGAAAGCACTATACGTATAGCGAGCAATCAACCTTAGTATCCGAACACCATCCTGACCGGCTTCTGGGTTATTCGCAATATCATAAAGAAACCTTGCTGTCTCATATTGAAGGATCCTACAATCAACCTGAGTAGGTGTTCAGGACGCATATAGATAATCAGCAGTTAGCTTACGGTACCCCAGCATCCGCTCGCGGAACGCTTGTCAAATAGGAATTGATCACGCGTCTCTGGTTCTATAACACAAGCTTAGCTTCGGTGGACAGGCCAGATCTGAAATTTGGTCTTACCTTCCAACGCGGATCACTTCCGTGAAGCAAGAGGACGTTGAGCCGGTTGCAGATGAGTTCGTTGCTGACAATCCACCGCGGGCGCTCTGATGATATCGCCGATGATCGATCCATAATCTCCTGCGAGCGATCAGCATTGCCTTTACCACGCCGTGACATAAACGCGATACGGCACCTTGACAGCGCGGTCCGAATTGAGAAAATACTCCGTCACCGGACCGAGGCGCACACGACAGACTTCGCCATGCTCCCGCGCCCATTCTTGCATCAATATATGCTGGAGACTTTCCTTACTTGCTCTGAGAACTTCTAACAGGTTTCCCAGGACCAGGCCGCCACTGGGTTGCGGGGGGAGCGGCAGCGTTTTCGAGCGGCCAGAATGTTGGTAAAGAGCCACACACAGCCCCCCTAGCAAGCAGAATACGCCCAGGAGTGGCCAGTGAGGAGACATGCGTTCGTCCATTTTCAATGCCAATCGTGTTCAGTAACATGGTGTCGTGTATCTCGCCCGAATGCTGGTCTATTTATGTTCCCCTCGGTATAGTATCGGCGAAAATGATCTACATGAAGCAATACTGAACGCTATCCGATGTGGGGTGTAGTGGGGAAGACATGCTACGACTAGAGCTGCTTAACTAGTAGCTCGCGAAGGTTCAAGACACAATACAATATCCGACCCGGGTGGCGCGATGCACATTTCTAAAAACTGACCATCCACGTTGTTCAAATAACATTAATCGCAGTACCCCGGCTAATGAGGCCCTCGAGCACGCCGGCGAATAGTTGGCCGATCCCCCACATCCGGTCCGAGAGGAGGATGCAATGTGTCTCTACAAGGATTCGATGGATGCCGTTCGGCTCATCCAGACTCCCTACCCCCGCGACCCGAAGAGTAGGATGACCCGGGGCTTGGATCCACGTCTCCTGCACAGTCAAGTCCATTTGACCGTCCCAGTCCACGGAGCAAACGGGCGCACCCCATTGCCCGTCGCCGGATCCATCCTTCGATCTCGCGACGGGGTCGAGCGAGAAGAACGTCCAGATCGTCAAGAATGCGACGAACAGGTGATGGTTCTCACTGTGTGCTCCGGACTTTCTCCTTCGGACCAGACAAAACAATGCAATAGCGTGCATGACGGCCCTCCGGGCATTCTGTATATCTGCCCGTAGCCAGGAGCAGAGCTTTTCGCGAGCCGCCACGATACAGTCCTTCGTGCTCGTCCACCCAATGTGGTCGCACATAGGTTGCAGTGGTACGATGAGTAATATCGAAATGTGGTGATACAACTTCATCAGGTGGCATGAGTCACTTGCCGGCCAGGTGTTGCTGTCTTTGCAAAGTGAGCTAATGGCCTCGCATGCTGCAGTCCTCAATTGTGCGCATTGTAATCGAGCAAGTAGAGGCCCCGGGGTAGTGACAGCACATCCTGCCTGCAGATCATTCCCCAATAGAGGATCCTGCGCTTGACATTGTTCAACGTGATCATCAGTAGCGCTCTGAAGAATGTACCGATCCACACTTGTTGCCGTGTGCCACTGATAGAATACCGCCGTCATGATGATCGATCGAGCAAAGAGCCCGAGCTCCCGCGATCTTAGTATGTCCGCGAGCTTCGGGGTATTCAAAGCCTCCCTGAGTCTCACTGGTTGCCTGCACTCTAAGCAACCGTCAGTCGATCTCCATGAACTTCTAAGCTCAGGCCAAGATCCCACCGTGTGAATTTGTCAATTCCTCCGATAGGCTCGCCATACCCAGGTCCCATAATGTCTCGTGACAAGGCAAACATGGGTCAAGGTCCTCCAAGCTCATCATTGGTGGGACACTAGTGTTTAAGCTGAATTGGCAGTCGATCAACTGCATACGTTAGTGTTCCAGCAACAAGTGAAACTAGTGGACTGATGAGCGTCGCGAAGAGAGGAGGCCGCTCACCCAGATAGCATATGTAAGTCTCCTGCTCAACTCTCTGTCAAGCCAACTGGAAACAACAGGATTTTGGGGATTGGTACCACGGGGGAAATTGCAAGGCATTTCTTCACGACACATTCTGGAACTTAGACCTCTACACACTGTCATCAACATGGATCTTTGAAACTGCGCCTTTAGAGCAAGCTGTCGTGAACCACGATAGGCCATCTGGATTTGATTCAAGACTGCTGCCTGCGCGAATGGGATCTGAATGGTCTCATGAATATTCTCTCCAACCTAGGGGCGGCGCTCAGGTTAGCCAAGATCTTGATTTAACGGCGGTTCTCAACGATGAACATGGTGACGTACTATGTTATCGATTGCCTTGCGCAGTATTTCACCCATGACTGTTGATAGTGTATGGGCCTGTGAGATCTTGGAGAACCGACTTCCAATAGTAGCAACTGCCAGCAAGAGCAACGGAGGTACTTCTGACACGTTGAATGTTGATCTGTGAAGAAGAGGAAGGGTGGAGTGAAAATGTTCAAAGTAAAGCTGAACAAAGGCGTTGATAACTTGTGGGTTCTCCAACAATTCTCTACAGCAAGAGGGGTAAACTGAAGTCCGCGGATGCTGTCCCTTGATGAAAGACGATAACTCCTCCACTTGGTTTGGTTGAACTTTGGCGACATGACCATGGTCCTCCATGGCCAGAATATTCCCCAAACTTAGCAGATTTAGCACTGATCTTGAATGCCCTTGGGACCCTTTACGGGAAGTATCGGCTCTGTTGGGACAATGGTCGGGCTCGATCGCTTCCGGCGATCGAGATTTATTCCAGAGATTCTCCTGAACCATCCCAGACCCGCTATAAGTATGCCAAGAATCTGAAGGGTCAGGGAGTGCAGGCCCTGTTGGATGCCCGACGCATCTGAGGAAATGATTGGCAGGCACATGTTCGTTCACTTGCCCAGCTGCGGTGCCTTGCAGCTCTGAAATACCATCTGGATCAAATTGGAGATCACTGACAGGAAACATCGAATAGTCCAAAAAGTCCATGCTGAGCCCCTGAAGTGGGGTACAACTTGGAAGAAACCAGTTACGGATATGATTGTATGCATCATGTGAAGCATGCATTTCACGAGGTGATGGCGCAGTTTCGCAGTTTTCTAGGATGGTCAGAGGGCAAATTCCTCTTCTCTCGGCTCGAACGAACCTACCTTTGCCAACTGAAAACGGCGGCGTTGAAAAAGGGACTAGTTCTGGCATCATCTCGCCATTGGCATCATCTTGGGATTCTTGCTCCTGGATCAAGCCAGGTGGGGACTTCGGGTGCCCTGCGGGAAACCCATCATCGCGCTCTGCTGAATCGGTCGATTGCTTTCGAGCGTTTTTCACAGGAAAGGCCTTTTTGCTGACACCTGGTGCATGGGACACAGGGCGAGCAACGGAGTTTGGCTTTGGCACAATTGTCGCAGGCGGAACGCATCCGGCTTTGCCGGGCTTTGGCTCTGATTCTGGTCACTGCCAGGCAGTTTATTTTTCTATGTCTACTTAAGAGATCACTGCCAATATGAGAGGGGAATACATCGCAGGGCAGTAATAGGGTTTACCATCTGTTGAATGCTTTCCCACAAGCCCCGCATTGATATTGACGTTGATTGACGTGGGAGGACAGATGACGAGTCAGATGTTCGCGTCGCGAAATCTGGCGCGTACAGAAATCGCAGCTCAGCTGCGGCTCGCCGGGCTTGCACATCCTTTTCCTAGGAGTGTTGAGATGCAGGTTTACTAACGAGTTGTGAAAAGGGCCAGAGGAGGATGCTTGGGTAGGTTCGAGAGTTCAAGGAGGCACCGTGCGGAATAACCGATTTCTGGGGCAGACGTGCGGAGAACCCGATCTGCCGACCAAAATGAACTACAGCACGCTCCAAAGCTTGTTACTTGGTAAATACACTCCATGGATTCTGCTCTCGCTACATTGTATCCATGTCGTTACGGTACCCTTCTCTCGACACTCCCTCCTCTACTCTCATATCAAACTCAACAAGATGTTCTCATTACATAAGATCAAGACTAAGAGCAGATACAGGATCTACAATATTGCCTGGTTTCTCCGGTAGAGCACTGGATGGTTGCAGAGCAGTTGTGAGTTGAACTGTGTGATCTGAGACGGGGGAAAGGAAGGGAATCATCGGTTGTAATATAATTTGTTTCAAGAGGATGCGCTACAGGAACAGCCGAAATCGCAATGTCAAGGTCGGGCACATCCCCCCACATCGGCAACCCACATTTAGTTTCCGAACCTATTATATGGACTTATTAAGTATCCCATGATCCCTTCACTCAGAAGGGCCGGATAGCTCTAGTTAGGCTCAAGATCAGACGTCCGGGATTCCCGTTTCGGCTTCTCCTCGATTCACGGCAATCCCGTCAGAACAAGCGCCCCTGCGCGACTCACCCGGTCATCCTCCGACGAAATACGTCTGAGTGGGAAAGCCTCGCATTCACCTTTTATGGAGAGGCTAAGGGATAGAAGATCCCTGTCTACCTATAGCTTTATGTGGTGTAGTATACTTTGCGTAGTAGGTAGAAGTGAGTAGCTTTTACGTTGATAGTCTTGCTAAGGGCTGCTGTTTCGGTAAAGTCATGTTATCTGATGCAAATAGTACATCCATTTAGAAGTCCTATGGTTGTAACAGCTCTTATAAAGTCTCCCAAGGTAGACTGTAGTATGCTATCCTATCCTTGATCAACTGCGGGGGCACCATGGTCCAGCCCTCCGAGCTGAGTGTGGAAGACTCACAGCCCAGAACAGGGTGAATGTAACTTCACTACTGAGAACGTGGTTTCCACGTCGACCGACTAGCAAGGAGAATACAGAATACGGATTGCTTGCAGCACAGGTGGGTGGCTGGGCGGATCTAATCAAACTGGGAGTGTTGTCGGGTTGCCAGCTCCTCAACTTCTTTGGGAGGTGTGGGAAATGGAAGTTGAGTGATTCATTTTGCTCTTTCAGTGACTGCTAGGAGGCTCCCATACGCATTGTGAATAGACTATATTGTTATTCCATGATAAAAACAGATGACATGATCTTAGAATGTCATGTTGGAATCGGTGGGTTTGACACTAGAAGCCGAATACCATCAAATAAAGGGACTATGAAACGCCGGAAGCAATGTGGCACACTAAAATGAAACGCCAGATAGCCACGTATCCCCAGGAGGGAACATACAGAGAGCTCCAGAGATGAACGAAACTGCTTACGGGACATATCACCAGCACCGAGGCCATCACTAGAAGGCTGATGTCTACATGTATGCCAGAGAACCTACCATGAAGAAAGATTCCCTCTAGACGTTAGCCATCCTGCGCTCCTCAGGGTTAACGCAGCTGGGCTTGTGCTCCTGCCAATGGTGGCGCTGGCACTCCTACGCAGGATCAGTAATTGATTTCAAACAGCTCTTGGGGTGAAACCGGTAGAGTCTTACTTTGTCGCAATAGTAGGCAACACGGCATCTTGCACACTGAACCAAGGCATGGCCGATATCACCCCTAACCTGTCCACACTGAAAACAGCTTCAACAATGTCATTAGCGCAGAACTCCATATCTTAAAGCGACACCCAAAGAGGGAACCCTTACCTTGGCTCCTGATAGTTGCGTGGCACGCCCGCCTGGTAGTGGTCCAGAGCAGCGAGAAACTGAGCCCTCCCGGGACTCCGAAAGCCCTCATCGAAGAGAGGCAAGACAAACTGCGAGTTGCACTGAATCTGTGGGACCAGGTCTCGTAGATGCTGCAAGTCGTCAGCCCTGATCCTTGCGCCGGCCCGCATCATCAGCGCGCCCAAGATGATCGTCCTGTATTTAGTACAAGGGACCGTTTGATTGTTCTCCTGTGTACGAGCAGCAGCAAAGAGCCTGTCGCCAAGGTTTTCGGTATCGAGCTTTGCGCGGATGTAGGGCACGATCTCGCTCTCTAGCTCTTGTTTGTACTCTTCAGTCTTGTAGAACTCACGTGCCGCCGCGCCAGCTAGCATGTCGGTCTGGTGCACCATTGAACTCATTGTGGGCTCCCAGTTGTCCATTTCAAACCCCAGCCGTTCTGCCAGACCGCAGGCGGCGTCCAGGTCCTGGTCGCTTTCAAAAAGACCTAGCAAAGAAGAGAGATCAGTCAAGTTGTACTTCCGGGTCAAGGTGACAGTGGTGGTGCCAGGACTTACGCCAACCCCAGCGACCCATGGTGGTTCACTTTACGATAATTGAGAAACGTTTGCTTAATAATGGGAGTACCTTTCAAAGGTCTGGCCTTTAGGGATACGACTGAGAAACCTGAGGTCAGTGTATGGGGATATTCGATAGGACACAACCAGGAAGTGAGGGAGAGAGGAAGAGAGAGGCAAAGACAAAAAGAGAGGAAGAGGGGGAAAGAACAGATTGGGTGTTGGTCTGGCTGGATTGCAACAAGACCAAGAACAACAAAGACATGCTTACAAGTGAATCTGCATCCTCCCGCTCCTTTGCCATTCACTACCAGATTACCCTCTGCAGTCATAGACAATATGCCACAGCAAAAGCTTCTCACCAAAGACTTACCAGGAATATTCATCTCGTCGAAAATCTCGCCAGCCTTCGATGCCAGCTAGGCATCTCGAGCGACTGGGTTCGGGAACTACGCAGGCCGACATCCCTCGACGCTTCCAAATCAATCCTCAACTACGGAGAACCAAAGATTACCATCCGCCTAGCAGGGGGCATGGGCCGACATTGTGATCGTCATGCGCACGAAAAGCAGCGCATATCCGGGCTTCTTGGCCTCGTCGCGTTCTATCAACGTCCTGGCATCGAGGGCAAAACACTTCGTCTACTACACGGGAAACTGGGACTAGATATCTGGACAGGTCAGGTTAGTCAAGTGATAATATTAGTTTTCCTATTTCTCCTTTGCTTGGCTTGTTGCAATGACGTTGTTTCTGCATATGACTAATATTGAATCTGCTCGAGTACCGTCATCCGAGGACTATCGCAACTTTCAAAGCCACAGTGGAAAGATTCCCTCTGGTTCACCGGGCGGCCTATACCAATGAATCTTCTTTCAAGAATATTTTCCTCCATAATAACGTTGTCTGGTAATACGATATTGCACGGCCCTGTGCCCTGGCATGGATTTGTACAGGACGTACAACTAATGGCAACACTCCATATCGTTGGAATCTCGGAGTGAGCCGCTCATTGGGACTGCGGTGCCATCGTCCTCTGCCTGCAGGTGTACAAGTGAAGATCACCTGTACAGTAATTGAGGCAGGGAACAGGGTGGCTACAGTTCGCGCCGTGATGGATGCTATGGATGGCATTGTCTTTGCTAGTTGTGTGCATGAAATATACATCCCGTCGAGTTCAAGGCTTTGGTATCTGTGCGCATGTTCGTAGTCTAGAAATATATAACACAGGGTATCTTGATCACCCAGATATAACCCGTGCCAACTTGGGTCCATTGATCATTGACCTGGAGCCTGGACTTGAGGCATTCCGAGGAGGCCTACATACCTCCGTCCACAGCCAGATCTTGACTAGTTATGTATGATGATCCATGACTTACTAGATATACTACCACCGTCTTCGGGTCTTCGCGACTGCCAGCTCGACCGCAGCCAGAAACCTCACAACAGATCACAAACAGATCTGGCTTATGGGCTGCAATACTCAGGTTCAACCCTGTTGCAATACACCCGGATCAGAGAAGGTTAGAGTACCTATGCAGCCGCAAGGGCTTGGTTCGTAGCGAGCATATACCCTGGAGAGATTATGTTCACCTTAATGCCGTCGACAGGAGTCAACCAGATGAATCATTTGGCGCCAGCATAGCTGGAAGGTTCGTGTCCCTGGGAGACATATTGCGAAGTTTGAGCGCCGACCATCACTATACTCCCCTATTCCAATCCTACGTTATATCCCAATATCTAGAATGGTATATATATATATATTATCAATGTAACAGAAGATATACAGCCAAAAATAACATTGCTGTGGAAAGCGTAAATATTATTGATGCCAGATGGATGGACTATTATACATTAAATCAGTATAGAGGGCCTTCCCTTCAACCAAGTGCCTTAGAGTTGAATGACACAGAGATTGGAGAAGCGCGAGTATCAGAATGTAAAAGGTCGTTATGACCAAGATATGCAGTCCTGCTGGAGAATCCATACTCTGGTGGGTATAGCAGGTGTACGATTAATCACAGGTGCCGGTCTAGATAGAATGGGCTGCGAAGAGATTGTCGTTCACCGCCAGTGTTCTGAGACGATCCATATCCTTCGCGTTCCAGGTGTCCTCCGTATCACGGTACGTGAACTTGGGACCGCATGCCGAGATTTGTCCGAAGTACTGTCGATGATCTTCAATGTCAAAGCTGATTCCAGTTTCGCGTGCGCCATCGCATGATAGATTCTCCATCCCACTACATACCTGGATGCTATCGGTGCCATTCGCAGAGGAACCAGGAACCCAGTACTCAGGCCAGGTATGTCTATAGCCAAGATCGTATATCCCAAACAGACTCATTGGAGGTAGGGAAGGTACCGGATCATATGCATGAGTTATCCGGGCTGTTATCCCTGGTTGTGTTGAGACGAACTCGGCAAACCGCGCATCCCCAACACGTGGAGAACCATATGTATAGATATCACAGGGTATGTCCTTTGTGCGAAGGTAAGCACCAGCAACCGTGGCAATGGCTGCACCCAGAGAGTGCCCAGTAACGACCACATGATAATCACCGTGCTTCTCCCTAGCCTGGGTGAGTGCGGCCATAACGTCGTCTTTCAGCAGCTGCCAGGACCTATAGAATCCAGAGTGTATCGAACAAGAGCAGATATCGTTTCCTTGCTGGGGCTTGTCTGACCCGAACAGCTTGTCCCAGAGTCCCTTTGGTCCTGGCTCATCTACCGTCCAGAACTGGAAGTTCTTGACCCAGTTCCGCACAGAGTTGCTGCCACGAAACGATACGACGAGAAGTCGATGGACGTTGTCCACAGCAACAAAGCCGCGGATGTCGTCTTTATTGAGCTCTGCTATGGTCTCGGCACCAGCAGCTTCGACTTCGGGGCAAACCCCTTCAATGCATTGGATGCTGCCGAGGATACCGTCGTCGTTGTTGTGGTCGCAGTAGGCGGCAGCAGAGTACTGCGCAAACAGCTGGAATTCGGTCAGGTCTTCAATTGAAACAGCTGTAAATTCATGACCATTAGTGGATTTTTTCACTACTTTTACAACAGAAATGCTTGTGTGATACATACACCGGCTTGTTACAGAGCGTCCCTGTGCCAATGTTGCTGAGCCTAGCAACTGGGATGCCAGGAGAACGGGGATTATATTCAACACACCCAACATGATCGCTATTGTGACACGAAACAGAGCGACGGCTACGCATTCATCTAGGTAGTTTAGATAACAGACTGAAGGCTAGATATACAAATTGAAGTCCAAAGAGAGATGTCTGCCTTTGTGTGCCTCAATGTTACTCTGGCGGATTGGCAGTGTCAACATCTTCTCGTGCCGTAACTAGTTCATCCTGCAGGAAGGCAGCCTTGAACAAGAATGCAACACGACATGGGGCATTTTCAGCATTGGCAGATATCCACATCTCTAAAGGCTTCACGGATCGAATCTTTACCCCCTTACATATGATCTATAGGATTGCATGGTCCAAGGCTGAAATGCCTCAGGCAGAATATGATATGTCTCCCACCCTTACCGTTAGGTCGTTGCCTCTTCAGCTCCCTAGGGCACACCTCTAATTGGTCTACCCCGTGACTCTTTGATTCCTAGATTGTTGTTTCAAAGATACTGTCCTAGCGCGTCTAGAGTCCATGGGTTGCCCTCCACCGACTCGTTTTCGTATCATAGCCCATATTTTCTTTAGCGAGCCAAACTGTTCAGAAGAAGGCCCACTTCAACCAGGGAAACAACATACCACAAGTGGCGCAGGACACTATTGAAATCTAAAATCTTCGACTGATCCTTCGGGCGCTAACTGGATCTCGCCAATGTTTCCCTGCTCCATTTGCGTCGATAGTTCCTGCAGCGATATCGCATCACTTCTGTGCCGATCTTACTACCCCTGCTATAGATGGGAAGATTGAAACGTGCCTCGGCGATGGCGTACAATCGCCATGGGAGTGTCCTGTGGGTCCTAGATGAACTGGGCATAAAGGGGCAATAATTGACAGGGGAGGTGGTGGTTCGTTCCTCTAATGCCGTACTTCCGAGACTAAGTATCAAGGCCTGAGGATCGATTATCTACGTTATACTAGCCACATGAAGGCTAGGCTTCATTGGCGGTCGCGATATCTATTTGTAGCAATCATCGTGTTTCATCGAGTGTGGACGGACTGATCGGATTAACCATTTTGGGTCTGGTAGATGTGTCTTTCCATTTATATCACGCCGATCGCTAAGGAGAATCAGCGAAAGTGTCTACTTTAGCGCCGGAAAATTCTCCGTTGCATGGCATGACTAAATGAACGCTTATATAAATACAGTCGTAGATCGGGCCAGGTCCTCGCTAAGCTCGTTGGCGGAGGAGATGATCGAGCTATCGACATGGGCCTTTCCCAGCACTTTTACTCGCACACTGATTCCGTGAGACGTACAGCTGTGAAAGCCGAGAAGACATCCAAGTCCCGTAAGTGACGCGAGACCCTGTTTCATCATCGACACGCAAAAGTCAATAAAACACTCCGAGAACTGACTTCCAGAACGTAGGACTAGTCGAACCTAGTTAAGCGAGTTTCAGGTTATCAGTCCCTTGACCAACGTTTGACACCCTTCAGGCAAGTGCGCTTTCACATAGGAAGAGTCTGCAGGGCCCAAAAAAGGTGATACGTTAGTCTAACATATCGGTACCTATTTGCAGCTGAGCTAGCGGCACATACGGCCATATGCAGTTAGTAGAGATCACCAACACTAAGGCTTGCATAGCTCGGAAGAACAACCAAGGACAGAACATGATCACCAATGGAGAAGGCTCGGGATAGCCTCGTACGTCAGTGGAGACCTCGACCAGGGGACTGCAGGGGAGATGGCGTCAAGGTTTCCCGCTAGTAAGCTATCACTATTGTGCCGGTACCCACCGGGCCGGACGAAAAAGGGGACTTGTGAGTCCAATGACACATCAGATGTAACCATGATACCATATGATGCTGTCAGGTGATTGTGGATACCATCATTAGGTGGATCCGTGGAGTGTCGATGTACTAGTGGTAGACAGAGCAGACCCTCAGCAGTTAAAGTTTCTCAACGATGGTCTACGGAACAGAAGACTCGCAGAGCCAAAAATTGGTTCTTCACCACAAACGGTTTTTTTGGCTGGGCCATGATTTGGCCGGCGTCTCCGGGTGGAAGAGCCGGAGAATTTAATCTAGCTCCGGAGAGTTTAACGGTCAATCCTATTGTTTGAGGCTTTTTTCTTTTTCAGGGGATAATCTTGCGCCCTGTGCAGGAGAGTTGGCCCCTTTTGTTGCAGGTCATACTGCATGGATTTGAATACCCTTCTGCCTTATAGAGCTCTTTGGGCCTTTGGGCAGCAGTTCGCAGAGCATCCCTTCCTGAGCTAGTGCCTTACGAACGAACGAGTAGGATTCAAACTAACTATTAAGGGCCTAGTAGGTAGGGTTGCATTCAAGTGGGACTGAGGGAATTGAGTTCGAGTCCGACGGTTTAGTATCAGATAGTCAATTCCTGTGGGCTTGGCATGCCATACTCGGAGTACAGAACCATGGATCAAAGTAGGGCTCTGGCTGCCAGTTGGCATCCAATGGTGATCCCTGATCCCCCACCGATGCACAGTTGCGATCTCATGGATCTTGGCTTTAGTAAACTCTACATCTAAGTGCCCTGCAACTAGCCGCTGACCAATATCTGCTAATATATATTTTTGGTAGATCAGAGTCCAGACAGTCTAGACAATGGAGATAGGACACTTGGCCAAGGATGGTCAAAAGAAAAATATAAAAAAAGAGAAGAGAGAAGACAGTACATCGAAATGGTGAAAAGAAATGCAGGGGTCAAGAGGGCTCGCCTCGCTGTAAAACAACCCTAACTCCTTCAAAATGCCGTGGAAGCAGTCGGCAAATGGTCTGCTTATGTCAGTTAATTGTCGGCCTGTTGAATCAATGTCGCAATATACGATACCCTTGACACCTTAATTCTCGTTTATCATTATCACTAACTGATAGGACATGCAAAAATACCACTAGGGGTGGCTATCTCGTTGATCACATCCAGACTCACAAGCTACACGTTGTTACAGTTGGCAGCAAGAGCATGTGGCGGATAGCTAAAGTCCATTGAGACCTAGTCAGCTAACTGAAACATGAACCACAGCCGCAAAAAAAAAAAAAAAAAACAATAGGGCCATTGTTCATGTGAGAAAAAGCAAATGTCTTTGACAGTGACAGAGGCTGTAAACCCTTTTATCACTCTTGCAACAAACAAAGGCTAACAAGTACTAGGCTCAGAACCGTGCGATCCCCAGGACTGATCCCTTTAAACTCTAAAGAACTGGTGTGAAACGACGATCTGCACTGGATGCCTCTACTTCCCACATGGTCAACGTTTTTCTAGCAGAATCACTCACATCGACCACGAAATTCAGTCGCATTAGGTTCGTTCCACTGGCCCAGGGCAGCCATGTCGTACATATACCGTCTCATCCTGAAACACCGCCGAGCACCGCCATAGTGACTTCCAGAAAGGCAGACGTGGTCGAGCTATCCAAGCAGTGGCACATGCACGTGCGTGACTGTAAGTCTATCGGCTGTCAGGGCAGGACAGCTTGTAGGCCCTCAGCTGTGATGTTGCCCAGCCCTGCACCGACACATACTCCATTATGTATGGCCCGTGGTGAAAGGTTAACCCCATTGAATATTGAAACACGATCTGCACCCCCTTTTGGAGTTCTTTTCCCATGGAGATCAACTATGGTGTATCTAGTGCACTATGTACCTACATCTTCAACGCACTCTTAGGAAATGAATGCAACCTTGAATGAGATGAAACGATATTTTATATTGAAGGGTGAACAATACGAAGGCCGATTTTTGAGTCTGACTGGTGATAGTATAAAAGACTCACCCTCCCTAGATATCAGTATACAGAACATTACTCGTTTGTCATTCATTCTCTTGTAACCTATAATACTTTCAGAGCTGTGCTCCAGTCTTTCGCTTTTATCTCTCTTTTATTTACTTCTGCACTTCTGGTAAAGAGCTTCATCCAACCATGAAGGCCTTCGTTATCCTTACCCTCGTCACGTCCATCTTGGCAGCGCCTACGCAGACGCTCGAGCGCCGTCAGGCTAACAGTGTGATTCCTTCTGCCCCCTCTGAGTTCAAGGCGTTGGCAGCTCCCGCCCCCAGCGCTGCCCCTCAAGCATCTGGAGGGCAATCCGGTGGTGGTAGCGCTGCTGGCGGCGGGCTGGGCGATCTTGCGAGCCTGATAGGACAGGGTGTACAAGGGATTACCAAGCTCATCAGCACTGTTGCGGGGGCTGCTGGCGGCGGCGGCGGTGATAGCGGCAAAGCAGCCGAGAGTAGTGGTGGAGGCGGCGGTGATCTCGGTGATCTGACCAAGCTGATCGGCGAAGGGGTAAAGGGTATCAGTAGCCTGGCTGGTGCTGCAGGCGACGCTGGTGGTGGACTTGGAGATCTCACAAGCCTTATCGGCAATGCCGCTGGCGGCCTTGGAAGTATTGGTAACCTCTTGGGGGGTCTAGGGGGTCTAGGTGGGCTGCTTCGCAGAGACGTAACCCCAGAGATGATCTCACGAGCCATGGAGAATATCGATGTATCTGACCTGGATGATGACGAGTGCATAATTGAGAAGCTAGGTGGCATGCTTCCTGGTGAGTTACACTTCTACTACTTTATTGATGTACAATGCTAATACGGACTAGGAGAGGCAGCTCCTGCTAGCTAAGCTCACGCGGAGAGCTACATACCAGTTGGAAGTTTGCTTTCGATAGTGACAATCTTGGCTTGGCTGAAGGAGAAGATGTACAGCGTCACAGTCAGGGCGCGATATGTGCCACTTAACTTGGTCGTCCCAGTTATATTGTTATATATTTTACATGTGGAGGCTACTCCAGATACTACCATTGTTCTTTTCTATGTTGATATCACACTATCTGAACGTTCATTTACATTCAAGCATTATTCTCTCTAAACACCAGTTGGGGCTTTGCCTATGAAGACTACTGATAGTGTATGTGTAAGTTTGGGGTTTGACAGAGCAGCGCCGCTTTGGGTAACATGAAGTAATCCGCGTAGATTCCTCGGTAAAAGAAGTGGCAAAGAACAACCTTGTTTTCTTCAGTGACAGTGTCCCGGCCCCCGATCGATTATCGGTCCGCGTCCTTAATTTCTTTCACCAGACCGATCTACTTCTCCTGAAGCTGGACTTCGGAGTCTCATGCACATTGCTGGGTCCCGAGAACCCTTGCGTTGGGTGTTGAACATGTGTGGAATGTGTACCAAGGAACATCAATCAATAAAACATGATTTGGGTCTTCTGAGATCCGGGAACGCCGTTATAGTTCTAGCCCCACGATCCATCCATATTAACTCCAAAACCTAATCCTTGGTGTTGCTTTTTGGCAATATTGCTACCGTGTCGGTGATGTCTTTCTAGAAAGGTGAGAAGTACGAACACTAGTAACACAGTAGATAGAGCCCACTGCGGGCTACCCTAACCAGACGGAATAGACAATAACAGCCAACATATTATAGCTCATGGTGGAGTTTCTTCAGTCGAGACTGGTTCCCTCGTATTAGTCAGGTATTTGTAATAGCTCTTCAGTGTCCGAAATAGGCAGCTCGATATTTAAATCTTAATCTTAGGACCAAATCCTAGGGAAGGGCAGGGTTCAATTTTTGGATCGAGATATATCAGCTATCAAAGGAAAATAAGCTCTGTGGCCGGACCAATGTCTCACTGGCCATGGTACCAAAACACGTATGACTTGAACCCTTTGTGATAGCCATCAATCCTACACTAGATCTGCATTGACTTTCAAAGGTTTGGTAGACCTCGTGGCGCATGATGTGATGGTCGAGCCGCCAGCCACTGACGGAATTAGAACTAGTAGGTTCCGGTCAAGTTATGCACTACATCGCAAGGCGGTTTGGTGCCTTTGGAACTCATTTTTGAGCCCCTTGGCGGCTCCGAGACGGCCCCGAGATGCCAGGCACGACGCGCCAGATGTTGGACGGCTGGGACGGAATCATTTGCCGGTAACTGCAGCCAGAGAGAGGACGAGAATGCTTCAAGCCACGTGCGGGGCCAAGGAAGCAGCGGCATTACTGATTTGCTCTGGTCAGCCTGGCGTTCTGAATAGGGTTGAGCTACATGTCGTTCGCCCTCCCATCACTACGTTTCAGGCTGCTTTTTATGCCCAGACCCACCTCACCGGATATATTAACACCTTGTAATGCGATTCGCAGAATTCCTGCGCTTCGTTTGCATTAGTTTCATTAACGGGTACCCTTTTCCTCTTGTGAACGGGGTGGCTAGACCAGGGTCCGGGCTAGGGGTCCGGACTAAGCGTCCTCGGGACATTTGTGGGTAACTGACTCCATAAAACAGAAAGTTTATTTGGCGATTGTCGGCAATGATCATCCTTCCTGGTCCAAGAACTGGACAATGGCGTCCGGTGCTCTTGGACAGTGATTATACGGGTGCAAATGGTGGCAAGGCATCTTATTTCTACAACGGGTTTCCCAGCAGCATATCTGTAACACATTCAAATTATGAATTAGGTTTCAACTACACTGTGTCAACCGTTGCACTTCAAACAATTATTGTATCACTAGCTCTTCAATTACTTCGTTATGTCCAAGGCTCAACCCATCAAGCGTCGGGGAGAAGCACGCGCCAAGTTTGACTTGAACATCGATAGCCCGCAACTGCAACATCTCACACGACACATCGACGAGGCCGAACATGTCCGCATCGAAAACTGCATTGGTTTCGTCCAGGTCCCCGTTGGAATCGCTGGGCCACTTCGCATCACAGGCCCTGACACGACCGGTGAATACTATGCACCATTGGCTACATGTGAGCCGACCTTGGTGGCTAGTTGCAGCCGGGGCTGTAAAGTGTTCAATGCATGCGGTGGGCTACAGTTTGAAGTTCTCAATGAAGCCATGTCTCGTGCACCAATGTTTCTGTTCGCCAGTCCGGCCCATGCGGTAGCGTTTGCACGAGCGGTCCCATCATTCCGAAACGAGTTCGCCCGATGGGCCGAGTCGACTAGCCGATATGTTCGGCTACAGGAGCTGCAAGCTTCGGTTATTGGCTCCAGCGTTCATCTCTTTTGCAGCTACTTTTGCGGCAATGCTGCGGGTCAGAATATGGTCAGCAAGGCCACGCAGTACGCCTGCGAGATGCTGCGGGGCCACCGATGTGCGAAGCAATTCCAGATCCAAGACTTCCTCATAGAGGGTCAATTGGCGTCGGACAAGAAGCCTTCTTGGGGTAACGTGCAGAGAGCTAGGGGGGTTGAGGTGCTAGCGTGGGGAACTATTACCAACGCTGCCTGCCAAGAAATCCTAGGCTGCAGCACGGAGCGACTATATCGTACTCAGATGGCTCTAAAAGAAGGAGGCATACGCAATGGCCAGTTTGGTTGCAATATCAACACTGCCAATATTATCGCCGCTATTTTCGTGTCGACGGGACAGGATGCGGGCAGTGTAGCAGAGGCTTCCTGGAGTCATCTCACATCGGAGTACGATTACGAGACCAAGGAATTGAAAATGACTCTGTATTTTCCCTCCTTACCGGTGGGTACCGTGGGTGGGGGGACCCTGTACCCATCGCAGAAGGAGTGTCTGGATATGCTGGGGTGTGCGGAGCCGTCGGGGAAGAGAAGGCTCGCCGGAATGATTGCTGCCTTTGCAGTTGCGTTGGATGCTAGCACAAGTGCAGCCATTGCTAACGATACATTTACTATGAGCCATATGAAGCTTGCCCGGGGGGAGATCTTCGGGCGTCAGACTTCGAAGCTGTAGGCGACTGGTTGGAATCATTGCTGGATCGAAGTTTGTTGTTTCATTTTTCTTTTTTTCTTTTTTTTTTTTTTTTTTTTTTTTTTTTTTTTTTTTTTTTTTTTTTTTTTTTTTTTTTTTTTTTTTTTTTTTTTTTTTTTTTTTTTT